CTTGTATGAGCACGGTACAGCGCCATAGACTTAGTATTGTTAGGGACGGCACTTTAGTAGTCATTGTTTTTAAATTGTGGGGCAATAATAGAAATGCTTATTTTATGGGGATTAAAAATTGAATGTAAGATGAGAGATAAAGCATAAAATTTAAATTATACATCGTATAAAATATGAAGAGGTAAAAATCTATTTTGCCAATTGTATTTATGCAAATTTACTTTGTCTCAATAGCTTTGCTTTAAAATCTCGGCAAAATATTTTTTGGAAACTTTCGTGCTATTTATAATAGTGTTTTAGTAATTTTAAGAAGTCATATTTTTGGTTGTGATACACCCATTGTAATTTATAATATATAAGAGACCTTCATTGGATTTATAAATTTAAAAAAAAATGTATTGTCTATGAATTCTAAATTCAAACGCGATCGCACGCGAGCCAATATTTACGGCGGGTATTTTGGCCGTATGTTCTCACACGTCACAGATACACATCTGATTCATTACCGTGTTCTATGGTCAATGTTCATGCAGATTGTCTATGAAGTTCGAAATGTTAAAGTTAACAGTGTGTGGGATGTATTTTGTATATTAGAGTTTATTCGTTTATTACCACTATAGACCATACGTAAAATATTATATAATTTAACGTTTTACATTACTAGCCTGGCACTAGACACTGGATCATGTCAACTGAATAAGAAAAAGTCTTGTGTTTGAATTAAGTGAATACTTGAATCCGAATTGTTTATTTTTTTGTGTACGCCTTTTAAACTATGCACACCTTTTGTAAGGGTAGGCAGTAAAAATTCTATATAATAGGACTGAGTTAAGAACAAAAAAACTCCTATATTAATTAGTAAAAACTCCTTAGTATTAAAAAACACCTTCAAAATTGAAACTGACCCCAGGACCCAAGTTCGTTTTACATAATGTATCCCCGAAGACGCTTATACAAATAAAACACACACTTAAGTACTGTCAAGTTAACAAGTGCAGTGCCAAACTAATCTAAGTGGTTCCCTCGTACAACTTGGCAGACAAGTGTGTTTTTTTTCACTTTTCAACGTTCGCTGAACTTCAGCCGGTGATATGAACATAACATGCATGAGGGGTTACGTAGAGTAGGTGAATACAGAGATATACTGTCAAAAGGTTTTTTGAAAGGAGAGCTGTAAAAGCTTACTACCACCACCACTACGTAATGGTATGATGTAATTCGAACTGTCATTTATATATATAGCTCTATACGTACAAATCTTTCTAATCTACGCTAGCCAAGTGCTAAAATTTTAAGTTAACCAGGTTTTCTTTAACCAAGAGCGCGTTTCAGATTCAACGTTGGATAAATATTTTGTTGCACGATAAAAAAACCAAACTTTAGACGTTTTATTTTAATAATTGAATATTATTTTTAAAAGTGAATGTAAAATTTAATCCTTTTAGTCAAGTAACAATCAGTCTAAAGATTTCGAATTGCCTTTAATTACAATATGCAAGAGATATAACATTATTTGTTCCTATACTTAATATTAATCAAAGCGTTCTCTGAATTGGATTACTCTGTAAGTTCACAAGTCAAGAAAAGTGCAGCGTCTAGGTGAGACCGAAGTATTCATGTCTTCTGCTTCGACGCCCATCCACGTCTTACAACGTTAGAGTAGAAATATAAGTTTTTTTCCTTAGAAACTTTAAAAATGAGAGATGAAGATGCTGCTTTGGTTAACCTAGAAGTAAGTTATACATTTATTATATTTACGAGCGATTTCATAGTCCGCTAACGCACAGACTATTATTTCTCGTGCAGCAGCAGCAAGCATTGGCAATAAGTCACATTTGTGTTTATGTTTGTATTTATATTTAATTTATAAAGCCTCCCGTAATTAAAACGATTGACAGCTTCTGTAGCCAAAAGGTTAAACGTATTGCCTAGCATTGCGTTAAGCACAAGAGGTCTTGGGATCGAATCCCAGGGAAACATAAAATTGTTTCGGTTGGGCAGAGAACAAAAGTCTGATCAACTACTTGCCCGTTAAAAGAACGGATCAGTGAAATGGACACAGAAATGTGTTCGCCCCATGCCCCACGAGGGGAAAACTGGCTTTCACACAGTTAAAACGATCGAACATATTTTGTCTATGGATATTCAGAAATCTAATTAGAGAAGTTAGATAATACAGATTATTATTTTTTATGTTGATAACTTACCTAGGTACACAGGTTATAAATACTTCATTCTGAAATTTGGCACATTTTTAAAGAAATAAATCTTACCAGCCAGTTTTTTTTAATTATGAACCACAAATTAAAAAATGTTTATCTATTAATCATTTATTCTTAATCGACAGTACCGGCCAGGCTTGTGTTTTACCACCACAGATTCTCAGTAAACAAGGATTTACCACAGACCAACACATTACCTTAAATTTGTTTAATGATTCATATATCATTTGAATTATACTTACGTGTGAAGCTTAGTATGTGAGGCCGTGATAAGATCTGACCCCAAATTATAAAGCGCGTGGAAAACACCGCTTTCCACCGAATTTCGGTAATAACGCATTTCACTTGATTTATTCGTCCGAATATGTTTATTTGTGAAGGTGCGTGGGTTATTTTGTAGCCTGTAATTTATTTGGCCACTTAATTGTGAACATTTTTATGTCGCCTCACAATTTCAGTGGCGAAAAACAAATGGTTATACAGAAATAGTTAAGTAAAACGCTACTTTATTCGAATCCCCGGAAAACATACTTGTATCTCTATAAAGAGACCTAGAACGGTTTACGCTGAAGCAATGAAATACATAACCTAATTAAATTTTGGAATCATTTTAGACGACATTTTTGTATGTAAGTATATATTTAGTAATGGCGTGTACAAATAAAACACTTTAACGTTTTAAAAAAATATACTTTTCAAATAAATGTAACTAATACATAGCGCGTTTTAAACCGTTAGTGTTTTATTTAAATGTGTACTACTCGCGTAAACTAACGACGGTATTGAATGGCATATATTAGAATATACAACATGGACCCACTTATAGCAACTAAATGGCCATTTGCTATAAGAACCACGCGATCCACGAATTAATATTAACTTCGTATGGATTTCTATATGGGTTTGTTCGCGCGAAATAATGGAACTCATTTGGTAGTATAACTTCGAAATTAGGAGCCAATTGCTTCTAAATGGATTAGTAAGTAGGGGAAGTAATTAACGTTTTAAACAGACATTAAGGTTAACTCTCTATCAAGCGTCGATATATATATATATGAGGTTGGTACCCCCTCATATATATATATACCAACGCTTGATAGAGGTGGATATACCCCAACGTTTAGCATCTAAACGAGATGCGTTGTCGATCTATTTTGGATTTGGATATTCGGAAATCCACATACTGAAGCCGAAGCACGATTAAGTTAACTTTTTCCACCTGTGGACGGTGATTCGTGATCCGGACGGAAGTCTATATTCCTACCGCCAATTTAATATCCAGATTTCCAGAAGTCCAGCATGTTTCATAAAAATGATATATCAAAAACTGGAAGCAGGTGGGGATCGAATTAACGAGTCGTTGATTATTAACTATACATTGCTACCAATACCAACGAGGCCGTCAAAAAAATATCTATATATTGTATGTTTTATTTAGTTACCTACCTATAGAATTTCCTTATAATCAATGAATTGGAAACATTAATATATTTCACATGTTGGCATTCACACGCGCGCTCAAATAGTTATAGCAACAGTAATTGTTAGTACGTAATAAAAAATGTATGTATACATTCTTTAATAAATGTCTAAAACCAACAGCATGGAACGCTGTGGTTGCCAGTTCAATTCCTGTCGGTGTCATCAATCAAATTAATCTAAAATCGATTTTTATATGATAAATTAAATTCGCTAGCCCAAACAACAAGCGTGCCTAAAAATATGTTTTGTGATGAAAGTGTAATCCCGAAAGCCAATTTAAAGCATGGGTGTGACATGTTTTTGTGTCTGTTTCTTTATTTCAAAGAGAAATTGAAATAACCTTTATTTGATATCCGCGTTAACACTGTACACGTTTGTTTATTGATGTAATTTAACTAACTAAGAACGCACAAGTGTCATGTATTTTTTTTATCTTTTGTTTTTAATTATTTGTAATTATTTGTGTTTTGACATGTCTACAAACATATATTATGGCAATCGTTGCGCACAGTCCTGATAGTGTTGTGTATTTTTTAAATAAATTTAATAATCACTTATAATCCACATACATCAATTATCACTAATTATTTTGTTAATTTGACGGTTTCATTAGACAAATAATACCTATGTTTAGCTAATAATGAACGCGTCGTGAGTTAAATTTTATTATCTTCACATCATTCTTCAAAATTTATATTTCTCTGAAGCATGTTAGAGTTTATTTGAAAAATCTGAACATTGATAAGAAGATTTAGTGGATGCCATGTTCAAAGTTAAAATAGGGAGACAAAAAACTACCTGTTAAACTAAAACGTCTACGTCTCGCTTCTTTCATCTTTAATAACACATAATAAAACTCCATAAATGTTGTATTAATAATTTTACATTGAGTACTAGGAAGTCAGCAATATAAGAAAATAAGCGGTAGACTATTAGCGCTCCCAACATATCCGAAACAAAAAAGTAATTCGAAATCATAAACTCACCTCGATAACCAGCCACTCCGTTAATGGATTACAGCGACAGCGTCCCTCTGAAGTCTCCGCAATATTCTTTCCCGGGATATTTTATTGCCCTCGGTCATTCAATGAACTCATCTGATAGAATAAAGAGATTATCTCCGCGACCGAAGCTCATCCGGACGTTCTACAAGACATACTCCTACCAGGGCGACATAAAAATAAAGATCTGTTTAGTTATAGCCAAAGAAGTTTCCGCGAAACGTAGGTATCAGGAAAAATACATAATGTAGAGTAGGCGTCATGTGTAGGTATTTGTGTGACATGTGTGTGGTGTATGTGGAATATCGCGGGTGGCGCCGGGGGGCGGCGGGGGGCGCGTGTGTGCGCAGGGCGGGGCCGAAGGCGGACCCGTACTAACGCCGGGCCCGGCGCTCCGCAGTCCTCGCCGTTCACCCGTCTTCGCGTCGCGCGCTCGTCCCGGCCGCTCGCTCATTCGGTGCCCGCGACTCGACCGCGCCACACGTCCGCGACGCTCATATCGGTACAGTGCTGTGCAGTGCTCGCTTTGACATTTCGAGTGATGCGAACGACGTCCGGGAACTGAGCGAAAGGGTTGTGCGACGGGCAGAGGGCGGCGCGAGAACGCGCTTGCGCCCGCCGGAACGAGCCGAGACACCGCAAACGCGTCCACAACGGCACGCGCGATGGACGACAAGCCGACCGCCGGCGAGGAGCACTACAGCCTCCGCTGGAACAACCACCAGGCGCACCTGCTGCGCTCCTTCGAGGCGCTGCTCCACGCCGAGACGCTGGTGGACGTCACCCTGGTGTGCGCCGAGCGCCGCGTCCGCGCCCACAAGGTCCTGCTCGGCGCGTGCAGCCCGCTGTTCCGTCGGATATTCAGCGAGAACCCGTGCAAGCACCCCGTGATCGTGCTGAAGGACTTCCAAGGATGGGAGGTGCAGGCGGTCGTGGACTTCATGTACCGCGGCGAGGTGTCAGTGGCGCAGGAGCAGCTCGGGACCGTGATACGTGCGGGAGAGTCGTTACAAGTGCGGGGCCTGGCAGACCAGGAGGTGGCCGAGGCGGTGGAGTCCGAGAGATCACCGGTCGGCAGCCCACCGACCGCGACGGCCGTGTCGCCGCCGGCGAGTCCGCACAGTCCGCAACCCCGGCGTAAACAAGCGAGGCCCCGTAGGCGCTCGGGCGAGTCTGATACACCAGAAAATTTGTCCATGCGACGTTCACCGAGTGGTCTCAAGGCAGTGCGATTATCCAGAGGACGTTCTCCACACAAACAAGAGCCAGATGAGCCGGAAACGGAGGCCCCACCTCCACCGAGAATGTTTCCACCGCACCAGGATATGTTCCCACCTGTACCGCCGCCAGGAGTATCGGCGCTTTCGCTGACACCACCGCACAGTGAGTAACTTTATTTTCATTTATTGTAATAATTCCACTTCAGTGTAGATGTTTTTTACATGAAGCAGGATAAACATAATGCGAGGATTTATTAATTAAACTGATATCAGATTTGTTCAAACGTCGATGTCAGTACGTAATAATTGGATGAAGGGAACGGCTGCATATTCATGATTAATTAAATGATAAGGAACGACAAGTACCTACCTGGTGTGTTGTAAGATTCTAATACGAAAACTTAGTTAGATATGCGAGGAAATATTAGTTGATTTAAGTGTTGATAATTGTTAATAATCGAAAAAATATGACCCTTATCAAAACACATGCTGTTAAAAAATCGGAGGTCATTTCTGCAATGTCGTTGTGGATGAACAATTACTCGAATAACAAATAACAAAAACTGACCTTGTCGATTCTTGTTGAATGCATTTTCTTATTTGTCACCAATGTTATAGATTTTAAATTCGATTCTGTTGCACAAATAAGTGAAATGTATATTAATAAACATTGCTTACAATGTAGCTACTTAAATGTTAGGCAAAATAGGGGGTAACTAATATGAAATACAATATTGTCCTTCTTACTTTACTTAAATTTAATAATAAGATACTCATAAAGACTTTTTTAACCGAACGATTTCGAAATTAGAATCTCCTTAAACTGAATTCTGGTATAAATACATTAAAAAACTTTTATTTATTCAAAATTAAGTTTCATTAAAGTCAGTTTTTTTTAATTTTATTTTACAGTCATACGAAATAATCCATTTATAAAATTGACGTTAACCAATTCTGGCACATAACATGAGAAAATGCAAAATTACGATTGCCTAATACGAATTGATTAACTTCGATAAGTTAATGGGGGGATATCGATAAGTTTATCGATTTATTAAATCGCATGTAGGCTTAATGACTCGATTAGTATATCGAGTGTTAACCGGAACCTTTCACAGATAAATTAAGATCACCCATTCATGTGTCGATGTCTTATCGCAGAGAGGTTTAGTCGGTATAGCCTTCATATGTCGCAAAGTGCTAACTGCAAACATTCACTCGTCCTGTTTGTAGACGAAATTCGTTCACAAATTTTCCTGAACCTAATATTAATCGTTTAAATTAGAAACGAGTTAATATAATGAAAATTCTATGAGAAGTTAGTCTATTTAATGAAATTGATTTGAAATTATAAATCTTATTAACGAAATTCGTATAATCCAAATATATTTTTAATTTAAACTAATGACGTCTTAGGCAATCTTAGTTGAGTACCAGAATGTATGTATACTCCCGAAAAAAATATTATGTAACAGATACAATAATGTTTCCACCCCAAGCCCCACATAGCTTATTTTACTTTAAAATGGAAACGTGTCGACGGCGGTTCTGTACCTAATAGACTCTCACAGTAGGCTTAGATGTTGAACAGCGTGGTCCACTAGTTGAACGTAATACCGAGTTCAATAATCATGAACCCAAGAGGGTTTGAACTGGGAAATATAAAAAAATGTTACGATCGGGCAGGACACAAATCTGACTAACTACAGATACACAAAGGCTAACAGTGAAACAGTCATGGCTTTATCCTAAGAGCCACACACATGATTTTCTATTATACTGTATTAGGAATTACGAATCATATTTAATTAACTAGCTCTAACAGTGAAAGAATAACGACAAACCCCTCTATCTAAAGCGAAAGTTATCTAGTTAGTACAACTTAATGCCTTTCATTAAATGATTTATGCCAAACGCTAAGTATTTGTAAGCTGTTGATAAAACAGGCGCCAACGTCAGTTCAAATACAGATATAACAATTTTACATGCATGCAATCCTTAGCGTGTGTCGGTGCTCATTTTATACCTGGCTAGCCGCTAGTCCGCACTGCATTTTCTATTTGCCAACTGGTTTTGAAATTGTACCGATTCCACTGATTGAAGTTCGCTTTGCACTTAATGCGTCGAATATAATTAATTTTATTGATAGCTCAATAACCGCTTTAGTTTTATAAACAAATTCGTTAAAGTTAGGTTAAATCTATCTATATACATTATCTATGGTAATACTGTTTATTATCTGTAGAAAATATACACGGTTAACATATTAATATTTTAGTAAAAGCGTTACATTATAAGCAGAAGTGTTTTACAGCTAAATAATTTGTATACTTTCCACAGACTGAACGATTTTTTAAAAATCGTACACATTATTTTTTTAATTCTAAGTTGAATCATATCAGAAAAGGTTTTATATGGTAGGTTATAAGTGTAATAAGATGTTATAAGAATAATTCTAACAAGAACAATATCAATAAAACTAATCGTTTAATCGTTATAAGATGATACCAAAAATAAGTTTCACCATAAATTGTATTTTATTGTTTCCCCAGTTTCGCGTATGTGTTGAGTGCTTGATTGCGTCATAATAGTCGTTGCTAGTGAAGGGTTGCACGCAACGTGCGTAGGGAAACTAACACGAGGGGAGTTTCCGAGCGTTTCCGCACTTGTCAATCTCATTCCAATTTTAACTGCTTATTTCTCAACATAATCTGTGGGATATAAATATATGTCTTGGATGTCTTAAGACCTTTTTAAATTTGTTTGTATTAAGATCGCGTTACTAAGTATGACTAATTTAAATAAATAACTTATATAGTTATTTTATTTAAATTTATAACAGCTTACAACATAACTTATATAGTTATGTATTTATTATAACGCCAGTTTAATCAAGCCCCTTAATTTATCGTAAGGTAGCCTAAATAAATTAATGATGTATTAATCCGGCATACTTTTTGAGTTCTTGACCGTAGATAATAATTGTAACTTATACCTAAATCTTCCGTCCATTTTTCTTTAATATAACATAATCTTCCAAAATTAGATTTCGCACATAATGGCTCTGACCACAGGCTGCTTCACCAGTTCCACTTATGCACTGAGCGTACGTATGTTGGTCGTAATTTTAATGTTTTATTGTTTCCTTCGTGTGTGATGAGAGCTTGATTACGTATAATGGTGGTGTAAATGTAATGAGGGGTTGCGTTGACTACTGGCAATCACACGTTTCCTCATTGTGGCAACTTCAATGCGAAATTTTGATTTTCCCGCCATTTTTTCATTAGAGTTTACGACGAGCGACGACGTAATGGCGATTGCCGCCATTAATGCTAAATGTCTGTTAGTTTTAAATCAGCGAACATAAAACATTCCTTCGTGTGTGAGCTTTTATTACCGGATGGTAATGAAAGTGGGAGTAAATTTCTATAGTTTATATTTATTTGACTACTTTTAATCTTATAAGATTATCGCACCATATAACCGCTTGTATTGCATTCAAAATTTTCGTCAAATCTTCTTTATACATATAATTAAAAAGTATAAAACCTTTTCCAAAATTCCTTCGAAACAATAGCGTTACCATAATTTAAGACTAATGATCAACATCAATAATAAGTAATCAATTTAACAATAATAATTTTAAATAGTATATACCTACTTTTTACTCTTTACTTAAAACTTTGGAAATAAAATTCATTTTATATTTTCATAACTACATTTACAATGTTGCTAGTTTTTAATCCATATTTTGGAAGCAATACTAAGTTACAGTAGAAGATAATGATTATTTTCATTACCATATTGATGTTTCGCTATTTATAATCGATTGTTAGCATAGATTCAATGGGCACGCAAGGTCTTACTATCGAGCACACAGCCTTGCAGGGTGTAAGAAAAAAAACAGAAAAAAACGGAATATAACGACATTGACACGAAGACTGCGCGCACGCAAGGGTGACTAGGACACATGCTTCTGAGAATTATTACTCGGTGAATGTAATTAAGAAAATCTAGTTATCTAGGTTATTGACATAGATAATGAAAATGTTACATAATAAAAACAAATGAACGTCTTATACTTATCTATTAATGAATTCTCAATTGTCATTAATAACTTAATCAAACTGAATAGGTATGAAATATTAAATAACTACTATTAACTAACTAATGTAAGAATATTAGTTTTAAAATATTTTAGAAGAGAAATTGTTGTTTTTTAATAAATGTCATGGTCACCCTATCCCAAGATCGCCGCGAACACTGCGCCCGCGCATTTACATTCAATCGACACCGTTCGTCTGTGTCCTACTTACACTTACCGTTTAAAACTGCCCTCTGCATACCCTACTTATGTCGTGTAAGTACAAATTATGCCTGTATAGGGACTCGGTGTCGACGGCTGTAAATTTGTGTCCGTTGCTAATCTAACGGATTGATTCATGCATGGCGTACGCGAAATAAATAAACCGTAAGGATTTATTAGACAATTATGGCCACTTTCTCAGAGGAATTGTTGTTGTCGGTGGGTAGATTAATATTTCAAATGACATTTGTAAGATTATATATATAACTAGAGTTTGTTTTATCTACCTTTTATTTATAATACATTCGGTTATTAATATTAAGGTTTTCTTTAAATAATATTAATAGATCAACGAAAACTTTTTATTAACAATATTTCTATAACTTTCTTAACGCATAGATTATACTTACGACAAGTTACAATATTATCCGCAAAAACACGGCGTATGGCGAACTTGTCTATTAATAATTACTACATCGTTAGCCCATTGTGACATAACCGGTACTTATATTTTTTGTCGGCGCCAAGATATACGTCTGTTACATTAATTACGTACATACATTTATAATTACAATTGTCTATTGCAAGTACAGGTGGTTAATTATTAATATTTACATACAAAGGTGCGCCGGTGGGTTTGCATGCGCTAGAGATATATCATTAATAACCTTATTTCTTGCGGAATCCAATAGGCCGTTATAATTAAGAAGAAGAAAAAAATTAAATATGTTTTTTATTTAGAGATTTAGAAGGCTTCTTATTTAGTACTTAGGGACTTAACAAATAAAATTGTAATAATAAGGATGGTCCTTCCTATTTACATATATTGCATATTAGACAATAAGTAGGTTCTGTAACTAGGTTTGTGAAGGTAGCCAATTTATTTCGTATACCTAAATTAAAGCCTATTTTATAACATGCTAAAATTCTACTATCATAGATACTTGTAAAATAATGTAAATCATTTATTACATTTTATTTATATGCATAATATATAAGATATCTATAGTAATTAAACTCGACGATGTGCGTTGTACTGAAGGAAACTATAAGCTTTCTCGCCTAAATAGGTCCTACACCAGAACGAGTGGGCGTTTCGTTTTACGGTAGTGTTACAATAATTTATGTGAGCATTTCTATCAGTTGTTCTACAACTCGCGAGATCTATATTTAGAACCTGCTTTCACATTTCTTTTCAAGACGTGAACCTTCCTGATATTTTGAAAAGCTACTTTGCATAAAATCTACTCGATTGTGAATACGGAGAAAGCTTTTGCTTAACCGCAAGTGTTTTTCATATTAAAATGACTCGATCGAATTATTTTCTTATCAAACAAAATTATCTTATATAAAAATGCGTTTTTTTTACCTTGTAACTTTGATGTCTACGAAGATTTCAGGGATATTCAATGAAATAAGATTTCGCTGGAAAGAGAAATCTTTTGGTCAATTGTCAAATGTGTCACTTCATCGCAGAGAGAAATGTCATTTTCAAATCTATTTGAACCCCTTTTAAACAACTTCCACAGACTATACTGTTATTTATATAAAACTAGAAAAATTAAATAGATACGTGTCAAGTGCGCAGTTCACACAATTTAGTATCATTACGCGTCTAACTTACATCGTCATTAGTAAAACTTAAAGATGTCCACGCTTACGCAAATCGCTGCGATTGCCCAGAATTATACATCACTTACCTATTGTGACATGGACGTGTGAAAATGGGCCATAAATTAACCTTAAATCATTGCTTTGCCGTCCATATGAAGTTAGGGTGTGGATACACAACTTAATCCTTTGAATATATTCCTTTGTTAAGTTATCGTTATAATCGTTTCAATCTGGTCACACGATGTCAATATTATTGGCTGAGCATGACAAGAACATGTTTCATATACAGACAGAGGTCGAACCCGCAACTCTCATAGTGTTCTGCATCGTTACAAAATAACTTCATGTATTAACTAAGTAGGTTTAAGCTATAAGTTTTATTTTTAAGACCTTTTTAGGCTATTTCTAAAAGTGTTTAAACACGTCGAAACCCCTTTTTATATCATTAAAAAAACTATATCCATTTTCTGCGGTTTTCACTTATTAGTCCGTATGTAAACGGCCTTATATGACACATACGTCGCTAATTGGATGATATGCGTCAAGTTTAATGGTCGTATAGTAAATTATATGTTTTACGACCTCCCATGTTATCGATGATAATGAAATACTCGTATGATTTATTTAATTAATTTACAATAGTCTCGAATAAATTAAGTATATCCAATATTTCAGTTTAAATTAGTACTATCTTATCATGTTTCGCGATAGGTACTTGAGGTTAATTCTTATTAAAATAGATTTTTTACGAAGTTCAAAAAAAAGTAAGTACGTCAACTGGTGAAATTTTATTATTTCTCATTTTATTGTCTGAACAGCTTCTTGATAGTTATAAGGCTATTATTATAACTATTCCGTAATTATTAAGGCAAAAATCAAAAGTCAGTAAAGAAAGCTCGGAGCCCAATGTCTAAACCGAAAGTAACACGACCTCCTTATGCAAATCTCCAATAGTAAATTACATGGTTATTTGTTTAGATCTCAAGCCCATATTCCCATCACGCAACCGGATCTCGAATCACACATTACATTTAATTTTATACGAATTTAATAACAAGTGAGATGCGGCCATTGTTCTGTGTGTGAAAGAGCGATTTTTTCTTAGCGATAAAGAGGTGCCGACACACTTCGAGATTGATGTGTAACTACCCGCTGAGCGAGCGATATAATTAATATCCATAATCCATCCACACGGTTCCCTTTCACCGATACCAGTAGCCACCGTCGTATTCCGATTCCGTTAAATCCGAATGAATGGAACGAAATAAGATCACGAGTGAACCGAAGCTGACCGACAAGAAAAGATCTCCCAGCGATAAACAAAAAACGACCGAAAGTACATGTCATGCAGCGTGTGCTAGGCAATTTCACGCCGGCCATGGGAATGCGACGAATTGACTGAAAGCAATTAAATCGAAATGCTACCGAAAAAAGTTCAATTGACACGTGAAATCGTCGAGCGAGCATTGTGAGCGAATCTTTTTGATTCCGTTCGCTCGATCTTCAAATGAACGGGCTGATTGAAATTTTGACAAAGTCCTCCCCCGATGCAGAATGCAGATTATATTCGGCTGACTGCGGCTCGCTCGTTGTTTGTAGATAATATTATCGAAAGTTTCGCGGTGACAGATTATAACAAACATAATAAAACTTTTATATATCCTGTGGTAAAAGCTATCGGTTGAACGATGATTTATTTCGTTCAAATAGCCTCTTTTAGCAAAATGACTGTATATTATGTATTCATTGCAGCTTATCGAATACATTAGCAGTCGAATGATACATTAGTTTAATTTATTATAGACAACTTCTGCATAAGACTTGGCGCGCAAATATCTTGATTAAATTAAACATCAAAATTCCTCAACTAACTTTTAAGACTCACTCAAATCTCCGCAATAAAAAAAAGATGTGTACGATAACAGAGTGCAGAGTTTATTTTATTTTAATTAAAACTAAACGGCATTCTAAAGGCATTTATTTGTCCATATTCACGAGTAATTATAGAAAATGAATGTCGAAGCCTTGTTGGTCTTTTATGTTTATGACTTAAAGCGAAGCTATTATTCTTCAGAAAATATTCACAAACAACTTTATAGTTCACCTACTTGAAGCTTAAAGTCAGGAAAACAAAACTTTTTATACCAACAAAAAGCTATATAATATTGAAATCAGATTACAGTGTGGCTATCACAAAAGTTAGGGACACAAAGCGAGGGCAACCGCAGTTTTGTTTATAAACGTATCCTTAACCACATTTCGGAACGTGTGACAGTTCTTAATCGTGTTTTGTTGTTGGAACGACGGTCTTCCTACACGACTTAATTTTTCCCGCCATTTCTTATGTGTTTGGATCAAGATTGGCGCCAAAAATGTTTAAAGTAAGATTTACACCAGAACTCAATTCTTATTACGTACACAGATAATAATGAATACAGAATATAATGTAGCCCGGCGCCAGCTCGCCAATTCTCCGCTACCAGGAATTTGGTAAATGTCATTACCTTCCGAGTAATTACCAATGATAGATAGGAGCACGTATGAATCACATTATGTGAGTCAGTGAGAATCACTTCTGTGGTCAAACAGTAACCACACACGTAAACAATTTTGTATCAATGTATTTTTTGCTACATCCATTCATGTCTCTTATTGGATCGTTCTTAGAATGAGTTTTAATATTCTCGTTTGTACACTTTTTATATAATAAAAAAATTTAATACGCTTCTTCGTAGTAGATAACAATTCCTAGTAATATTATTCAAAGATGTAGTTAATAATTAACTAGGGACTATTGTACACTAGGTAATTTAACAAATAAATTTACTAGAACACTGATCGTGTTTAATTACTTCAATTGTAAAACATTACAACTGTACTCCCCTAGGGTGCTTAACTAAAAACCCATTGATCATTGCGAAATAGCTAACGACACAATAATTACATATTTGTCATAACAAAGGCATTACTGTAATTAGGTCCACTTTCATCAAATACTTATGTAAGATAATATTAAAGTATGTGAACATGCATTACGTATTCACATGATGTAATTAATTAAATAGCCTGTGGAAACGTATGGACTAATGCAGATCTTGGATTAGATCTCTAATGGATTTTAATTGTGTTCTGTGGTACCGCTAAAGCTCACCGCCATAGATAATAATTAGATAAATGTTCAACATTACATATTTGAAAGATACGGTTCACTAGTGATGTTTCCTATTATGAAATTGATTTAATGGAACGTTTGGAAGGAATACAGACTCAGTTTATATCTCTTTGATTTTTGTGTTATCTGTAAATCAGTTTATGTTATAATCGTAGGTAGGTAACTTGTGAAAAACGTAACTTGAAAGTTTTAAATCGCAATTAAAATAGATAGCTTTGATAGTAATAACATTTATTGAATGTTTAAGTTATGACGATTATATCGTAAGGTACCTACTTCTATCATTTCTTGAAATTGAAATAAATAAATGCTTATGTTAATAATCGGAAGAATTTCCGTTTTTTTTACATTCCATAGATAACACTACATCTTTCAACTATCAAATTACGAATTTAATTACCGTTTTTGTGTATTTCGTGACATCTAATACATAATGTTAAAATTTAGCAACGCCTCGCAATCCGCTATTCATTACACTTCCGCCATTTCGAATCGTGTTTTTGCAATTTACCAAAAAGATTTTTAATTTTTCATCACAATGAACAGGCCACCGTCTAATTTCACACATCGAAATGTATTTTGTTTACTCGGAGAAAGCAACGGACGTAATCGTTGTATCGATTTTTATTTGTATCGCGGCAAATCGATTCTGGCCACAATCGTTTTGGCGCCTACATGATTACATACGTAACGGAAGCGGGATTGGATTGGAACAGGCCATAATAGTATTATCACAGACAATAATATGTTTATACGGCTCTGAGAAGCGACGAGCAAAATTGTTTTATTATTATAATTTTCTTCGTTTTAGCGGTTTTTTTTGTACAAAAAAAAAACAATAATAAAACGCTACAAATGCAAGAAATAAAAAATAAGAAAATGACGTTAACCGAACAATTGTGTGTTGACATTCTAAGGAAAGTATACCATTTTAGTGCCGGGTTGTTCTAGAAGGCTTACGATTATCTAATGCCCAAAAGGATTAAGCTATTGTTATAGATAACATAATTATATAGCATAAAGTAATTTTTACTGTATCTTATCGTAATACAACATTTGTGCCACAAAATAATCCGCTAATTGAATTGAAACTGAAAATATAACTGTTTAAAGCACATTAGTGTGATCCGACGATAAGAGGTTTTTTGAGAAATCTTATGAACAATGTATTTCTCACAATAATGCGCCGCTGACCGAAAATCCATTTCAATAGCAATTGGATCAAATTAACAAGTCTGTGGGATCGTGCAAGCGCCGCGCGTGTGTGATACTACACATTATTATGGTTGCCACAAATTATTCTCTTTTGTTGCGCGTGCGATTATATGTTTGACCTTTTTTACACAGCATATTTTTAATCTAAATGTTATAGCGTCTGAAAGAAAACTTGCAGAGTTATTTTATACTAACTAAATCTAATGCACGTAGTCAATAGTCAGTTCGATCGTTTGTTTGACACTACAAATAAAAATATTATTCATATTTTCTTAAGATAGTAAAGAATTACATTATGTTACATTATTTTAAAAAGACATGAACAGATGGAAACTTTTTAATAGGTATAGACTCTTTTCAACGTAATGTTTTTAATTAATCATACGGCAAGATGGCAACCCTAAATAAAGATTTCATTCCGAACTCATGTACAAGTATGTTATTATAATTATATGAGACAAAAAATGAGTTGGACCCGTTTTTATAAGAGGCTATGTACAATGAGAGTATACACAATTAAAACTGTTTTTCATAAGTACAGACTTGTACTTAGAACATATTGTTTTTTTCGACCGTAATCCAGTTCCAAATCCCAGTTATTCATGTTTTAAAAATGTGTATAGGTAGGTATATCAAAGGAAAACAGGGAAACTTAATATATTTAACACGTTTAACTTTCTTTCGTTTTTTTTATAAAAGTTACAGGTCTTTAATAACCTTAAAATTTGTTTTCCTACTATAGAAAAATATTATCTACTTAAATAAATATTGAAAAATTCATTGATATAATATTAATTTAAAATCTTTGCTTCTACAATTAAAAAATTATGTTACTTTTGTGCTTTGGAAATTCATACATTAGCTTTCAAGTTGTAGTTACAAGTTAGATAAGATAAAAATAAATAAACCACTACTTAGCTCTGTTAATCAAAATAATATTAATTGAATATTTATTAACATTAAAACGCAATAAGAAAACCCATGACAAATTAGTAATGGAACCTACAGATTCTTAATTGTCGCACCAAGGTGTATTGAATTTTCCTCTGCACATTATCAACCCTTCATGATTTATGTAAAGAGGTCTTTTGCGGCACGCGATATTCATAGACAATGCAAGGATAGGTGTTTCTTCGACCTAGAACCTAGTTTTAATCAACGACAATTAACGTCATTGACTATACTAAAGTCATCGTATTTATTCAATTCACTTTACAACCGGTTCATATTCGAAGTTCGAATCCCGCCGAAACATGAAATTGGGCAGGGTATAACGGAATGTAAGTGCCGTATACAAGGGTGAGGGTAGTCCACTAAATAAGTAGATATAGGCCACCCAAGTGGTTAATGTTCGAATGTTTGAAATTCGTACTTCAACAACTCGGTGGCTCAATATTTTCCGTATTGATTCGCCCGAGAATCGACGCTTATTTTACTATAACAAATACTAAAACTCTAGTTTACGAGTAGTACACATTTAAATAAAACACTTTAACGGTTTAAAATGCGATAAATACTAGTTAAAGTCATTTGAAAATTATTTAAACTACGGCCCGACGTTTCAGCCATGGTCTTGTGGTTCGTGGCTAATACAAAGCGTTATAGTGTTTTATTTAAATATTACTAATACTCTTCACTATATTTAAATTTTTATATCTCACGTCTAGGCGTATTTTCCATCGAATCTCTCTCAAAAATTGAACATTATTACATATTCCAGAGTTGTACAAAAAAAGCCGATATTGATTTGAGACCACCCTGATTAGTGTTTTAATGTGTTTTTATTAAATAAAGTATACTTTCGCGTCCTTGGTTCTATCACGTGATCTATTGTAGTCGGTATTAGATTAGAGCGATAATTAATGCTGATTCCATACGACCTAGATTCGGCTCGCGTCGATAAAGTTAATTTACAGTTAGTTGTAAATCTCGTTGCAAAACAGCCTGACCATAGACAACACGGCAACACCCACACGACACGTCACAGCGTATGAATGAGTCTGTGGTATGGGTATCACCCTCTCACCCCTTACGCGCGTAACTTTCACTGTCTATGGGTACGCATGTTCAAAACAACACATGTCAGACGGGGGGTTCCCCCTAAGTTTTGTGTGAATGAACTTGTTTGTTAAGCGAAAGGGTTAACTTTCCATCTCATATGGAGCGAATCGATCGTAAACTTTGGTTTACTACTCTAAATCTGAGTGACGTTCTCGTCTTGAACGTAGTTTGAGTTTAATAGTGCATGTTACACGTATTCAAGACCCTTTTTAGGTCAGATGTTATTAGGACTAAGTAATATTTGAAATTCGCGAGTTTAGAAGATTTTTAAACAACGTTTTTACTGTGACTAATAACTTAGAATTACTTGTTTAAACTGAGATCAAAACTTCACATAATTCGCCATGTATATTAACTAACAGACGTTAAAAAAAATCCTGTTTGTGAAAATGTCTCATAAACAGATTACATGGGAAAAGTCGGGCATTTTCCTAAAAGAAACATAATTTACGGTCGACTAGCCCACCGATGGTTAGATTTAGAAAGTTTCAAAGTATATCTAATTGACCGCAAGAGATATTCAAATTGAATATAAATAAGCCACTAAAAAGAAATGTAAACAATGAACCTTGAAATAACGATCATTGTGACAGATTGTAAAATTATTACAGTGAATGGACAGAATGTGATATTTATTATCGATATTATTACAGTACGTGATACAGGTTGGAAAACGTGCAGTATGATTGGTATAGCCTAAATCTGTTAGTAGACTGTTTATTGAGGAAAATTACACTTCGTCTGGACATCTGGATGTCAATTGGGTGGTAGGAATATAGAAATTCCGTCCGGGTCACTAACTACCGTCCACAGATGAAAAAGTCGTGAAGCTTAATCGCGTTTCGATTTCAGTCTGGACTTCCAAAACCGAAATAGTTGGGCAGCACATTAGTTTAGATGCTATAGGCTTTAAATTATTACACGTTATTGAATTTACTAACAAGTTTATGTACGCAGATAGTATTATCACTATGTGTATTGCACTAATATTTTTTATAAAAACTTGTAGACACTATCTGTGGTCACCGTTACTTAGACACTGTTTTTATTCAACAATAAAATACAACGAAGGGTTTACCCTGCCGTGATAAATATGTATATAGTAATCAATTTAATGCATTTATCTTTGATTTAAAATTCTTGCTCATCCACTAAGTTATTTTACAAAGGAGGTTTGAGAAAGCGAATTACGAAGCCTCAATTCTCCAAGTAAAAAATCGAGAGTAAAATAGATGCAATATCCAATTTCCTTCAAATAAGAGTGGATATATCGACACTTGTAATTATGCAAATATCGAGTAGCCAACGCTAACGAGTGACACGGTTTAACGACTCCTGCGCACTCGCTATAAAACACAACGGAACCAAGTTTATTATGCATCAAATTAATTGTCCATTACGTTTACTTTCAATATTGTGCTTTGATTTATTATATTATATGAGCTTACATATCCGTTTATTGATTACATGCCTTGAAACACGTTGCGAAAACTGCATTTTTATTTTTAAGCAAACATGTTTTTTTGCCACATAAAGCAAAGCGACATAGCAACAACGACAACCTAAAATGCAATAATTACAACTTATCTAAAATAAGTTCAGTAATTCTTTAAGCTTGAAATTTCGTAAATCATGCTAACTAACTTCTTTGCTTTGGTAAAAAATATAATCTTTTAAAGTTTAGTAATATATAGAACTTCTCTACTTTTCTACTTATCTAATTTCAATAAGTGTACGTAATCATAGAAAAACGACGAGTCGTAGTAAATATCAATTGATATGAATTCGCGTTTATATCCGTTTAAAAGTGCTTTATTTTATGTCACAAGCATAAACCAACGAAACAAAATATAATAAGCGACAACCAACAACAGTTGAATTAAATAATTAGAAGAGCGGGTAGTAGTAAGAATATATAGGATTGTACATATAAGAAAATTACACATAGTTTTCCTTGAAAGTTTAATAGTTACATGCCATACACATGACGTAACATACAAGTTGGGAAGTAAAAGCATATTACATAAAAATTGCATAAAACAACTGTAACCCATGTTTATAAAACGGGAAACACCAATTACTAACATTAAATAACACGACACACGCATTAATTGCAATCCGTGTACAAGAGTACAACTAGCTAATAATATAGGCTAGTGAAGGATTTACTGGCCATAAAGGAAGCTGTTATCTCTTACGGCTGTAGAAAGGTTTTATATCTTTTTTCACTTGTTTGACGTTTGTCTATGGTTGAAGATTTAATTGATTTTATCTGTGTTAAAAAAGGTTGACAGTTAACCTTGTAATTGTTTGACGAAGTTATCAAAGTCTTTATAAAACTATTTCATATTTACGTAGTTTTAATTACATTCAAATTATCAAAAATATATTAGCTCGTTTCCAATGTTTATCCTAAAATTGGAAACACTATACGGAAGGATAAAAACGCGGGAAAATGTGATATGACAGTTTCGCACTTTCATGTCGTTCAAAAAAATATTTAATTTGTCAGTTGGACGCTTTGTTTGAAGGAAATTGAAAAAAAATATGTAGCGTAAATGAGACCTGTAGCGTGGTATACTAAACACAATACGAAAAATTACCAAATTTTTACTAAAGTGCTAAACTTTAGTAAAACTCTTAACGTTTTTCTTAAAACAACACTGCGTAATATTTCGTGCCTTCCGTTTCACTCTCCTATTATTTCCGTAAAAATAATTACTTCGGAGCATAAAACCTGAGATAGCTGTGTCATAAAGCCTCGGTTTATTCGAAGCGAGATATAAATATGCGTCGTGCCTATATCCTACATTGGAGTATGAAAGCTTAATCGATCTGTCGCTGCAATACTATTTTAAAGTTGGGTACAGTCGTATTCAAATTGTTTATCGCCGTTTTTAAAGCAATTGTCTAACGCGTTATAACGTATAATAGATAATTTAACATCTACTTACATTCTATTAAATGTAATTATGCGTCATTACTAATAGTTACTCAATAATAAAATTAATTACCTTGTGCTTTAATTAATAAACTATTACTTAGCTTAAATTTATAATAAGAGATTAGACATTTATTCATTTCAAATTGAGAGTAACATATTTTTACAAAAAAAGATTTGCTGGTAGACTATAACACTACTTGAAACATGAGTTTGACATTCAACGCCATCTAGTATCGAGTAGCGCTTTACAAAGCTTTTTCTTACCTTTTGACTTTGATGATTAACTACATTTCACGAAATTGGGGCTCATTGATGTAATGGTAACTTTGTAAGGCTATTAATATACGGATCGTAGGTTCGATCCTGACTAAGCCTGAGATGTTAGAATGGAATCTAGACATGCTAAATGGAATCTAGCTACTAAACATTAAAAAAAAGTTTAAACGCGTTACTTTTTCAGTCTTCGATTTCCGAATATCCGAAGTCAATATAGATTGACAGCGAATTGCTGAGATGTAATGGTGAATGGTGATCGCCATGCTTGTCTTTCCTCCTCCTTATAAAAAATAAATAATGATAGTAAATAAGTTACTCAAGTGCAAGGTAACAACGATTTTGAATATGACCTACTTAATTTAAATGAATGTTATGTTAAAAAAAAATTTTGCTCTTGTTACAGTGTTCGGCATGGACTCCCCCCTCGGTCTTTTCCCCCCGGCATGGAGCACAAGATGTACCCTCTGATGGACGTGGAGCACCGGCCGCCGCCTCTTGACGCTCAACTCTTCACCAACGTCAAGAAGAAATGTGGGTTGCACTTGTATCCTACTCATAGTAAGTCCCTTTTATAATGTGGCCAACCTAAATGTGGTAAAATTTTAAGACTAAATCTATCTTGAAGAGACAATGTTTCATTTCAAACATTATCTGTAATACGCCCGCTTTATACAAAACAATAATAATTACATAGGTATAGTATAGTAGCAATTATAACAATGATTATTATAGGTACTTACTAATAATTGTATGTACACCCAAAACCCTACGAACGAATGTAAATAATCAAGAGTCTCTAAAGACTTATAAATTATAAATTACACTTATAAATGTCAATAATAAAATATTAAAGCTTTAAATGTATACTACATATTACACAACAGAGAAGCTAAAAAATAACTACCCCTATTTTTTATTGCAACTTTTTAATTATTATAATGTTAAATACTGTCTGTAGTTTACGCGAGTAGTACACACTTAAATAAAACACTTACGGTTTAAAACGCGATATATATTACAAAAAAATATTATATAAGTTTAACTAATATATATCGCGTTTTAAACCGTTAAAGTGTTTTATTTAAATTATTATAATGATTGTTTTACTTTGTACAAATTGTAATTATCATTGTGCCTGTATTGTAGCCCTAATGGTTTGCGCATTTCGGTAAAATTTGATAATGATCTTATTTGACATTAATACAAAAATAACAGCTTCATATAGCTGTCACGCACAAATATTAAAAAATTAAATATTATAAGTAAAAGAGGGCTTTTCTAAAAGTATATTAAAGTATTGTTCCCTTTCTAAATAAATCTAATTTGCACGTAAAAACTAGCATATTACACGCTGTGTAGCCTAACTTATTATTTTGCATCTGACGGAAAGCATGACGAATTCATTTTGTTTTCGTTAATAATCGAAAAGTGGCGGTGCGCGAAATCTAGAAATATCGTTCAATTAAAAGTAGGTTGGCCACAAATTTACGTGTTCTTATATTGAAGCCTATAATGGAGAAAGTTGTCGTCTTATGTTGACAGTATGTTAGCGATGTTGCGAAGTAAGCTCGATCAAACAATAGTCATTATGCAGCTAATAATAGCGTACGAGCTGCAACCGTGTCTCGTCACACATCTATTGTCTCCCGCCGTATGTTTATTAAGACGATCTGATATCGTATCGTAGGGAACAGACGCCGTCTAACGTATGCCCACAATGGTCCACTGTCAGGCTCCACACACAATGGCTCCGATCGATTAGCACCCATCGTGCCGACGTCACGTGCAGAGCTAACGAGCCCTTATTTGGAAATGCCTTTATCTACTCGCTGTTAAGGGCATTCCCGTTCGATCTTTTTTATGATAAAAGAGAACACACAAGCTGTACACTTGATGGAAGGTGGACCTCAGCCATATAGAGTAATAGAGTAAAATCTTCGATCCTATCTAAGTTAACGTGATCCGACGAAATTATAGAGCCATAGTTAGGGCGACGTCGCCGTATGTTCGTTCTTTTTGACAGAAACGCCTTAATAGTCGCGTGCTCGCGTCGAATTAATGAGGGATCGCGGCGTGTCGCCGCAACCCGCTCATTTCGGTCGTGTGTCGACCGGCTTCGAGTTATTGCTCAACCGAAACACAGTTATTAGATAGTTGTGCCGCATTACCCAGGCAATGCCGTCGCGGCCGCGGCCACACGGCACATGTCGTGCACCGCTACAGTCTGCATTTTCACCCGCTGCAAACTCCCGCAACATAATTAACCGATTTGTACACGAAATTCCTCTATTAACAGTTATATTTCTTCCTCAGGGCGACCGAAGGGACAACACAGCGCGCCCCGCGGCGGTCCTCCCCGCTCGTGGACAAACGCAGAACTCACAGAAGCATTACAGCACGTGTGGAACAAGAAAATGACGACGAGTCAAGCGTCGCGAATATTTGGCATCCCATACAATTCGCTGCTCATGTACGTCCGAGGGAAGTATGGCAAGAGCCTAAAACTGGAGCAGTTAAGGAAAGACTGTATAGGTGGGCCGCTAGAGGTGTTAAATTTGAACTCGGGTAACAACAACAACAATCATCCATCGAGCAAACACAGCGTGAAAGAGGAACAGCACCAGAACGCGGGACAGCGGCCGGCCAGCTCAGAGCCAGACATCTCTTCGAATCCAATGTTTAATCCGTTTCAGCAGGGCTTCTATCCAGAGTTCCCTCCCGGTTTTCCTATGCCACTGAATATGCTTCACCTGTTACCGCCGAGCGATAAGGCCAGAGAACTGTATCAGTCCATGCCAATGGCGTTAGATTCTCTCTCCGGGGTAGCGAAGGAAGAAGATTGCAAGAGTGACCGGTCGAAGGAGAACTCTGCCGACGAGGAGGGGGACACGTATCGGGCACCCTCACACCCGTCACACCCCCCGGACAACCGCACTCTCCTACATCACAACGGACAGGACTAAACCTCTCATCTTCCTCATACCTATTTCTTTTCTTAAGATCGGTTTGAATGAACGGTCTAACTGAAACTCTTTTTGTGTACCGAGATTCAATAAACTCGTGCAATAATAAAGATGATACGTAAACTGGGTGCACTTCTAGAATTTCAGCTCGACTCGATAAAACGGGGTTGGATGATCTCGCGGGTTGTCCGCGGACATCCGAGTAGAAATTAGTTGAATTTATATTTAAAGATGTGTTAATATTGTAAATGTATTTAATTCGCGTATCGAGGGGCGATATTTATTGATCCGAGTGTGCAATAAGTGCGAGAGGCGTCGCGATTGTTATCGCCGGTTTATTGTTGACATTCCATTCTGACATTCCATTTTAATTATTTCTAGATAATATTCTTCATATCATCCTAGATTATGATTTTTACTGTATAGTATTTTAACGTATTCTTGCCTGTAAATTGTGTTATCCCAATGTACATAATATTATGTTGAATGTGCGAGTTGACTCCTACATTTTCACCAAAGTTTGTAAAATATCTCGTAACGATAGTTATTATTCGATAAACAATTTTAATTGTAAATAGTTATTGTAAAATTTATGGGATATTAAATTGAATTAACCATTAATTAAGGGGACATCTAAGTGTCTAAAATGGTAAATAGTAGTTTATTTGTAATTGTTGTAGTATTAGTGAATGAAATCGGTGAATTGCTAGGCTGTCATGTGTGGGAAAGTGATGCACGAGTTCATGGGGGTTGTCACTCGCGACGCACTAGTCACAAAAACCGGTAAACCGTAAAACGATTGTAAAATAGAGGCGGTTCGATTCAATCAGATCACAAATTATAGGTTATGTCATGACGAGTAACCCGAGGAGATAGTCCGTGCAACGTACGGCGACGTCATGTAAATGTAGCGAGCTTTGAGCCCGATACCGATGCGGAAATCGTGATTCCGTAGCTGAGATGTGCCCGCGACTATTCGGGTGGTCTTGATTGCGTCGTGACGTAAGCATCTTTATGATTACAGATTAAAAATACAAAGAGTCGATTGTCAATAATGAGATGACGACTGTGCGCGCCCGGTCTAGACAAATAATGTATCTGCACTCAATGTTCAAATAAAAAGGAGCTTTCGAGATTTTAGTGAATAATGAAAGTTTAGAATAAAGGTCAAGGTAAAAAACCTTTCTGGCTTTAGATAATTGTATACAATCATTTCGTATTAGATATACCGTGGATTTTCACAACATACGATCGGTTACCTTATATAAGTTCGTCTGTCTTTCTCTTCACAACTGTACCCATGATTTTAAACTATATTTAAAATTAAACTGCAAATCTCTTTACCAGAAGACTGAACACTATTTATGACTCTATTTTGTATGTCTGTATATTTCACAAATCACAGAATTCAACAGCAGTGAGCACATAGTATACAGTGGTTCGTCATTAAACAATATATCATTACAGGGATTTTATATATAACGACTTGTACCTATAATTGAACGTACTTATAGTTTAAAGAACTTTGCTTTTTATCGCTGTACGCTTATTGTCACCTGTTATTCGATTCCTGATCGATTAATCGAATCGAATATTACCTAAATCACTAATCATCGCATATTATCTGTAGTGTAACATGTGCCAAAAATTTCAGCTTCATTTATGCAACAGACTCCTTCACTTCCCTCCTTTACGATGTGACTTCGCAATTCGTATTATTTTTAATTGTAATTCGTACAAATTCAGCAGTATTAGAGTGATTTTGTTAAAGTTTTAATTGAGATGTTTTAATTAAGTTTTGTTATTTGTTACGAGCGATGACGATAGGAATTTTATATTAGTATAAATCTTGAATCTCATTTTTGTTGTCTCAATTTACCAGCTCTATGACTAGACTTTTATGACTGTTAGGTCCTGTGTTACTCCCTAACTGTGTTTCTACCGATGTTGAATTTGCAGTTTTATAATTTTCGATTTTTATTATAGCAGCACCTTTGAACTACGATTTTCATGAGCCAAAATGTAAGGACGTAATAAATAGATACTTAATTATATATTGTAAGAATTTTATTATTTCTTAAGTTGATATTATGTGATCGCATTAATTTTAGTAGAATTTCAAGATATTTAGTTCCTTCAATTTTGTTACGAGTATTTATAAATTGTAATTAAAATAATTTAGCTTTTAGAATAATTGTTCTCTCCGATAAAGAGTATAATTAAATATAAGTTATGTAATTAATTTTTTGTTGTATTTTGCCTAATATTAATTACAAATTAAATTAAAATAATATCGTTACATTAGAATGTAAAAAAGATTATCTATTTGATCTTAAAATAATACGAAAAAAATATTTATGTTCTAGTACCATTCTATCGTGTAATTTAAATTGAGATGATGGAGCGATGTAGTTAAATTCGTTTACGGTCACCGACGTAAAGTGTAAAAATAAAATTTCGGAATACCGTTGCGATGTTTTATTTAAAAACCTTTCTCCTGACACACTGACGACGCCTCGTAAAAACTAAGGTGACAAAAAAAAAACAACACTTGGCAGCAAACCTTTCAATGAGGCAACAGCGATAGATTAAACTTTTAAAATTAAGACACTACTCTTCGTAGTTTTGTAATGTAATAAATGATGCATAGGTTTATAAGCGGGTTGTAGATATAAGCCACTACTTTTTGGGCATATTCACACCAGTAGCTTTTTTGTGATATGCAAATATTAATATTATGAAGTTTAATGTTCTATCGCATTAGGAATATCCTGTGATTGATAAGGTACAATAGTTTGTAAATAAATAATTTTTATTATAAACAAAAGGGCGAAATTTCTATAATTCATTCCTATAATTCCGGTAACACTACTATTAGTAACTATGAGTTTACAAAAGCGCCATCTATAGTCGAGTAGCGAAGTATTATTAAAAATAAATTGATGGTAACATTATACAGTGATAACCCTTTTTAAAGGGGATTTTTTATTAAAAGAAGTTTTATTTAAAGCAAAAAACATGTTTATATGTTGCTCGCAAACGAATTAAATCAATATTAGCTAATGTTAAGTAAAAATTATTCTAGATCCTAAGATCCTACAAATCTTGGCAACTTAAATTACTAGAACGAGTGTACTGTTATTAAGTAATGCATAGAAATAAAATCATATTAAACTCATAGCTGTTTATTAAATTAAATACAATTTATAAATAGATAACTAGATAATCTAACGGTGGTTACAAATATACGTTTTCATCCTCTTCACGTTGGAACTCTAGTCAATTTGACAATTCGCTATCACATACACTTTGATATTATTGAAGTATTTCCAGCAAGTAAAAGAATATGACATAAACAATAGATTTACATGTTTTAGAAACACTGCGACAAATTTTATAGCTTTGTATTTCTAAAATGATCAGGACGTGGTCTATTAAAAATCAAAGAAAAGATACAGAACAGCAGAATATATTTGTCGCTTATAAAACGTACTAAAAGCGAAATTAATTTTTATAAAAATTTAAAAAAAAAGCGGTCGAAAAGGTGCTTCTATGAAAAGGATTTAGTCAATTACATAACGGCGGTAGGAGACCCACCTACTTCATTTTCAATTTCAAGTTATAATTGTTACATCAATTTTTATTTTATTTTAATCGTACGCAGGCATCGCGAGTTCCCATCTTTTTTTTATTAATAACGGTTGCGTTGTTTTCTCTTGAAGAAATTGCAAATTCACTTTAACAATAAGTAAATTATTAAATTAGTGTTATTTTTAATAATGCAATTTGCTTGACCGTTACAAACAGATAATTAAAGGGCACAATAGAATTATAATCAAATCATGCGCACTACGTAACGTCGTTTCATACAAGACCAATAATGGAAAAGCAATAACCGTATTCGATTAATTTTCTTCATTTTCAATTAGTTTTCGATTCTTTATATTAAAAAATAAAATTAATTTGAAAGTAAAGTGAATTTGAAAGCACAAGCCCTTTGTAGTTTGCATGTTTTAATTCGATTGATCAAACTTTTCCAACATTATAAGTTCGACTCGATTTTCTTTTATTATATTGTTTACAATACAAGTGATTACAATATTGTTTATTTTTTAATGAACCATAATAACAGACGAGATAATAAATCGACAAATACGTGTTTTTGCTCTTTTTTTGTAATTTGGTAGATTAATAAAATGTTATTCTTGAACTTCCTGAATCTTCAAACATGTTCTTTTTAAACACACTTATAAGTAAAAATACATGTTTAACAAAAACAGCGTATTACACAAAGGGGCTTACTTAGAAATATAATGGATACAAACATGGAAAGTTGCCTTTAATTCAAAACCCTATATCTCATTCCATAAGATTCAAATTAACATGTTTCGTAATATAGTGGCAGTGTTGTGTTATAGTATTTAATTAATTTTGACTAATATAGAAATATTAAAATAAATTACTACTAAAAGAGTAAGAAATAGGGATCTTTACAAACGACCCTTTCCTTACCATTTTAAATTAAGATATTTAATATTATGATTAAGTTTCCCAAACCTAAGAAAATTCGAGTAATCTATTGCTAAATATATATAAGGTTCCTAAAAATAAATAAAGCAGAATTGGTAATATAACATGTAAAAATAGATGGTATGGCGCGTTATGAATTTTATTCAAAGAATGGATAGACATAAGTTATTACATGAAGATATAAAGGTCCAATTTTACAATTTCGAAAATGCAGTGCTCAAATGAAATACCTTTAATAAATTAGCATTTTATTCAATTCAAAGACGGGCGTATGACATATCTGAGGGAAGTTTAATAAGGTTTAACGAAGGTACATGGATCTTAGGACCTGAATCACAGAAGTGGGATTGACTTGTCAATGCCCCAAGTAATGCTGTTATTCAAGGTTCAAATTTTTTTCTTTTGTAGATGTGTCTCAGATTCCAAGATCCGCGTATCCGGCCATTTGACCAATGACTAATAACGCCTGGAGATATTTGAAATAGATATAAGATGTAAATGAACGAGGTTCCATGTTAAATCAGTGTGTATAGAGAACACGGCGAAAACCCAAGGGCGGAAATAAATATTATATATGGTTGAAGCGAATATTTACAAAACTCCTATAATACGCTTATCACAGACCAGTGCCAAAGGCTATCTACAATTGTTTATGGACACACTCAAATACGTTAATACCGTGTGAAATCCGTACAAAAACAATATTTATTTCGTAAATTCCTGTTATTAACTTTATATAATGAGGTACCAATACTGTCATATATAAGAATGATTCTAAATAGAAATTAATATAGGTGATGATTCATATTTTTTGTAATTTCATTCTTCCGCAAAAGTTTTCTTGTACCCAAAGTCTATTAAGTACGAATTTTGCTAACCATAAACCGAATGTTTTTATGAAAAGTAAAATACAAATTATTCTGTCGGTACAAATGCGGCATATTCAAAGTCATGAAAATAAAAATCCTAACTATATTTTGACTACATTGGTTATTTCGTCTCACGGTAGATATTCGTTTACGTACTCAACCAATGACGTCACCTTATACAATAAATGGTAAGTAACATTAAAACTAGGCTATACATTAATATAATTACTTGGTATCCATCCTTGCCTTCTGTCAAATTGCGTCCGGACTATATTTTTTGTTAAATTACCCACATTTTGAATGCTTTGGACGGCTTTGGATTCGTTCTCACCTACATAACAACCAACAGGAATAAATATTGTAAACTATTGTCATTTGATTATATTGCATTTTGACAGAAAACGCAGGAAACGGCGATATCTTTTCTCCCGTTCTGATTTGCTTATTAAAAAAATAGAATTTACCTAGCTTCAAAGTCAAACATTCTTTACAGATATACATACATATTGTGTCATATGGAGCATAAATTTGCTCCGGCTTTATAGCATCAAAATAATTAATTCTTAATCAAATTATAAATGAAAATTATCTACGTATTAGAGAATTAAGAATATTTAATAAAAAGCAATTAAATTATAAATCATTTCTAAAAATTAACATAGACGCCACCTAGGTAACAATTGAGTAAAAGCTACAGGCTCTGAGAATGGTCGTTGTAGAATGATATCCCTTAGGTCACAAGAATCGTGTTGTAGACATCAAACATAAAAAAAAAATAAAACGGCAAAGGTTGACTCATTTCATTTTCTTCTTCATTCTTAGTCAGATTTCATAGGAAACTGTTTTCCGTATACTATATCATTGTATTATTTTATACTGACATATAACTCAACGACCCGTGACGCACGTCAAACGAAAATAATATCGGTTAATAAAGTAAGAAAAATTCTATCCAGCTTTTGTACTCTCAACGTCTTACGCGCTACCTTCCCCACCTTATGAGAAAAATAAATAATTCGGTACACAGCTTGTCATTAGCATAGCGTTTAACTTGAAAAACTGTTTTATCGACGTTACAAGAAAATAATTTATATACAGTGGAAAAAACAATCTTCTTAATAAACCTCTTCTGAAGTTAAACACTGAATTTATTTTATTGGGTAAAATATATTTCATTTACTGTGTTGTGTCATTTATTTAATATGAGTAAAAATTTACTCTACGCTCTACCAACATTAAAGTAATTTATTATCCCATTCAAAACAAAATCCCGCATGACTACCCTCACTTTTTCGCACATTGTAAATACCTATTGACAATACTCTGTAATTCGTGTGGGAGGTTTGTTCTATCGTATTTATCTTTATAAGCCTGTACAGTAGTATTGAGCTGCGAATGTAAATCTAGGAGCGTCTCTAGCCCGATAGTGCGCAGACGCTTTGCATTGTTATATAAAATGCTAACTAAATCAGTCTTGTTTATCAGTACTTTTTCTGCATCTGGAAAAAAAGAAAAAATGTAACTACCCACATCTTGGAATTTCAAATACCTATACAATAGCTACGTGCCCTATACAAATAGAAATAGTCAAACTACTACTAACTAGTAGTATAAAATCAGACTGTTTAGCCTCAAAACTACATACCTTCACTAGATGCTTCGTGACCGGAATTTCGTTTCTTTGGTGAAGTTTTCGTAATTTTGTCTGACGATTTAGCAGGGCTGTATGTAACAAAAAACTTTTTTATCTAAAAAAAAAAAACACTTGACTAGTTAAGCAAAGCAGATCCATTTTATCCGTTGATATTTTATAACATAAAAATGTTTATACATTATTTTACTTGTTATATCATATATGCTTATCTCAAACATACAGAGCACAGAAGTCTCATCAATTATTCGCCCACCAATGAATCAGTGAAACAGCCACAGAAAATTGTCTGCTCTATACTTTAAACGGGGTTTCACACATGCTCACGAAGTAAACGTTTAAAATGTATTAAATTATGTAGAAGTGATTGTAATCATACAATAAAATAAAATATTCTAAATGTAACTCTACCTCAGGAGATGATTATCCGCATGCGCGATTTGTAGGGAGTCATCGGCCGGCCTCCTCAACGGCTCGTCGTCTTCTGAGCACGTGGATGTGGCGTCGCCATTTGGTAGCGGTGTCGACGTTATCGGTTTGTTCTCTTTACTCTCTTCATCTGTTATCGTGTTATTGCTATCTTTGAAGCTCTAGAACAGGTATATAAGACATTAATATCTCAAACATATACACTTTCCAATGACAAATTTCACTCATATACAGTTAATTACCAATGGGATTCGTTTAGTAATTGAGAAAAAACAGAGGCCAGAATTTTAGGATGAAAGCTGACAATTGTGTGAAGAATTTATACTAGGCGTCAATATTAATAAAAAAAACTAAAATTGGTCCTACAAGCCGGATCAATATCGCTAGGCAATTTAGTGGTTTAAAAATGTTTTTGAACATTCAAACGTAATTTTGTCGCTTTAACTAATAAAACATTAACAAGACTTAAAAAAAAATATGTAAATAACATACTTTCTGAGAAGTCCTAGGCCGTTTGACGACCAAACCCTTAGACCACGCGTTGATACGTCTCCGCTTCCGCTTAGCACTTTGCGATTCACTCTTATCCGCGTTGTTCGGGGTTCTCGCCGATTTACTGTCGTTGTGCGATGAATCAACTCCTGTAGGTAATTAAATATATAATCGTGTATGAGCGATGAAGAGAAAAGATCGGATATGATTATCATACTCAGAATCAAAATAGTTCAGTTTAATTAGTCAAATATGTATAGTAAAGTCTATAGACAAACCTATTTTGGTCTATCTGAGTGATAAAGCAGTATTCCGGACATATGCAGAATTACAAGGTAAAGTAAGCTCCAACTAAATCTTAGGCGAGTTGAAGTATAGCTATACAATATGTAAGTTGTAGACACAGTTGAGTAGTGCAGTCGTGTTTTCTTTCTAATTTACCTCATAATAATACAGAGTACGAACTACAACGGATAAGCCATGCGATATAAGCATGAATTTCAAGTCTATTCTATATAGTAAGAGATAACTGACGCAAATTAGTGGCAGTGTAGATGAAGTCTGGCAGATCTGTATCGTTGTTTCCGTCTTCCTGCCTCCGCCGAGCGATCTCTTGGCACTCCAACTCAAAGTCACTGTCCATTTCCACGTCTATAAGCGCATGCGCATGATCTCGCAGAGAACACGCTTCGTGACGTATCTGCTTGTCCGATGAAGTCCTAGCGATGGTACAAAAGAAGATTAAACCCAGACAATTCAATTACTTCATGTGTTCTATAAATAATACAGTATGTAGAGAGGAATGGTCATTTTCAATGAGGGATTTACATAACTATAATATTAAAATTAGAATCTAGTTCTAAATTCTACTTCCTATATCAACTACATGTTATACAAGTTAAAATCTATGATACATAACGTAATACTTACAAACATAACGATATTTTTTAATAAGATAAATAATACATGCGCGCAAAACTACAGACAAAAGGTTAGAGGCTGTATATACATATATTTAAATATTTTACATGATATTACGATACAATATTCTCAGTATTACTTTTCATACCTACAAACCCCTCTAGCCCTTTGCACGGCACCGGAAAGTATGAAAGAAAAACAGTGTTAGTTGATGATAGTGCATTAATATGTACGTATTCCAAGGCATAAGTATCTTATACGCGAATACTTATCGAAAAACTGTAATCAGAAAGACAAAAATATTGGTTTGATAACAAAGACATCTTATTAAAAAACCACTTTCAAATGAATTATTATTTAATTATTGTTTATAGACGCTGGTTCTTGAAAAATTCATATTATTTCACGTTTATTAAATTTTTAACATTAAAAAAAGTACGATTTATTACCATATTCGTACCAACCGTAGAATAGTTAATACTGTTTATAGATTGTGACCTTTGGAATAAATACATCAATGTGAGGTTAATTAAAGGTATGATCGTTCAATAAATGACCATTTTACTATAGGTGAAATGAAATTGATATAACAAACTTGTGGATCCTAAAGCATGATGTCTCAGGTAAAAGCTGTAAGTTAAATAGAACGTAATGCGCACGCGTCCGATTGCCTACTATTATATACAAGACTTGCTGTGCCAGTGAGTCCGTCCGCGAAGAATAGTTATTTTGGGAGTCAAAATTTGTGCTTGCAAGTCATTTTTACAAATAGACATATAATATTGCGGATGCTTCTAAATTATTCAACCTTACAAAATGGTGGTCTAACCAACACAAAAACAATGTTTCAATTCGAACCAGTAGTGATTGGCGTGTTGAAACTAACATACAAACCCTTCAGCTTTATAATACAGACAAACTTGTAAGTTCTAACGCGCCGTTCTAAAGAATGCTGATAAACAATAACAACGTAATTATTTGAAAGAAAATTGGGACGCGGCGCATAAAATTATATGACAGCGTGTGAAAGAGACAACAATACATTTAAGTTATAGTGAAAACAGCGTGAAGCTTGATTAATAACTTTTCTTTTAAAAGTCGACTCACTTGTCAGGATTATATTCGAGCGCGTTCGCACAAATGAGATCTACGTCGTCGAGGAACTCCTTAGCGCAGTTATATTTGTGCATGTCCACTTTCGTCATCATGGTCTCTAGATCCATCGGCTGCTTGATAATCTCCAAGTAATCAGTCACCTATAATGATACGAGTAATCTTACGTACCTCTCCTCTACCGTACTCTTGCATAAGTAAAACTAACAAGATTTGCTTGTCTGTATTTGTCATGTATTTTTAAATTCTTAGATCTTTTTAAAACATTAAGTTTAAAACACGTATATTAGTTAAACTTATTTGAAACTTATTTTTAACATTTTCCTGAGCGACCGTCCGTCTCCCCCAACCACGGCTGCTGCAACCATCCAAACGTCGGGCAAAGTTAAAAAAAATTTCAAATAACTTTATCTAATTCCGTTTTCCGTTAGTGTTTTATTACTTAACTCGGTAAACTATATACAGTATTTTCTTAGATACTATTAATTAAGATTAAAATGCTGTTTTTTTTAAATTGTGTAAGAGTAAGCAGTTGACTGTGCCTCGCCTGATGTTAAATGTAAGCACTGCTTAAGTTGTAACACGATTATCTGTAAGCTACCTATTAATAGGCTTAAAATTGGTCCAAATATTCGCTTGGAAAGACTGACATGGGGAGAGAGTTCCAATCATTGCAGGTTTAATAAAATTTCAAATAATAAATGCAAAATACACTTTACAAAAAGAAACTATTGTTTGTTTATAAAAAGGGCTCACCTCTTCCAAATCAACAGGCTTAGTGAACTTATAGAAACGTCTATTAGAAGCCAGTTTCCGGCAAATGTCTCGCAGGAATATTCTCAACTCCCGCAACTTGTAGTCCTCTTTCCGCTTCCGGCGAGACATCTCCTCTTCGCTCTCTCTCGGTGGGGGTGGGGGAGGTGCTATAATATATCGAAAACTGAGGGTCGTAATACACACGTAAATAAAAAAAGCTTTTAAGCCGAAAACCTAGATAAGGTGCCAGTTTGTAAATTCGTTGGATTGTCTATAATATAGAAGTATATTATTATTGTATAATGACATATACATAACGTAAATTATATGCTTTAAGGGGCGAAATTCATTCTTTCTGTCCGCTCTTTGCAACAAAACAAAAGTAACAATAATTGTAAAGGTTGATAGTGGTTACAACAAAAGTATATAAATGTGTATATAATATTATGAACAACACATACAAATACATATTGTGTTATAGTTAGCATACATACCTCTTGGTAGTGGAGGTGGTGGTTCGTTACTTTCCACAACTGGCGGTTGTAAAGGTACCTCAGTCATGAGCGGTTTCAGAAAGTTGACTATTTCCGTGGAGGTCGGATCCCGAACTCGAAATATACAATTCTTGTGACGCTGGAATATATTGTCACGAAGCTGGGGAATGGTGAGAAGTCTATATAATATTGTTTAAACATATTTAAACGTAGACATGTTTTGCAACAAATGGCACATTTCAGAATATAAATATCCAGTTTAGGTTAATCTGGCAAGGCAACAAATAGAAAAGAAAAGAAAGACAGACAGAAAAGAAATAGTTTTTGTTACCTACACCTATTTATAAATCTACTCACCAAACTAGCCATGTCTGGCAGATCACAGTCCCTGCTGGTAGCCAGCAAGAGTGTATGATCACCAGCTGCTCGCGACCTCCACAACTGCACTAGTAGGGACATGCTGGCGTTGCTTAGATCATTCCAAACTTCCAATAGATCGCGAATGAATAACACGCAGCCTCGATCCGCACGACGACATTCAGAGAACAACTATAAAAAAAAAATAAAGCAACATAGTAAAATTAAAATTGAGAGGCTCCTTGGGAAGCAACATATGGGTAATATCAATGGGTCTATTTTGGATTTGAACCCCTGTCGGGTCTAAAATATTGAACTTCATCTGGAAACCTGGGTGGTAGGAATATCGAAAAACTTCGAAATCATATATGAAAAGTCACGTTTTCACAGTTACACTCCGTGGATTCCTCGAATATAGAAAAAGCAAAATATCTCGATATTCAGATGTAAATACAAAGTATTTCTACCTACATCAAGTAAACCCGTATTGCCTAAATAATATATTTCAAAAAAACTACTAAGGCATGTAACAATATATTTGTCTTTGATTTTCTGACAAGAAAGCTTTATTTCAATTTACTGTTTTCTTATCTCTTCCGCCTACACTGACCGTTTACACAATTAGACAATTTTTAAGTTTCATTAGATGTTTGTCAACTTTTACCTTTTATCAAACAGTGAACTTAATAAATAATATTTCATGTATAAAATATAATATCTTAACTCACCGACATAAGCGCCTGTTCTTGTGAAAAACCCAATGAAGAATGTAATGTTGCCAAACTCAACTCTATCACTGTAAGATTTTCCAATTCCGCAAGCAATGCCGGGGCTATGTGTGTGTCTGCACACTCACCGCTAATAAGTAGCACGTTCGACGATGGCAACTCTTTGGTTCTGAAATATTATCATTATTTTTACATTGTAAAACTCAAAATATTGTATTGCAATAATTGTAAAAATAGTTTGATTAAACTTATGAGATACAATATCACAGCCCAAACACTGTTGAATGTTGAATTTGGTAGAAGACATGGTATTTGCAGTACCTGCTATTTGACATAGGTGGCAGCATATTAGCAGCGCTGCGAACCTGTGCAGCCAGCAACGGTCGGCAATATTGCGGCAAGCGACGCGCAGCAGCTGGGGCACTGCGAGAACCCGCCGCTACGATACCGTCCATTGCTGATTCTAGATCTGTTTGGGTCACTTCAACCTTTGAACAAAAAATATAACATTTGCTATTACAACATAATTGAAAAATAGAGTTACTGAATTTTGACAGAAATTCCGGGACTATTATGTAGCTTTCAAAACGTCAGAAGGCAATAAAAATATTATTTTTTAAACATTTTTTTATGTGTGCTACTGGCGTTAAACAGAAATAAATTTTAAACTATAAGAAAATTAAATCTACTCCCAAGCACATATAAAATACCATAACCAAAAAAACGCGCCAAAATAAAGAACAATGAAATATTAGCTTACATTTTTCGGATCTATAATGAGTGCGTGTTCACTTTCGTACACCTGAGGATATACACGCCGCAGCGCTTTCAGTACTGCTTCGGAACAGAGCGCCTTCAAATCTGAACCTAAAATACAAGACATAAGTTTCAATTTTCGCTGACAAAGAACATTTCTTTATCTTTAAAATAGACAGAGTACTCTTACTATGTATGTGACACAACTGGGATTAAAACAGGAAATCTACTGTCTAGACGTGAAAAGAATAGACAAACATGTAGAATATGTAATGCAAAAACTGTGTAATTTTTTTGGTATTATGAAAACGTGTGTGTGTTCACCTCTCGTGCAGTGTAAGTTCAACCTTAAAGCTTAGTTTTTCACGTATATATTCAATATTCCCTTGTTTCTCCCCAGGTAAATGAAAAGAGGGAACGAACTACCGAATATCCTCATAGGAGGTACGAGTATCTATAGCCTTTTGCAAAAACATATTGTATGATACAAACCTCCATAACCATTGGTGATTTCAGCGACGTGATTCAAAGTCTCTTCGCTGGGTTTCGGAGACCAATCCTTGGTGTAGATGTCGAGAATATCCCGTCTGGCGGCTGCATGAGGTGGTGGAAAATGTAACTCTCGGTCAAATCGACCTGCACGACGCAATGCTGGGTCCACTGCATCAAGACGGTTAGTAGCTCCTATCACTACTACTTCGCCCCTAAAAATAATGAATTATGAATGATATTCTCGCTTTGAGAAAACCAGATCTTAGTATACGCTATACTATGCCTACTACATAGATATGTACGACTAAATAGTTATAATAAGGCTGAACTCCCCGTGACTACGACTGCTGGAAAGCATTCCAAACGTCGGGCCGTAGTTAACGCCGTCCTAGGTAATCTGGCATTATATGTCCCAGATAATTACGTCTGGAAGCGCCATCAGCCTCCGCTACTTCGCGCCCCAGCCGCAAGGACTAACTTACTTGCCGAGGCACCGCTAACTCGTGCAATGCTTGCAGTTAGTCACCTACATCGAATCCACGATGTTATGCACAGTCCGTTGAGTGAGTTGGCAAGACACGTAGCTAACTTTATTAGCACATAAGTGTTGAAGCTGCATTGGGGGTATCCCTGTCAGGGCTTCATATATTTTTGTTCAATAAAAAATATAATTTTTTAATAAGTTATCTAATAGATATCGCGTTTCAAACCCTGAGAGTGTTTTATTTAAGTGTGTATTGTAAACTACAGACAGTATTATGGGTGGTTGACAGTATAATGAGTGAATCCATATTTAATTTACGTTTAAAAGCAGAGTTTCATACGGTAACTTCATTTGTCAGTTCATTTTGTAAGCCTTGTTGTTTGTGGATTTCTTTAAAATATTATAATACACTGTTTAAAGCATAGCCGACCGATTGTAAATAGTATTTTTTTTCTTTTTTTTATTACCTTTCACAAACGCCGTCCATTTCGGCTAAAAGTGTCCCCACAACACTCGTATGGACCTGCTCTTGACGAACACTCCTCACTGGTGCAAGGGCGTCGATTTCATCAAAAAATATTATCGATGGTTTCATCTTGTTTGCCTGTGAATACAATTCTTACAATTTACAATACTCAATGGTATATAATATTATTTCTAATATAACAGAAGTTTTTATTCCGAAGCAGATTGAAATCTGCTGAAACTGAAAACTTACAGTATAATAATGTTTCTGTCCGTAGTTACATGACGAGCTCATTGGTGTAATGCTGGCATATAGAGCTCATAATCAACAGGTTTTATTGTATAACAATTGAAGCAATTATTACACAAGAAAACCTTTATAATCTATACAAATAAACAAAATTGGAGTATCTGTTTGTAACATTAAAATAACCGCTTTTTTAAATCTTGGATGTATACACGGTACAAATACCAAAACAACATTTTTATTTTTTTTTGTCTATCTGTTTGTTCCGGCTAATCTCGGAAACGGCTAGACCGATTTTCACGGAACTTTCACTGACAGATATCTGATGTAATAGGGAGTAACATAGGCCACTTTTATTTTCGAACAAGTGCAAGTCGGACACGCGCACGAAGGATTCACTGAAACGGCTAGAGAAATATGTATGAAATATCCATTTCTTTTTAATTGATCTAAAAAAACCTCCGCGACACTATATTATATCTATATTTTACAATTCATTTACAATAACGACGGGGCGCGGACGAAGTCGCTGGCACAGCTAGTTTAACATATAGCCTTACTTAGTGTATGTAGTTTTTTTTGCATATGTATAAGGTCGTTAATCAAACAAGTAAAGATGTACTTATCACTTATTTACAACTTACTTGTTGAAATAATAACTTGAGATGCCGCTCACTCTCCCCGACCCACTTCTTCAAGCAATCGGCACCTTTCCTCATGAAGAAGGCAACCTTCCTTCCTCCAATTAAGCTGCACTCGTTTGCCAATGCACGAGCTAGCAACGTTTTCCCCGTACCAGGGGGACCATGGAACAACACGCCCTTAGCTGGACGAGTCTTAAATCTTTGGAAGAGGTTCGGATACATGAGGGGAAATAGGACCATTTCGCGGAGACATTTTATGTGCTCTTCTAGACCTCCCACCTGGAAATTAATAAATAATAGATATTTGAGATAGTGTAAGATTTAAATAAAAAAAACGAGTCGGTTTTAAAAACCTGCTTTTCATTGATAAGCTCACATAACAAATATAAAAAAAAGATGATAAGAGGATCGGACAGTAACCAAGTTAAAATCTTAGATCTAATTGGATCAAAGAAAATTAATTATTGAATATTAATTATATCATTTTTAAATAAAAGAATTAAAATGTTGCTATTTATGTCATTTCTTATCTGTACTGAAACACCAATATTGCGTAACGTCATTCATGAGCAATGAATGAATGCACATTAATGAATAAGCAATAATGACGTTTTGGCGGTATTTTTACTAAACAATATACTGTTTTAAGTAATCGAAATAAGTATCCATGAAGATTAATTTAAAATATTGTTTCATGTTTTGTTAGATGCACTAAAAGATAGACATATTATATATATGTTGCCTCTAACCAAATATACACTTGCTGCGAATACTTACCGATGAGAACCGCACGCTGCCATCCAATGCAATAGGTTGTATATCTCTTAATGCTCTATCAGTCTTCTTTTCGTCTGTAGCTTTGGTTTTTTGTCTATAACAAGTATTCAATTTTATGTTAAAAGTCACTAAAACTGTACCTAATAAACTGTATTTAATGTTTAAGACAAGAATTTAATTTTCAAAGAAATATGGAAAAAGAAAATCATTGTTAATTTGTTTACTAATTTAGGTAAATACATCGACACCCCCCTCCCCCCACACACACACCTCTGAGACAATTTTTAATACCTATCGAATACTATATATACTCAATACTGTACACGAAATTCATTTCTCACCTGCCCTTAGTCTTATTCTTCATTGAGACATTGAGATCTTCTTCTGTGTCAGAACTCGTGCTGCTAGTGCTGCTGCAGCTTGATGGCGATTGTGCTGCAATAAAAATCAGCCTCTTTAATTATGTTCTTTTTTATTATATCATTCAAATTTCCCTATGGGTTAAAAATCTGTTTTACATATTAGATTTGTACTCACATCGAATCGTTTTCCTACGCAATGATTTTGGTTTCCGCTCTCTTAACGAATACGGTTTCTTCCTAATTGTGAATGAATTACCTGAAATAATAATGTTTAACAAACTTAGGGTAACAAAAGTGAAAACTGTCCAATTGGTTGAAAAGTGTTATTAAAAAAAACACCCTACCCATCTCTTTCTGATTTATATAACATATTATACCTAATTTACTAGAAATGCTTCTAAAAAATACTTTTGAACAGGTTTGATACAAAAGCATAAAAGTCTATCCCTTACTTAAAGAAAACGCCTAAATTAATTTTGATAGTACACTACCACAACTTTTGCTCCTTTTCTTACCAAAACTAATAAAAAATTAACGGTTTAAACGTGAAATATACTTGTTAGTCCCGTGACCATAGCTGCTGCAAAGCAATTGAAACGTTACGTCGTGGTTGAAACAAATTCAAAATAAGTTTAACTAATATATTTCGCGTTTAAACTGTTTTATTTAAATGTATACTACTCGCGTAAACTACAGACAATACTAATCGGCTCATTATGAAACACGAGGTGTTATCAGACGTATGTTAAGGTATTAAAATTTTTACATACCTCTACCACGGGTCTGTCTCGGCGTTAATTGAACGAAGGCGGGCTTACGAGGCACTGGCGTGCGATTAGATCGACGAGGTCTAAATGTTATCTCACTGCCTGAATCCGATGAAGTTGACTCTGAAACTGCACCATACATCTCCATTTATTTTGTAGCTACAAACATATCACCTTAAATATGTATGTCAATAATATGGTTCATAAACAGTAAGATCAAAACAGGAAATGGGAATTACCTTAGATATTAAATGTATTTTTATCAAAATTAATAACTTTTTCGTTCGTAGTAATTAACAGAAATAAAGTCTGATGAAAATATATATATTTTTTTTAATGATAATAGTTGTCCACACATGATAACTCATGTTTAAATCCAGATGAATCCCCTACAAAATCTTGTGTTGCTTGTCTTAGGCAGGCCACAAGTGTTAATTTAATTTTATGGCTTAGCAATATGCATTAGATATTAAATACCAGAATCACGTTGATCATCTTTCTTCTGCCGTCTTCCACGGCCGCGACCTCCGCGAACTGGCTTTTGTTGGTTGCTAAAGAGAAAAAAATATATAAGTAGGCACTTTACTGAAACTTGTTCATCTTTAAGAAACAAGAAAACAAAATTTTCACAAGAAAATTAATTGTGATCAGCGGAATTTTTCGCTTTTCTACCCTACTGACATAGTGAGTTAAAAATATTGAAAATTTCCACAAAACTATCGCCTTATTGCAAAAAAAATAAATTAAATTTACCTCTCACTATCCTCATTGTTATCTTTATCTTCCGTGCTCTTCTTTTCTTCTTCTTTAATACTAACATCTGGTATGTCCACAGCAATATCCATTTTAGCAGGTTTGTTCTCAATAACAGTTTGATTATTATCATTTTCTGAATCTGACTCGGAGATGTCCTAAAATAAATAACCTCAATCAGTTTAGTTTCTTTAATTTTGGAGTTTAATTAAATACAATAATATTATGATACTAAAAGTAATAGAAGGTTTAATAGTAATAATATTCGGCTCTTTTATAATTTTAAATATAATTTAGGAACCAATTTTTGACAAACAAAACAAAACTTGAATATTTAATATAAGTATATGTTAAAACTGTCGCTTGAATTTATCTGTAAATCAAAATAGCAAAATAAGACAAAATAGGCGTTTTAAGGCGTAATATTATCCCAGTTTATATTAAGGGTTAGGGGACTATCGTACATTTTCTAATATTGTTGAGTACTGAGCTGGGCATACAAACCTTGGTAATTTTAACCCGAGCAGATGTCCGTCTTAATCTTGACAGTTGTGTGTCCTCATCTGTGTTTGCAGGTACTGTACTTCTTGTAGACTGATTCTAAATAACACAGAAATATATAGACCTAAACACCACAAAACTGTACTTATAAGACATTTCAGCGTTGACTATATAAAATGTATAACTTTACAATTGCTCAATCAATGCTAAATATAAAAGCATTGATTTTATATATCCTAAAACTGATTTATTGGTAGTATAATATATTCTCGTAGATTTTTTGTATTCCATTTAATTTTACATACCAGCTTTCTCTTATTCACTCTGGCCTCATCTCCTGAAGTGAATTCATCTGAAGAACTAGTTGTTGTGGGGAATCCATAGAGGTCTGGATACCCCTTCACCTTTAGCTCATTTGTAATCCAACTTTCGTTAAAGTTGTGATGTAATAGCTTACGCTTTCGACAACTCCTTCGGACATCTGTAATATCTTACATGTCATCCTTATATTATATATATAGAAAGAGTTATTTGTCTGTTATTGCAATTGTTTTGTATTTTTACTTAAAAAATTGTTCTAATTATCAAAGAAATATTATAAAATATGAACTCTATAGACCACTTTGCAAACACTGCAAAATGAACTTACTTTGTTGTATGGGTTTATCTTCACTATCCTCAACATAATTTTTCCGTACATCACCATTTCTCCTTATTTTCATAGATCTGGTTGAAGTATTATTGTCCTCCGTAAAGAAAACTCGCACTTGCCGAGACCTTGAAAAATCATGTGATTCCAATATAAAACCACCACACTCATAATAACATTTCTGGTCCAAATGACATGATAAGTAATGTAACTATGCTCAAAAATATTTACTAAGTATTTAATTAGGAAATTAAGTACACTTACAACCAGGTAGTGGTTATGGAAGATCCTAAGAAAAGAAATACCATTGTGCAATGTCAACAGTATGGGCATACTACGATTTACTGCATGAGACCCTACCAATGTGTTAAATGTAAAGAACCACACAAAACTTCAGAATGTACTAAGCGTGGCTGTAACACACCAGCTCAGTGTGTATTGTGTGATGGCCCACACCCTGCCAATTATAAGCGGTGTCGAGTTTATCAAGAAATAGCAGAAAGAAAAACCAACCAGCAAATTGGCAGAAACAATTATAAACCAAAAATTGGCCCCCATGTTGGGGAACCAAGGACAACTGGTGCTAACTTGGCAACAAGAGAAAAGTGGTCACTAAAATCCAATCAGGCAGCAGAAGAACGCAACACATTTACACAACCGACAACCGCTAATTCTAGATTAGAAGACGTACTTTTAAAACAAGCCGAAAAGTTTGACATTATCCAACTCCAACAAATGAGCACCTTGATGGGCCTCATAGTAACACATGTCAACAAATTACAGAACTAGGCCTAAGAATGACCTGAAACATAAATGGATTAGTGCCTAATAAGGACTATCTAGAAACCCTAATGATCCATCACAAAATAGATATTGCTCTAATATCTGAAGCACATTGCAACAGCACAAGCAATGTCAAAATCAAAGGACATAAAGTTTACTTCACCACTCACCCCGACGGTACAGCACATGCTGGCACTGCTATAATAATACACGACAATATAAAACACCATATTCAACCCGAATTTAAGACAAGCTACGACAGTGACAATGTATAACGAAAATGGTACTACAAGTGTAACAGCAGTATACTGCCCACCTAAATACTATGCACTAGCATAGACTCTACTATGTTTGCCAACTTTTTTACAGGCCTGGTTGGATGTTTCATTGCTGGTGGTGACTGGAACTCAAAACATACCCTCTGGGGCTCCAGATTAACAACGACACGTGGACGGCAACTTAAACACTGTGTAGATACACATTAAATGATAACAATATCAATCTCATAACCCACATATTGGCCATCAGATCCTAATAAGATACCAGATATCCTAGATTTCTTTGTAACCAAAGAACAGTCTCAAAAGTAATTCAAAACGGAGACGTGTCTGGTCACACACCAGTCATATTGAATGTCAGCATGGTTGTAATTGAGCCTGAAAAGACTCAAATGCTTTACAACCATAGAACAGACTGGGACTCTTTACGGGAATATGTTGATGAGGCAATCAATCTAAAGGTCAAGCTAAAAACTGCTGAGGATATAGATCAGGCTCTAAAACATTTTACAAACCAGGTCCAAGAGGCATGCGGGAGAATGATTCCTGTCCTAGATAGTTCGAGATACAATACCAACTTACCACTATACATTAAAGATAAAATAATTGAAAAAAGAAGGCTGCATAGAATCTGGCATCTTAGTAGACATCCCATAGACAAAGCAGCCTTGAATAAGGCAATACAGGACTTAAGAAATCTAATCCAAACAGCAAATGACTTGAACTCACAAGACCAGCTGCAGTCACTGTCTGCAACTAAGGTAACAAACTATTCGCTTCGGAAATGTGTGAAATCCTATGACAGACCACAAGAACAGAAGCTACCACAAAAAAATGAAAAGGGCTCCTCGAAATGGGCAAGAACTAGTAAGGATAAGGCTGATCTAATTACAACAAACAACAACACACATGTGTATATGTAGTCTTGAGATCTCAGATTGTGAGATATTTTATTAAATGTGTCATGTTAGGAAAATTTTTCTTTATATAAGTGTGGGAGTCGACAGAGAGCACAATGTTATAGTAGTAGATTAGACACAGCTAATTTACATAGTATTTATATATTTTACCTTCTAGAATATTTCTCTGGCTCTGTATCACTCTCTGGGAACATACTTATACGAGGCATCCTTATTGTTCTAAGCCTGCGATTATCTATAACAGAAACACGACAGAATATAACAATATGTAAATTTTAATTTTCAAACAAGTTTTCGAGTAGAGACGTGATATACAATACTTTCTAACTCACATTTTGCCGGCCAGCGCTGTATTTTTCTCTTAACTTTTATATGACTGCTTCTTAGTTCTCTCTGAGACCAATTAGATGCCTGAAAATTTTAATGATATATAAAATAAACGATTTATAAATATAGTTAACAATCTATTCAGGCAAATAGCCATTAGACATCAGAATTACTCATGCTATAAGAAATTATGGCAATAACTGTTGATAGTTATAGACAATATGTACATAACATGAGTGTTTGAAAAGTACATTTTGGGAGGAAAGCTGCATTCTAAACTAGCCTTAAGAGAGGAAAAAAGCTCATGCAACTATCTATATGGTGTATAGGAAATGAAAACAGGAAGTGGCCATTCAAACAATATTTTTAAGCGAAAGTGCGACTTCCATGCACTAGCGTCTCTGGGTTAGCGATAATTGATCACCTTCTCATCAGACACACTTGCTGCTTCGTTCGGAGAGTAATTCCCATCGTCAATTTCGCCATTCTCTCCGTTACTACGTCTGGTTTTCACCATTGCAGTACGACAACGTATACAGGAAATATTACACTTAACACACACTAAACCTTTACCTGATTGTTAGAAAATCGTAAGAGAAGCTCAAAGAGGCGCTTTTAATTCAGTATTCGCTACTGAATCCAATCTAACAAGACAAAGACGAGCGTTATCGTCCGCACATGTCGAAAGGAAACGCCATGTTAAACGGGTTTACTATTAGAACCTGTAACTGCAGGGAGCAGTTGGAGAGTAAAATAAATCGTTTATATACAATATAGCTTACCTCGCTTTATTATAAATTTTTGTTAAAATACTGAGAAGCAAAGGAAAAGATAGTTTTCTATATTGATCGACAATGATTTTTAGGAATCAAAAATTTAACTTCTAGACTAACATTGTTGTTATTGACAGTTGAAATTGACGTATGCTGTCAAGAATTCCCGCATTTTTTAAATAGACATAGACCGAGAATGGATGTTTTCATATACTTCAATTATTGGTAAAAGAAAGGGAAAATAAGAAAAATGTAAGCTGTATTTCTTCCGTCCTTAAATGTAAAAACATATTCGTCTTTTTGATAAACCAAACTACTTGTTTATAAACATAGTAATCGACAGATGTATATAAATTCATGGGTTCTCCATACTGTCTTTACGTTGACAATTTGATACGGGGTACTGTAGTACTTGACAATAACAACTCATGTTTTAAAAACATTAAACAACTATTAAAATTAATCAGCATAAAAAAACAAAATTAGTCAATTAAAAACGCTAGGAACCATAATCATTGAAATATAATATTATCTTAAAATATACATAACTTTATAAATATTACCAGTGATTTACACTTACAACATAAAGTATTTTAGGTATTATTTTGTACTAAAAAGTTCTATGTTCCTGTAAATAATCAACCATGGATGATAGTTCGGAGGTTTCCCCAACGGACTCAAGTAAAGATATAACAGATGGAAAGCCAAACAACGGCGAAGGTGATATTGATGATGATGTGTCTGCTAAAATGACCGCGTCCTACAGCGAAATATCATTTCATTCCGATAATGGACAAAACAATGATGCCAAAATGCCAGGTCCATCTAGACCCTACGACTTACCCTCAGAAAACAGAAGGCAAGACAAAGTACCTTTAGATATAGATGGCCATGTAAGATATGTAGGTGATATGACACATTATGTAGCTGATGATTTGGAATTTAAGATAAAACTCTCTAGCCCAGTAACAAAAAAAGGTGAAACACCTGTATTTGGAAGTTCCAGTGCATCAAGATCTAGTACACCATCAGGGAAATTGTATAGGCAAATTTTAGCTCCACAAATTGGCCAAATAGACATAACAGTTCTAAATGATTTAGAACATGAAGCTCAAAAAATTGCACAATCGGTAGATAATCTTATTGAAAACTTGTCAAGCATCCTACATTCTAATTCCTCTTTAACAGCTGAGAATATGGAAGTATATAAGGATGCTGTAGGTAAAACATGTGATGCTATGGACAACAATATTAAAAGTATGTATACTATATTGGCTAAGGGTGAAGAAGTTTCACAAGCTATGGTCCCAGTACAAGCGCAGGCAGCAAGAATTACTGAAATCAAGAGATTGCTACAAATATTTGAAAGCTATTTTTAGTGGTTTATTTAACTGTTTATTGTAATATTTATTTAATCGTCATTGTTTTAAGTATTTAATTGAATTCATACAATGATGCCTATGATATATCAATGTATTTGTTTGTATAATATGTGCAATTATGAATTAAATGTTTTTAGATATTATAATATACCTTTTTTTTTATTATTGTAACATTTTCGTAAAAAAAAATTGACAATGTGGAAATGCAATAAAATTTGCATTTTAAACTAAGAAATTAATATTACTTTTTAATCCATAACATTTATAGCCGCGGAATATGAAAAATGTCAATTGTCATTAAAATTTGTCAGTTTGACATTTGTCGTTTATTATGTCATTCGCGAATCGAAGTTTGTTGTGGGTGGTGTGGTGTATTCTCCTAGTTTGTTCAAATATGAGGGTTTTCTAAAAATATAACTGAAAATGTAAATTGAATTACGATCATGAGATATAATGTAATTAAAGCAACAAGTGCTCCGCTTATGGTCTCTTGACCATTCGGATTTCTGCTGGCGTTCTGTCCATACGTGTACAATGGGCGACATCGTCAGTTTATTCTCCGTAATAATAAAGAAATTTAAATCAAAATTTAATGAAAGCAAGATTTATTTTCACTGTGAAATACCATGGGAGAAATTGAAGTCCGTTAAATGGATGAACGAGAGGGCTACCTCTAACAAGGCGTACGTTCCTACTAAAGTAAGTATGTTGGTTTGTTTTTATTTAAAAATAAATTATACACATTGACATTTCAGATAATATGTATTTAGAAATTTTATATCCGAGTAAGAATTAAAATGCTAGGTTACAATTTTAATTACTGCTTTAAAATTAACGATTGCTGTCGTACTTTATATTTTATGATATTGTGTTCATAAATTTCTTTTTTACCATTGAAGTATATTTTTATTCATCGTAAGATATATAAAAAAAAATTGAGTAGAGATTTAAACAAAACGGAAGTGTAATATGCCAATTATTTTTTTAGTAAAGTTCTTACTCCATGCTTTTATATTTTTATTAACTAAAACAGAGCTACTCAAAGATAGCACCAATAAATCATTACTTAAGGGAAAGCAAAGACTTCTCTTTATTTTACATAAACATAATACAAGAATGATTGCTAAATAGTAGCAAGAACCTCATGATATTCCGATTTGAGTAATTTTTTTTAATAAAGTCAATTTTATTTCTAGGTGGAAAATGTAGCAAATGTTTGTACACATGCACTTTGTGTTGCGCCGGCGTCGCTCGGTGCGCGGGAATTGCTCAGTCGTTCTATGAATGCACCACAAGCGATAGCTGCCATTGTCTATGGGCTTGCCCTCTGTCTGCTGTTTGCAGTGTCCACCACTTTCCACTCAGTATGCTGCTGCGGTTCTGATACGTAAGTCGTTGTCAAAAAAAAAAATCATAATGTAATGCGAGAACAATTATGAACAAGTTTTGAAATCAATTATAATTACTCAGAAAATTCTTAACTAATTTAAAAATTCTAGTAAAAGTATTTTAAGGAATTAATAGACTAAACTATATCGAGTATATGCCTATAAATAGTATACCGGCTGGCACTTGTTTTTCCAATCGTACTTAGTGTTTTCCGTCGATAGCTAATACTTTCACGTATTGTGAACTTAATAAATATTTTATTACCTCACCGACGTTATGTAATAAAACTACGATTTATTTCCGAAGCGTGCAAAATTTCCTAATCGCTGATGGTATAGATTTGCAGTTAATTTGAAATAATCTATTAAAGTACAATAACAATAACAAACTCAAAACTCACTTGTTTTATTCTATTAACACTACTGGGTATAGCTCCATCTTATAGGAGATTTAGGAAATTAAGATACGTGGGACCGACATACTTAACACGTTTTCCATGGCACAGTGGTGATAATAACGTACTTCGAAACTCCACTCTGGTGTTACAATCTTTTTACAACAATTGTAAATACACGAAATTCAAACCCAGGAACTCGTGATTTCCAGTCTAGTATTTTATCCGATATATCAACGAGGCGGCTATAGACTTGCCTAAAACAAGTGTCACTTTTGATAATTTAACTTTTTTGAGCATGACGGCGAACAACTCATAATTCTTCGATCAATCGAGGAGTTAACATCTCCTGATAACGCCGTCCACACGTGATGGCGAAACGTCGAGAACCTCTTCTCGCTCACATCGGCGGAACAGCCCGAAAGACAATGATATAATAATTACGTGTTCGAATATTTAAATACGGAAAATTTGTTTTCGCATACCATCCTGTCTTTCAATTTTGTAATTGCCAGAGTTGTAAGGGTTTCACGAAAAATCTTTTAGAGTTACTACACACAACAGTTATTACACACCATAGACGATTAGTCTATGTGTGTAATGTCTCGGTATATATCGTCCAAGATAGCTAAATATCTTGGACGAAAATTTGAAGCAGTTTTGATTTAAGTAAAAATTAATCATACCAGAGGACGTTAATTGACATTCATTTAAGTGAATCTTGTTACAGTCAAAAAAAATAATACGAATAAAAAAAAACAATTTTATCAATATTATTGTTTTTCGAAAAACAATGATTTTTTGGGGGGGGGAAGAATTAAACTATTTATCATTTTGTACTTTATCAGGTGTTATCAATAAGTTCAATATATCCTATTTTGCTAAATAATGGACATATGATGTATCTATTATATTAATTTCTCATAAAGCAATATACGATGTAAGAATAATTCCATTATTCCAATCAAATTGATATTCAACCGGCATGCAGCTTTCTCAATTACGTAGGTGGTTTAAAGGGATGCGACCATAGTCCATTAGGTTTATGACCTTTGGGAATTGATAAACCATTATATTTATAGGTCGGTCCATACCTGTCCAGAAATATTCGAAGTGATCTACATAATAACTTATTACTTTATTTGGGCGTATTGGCTAGCTTAGCTAATCTCCTGCTTATTTCGTTTGTATATAAGATAACAAGAATATAAAAAATAACAATCTATTTTGTTAAGTTGTTTATAATGCGTGTTACAGCAGCGTCTTGTGCCATCCGTGATTCTAAATCATATATTTGTTAAAAGACAACACATTTTTGAGAGATCTTTATGTAACATATAGTATTATTTTTGGCAAAAATTTTTTTTTCCCCGGGGGCGGGGGGGGGGGGGGCCCCCCGGGGCCCCCCCCCCCCCCCGCGCCGGGGTTTTTTTCCCCCCCCTTTTTTTTTTTTTTTTTTTTTAATATATAACCTGTTTTATAATGTATATAGTCTTTTCCATATAATCTAACTTAACAAAAATTTCACAGGAAAATGAAACATTTACTCCATCGATGCGACCGCGCAATGATCTACATCTTCATCGCGAGCTCGTATTTCCCCTGGCTCACAGTGGGCACTCTCTCGTGTTGGATGTTGAGAGAGCTAAGATGGGCGATCTGGCTGCTGGCTGTCCTTGGGATCACATATCAACAGATCTTCCACGAGAGATACAAGATGCTGGAATTGCTGCTGTATCTGACCATGGGTTTAGGGCCAGCTGTCATCATTGTAACATCCAACGTAAGTTGATATATAAGACAAGTTAGTCATGTACTTACTGGAATAGTCTTAATACTAGTTGTAACTTTATTATTAAGAGAGAGACAATAAACATATTTTATTTTATCACGTAAATACTTCACCTCTTTAGGTATCCCAATACGAATATTTTTATCGACGTCTTTATTCTAGTTTATCCTAGGGACTTGGACACTAAAAGTTAATTGATTAACCCGTGCCTACTTCAGTTTTTAAACGAATATATTCTTATATACTGTCTGTAGTTTACGCGAGTAGTACACATTTATATAAAACACTTTAACGGTTTGAAACTCGATATATATTAGTTAAATTTATTTGAAATTATGTGCTTTTGCAAAGCATCCGAAACGCCGGGCCTGTTGCAAAGCATCCGAAACGATCGCGTATTAAACCGTTCAAAAGTTTTATTTAAATTTGAATATATTCTTTTTATTACGGCACTATTCAAATTTCTAGTTACAATTTCATATATTTTTTTAGTGTCAACACCGTTTTTAGTCGGAGTAAGTTTCCCAAAATCCATTGTGCGCTAATATACATAACTTATCGAACAAGGGTTTACACACTGTAAGTTAATATAAAACGATTAGCGAGACTGACAATATAATCGTGCAGTTATAAATTGGGTTCCTGTGTACAAACTTGTAGTGTATTTACGGACTATCTCGGAACAGAACATTGCTTTTAGTGTCGATATTATCTGTGCTGTTTTATAGAACGAACAATGAACAAAACAATATAATCTGTGTCCCTAGTAAGTTATTTTTTTCATTCTTGAAAATGAAGACTTAGGTACATAACGAAAAACAAAAAAAAATACAGTCACGTTTCCAAAAGCAAAGCCAAAGTAGTTAGCTCATCATTTTTAGATATTATATGGCTACGAGATCATCTACCATTAAGTGAACCACATCTCTGTTGTCCTTTATAATAATAAAAAAAAATGATTCGAATAAAACTATTAAAAATTATAGATATTAGATTGAAGAAATCATACGACATGATAGACCTCGAACCAGCATCCACATGGATGGATGCCGAATTTTTAATTTAAAACGGTTAAATTAGACATAAGAAATAAGCATCATAATATTATATTACCATGTAAGCTTATAAGCAGCTTAATTACGTAACATCATTGCCCGTAATAGCAAGTTATAAATATACATAGCGCGGCATAAAGAGGATTATTATCTTTAACATTTTCTAGAGCTATTCTTGACTTGACATCTTGACATGGAGCCTCGAGGCCGGTAACGAAATTAAAATTACTTTTATCAAACGTAAATCTTGTAGGCCCCTTGAAACTTGTTCTCGCTTGAAGGAAATTGCCAAGCTTGCAGGAAAATGGAATGCATATATATGTAACTATCGCTTGTTAATTTTGTTTATGTAAGCGACACTTCTCGATCAATTATTGTTTTATATTTATAGCTGTTCAATGGATGGCGTCAAATTTTAATAACTTTTTATTTATTATACTTTTTAAGACCTGTGTGCTAGTAGCTAAATGGTTTATCGTGTTTCCTAGCATTACGTTCCACGCTAGAGATCCTAGGGCAACAATAGATTATTTCAATCGGGCAGGACTCAGGCGTCCGATAGCTTCTTGCCTGTAAATTAAAAACCGATCTGTTAAACCGACACAGAAATTTGTTCGCCCTATATATTTTTCAAGAACCTACCTAGACTTGACGGGACTTCACAACTTGTATGAATGTACAAGAATAAAATAAAGTTGTCGTATCGTATCGTAGGTTGATGATTCAAGCATGAATAATCTCAGGCATTTGAACCTTGACCCCGTGCACATATTAGAAGTTAGGAACGTGTTTACTGTTCCCGTTTTATGCGATGTTCTCATTCTGGAGCACAGTGTTACTTAGTGTGTATTTTTTTTATTTAGTTATGTTGCTCTGGACCATCACGGCCCTAAATAAAATAAAAATACCCATTAATATTTAATTGAAATACGGAGAATCTATGTGCCGCAAAATGGTTGATGTTTTTCGTACTCATAGTGCAGTAAAATCTAACTACCCTCTTTCGACCAGGGAATGAATTACCGGCCTGTAGAACATTATATACGGCAAAAGACCAGCACTTTTCGTATGTTATATTTTGACGGACTGGGTCATGAACATAGTCGCATATGAAGCCGTGAAGTTTAATCAAGATTCGGTTTTAGTCGGTGGATTTCCGAATATCCAAAGTCAAAGTATATTGAAAACGCATCTCATAGATGTCATATGGCTGCGGTATTTCACCTTCTCTTTGATGACAGACCATAAAGCAAAACATTTACGTCTAAGTGGCTTTTAGAACTTAGGCTCACCCAAGAAGTCTAACGCTATAGCAGAGCAATTTAGTTGATTTATGGTCTTATATTAAACGCGGTTACTATGCATAGGCGGTTTAGTCAAGGTCGGACCATTTAGTTAATGCAAACCAAGATAAGTTGAGACCTTTGAACTTTTCACTGTACAATCTATTTAGCGTTGTATGCAAATAGGTTACGCTGAATAGAAAGACATTTTCTGTTGAAATACTTTGAATAGTTTAAATTCTATTCTTCTATTGTGTAAGTAATATTGCTTTGTATACAAATCAAGTTGAAAGAACCTACATGTAGCGCCACTGTAATTAAAACTAGACAAGTCTCGCTCCCAAAAGTAAAACAAACAATTCGGTGTCTAGTTCTGAAATTGACTTTTCAACGGGCATAATTTATCCATTCTATAGTTCAAACTTTACAATATACCTATTAATTTTCCCAGAATTTGGAACCCCAAGTTTAAAATGAAACCACACAAACTTATTAGTTTGTGTTATAACATGATCTACAGATAGAATTTTGGTTGTTGTTTCTTTGTTAATTTTCTAAAAGTTACATCCAAGTCCTAATATTCTATAATTTCGTTACTAATACTGTATAATACCATCAGTTACCCTTGATGGTAGATAGATATTCATTCTCATCGTATATTTTTGATCCAATCACTATCATTATAAACAGATTATGGCAACGTTATGGAAATTTGGTGTATATATATGATTGTATTTGCTCTAGACTAGTTGAATACCTTCGTTTAATATTACGTAGATAATCCTAGTAATAACTGTGGTGTATATTTTACTAACAGACAATTTTAAAACTTACTGATATATGTATTCAGTTTAATTTTTAACTTTGCTATACTATCTTTAAATGTTATGAATTTGGTATTTATACTTGCTCCTCGGACAGATATGTAGGTATCTCGTGTCTGTATGTTTGCTAATTAGATCTTTCCGGTTCATAAAGACAACAATATATAAACTTAGACTAAGTCATATATAGGCTAGATTGGGTTTTTGTTTTTCTATTATTTTTGGGTCATTTAAAGTATTTATTGAGGCTGGGTTTAGGCTATAAAACATCACGTTGCGACCAATAGGAGCGAAGTAACATTAGGAAATGTGGAAAAAAATGGTAAACATTATTAAATTTTGAGGGTTTCCGTCGCGTGCGCCGCGAAAATTGATCAAGATACTTAACGATGTATGAAATAATTATTTATTTTTAAATGATCAAAAAAAATGTCCGCGACAGTATATGTCATCTTTTAAGATTCTCTTGCACTTGGCAGGAAGACATCGAGGGTAACAGCTAAATAAACAAGCTTAATATAATGGGTGTAAAATGATTTTTTTCATTTACCAAATGAAAATTCATACATTTTGGTTTACCAAATGAAAATTCATACATAAATTATTCTATTTGACAATAGAACTTTCCGAATGGTATTTGTAAACAATTCCATTTTTTCACTAATAATTGATATTACATAAACATGAGATAACTTTCATATATAATACTTGAGAAGTTGAAGCGTAAAAGAGAAACTATGGCTTCAAATGTGAAACTTAGCCTATTTATAAACGTACGGTAGTTTTATTGCGTTATAATTAATGTTACCTGCATTTATACTAATACTAATATATGAAGAGTTTGTTTGTATGTTTGAACGCGCTAATCTCAGGAACTACGAGTTTGAATTGAAAAAATAATTTTGTGTTGGCTAGAGCATTTATCGAGGAAGGTTATATATAGGCTATAACACATTGCGATGTCACTAATAGGAGCGAAGATACAGCGAGAAATGTGAACAAAACGGGGGAAAAATTTCATCTCTGTGGGTTTCAGATGCGTACGCTGCGAAAACGGTTCAAGATACCTAAAAACTGTATATGACAGAATGATTGCTCTTTAAATGATCTAAATAAAGTCCACGACGCTATATGTCTATCTTTTAAGATTAACTTGCAAGAACGATGGTAAGGAACGCGACGTAAGGGTTTGCAAAAACGAATTTGGATGCTAAAAATAGCGGACGAATTCGCTGAAACTGCTAGTATATAATAATTATTATAAACTCGATCTTAATCGAGTTTAGTTAAACATAATACCATATACCATAATATACCGAACATATACCATAAAGCCACATATAGATTTACATTATTTTTAGCATACAGGTTACATACGTGGTGGTTATCTATATACTGTCGAAAAGATAGTTACTTACTATGTCATTTTATGTTTATTTTTTTATAAAAGAGGATAGAGAAACACTTGATGGTAAGTGTAATACCCCAGCCATACAACATCTAAAAAGATTCGCTATTGATCTATTTTGCCTTTAGACATTCGGAAATGCATCGACTAAGTACCAAAATGTACGTTTCATGTTGCGCTTATAATAAGCCTACTAAGGTTCGTGATAACAGCCCGTGTGTAAAAAACAAATGAGAGTTATGTTGTTCTATTGTTAAAAAAATGTGTTTGGAAAGTGGCTGTCATTTTTGCTGAATATATTTCTACGAGTTACTTGTTACATCGACATCGTTATTACTTTTCAGCAACAGTTCCCAGCGATGCAGGATCTCAAACTCGGCGGCGTACTGTATCTGGTCGGCGTGTTTTTCTTTAAGTCGGACGGCCGGATACCCTTCGCTCACGCCATTTGGCACATCTTCGTGGCGTTGGCAGCCAGCGTGCATTACCTAGCGATACTCCGACACCTCTTCCCAGAACTCAAAACTCAATGAAGACTGCCCTATTCAATCTCAATCAGAGCTCTCTATGCTATTTTTGTACTCGATAACAGGATAATTTTCTCGGGACAAGGCACCGATCGCTCCGCTATTGAACTTGTAATGTATTGTGAGCGAATCCTGTTTTTGATCGATTTTAAGATTCAAACTTTTGTTTACTGATGTAGTTTAGGACTGCGAACGGATGTACTGTCGTCATTAGGGTACTGTGATTACTCGAGCGACAAAGTAGGACGAGCGGGTGTCGTAAAGAGTGATGTACTTTGCCTAAAGAAATTACTGGTTTCTCCTACCAACAGTTTCTTTGAGTTAAAGTTATTAACTCCTTCCACGTTGTAACTTCCTCACGTAACGCGTTACTGTGCCCATCTGTCTAAATAGCGTTTTAAAAAAATACATGTCCTACAAATTTATGTTGTATTAAGCTATTACAAGATTTTAACTTAGTTAATACACTATACTCAAACCAAATGTTGTTATAACTGAATGTTTAAGTTTAACAGTACATTCGTTCGTAAATAGTATAAGTTACAATTGTTCAAAATACACTACTAGTCGGGTAGGAATTGTTTTCGGTCCATGTTTAAGTTTTCGTTTGAGTTACGCGAGTTAATTCAAGCCTGAAGGACTTGTATTAACCGCCTCATATATTTACCTCGGTCAACGCATATATTTGGTTTCGCGGTTATAATACGGTTACTGTGTCTCAACTTATGTAATGAACACGATCTATAAAGCCGGGTACCCTCTAGCGAGTCTTTGCCGTAACATGTATGACAACTGAAGATTAGGCATATCACATCGCCCTAACTTGAGAAAAAAGCTACATTCTTTTACATGTCAAAGTGATTCCCATATACATCTAAGTTATAAACCCCTTTGAAATTTGTTTGTCGTACTATACCGAAAAGTTATATTCATGATTTAATGTGTAGTAATAAAAGAATCAATAATAAACCAGTCAAATAAGAAACAGCTGGCATCAAACGAACCAAGCCAACTTTTTATTGAGTTACGGCTCGCTAGTGAGTACCCGGCGTGCGACGTGTGTAAGGGGAATTTGTAAAATTTAAGTCTTATTGAATTTCGACGCGGTGGCATATATTCAATACACCATAACATTCAAGATAAATGATATTACATATTTCAAAACGTAGGGCTTATTATATAGATGTCTGAATAGATGATATAGATTCAATGTACTCAACAAATCTTCCGAGATGGTGTGCAGCTAAAGGCATTTTTAAACAAAATAATATGAAAATATCGGTGCAAAAAAAATCAACGTACTTATTTTCCCTGGTAAGTTGCATCAAGAAATTCTTTACTTTGTGAATACGTTACTATCGATAAAAAGGTTGCTAAAGTTAGCCTTAGGTACTTGATGTATAAATCTAGTTAGAAAAACTTTTTGGCATTTTACCAAACTTTCTCTTTTGAACTACGGAGTACTTCAGAGTGAGGCTCAAAGAGCTCTTCTCACGGAGCACATCTCGAATGTAGTTTTCGTTTCAATGAACTATTGTTTTCATCTACGTGGGATGTTGTCGCCCGTCGAACTATATGAAAAGTTCATTTTATTTTGAAGCACCATCTCAAACGGTGACCTTAACATCTTGCATTTTAAAAGTAATAATATATCCACTTAAACGTCAAGTACTTTTACTACTACTACTTACTTCCATATTTTTAGAAAAAAAATATGGTAGGTACTAATAGACTTACTTTGATGACTCTATTATTTTAAATATTTATTTTTAACAATTGCCAAAAACACTTCCAAATAGGCTTAACAATTATTGTTAACGATAGTAAGGAATATCAGGGCATTCTAAGTATACAAACACATAAGAAAAGTTCCACAAATAATTTTGACCTTACATATGTCACCGTTTTTTTTTGGAAACAAAATCGCACTTTATGGTTAGAACATAAAACCTAAACATGGACCTCCTCGCCAAATAGGTAGACGCGTTTAGTATAAAGCGATTGTTCTTGTATATTTTGTAAAGTATTGTTGGAAAATCTTATTGTAAAACTGTAGTTGTACCATAGAATCTCGAGACCAAAGCCGACACTTTTTAGAGAATTTAAAATTGTCATGTACTAGAGATCTTTTTAGAGATGTTTATCGATCTATACTTATACGAATTCGACTTTTTCCATTATCTAGATCTTTTATACAACTCGTGGATGTTTTCCCTTAGATTAGTACGTAGTGTAGTTTTGTGAATATTGGTGTTTGTATTAGGTGCGTGATTTTCGAAATCCAATCCTACGAGGCGACTTGTTTTAATTCCTATATTACTTTCCTTTACTATAAATTTTACTAGCAGTTGCTCAATTGTTACGTATTAGGATCCGTAGACTTCCATATTTTTAAATTTCAACTCACGTTCCTTAGATAAATATGTTGCTGTAGTTTCGAGGCTGTTCACGAAACCGAAGCGTGCTTTAGGTATACTTTATTATATTTAGTCGAAAATATACTACCTAAATCGACGAATGAATAAAGTATGTGGGTACTTGGAAACAGACACGCCATGAGTATTTTCAAGTATCAAAACTGAATCTCACAATTTCGTGTACCCGTTATTTCCTCGAATCTCACTTAATTTAGATGTATATTCCTATTGTTTAGCTTTAATAGAAGGACGTTTCCGGTGAATTTTCATAGCTCATTACGACATTCTTATTAATATGCAGTGCAGTAAGTCAATGTTATCGGTCGATTGTGGAAGGTATTGCGATAGCAAGACAATCGAGATTGTCTGGAAACTGGGGCGAGTTGACACGGGGGTGATGTATTTAGGCCGGATGAATATGTATGTGTCTTCGCTTATATTCCTTGCAGAAGATTTTGTTCATGCACGTGTCATTTAGTACAATGTATTGCATATGAATGTAGAGCGTTCGCTATCTCTTTTTTTCGATAATCGTAGAAACAAGCAAGTTTTTTAAAAAGTTACTACACATAGTTTTGGTTTAACGTTGAAATTTTTACTGTTTTGCTTAGCCGATCACCGACCCCATTTTTAAGGAAGAAAGATTTCGCTTCCGGTACAAAAATTAAAACATTGTAAATATTATAATTTATTAAGTGCTCACTATATATACCTGTTTGCATAAGCTTTACTTTATTACTGATTGCAATGATATTTTGTAATTTTTTTCTATAAAATGCCTAAATAAACTGAATTCAATAAAATCTAGTCAAAAATTTGCCCAATGATTAAATGCAAATTAGTGATCAGTTCACACCATTTAGTTAATACCATTTAAGCTAAGTTTTTAATGTTTATTAAAGTTTATGTAGAGGTGACAGGGTAACTAAAATGACATTTTGGGTTGGATTTTAAACAAGATTATAGGACCACATAAAATTTAGACCACAGACAGCGGTATTTAGAATGTAACAAACATACTAAAATCTAAATAGCAGTATTTCTTACGCCTGGTTGTTTAAATAAATTTTAAATCATAAAAAAATATTGTAACAGAATTATTTTGATATTTTTTTTAGTAAATTGAATTTGTCTTTGAAATTAAGATAGCTGATTTTGATCAGTCTTCCAATTTTAATGGAGCAAAATTTTATGCAATAAATTCAGGTGTTAGGGTGTCTGACCTATAAGAACTTGGATAGAAAGATGTAAGTTCATAACAACCAAATATATTTCATGAATTTGAAAGTATTTAAACATAATGCATGATCTTATTCATTCAATTTCTTCAAATGAAATTAGGTAAAGGTAGAGATAGTTAACCAGTAAACGTTTTTATAATTCCTGTGGTTTGCTGTTAAGCAGTTATAAAAATTTATTTTTAGTTAGCTGTACAACATATTTTAATTCCTATTTATATTGCCAACTCAAACAAATTACAATTTTATTCCACTTAGCTAAGCGTGTTGATTAGAATTAATTTGAAGTGTTATATTTATTTTGTGGGAATTTTGTTCAATTATTATAATCTATTCTCTATCATATCTCTATTTTTATGAACAAACCTTGCAGTAGAATACTACCGCTCCATTAACATTCATAAAAATTTAACCACTTTGCAATTAGTATAGCATTTATTACATCCAATTGTAAGAAACTTATTTTTTTTTTTGTGATTCATAAGAATTGTTATTTCCGAGGGTTATGTGTGACATACATTGTATATGCGTGATAATTCTGTATTTTTATAAATTATGTCTACATACAATCATGTTACCTTTATAGTTGAACGCGGTATAGTTTTTAGAGGTTTTTGGGAACTCATTAAAACTTTTACATTCATAAATTCTTTTATTTTCACCATGTGAAGTAAATAGAAAACTGTAAAAGGATTAAAATATTTTTACATCTTCGACACAGTTTTGATTCCTAAGATTTCAAAACATTTGGTCATAACTCGAGCTGTGACTTCGCACAGCATTAATCTTTCATAAAATATTTTAACAATGTTACCACCCTTATCTTTTTCAACACAGTAACATTTGTCATAGAACTCTGTAAATGTAGATGAGATTTCATACAAGTATTCACATAAGCTATGAAGAAATAGGTCACCTGTCACTTTTAAGATCACGTCAGGGAATCTCAATAAGACTTTACCCAATTTCCATTCAGATTCATGAGTGAGCTTTATACTGGTTTTGCCTGCTTCCTTTAGTAAGGCATCTAGAGATACCTGTGCTGTTCGAGAGATTGACTGGATCCTGGTCAGAGCATATAAAAGGTAAACAGCAGTGTTGCCTTTATCATCTAACATTTTGTCAAAGGAAAAGATGTAATCATTTATCCTATTGTGAGACAGATCTGCATACTTGATGCAGCCATATGCAACTGCTTCTTGGGCCAATTTCAGTTCTTCTGGAGTAAGTACTTTATCCCTTCCTTTTTCAACCAACTTATCCAATGCCCTTCTTAAACCTTCATCCATGAGATCAATAAGTTTAATTGTATCACCAGACCGAGTTTTAAACTTTTTCTTGTCTTCTCCCAGTACAACACCAAAGCCTACATGTTCCATCTTTAGACCATTCTTGAGAATTCCAGCCCTTCTAGCACACATGTCTATGGTTGCAAAGTGGGTGTATTGCCCAACATCTGTGACATAAATGAATCTTCCACATTTTTCCTCCTCCACTCGCTGTTTTATAGTAGCCATATCAGAAGTGTCATATGTGTACCCACCACCTGATTTTACGATTGTCAATGGAATACCAGTTCTTTCTGCACTACCCCACATAATAAGCCTGCCTTCGTCTTCCTCCAGCAATCCTTTTTCTTTTAATTCTTTAACAACTGCATCCATCCTGCTCTGATAGAATGACTCACCTCTATCGATTATCTTAATATCAAGCCGGTCATAAACTTTTTGGAACTCTTGCCGAGACACTTCACAAATGAGTTTCCATGCTGCTGTATAGTCAGGGTTGCCTGACTGTAATTCAACAACACATAAATATGCTCGCTTCTTAAATTCTTCATCTTCGTCGAATCTTGTCTTAGACTCTTTGTAGAAGGCTTGTAAGTCAGAGATAGGTGGTGAGTGGGTTTTGTAATTGGGAAATTTTTCCTGTAAATGGGCTATGAGCATACCAAATTGAGTACCCCAGTCTCCAAGATGGTTAATCCTAAGAACATCATGATTTAAAAATTCTAAAACTCTGCAAATACTGTCACCAATAATGGTTGATCGCAAGTGTCCAACATGCATTTCCTTAGCAATGTTTGGTGATGAGAAGTCTACTACAATCCTGTTGCGTTTTACAGGTGGAGGTTTGACTCCAAATCTCAGTATACAGTTAAGAACATGTTCTGCAAAGGTTCTATTCAAATAAATATTCAAGAATCCAGCGCCAGCTACTTCCACTTTATCAACCAAAGGTGATGATGGTGTCTTATTTAATATATTATTAGCAACTTCCCGTGGGTTCGTTTTAACATTTTTCGCCTTTAAAAGCTGAGATATTGGCATAGCTGAATTGCATTGATAGTCACCAAATTTTGGATTATTACCTGAGAGGGTTATAACCACTGGTGGATCATCCAAATCGGGGTATGCCAGTTCAATAGCAATGGCAAAAATATTCTTTAGTTCATCCATAACACAAATTGTACCTTCAATGGACATAATGTCTGTTATTAGAGTTGGACGTTTCTTCGGCTTTGATACACCTTTTGAGCTTTCTGCTTTAATTGCGTTCTCTAAGATAGCTAAACGATGCTTTAGTTTCTCATTTTCAGACAGTAATTTGTCTAATTGTGGATCTGAAACGAAACTGAGATCCCCTCTGGCTAGTTTTTCGAGTTCTTCTTCTATTAACTTAGCTTCTTTTTCAGCTTTCAGAGTTCTAGCTTCCACGGATTTTAAATCTACGTCTGACATTTTGTTTTGAATAAATATTTTAGGTAATTTAATACAGAAGTATTCTTAAAATAAAACTTATACGAACGTGATGTTGATGTTATATAGTAAATTGTTAGGTTAGATTTCATCATTTGACATTGCTAATTGGGCCGCAAAGAAATTTGGCAGTTGTGTGGCAAGATCTATTGACAATTGACTTTAACAGTAAATAATTTCGTGAAATTTCTTTATTAAATCATTCTTATATATATATTCATTATTATTATAATAAAATTTATTACATTAGAAAGTTAACATTTTTATTTATTATTTATTATGGAGTTAATAGAGGATAATCAATAAAAGCGATCTCGGTCTAGTAAACTGTCATAGTTGCCTTAGAAACTATAGACAAACAAACAGCGCCAAAATTATGTTTTAAAAGTGGCAAGTGATGAGGAAATTATAAATACTAAATAAAAATTCTATAAATTAGAGAAAACTGCGCTAATGACATCGATTCTGTTAAACTTAAATGTTGTTCCTCGAATTTATTTATATTTTATTTAACGGCAATTGTGCAACGACGAATTACGAATGGCAAAGCATTATTTAGAATATTCTTTTAAGGACAAGGATTTGCCATATTGGCTAGACGAAATAACTAAGTTGGTTCACTATTATTATCCCAGTAAGTAGGTTTCAAAAAACTCGTTTTTAATGTCTTTTTTTCCTTACAGAGATGTAAAAGAAACGCGAATAAATGATCAAGTACCACTTTTTGAAGCAGACAATCTTAATAATATAGCTCAAGATCAACGGTAAAGTTATTATCTTTTTCCTTTGTATTTATTATTTTACATGAATGTAATCGCACGGGCTGGTTTTGAACCGGCATCCGTTGTGCTGTTGCTCTAACCACGTTGCTCGTGGTTCCGATCAATCGATTTTTATTTTGGATAATGCCGTCATGTGCAAAATATAAAAGTTTATATTTGTCAATCTAGGTCTCGTAGAACTTCGTTGGATCTAGATTTACTATCGAAATGTGAGTCCAAGCCTTTGGCCCATTCCGCGGGAACTTTACGCTATAATCACACTAATGGTACGTCTAAAAATTCTGAATTCTATAACGCAAGACATTTTCATAAAAAATAAATTCATTCCTAAGTAAATACAGGGCGGTAAAATAGTGTACATACTGTTGGTCTAATGGTAGCAATGTATGGCTAATCATCAACAAGTCGTGGGTTCGATCCCCACCAGGTCTAATATGTTTCAATTTTTTTCTAAAACATGCTGTACTTCGTTTGAAAATCTGGCTATTAAATTGGTGGTAAGAATATAATCCCGTCCGGGTCACGAACCACCGTCCACAGATAAAAAGGCCTTGAAGCTTAGTCTGTGGATTTCCGAATGACAGCGCTTCTTGTTGATGCTATAGGCTTGAGTATATCACCTACCTACCTATAAGTAGGAATGTGTACTATTTTTGTAGTCATTATGCTTTTCACACACCTCAAATTACCTACCTTTGTCGCATATGTTCGTTAGCTAAGGTCTTAGAATTAATTCGTAGTATTTATTATATGTTAAACTCCAGGATACACACAAAATGGCCGTCGGAGAAATTCAAATAAAAACGAGTGCAATGATTCGCCGACCGGCGTCACAAACGATTTTTTATCAGACCTTCTACCGCACTATGTTACTCCGCGACACAAAAGGATGAATCACAATATTGATAATGATTTTATGGATGTCATAGTTGGATCACGTAATGATTTATTTTCTACTCTTAGTTTATTTATAGTACAATGATAAAACAGAACAAGAGATCGTGTGTATGTAAAAGATTAATTACCTCTATTGGCTTATGAGGGCGTCCTTAGCTAGTAGGTCTGTAGGTTCGAACCCCGGGAAACAATAGAATGTTTTAGTCGGCCCGGGCGTAGAAGTCTGTTCAACTATTTGCCCATAAAAAAAAACTGATCTGGGCAACGGATACAGAATGGACACGTAGACAGAAAGCCCCCCCATGTCCACAGGTGAAAGTGGGATTTCACTTTCACAAAGTCTAAACCGCTTAATAATTAATCAGGGAAGTAGACACATAAACGTGGCTGCACCAGGTCCCTCGTAGAACGTTTTCGGCTCTTTTGTTTGTTTTATTTTTCTGGTTGATTACTGTAACCTAAGGTAAGTAATATAATTTATAGCAGTTTTACATAAAAAAAATAACCTTCTCAAACAAGACACAAAAGTTCGCAAAAACGAATTAACAAAACTTTGTCTCGGTAAGTGAAGACTTCAGGATTGACCTCAACAAATTTAACTCCTTTGCCTGCAGGACCGCAAAACGCCAGAAGTCGAAACAAACTAACAAAAGATACGTTCAATCCCATTCACAAGGCATCTATGAAGCCTAATGCGAAAATTAGTTACAAAAAGCCACTTTCGAAGAGTGATAAGAGAAATGAGTTTGTCATACCTGAAACACCAGAAGGGAGATTGTTGGAGTTGAAGATTTACTCGAACTGGGGCGATAAATATTTGGTTGGATTGAATGGTATTGAAATGTTTGATTCTAGTGGTGAACGGGTCTCCGTAGATAAGGTTAGTGACTAGTTGTTACCCGCGTCTTTGACTGGTGACGTTAAAAGATCCTAAACGTGCGTAGAGTGTCTGACGTTAATTTATGTATCAGTTGTATTAAATATAGGAATAATAATAATTTAAAAATTAATACTTTGTGCGTGCTAACACGTTGCGTACATTTGGTTTTTATAAAAAACTTTGACACACACGGGAATCAAACCCCTGATAACCATTAATAGTTAACTGCCGTTTGCTTCAACAAGTGTAAGCATAATGGTTTGTAAGCTAATAGATTTCACGTGCCTCTTGATGCAGTACAAAAAATTTTGGTACCTCTTCGCGGCAGCATATTTTCTATTATACCGAACGGAATTTCTATATTCCTACCACTCATTTCATATCCAGGTTTCCACACATAGTCATGTCAGCATGTTTCAGAAAAAATATAAAATGAAAAATTACAAACACGTTGGACTAAATCAATCATTAGCCATACATCGCTACCATTCGACCATCGAGCCCGTCATGTTCTTTAGGTATACTTTAAATTCCTATTCCTTAGGTATGGACTGATTCGGACACTGGTGACCACTCCAAGTTTGGTCGTGTAGAGAATATCATCGACGGCGTCGTAAGAACCAGAGACGATAAGCATGCGTGGAGCGCACCAGTTCCACAAGGCCTGCCGATTGCATTGAGTATATTACTGGGAAAAACTTCGAAATTAGCCCTACTTAGGGTTTGGGTAAGTTCCAAGAATTAGGAGACTAAAAATTATACTATATACATATACGTTGAATTTAACCAAGAGTAAGATATAAGTATTTTTTTTAGATTCTTTACAGTTAATGTTATTTTAAACATTTCCATCTTATTAAATATGTTATCTAACGATTAAAAATTCTGTCCTTTTCAACACATTATATTGTTTCATTGGATCAAATTAGAGCACTTTGTTTTATTGCTAGTGCATATAATTTACAATGTACATAATTATTAAAATGGTGAAAAGTCCAAGTAAAAACGTAAGGTAGGTTGATAACATGAGAATAATTTGTTCACTTTAGAATTATAACAAATCACGGATCTATTCGGCTCGGGGCGTCCGTCTTGTTCAGATAAAATTGGATGACCAGGTAATTTTCCAAGGAGAGATAGCCAGAGCCAGTGGCGAGGTGAAGGGCCTTCTTCCAAGCTTTGGAGACGTAAGCATTTAATTAAAAATAGTTTCTGATGTCTTGTAAAAACTGTAACTACTCTTTCTTTCGAACAGACGATACTCTTCACAAAGAACGCATCGATTTTAGAAGCGATTCTGGTAAATGATAAAAATTTCAAAGCTCTACTAAAAGACAACGACCCACTGGCTGAAGTCAATACGGCTGAACGTCCTTCTACAGCTAATGATAATATGATGCCAGTCAAGACTAGAGAAGATTCGCCGAAGGTTCCGGAAGAAGATAAATATATAGCGAAAGAGATTAAGTTAACTCTCATGTCTAACTGGGGGCAGAAGCATTTAATCGGGCTAACAGGTAACGCGTTCGTAATATTTTAATTTTCACAGCTTAGACAAGGCTTTATCGCGTCCAATTTGTATGAAGATATAAGAATAAATTATATTTGTAGTTGAAATCCTTTTTATAATTCGTTAAAAGTTTCGCCCCTAGACATTGATATTTAATATACGTAATACTTATCAGTGTTTGATAAGCTCGTTGGCCCAATGGTAACTATGTATGGCTAATAATGAATCAACAATGTTTCAAATTTTTCAATTAATATTTTTTTAAACATGTCGGAATTCTGGATACTCAATGGGTGGTAGGAATAAAGATTCCGTCCGTCCACAGATAAAAAACCGTACAGCTTAATCGCGTTTCGGTTTCAGTCTGTGGATTTCCAAATACCGAAAGCCAAAATAGGTCGACAGTGTATTTAGATGCTATAGGGGTGGGTGTATCACCTACCATCAAGTGAAAAAACGCTTGTCGGTCTTCCTATAATTAAGAAAAGTGTTATTTTCATATCGTTCATACCGTTTTTCGAACCTTTATATACTGTCTATAGTTTACGCGAGTAGTACGCATCGCTCGCTTAGTATTACAGTGACCGAATTAAAAAAAAAACACTTTTCGCAAATCGTAGAAAACTATGATGATAGCGTTATTATAGTAATGTCAGTGCATTTATCTAATTTTACTAAAATTTTGAGTCAGGTTATTCTAATACTAAGCGTGCGACATTTAAATAAAACACTTTAACGGTTTAAAACGCGATATATTAGTTAAACTTATTTGAAAATGATTTTTAACTTCGGCCCGACGTTTATGATGCTTTGCAGCAGCCGTGGCCGCGAGGACTCCACACGGCTGCTGCGTTTTAAACCGTTAAAGCGTTTTATTTAAACCTTTATATACATACCTCAATAACCATACATTTTTAGACCAAACATAATATTATAATATAAATGATTAACAAAGATTATGTTTAATTATTAAGGCATTATGGTCCTCTGCAACAACAACCCAGTTGACATCATACGGAGCTACGCGTACACTAGTTACATCACCGATGATGAAGAGAAGAAACTCGAGTTTGGCTTCATCGACTGCAAGAGTTTGTTTAACGGACGAAACATTACTACGGAATTCGATGAGATGTGGTGCACCAACTTTATGCCTGGGTCGAGGTTTTGCCACGTCGTTATGGAACTCGAGAAACCAACAGAAATAACAGGTCATATGAAAAAATATATGACTGTCCGTCTGTAGTCAAATAGTTGAACGTGTTGTCTAGCGTTGCGTCAAATAGGAGAGGTTCTTGTTTGGAATCCTGGGGAAACACTAGATTGTTTCAGGTGGGAAGGGCTCAGAAGACTAATCATTTACTTGCCTGTAAGTGAAGCGATCAAACAAACGCACACATAATTGTGTTCGCCCCATTTCCCAGGGAGGAAACGGGATTTCGGTTTTATGCAATATACCTATTTAATTATTTACGTCTTTAACAATCGCAATAACTACATAATAAGTAAGTATGTCTAATATATAAAATTCTCCTGTCACAGTGTTAGTAACCGTACTCCTCCGAAACGGCTTAACCGATTTTCACCAAATCGCATATGTGTATTCAGTAGGTCTGAGAATAGGACAACATCTATTTTTCATCCCCCTAAGTGATAAGGGATGTTCACCCTTTAATTTTTTTTTATATTTTTTGACGAAATTGATAATTTTTATTTTTTTATAATACAACATACAAAAATACATACAATCCTCAATTTCTTCCACCCTTCTACGATCAATCCTTATTTTTTAATAGCCATTTTAGTAAAATTATTTATATCGCAAAACGACGTTTGCCGGGTCCGCTAGTATATATATAAATTATATATTTATATATATATAAAACAGATTAAAAATTTACTGCGAGACTCGAATCCACAGCTGACGAATTCTATTTCTCTGCTTTGTCACTTACTAAACGTCATACAACCATTCCATTCCAACATTATCTTTGTTTATTTAGTTAAATTAACTATTTGTTACGTAAATATTTTTTTCTCAGAATCTGGGACCCAATATATTATATAGTTTCAATTTGTTTTCCAACACCAGGTATACGTATTTGGAATTACAACGCGAATATGGACTTATCCTATATCGGAGCGAAGCACGTCCGTTTGTCACTCGACGGCAACTTGCTGCACCGCCGGCCGTTGCTGCTGAGGCGCGCGCCAGGGGATACATTCTATGATTTCCTTCAGCACGTAGATTTAGCTTCTATTGATGATAGGTTTGTTGAAATTTATTTAAGAATAGAAAAATTACAGTTAGGTATATGAAAATATGTTTTTATAATTATTTATAAAATGTTAACCGGTACAAACATATAAATAAAACACATTTAACGGTTTGACACGTGAAATTACTTGCACTACGGTCTGACTAAATTCGCAGCAGTCGTGACCGCAAGGATACTGCCAAGCATGCGAAACGTGGGCCGTAGGTAAAATAATAAAAAAAAAACCTTTAACTAGTACATTTCGTGTTTTAAACCGTAACGTGTTTTTTTTAAATTTGCACTACTCATGTTAACTACAGATAATACAAAACTTACTTATGAGTTTATACGAGGGAACTCGATCTTATACAACCGAGCCTTTGGGTCAATTTTCTTAATAATAATAACCCACTATAGAAGTACCCAAGGTTATAAAATCGTTTTTATCTTTTTCCAGATTAAATAACGAAGATTTGAAACTTAGTAAATCACTGTTCGATAGCATGCAAGCACCGACTGGTTTCGTTCTGCAACTGAACATATTCTCGACTTGGGGCGATCCATACTACGTTGGCCTCACTGGCGTCGAACTATACGATGCACAGGGAAATTTGATAGAAATGACCGAGAGCAGTAAGTACTTCATAAATCTAACCCATTTTATAAAATAATTAACGGTTTAAAAATAGATATATATTAGTCTCGTGACCACGGCTACTGCAAAGCGTAAGTACGTTGTGTTGTACTTTAAAATACATTTATTAATAAGTATTTTATGAACATTATAAAAAATGATGATGACCGATATAGGTACAAATCTTAATGATTTCTGAAAGGTGTGAAATGTGTGAAATCCCCATTCCCCCTCGTTGGGCATGGGGCGAACACATTTCTGTGTCCGTTTCACTGATCCGTTCTTTATATATTTCGCGTTTTAAATCGTTACAGTGTTTTATTTCAATGTCTACTACTCGCGTAAACTACAGACAGTATTAAAGAAGACATTGAGTTTTAAAAGTCCAGGCACTGTTTTTTTATACAAAAATACAAATTATGCTTTATTTTATTATTATATCTAGACTAGACTAAAATACAAATATTAAGCAAGGGCGGATCCAGCTTTGGCATCGAGAGAAAGTCGCATAGTTGTGGTCAAGTCAAGGACCTTTAATTTAAATTTGATAACAATAGATTAGGAGGGGTCCTGGGGTCATGACCCCATCTGGATCCGCCATTGCTATGAAGTTGTACGAATAATATTTTTTACGCCAATAATATTTTTTTCCAGACGTCTGCGCACAGCCAGCAAGTGTGAATGTTCTCGACAGTTCAGCTAGGGATGTACGCACGCCGTCCAAACTTATCGACGGGCATAATTCAAGCGCGTCAGACGCGCAACACTCGTGGCTCGCTCCGGTGTTACCAGACACGCTTAATAGGTTGTACGATATTTTTATTTAATTAATTACTGTGGAATAGTTATATTGGGCATCATATTTTCCCCGTTTTTCCACATTTTCACTATTTCTTCGCCCCTATTGATCGCAGCGTGATGTTATATAGCTTAAAGCCTTTCTTGATAAATAGTCTATCCAACACAAAAATAATTTTTCAAATACTAACCGAGCTCTTGAGATAAGCGTGTTCCAACAAACAAACTCTTCAGCGTATATGGTAATGATCGGCTAAACCTATAATTAGCGTGCGTATCCCATTTTGTCTACGTATAAAAAATATAAATCTACCCTTATTTATTTATTTTAAAAACTACCCGCCATAGCCACTTATTTACACAATACTTATTTTTGTTTATTCTTCTCAGGTTATTCTTTGTATTCGACGTGCCAGTTTCTGTCTACGGTATGAAGATTTGGAACTATGGTAAAACGCCGACACGAGGTGTAAAGGAGTTCGGGGTAAATTCTAAAATGTTTCATGGATTTTATCATTTCCTTGCAAAATTTTGATAAAAATTACAAACAAATAGACTGTCTCTATAATATTATTAGATTTTACAACATTGTAAGAATTCTTGTAAAAAAAGTTACTCTCGACGCAGAAATACATGTATTATAAATATAATTCATAGATTGTTAAACATTATGAAGTCCACTTGTGAAAGCTGCAGCGAAGCATCTCAATCAATCAATAATTTTACTAATATATATTGGGTGTGAAGCGGTAACAGTGTTTAATACTCGCGTAAACTAAAGAAAATAATTATGTGTAGTCATGGACTAGTCTAGTCTTTACCATAAAGATCTTTTTTTTTCAATTACAGGTTTTAATGGACGATCTCTTAATATACAATGGTACCTTAGAAATGGCGAAAGGTGATTTAATAACTCCACAATGGATTTGCTTTGAAGATAAGGATCTCGAAAATTTAACACCGAGGTAATGAAGTTCGTCATTGTATACAATTTCTAGTTAATTTATGTAATTCCGAAAATTGCAGGGAAACGAGTAAGATAAAATATATCAGACACATTTTCTAGGAAATCTAATATATATTTAAATATTTACGTAAAAGTTGTGTTTAAAATTGATTCCTTACTTTTAACATTTTTATAAGCTAAAATCTCAGAAAACCCTAACATTGTACGCCAACATTGTATTTTTTTTTAATTTATAGTCCGTCTGACACGAGCCAACGTACAACTACGAGCGGGTCGTCCCAGTCGGTGGACCAAAGTGAGAGACCGTTCACGAGCGTGTACGCAGTACGGCCACGGAAGTCATAATTGTACCTTCTATTTATTTAATTTGCGTGTTTAATTTTGTCGTGTTATTTTTAAAATTTGACAAAACTTGTCTTTAGTATTTAAAACTGGTATATACAAGATAAAAAATATAAAAGAGGCCTTTCACACTTATTTTAATACTATTGTTTTGTGCTTTGTGAAAATTATTTGATGCGTTTTGTCCCAAGATGTTTTAAAATTATCGTCAGCGCTAGGGCGACGTCTTTTCTTTTTGTACGGTCTTGTAAAGTTGTGTGATTATAATTATTGTCATTAGCATAGTACATGTCTTGTAGATTACACCGTCGCCAAATGTTTAGATAAATATTTTCTACCCTCCGCATACCATGTTATTGCACTTGTTAGTACAAACCGAATTAAATAGTTAACATATTGAAAATAGTACGTTTGCGCCATCCATCGATTCACAGTTAACTCTAATTTTATACGGAAATACAATTTTGTATATTTAACAATCGTTTCATTTTTTATGCCTTCAGAATTTAAATCAATATGGCCATCCTTTAAAAAATATAATATTTAAATGTTAGTATAACACATTATAAGGAAACAAACAAAGACAAACCAATAACATCTTGAAGTTTCTAAAGGATTTAGCACTGTGTTCTCGCGACTAAAATCAAACGTTTCTAAGATATAAACCTCTTGCCTGGAAGAAATCGCTATAGGCGACAAGGCCGCCGTATATATTATTTTTGAGTAGACACACTCATGTTCTACTTTGATGTAAATATGTTTGTGCAATATAGAGTTTTATTATTAAAATAAAATACTTTAACGGTTTAAAACGCGATATATTGGTTAAACTTATTTGAAAATGATTGAGGGAGACAGTCTCCCCGTGACCACCGCTTCTGCAAAGCATCCGAAACGTCGGGCCGAAGATAAGTCATTTTCAAATAAGTTTAACTAATATATCGCGTGTTAAACTGTTAAAGTGTTTTATTTAAATGTGTACAACTCGCGTAACCTATAGACAGAGTTTTATCATTCTTAGATAATGGGGAGACACCGGATGAAGAAAAAAAAACACTATATTTTCTTTAACTTATTTATTAAACCAATCACAGATTAATATTTTGCACTACGATAATACTAAATGTTCCATATACTATTCGACGTTGCGTGTAAAGAGTTGAAAAAAAGCATACAGTATTTAAGCGTAATATTAAGACAACGTAACCATACCCTTGAGTTATATACATCAGTCTACTCGATTTAGTAAAAATCTTATTATAATCGACCTCAATCAGCTTGTTCACGTCGCGCAAAATTACAAATTGTCATAAAAATCGACATTGTGAGAATCATTTTGAATTAATGCACTGAACTGTAAAATTTTTGTTACAGGTTTTTATATAGTTTCATATCGCAATAAGGATGTTACCTAATTCTTAAATCAACATAGACAGACAGCCAAGTTAATCTTATTAGATATATATTTTGAACGCAATTTAAGTTCTCTAAGTTATATCCCTTGGTATGGCCTACAGAAAAAAAAATCCAGTGCATTAATTTATCAAAAAAGATAAGTTCGATAGTTTAGGATTTAAACTCCACTTCATAAGTAGTAAATAAACGGCCTAACTGAAAAAATACACCGAACGCGATACGCTTTTGATGTCAAAATCTCCCTTCTCTGGCACTTTTTTGAGGAGAGAGTTTACGCGTTTCCTGTTCGCTGCAGGAGCTGAGTCGTCGTTGAGGTCTCTGAAAATATAATAAAAACATATAAAAATAATAAAATATAATATATAAAAGTATTATTATTTTACATTAAAATGTATTTTGTGAGAATACATGCGTGATAGGTCCTGGGATTCGAACCCAGGACCTGTCGCGCTTAACGCAATGCTGGGCAATACGTTTAACCATTTGGCTACAGAGGCGGCCATCGTGTTATGTAAGAGATATATATATTTTCTTGTGGAAATTACCATTGAAAAAAATACCAATTATACAATTCACTCTCCTCATAGGATTTCTCATTTAGTTTACTGTTTCAAGGAAGGAGGGGTGGTTATACGATAAAGCCATTAAGAAAAAAACTCACTTCTCTGGGTAACTGTATCTCTTCACCATAAAATCGGAGAGATTTTCTAAAATAGGCTGCGAATGAAGCGCCACAAACTGTTCCCGACATATCTGGAATAAAGTTTACTATTTAGCGAATAGAAAATGACTATGCCATTATGCTAAACCGATTTCAATTCTTCTTAATAACACTACAGCTCCGCAAAGTAGACAACTCTACTATTAAAGTCAAACAAACCTTGTTCATCTGGTCAACAGTGTTGGGATGTGTCCAGAAACAGTCGTGGACGGACACAAAGGTGACGGCGTTCGCCTCGCAGTACAATCCCGTCAGCATCATGTGGGACGAGTCCAGCGAATGGATGAAGTTCGGTGGAAATGCGTTGCGTTGCTTCATTGTGCATGGACGTCTGTGGAAGTTTAATATTAGTATAAGTTGTTGCGTTATAAAGTAAAACCAGTCGCTTGTACAAGTCCCAAGTGAGAGTCGGACTAGTACTATTCGTGTGGTCCAACGAAAATATACTTCAATTGAAGCGGACTCGATGGTATAGTGGTAGCAGTCTTGCTAATAAACAACGGGTCATAAGTTCGATCTGCCCCGGGTTCATCATTTATCAAACTTATAACATTTCTAAAGCATGTACTTCGTCTGGAAATCTGGACATTAAATGGGCGGTACGAATATCGAAATTCCGTAGGGATCACTAACCACTCCACAGATGGAGAAGCCGTCAAGATTAATCGCGCTTCGGTTTCAAACTGTGAATATCGGAATATCCAAATCGAAAATAGCTCAACCGCACATCTAGTTTAAATGTTATATGGCCGAGGTATTTCACTTGCCATCAAGTGCTTGTCTGTCCTCTTTTATCATAAAAAAAAACTTATTGACATAAAACAATAAAAAGACGCGCCCTCATAACTAGGGTTGGTGCAAAGCATTTTTTATGGCGCGACATAGTAAAATACCGTAAAACTACACTTCATTCATCATATATTAGTAGAATTACTAAGGAAACTACTTAAGTTTCTGAGCTTTCCATCGTAATTCAGAAATGTTCTAGACGTTTCGCAATAACAAGTGAAAAACATCACACAAAGGTGTATTAAGTACCCAAGTTACCAAAATGACCTCGAAAGCCTTATACAATTTATAGATCTACTTACTGATTCAGGTCGACAGGCGCCGCACACGGTAAATTAGAACTGTTGCTCCGCCGATAATAGGGCTGCAACACAGGCAGACCCAACGGAGTTTTCCACTCGACACTCTCGCCACACACTCCTGATATCATCCTGAAAATATGTGAATGGTTAGAGCAACAGCACGGATCGCTGCGGATTGCGGTTCAAGTCCTGCTCGTGTCGTAAAATGTTTTCAATTTAAACGAGATTTTATTTTAATATCGAATAGTAGAAAGCGTAGGCTCCAGAAGAAAGTTAGTCTTAGTTAGTTGATTTGGGTACGACCATAATTCAAATTCAAATAATTTAACCCACACCAAAGAATATAGATAGATATAGAAAATACAAATATTTGTTATTGTCACAAAACGTAACAATAAATAAAAATTGGTGAAAATCAAGGACAAATGGCGTCTTTATAGCTAACTCTTCCAAGCAAGTGCGGTGAAAAAAAGGTACTTACTTAAATTTATAATAACAATAATATAAAAATGAGCTTTATCGAAAATACACTAATAATCTTAACTAAATATAAATTATAAAATTATATAAAAAACATAAATTGTTGACATTTATCACATACACTAACTTTGCTGTGGGTCCTCCCATTCACAGGAGTATAGTATTATTCATATCATTATATATCTGTGTCTTATAACCACCCCCGCAGTTTCAAGACACTTCAATTTGGTAAAAGCATTTACCAAATCGACATTCACCATACTCACTTAGCACAATCGGTGAACCAGTCCTGAATGAGCTTCGTTGAAGTAAACATAGCTTTAAGACTGTCGAAAGTCTTCGAAGTCAGGTATAAGGAACAAGCCCAAACGTGCTCCTTTGGGAATTCGTCGATATCTGCAACGAGGGGAGATATTTTAGGTTTTATTAATACAGTTTTAGGCTGAATTTATATTGATTTGAAACAGTAAGTATAGTTAAATTAATCTAATGGTTATCTTAGAAATACCCAAGTTTCGTTATATTTGATATTTTCATTGAAAACTATATTATTTTTCACATGTTTATTCCAGTTATGGTATTATATTATAAATTAAACAAAATATTTAGAAATATAGGGTTGATATTAAACATATGTACGTGTAACACATAATTAAACAAGTAGTTATTAGTCATTCTCCACAATACCTTTAAGCTGTTTAGCGATTTGCAGCCGAGCACCGAACCTGGTAACTCCGTACACAGTCGTCATGACAGTCTGTTTTATTACTTTTCGTCGCACAAACCCGTCGAGGACGATAGCCGGCTTCACACCCGCTTCAGCATCACGGATCCTCATAGATTCAATCTATCACAACATTTCAGCTATAAAATTAACTGTATCTTCCATTTCAATTTTAATTCAATTTAAAATTTGAAAATTTTACGACAGTTTACGGGCAGGTCTTAAACTGTCTTCCACAGCACTCAGTGCTGTTGCTCTAACTAATTCATGAATGTATTTTCTATTGCCAAACAAGTATATCTTTATCAATGAAGCGAAGAGTTTTGCTTGGTTATGGGCGATAGTATCAGATAGCATGAATTAATACATTGTATATACACTATAATATGGGGTATATAACATCATTTTCTGTGCAACATAAGAGCAAAGAACAATTAATATTTTAAAAACTTAGCTGCACTTATTTAAAACAAAATATTAGAATACCGAATATAGATGTTTATTTTTCTATTTTATCTAATATATATTTTTGAGTACTGCCAATATGTACTCTGAACATTATTTCTTTAGGACCCTTTTTGTTAACTGTATTACTTTCTTTATGGTCTCATAAGAAACGTTGTTTCAGTGTAAAAGACCATAAGGACATAATAAATAACCGAAAACGTAATAAATAACCTTAAGCCATAATAATATAGCGCTAGTGGTATAAACTTACCATAGCAGCGACCTCACTGTAGACATCTTGCGGTCGGTCGAGCGGTGCAAGATTAACTGCAGCCGCACCCGCCGAGTCTCCACCCAACGCCGCATAATGCTGTAAGCCATTACACGAACCGTCTTGGTGTACAGGAAAACCGCACATATATTCTAAAAAAAAAATCAATATGGCTTATGTTATTTTCCAGTAGTGGATAATGGATTTTGAATAAAAATAACGATTTATAACTTTATGTACATAAATAGTTTGTTCAAGCTTACCTGCAGGATTTGGTGACCTTATCGCATTGGCTATCTCCATGCAGCAAGCAAGGGTCTGCCAAGGCTCTTCTGACTTTTTCCACCAGCCCTGACCGTCCAGAGGATGGTCTGCCGAGTCCAATATCTTATCTATTATGCTATCCGCGAATTGTAATCTGTAAGTACCAGAAAAAAACAGCCAAAACTTACTATAAGTTTAAATGTTAATCTTAGGAACTCTCTTGGTGGAATTTCATTTGCTATAATTATATTTGGGAAGAGGATTTTTAGAACAGTCTCGTCCCTTTAAAATATGTGTGCAAATGAAATTAAAAAAATGGAAACATCTTGTTGTTTTGAAACTATGAATTAGCTTAACGTTGTATTATTGATGCTTCGAGCCGAAACGTAACTCTAAAAATTATATACCGGCCGACAACTTTGATACTTGATGATTTTGGCTTTAAAACTGATCTAAAAGTCATAACATATATTTACCGTTCCTCAATAGTGCTTCGTTTCTTTGTGCCCGTGAGATTTATGGCATGTAACTTGAGCCAGTATAAGCCACGTTCACCGAGAGGTCGTTTACGCGCCATTACAAGTAGGGCGCGTGCCGCATCCGCACCCAAAGCGGACACGTGGGGTCCAACTGCATAAACACGTCCACGAAAATCCATGTTATGTGGCAGCCAGAAGACTCGATTCCTATAAGTTTTTTTATTAATCTTAAACTTATAAACAAATGTTGACTCCAAATTATTATCAACTACTAATCATTACACTACAAACGGAATCAGAAATGTCTATCCGACGAAAAATTGTCAGAGTCATTAAATGACGATGGATGTGTTCTTATTTAGTTTGGTTTATCTGATTTTCTTACTTAGGGGCCATTCATTCATGTTTGCTAGTTTTTGACACCTTCCTCTCTATCATAAGAAAAAATTGAATAGGCCGACTCCCTCCCTCTAGTCAAAAACTGAAAAACTAAAGGTAGAGTAAGAACTTGTTTATTTGTACAAAGGTGCTAATACTTTCTATTTATTGGTAGTAGTAGGTATTCATCTTAAAATTATACATCCGTTAATCTCTACATACATAAGAACATAAAATAAAATATAATATATTTAAAACAGTGCGAATTTATTTTTTTGCGTAAGGACTAAGAAGTATCAAGATTCCCTCACCCCCTTGTAAAATGCTAAGACTTTTCCCCCTAAATCGTCCTACATAATTAATGAATGGCCCCTTATCAAAGGCAAGTTATTGCCCTCGTAATTTTCTTACTCAGTTAATAAGTTTAAGTACCTGTAGTGGTTTGAAAGCGATAGCTTGTACAACGAGTCGCACCACAACGAATGCATATCAGCGCGTGCGCGGTTCAACGCGATCCGACGTTTGTAGGATGTGCTCGCCTCGTTCGCGCCTTCCGAAGAATCAATATCCGATAGTTCAAGAGATGAGGCTGGAGATGGAATGTCTAGTTTTTTGTCACCTCCCGATCTGTCAAATCGATATACTTAAATTAAGACCAAAAAATGTCTAGATAACATTTTTTTTATATTCATATTTTTCACTAGTTAGATTACTATTTTAGTATTAAAAGAAATAAGCTCCCATTTCTTAGGCGGTAAACGAGATTTTTTTTTTATTTTAAATGACAAGTTTTTATTACTACTACAAAACAAAGTTTAGTAGTAGTAAAAAAAGTTATATATCACAATTTTACTATTTATATAAAGTAATTCGCCGAATTATGCCACATTGATTTACATCAAGATATCAAAGTTACACAGTTTTTTTATTGACTGATTGAAATTTGTCGTCTTTTGTGTAATCGACACGCAGTCCAGATTATGCGTCAAACGATTAAACTAAGCTATTGGTACTATAAGATATACATAAATATTACAGTGATTTTCTAATTGATGTAAGCACACAGACATACTTAAAGACTTTAAGCTGAAGGTCCAATATGGGTCCATTGATGACCCAGGGCACCTCTCCCAGTTGATTCAAGCTGTCAAGAACGGGGTAAAGCTCTGTTTGCGGCGCTTCCCTCAGTCTCTGCATTTGGGTCATTACATATACTGGCATCCTGTATTAATTTAAAATGTTTATTTTCATGGAAGATGCAATACTGCAATTAGTTATAAATATACAGCTTTATATTTTCTAGCTGTGCTTTCTATATGTGTAAGGAATAGTTATTTTGGGCGCGGACATTATTTATATGTTTTAGATCATTTTTAGATTCTGTCATAAATATTTCTTGGATATCTTAAACCGTCTTCGCAGCGAACGCAACGAAAGCCTTCAAAGATGAATAAGTTTCCCCGCTTTTTTTCCACTGTTTCTTCGCTTCTTTGCATCGCAGTGTGATATTATTTTGCCTTCTGTGATAAATGCTCTATTCAACACAAAAATAATATTTCACCATGAACCAGTAGTTTCTGAGATTAGCGCATTTAAGAAAACCAACAAATTCTTCAGCTTTATAATATTTATTTTATTTTTATATACATATATGGTAATGTGTAATGATTCGGTGTTCATACCTAATAAGGGGCGTCCCCGTGAGCAAGTACGCTCCGGGCGTGGTAGCCGTGAGCCACGGCGCTGGTGGCGATACGGTGGGAGCGAGTGACGTGCGCATACGCAAAGTGGGGCGCGCTGTGGCAGCGCACAGTCGTGTGAGGATAGGGTGGGGTTTCAACTCCAGGCGGACGAAACGACCCCACGGCCGATGCACTTTGTACACAGCTGGCAGCTTTTTACTAAGAAAAACAATAACGAATAAATAAAAAAATTATGGACTTAGTCATTTAAAAAATCCTAAATCTTAATTTTATATACCAATTTACAAGGGTAACAGAATCACTTACACTTTAGCTTTCGGCTTGAACAAATTGACATCAATTTTAACATCGTTTATAATGATATTGTAAAGGAATTTGCCGATGTTCAGTCGAATTTCCGAAGACCATGGAGTTTCTTCTATGTCCTGTAATATTATAAAAAAATATTATATTACCTATGTGATAGATAAAGCCTAGTTAAATACCTAAGACCTAAGTTATCGGATAGAAGTACATATATTATTATGAAATAACTGAAAAGGAAAGAAAAAGGGACACTGAACAAATTTTACAACTCCCGATACTTTAACTTAAGTAATTACGTAAATATTAAAAAAAACAGTCTTAAGACAACGCTACTTACTAAACTAGCGCCATCTCTATTTTGGTGTACGAGTAACTGCCACGCCTGTCGACCGTTGTATGGCCGTCCGCTGTCGTCAAGCGGGTGCCTCTCCAAATACCACTTGCAATACTTCTCGTACACTTGTTCAATTTTCTTTTGCACTCCGTTCTTCTTGAATTGGTCTATTTGGTACCTTGAAGGAGATAGTATTACAATAACATACTTATGACAAATATATTACATATATACAGTAGATCTGTTTTTATTATGATAGAGGACAGACAAGCATAAGGTTTACTTGATCGTAGGTGACCCCAGTCATATAATAATTAGACTTTTAACTTTTTCATCTGTGGACGCTGATCCGGAAGGCATTTCGATATTTCTACCACCCATTTAAATTTTAATTTTTCTTGCTAAATCTTTTAGCAAGAAAAATACTTTTTAACAAATTAAAAAAGTATTACCTATTACTTTACTTAAAGCATAGGAAAAAAACATGCTTAAAAAAACTTACTTGCTATACACCTGTGCACCCAAATCTCGTTGCAATAACTTGAGTGTAGGACTGTACGACTCACTGCCACTCACTAATTTCATTATTTCGCCCATCATTAGTTCAACAAATTCATCGACCTGAAATTTTTCGTTATTAAGAATTATAAGTTACTAGTATACTTGTACTCATTTTGGGTTATTTAGTCAAATAGTTTAAGAACCTAAAAGTGTATAGAATATATTATTTTAATACATAATATTGATAATCGTCAAAAAGTATATGTTGGCAAAATAATTATATTTGTAGCGAACGCGAGTACTTCCTTCCTTTCAAAATATGTGTTCGCTAGTTATTACAAACAAAACTCACCTCAAGAACTTTCAAGTACGGGTATAAAGTGATTGCTGACTGCGAAGCGTGACTACGAGACTTGAGCGTGCTGAGATTACGAATAAAGGCTTCTTTTAATACTTCGCGCCACTCCTTCTCTGCTTCGTTCCATAGCTCCCGCTGAAATGGGGCATAAGGACACAAATAAATAATCATTGATACCTAAACGGTAACTAAAGTCGTGAACTCTATTTGTCTTGAAAAAAATTCACGCGGGTATGATAAAATACAAACTACCCTTTTTTCGTTAGGTTAGGTTATTTAAAAAAGCAAAACTGATTTCAATTTAATGTTTTAAGTGACGCCAAATTAAGAAGCATTAAAATATTACATGATACATACATATACCCTAAATGTAGCTGATTCGTCGTCCTTTAAAGCTATATTTTCCACTTCAATTTCACTATCAATCTCCATTTGTATTTGCTCTTTCCCTATAGCTTTTAATTCATCCAGAGTCAATAAACCCTCGGCTGGAGACGTGAATAGTCCTTTCCTATTATCTACTTTATCCAATTTAATTCTGTCAAGCAAAGGGCAATCATAATCCAATGGAGGTAGTGTGTATTTTGGTTCGAAGTTGGGCTCAATTAGTCTAATTGCTTCGAGCACTGTTTCGCGTTGGTCAAAAAGAAACTTTGACTTGTCCAACAGGTCGTTTAACGATATTCCCTGAAATAGTTTTAATATAGTAACAATTAGCTATAGTACGAAACTCATTGGAAGGGTCTTTGGATTAATAAACACTAAAATAAACTCGCTCTTTGCAGCAGTTTCTCCGTAACCATGGCTGCTGTAAAGGATCCGAAACGTTGGGTCGAAGTTAAAATAATTTTCAAATAACTTCAACTAACTATATCGCGTTTTAAACAGTTAAAGTGTTTCAATGAAATATGTACTACTCGCGTTAACTACAGACAGTATTTAAACTTACTCTGTCATCCATAAGCTTTTGATAAAAATTCAAAACTTTATTCTTTTCCTCTATATCAGTTCGTTGTACACATTCAAATATTGCAGCAAATGTCTGTGCATTCATCTCAATGCCGCCTTCTCCCATTTGTGAAAGCAGCTCCTTAGCTTGTTCCATCTTACCCTGAAAATAAAAAATAACATCTCTAGTGGTTCACTAGTTTAAAAAATGTCTCAGTTTTAGGAAGGCTAAACAGCATATTGCTAAGATCAACAGGCGCTCAGTTGTGCATTCTGCAATACACCAAAGACGGTAGTTTGTGCACTACCTGTGTTCCATATGGTTACAATTTTGCAAAGTATGTATGAAGGGTCTGAGTCACATACTATGTTGAGGTCGTTTTAAGTTTCATTAAAGGTTTTGAATCTAAATGAGATTTTAAAGCATTTTTGTGTTTTTATTACCTCTGACGCGTAGCCATGTAACAGGGTGTTGTATATTTGCACATCCTTAACCTGTGGCATGTCGGCCCTATTAGAACCTCTTCGCCTATAGTATTTTAAAACATGATGACCCTGCAAAAGGTAAACATTTATTTTAATACAAGGAAATTCATTACATTTTTTATAGAACATCTAGATTATCTTAGTCACTTATCTATCACTACCCTTATCAACTGACTAAGATAAACCAAAAATGGGGACAATGCTTGGTATTAATGTTTATTACATATGAAAGCAAATTTGTGTGTAGTTTACAATATGAGCATGACTTCAACATTGGTTTATAATTTTTACAGGGCTTTTATAAATATCATTGCTCTAGGGGGCGTGTCTGTGACAATTCATTTGCAAAAATAAGGAAGCATAATAGAAATACAATCTAAAGGCTAATGATAATACCTCAGAAACCATATTAAGAGAACAAAGTAATTTTAAGTGAGCAGCCAATGTTCTTTGCAGCCCTTCTTCTTTTCCTCTCTTTCCGAGTTGCTTAATGTCTTCTTTCATATTAACTTCCTTTGCAGCACGACGTTTTTCGCGTATTTTCTTACGTTTTTCTTTCATCGCTGTTTGTCTATAATAAAAGAACATAGATATGGAGTCACACAATTATTATAGGATATTTCTTGGTGGTCAAGAACATTAAAGGAGTTGTATTGAAGGTACCATTATGTAATTTTCTTAATGAAACACTAAACAGGACAAAATCTTTAATATCAATCAAATACCAAATAGTGGTTTTTATTATTATTTGTCATTAGGAAGTAGCCGATTGCAAGGGGGTTGTTCAAAATACTTACATTTTCTTAACATTCAGTGTTTGCACATTATTTACAATACTTTCTAATTCTACATCAACTTTACTCTCTGAAATATCACCGTGCTCAGTGTCACATATATCTTCTAAAGTCAGAGGGGAAACACCTTGCAATCTGAAAGCAATTCACATTGAATTTAAACAATAAAGACTGTATGTGTGTATTAAAAACAGTAGGAAATAAGTCAGTAAACAATTAAAGTTTTACACAATCATTCATTTTCAATAGAAGCAATTCTATCCTATTCATGGTAATAAATACATAACTTAATTCAATAATAACACTTACTGTAAATGAGATAATTGACTCATTAACTCTGGATCATAATTATCAAAAGTATTATCTACAAAAATTTCTCGGAATACTGCATGAGGACTCTTTGGTATTGCTGAAGATTCAGGATTTGGAGGCTTGTTGAAGTTCAGTTCTTGATTCAACCCCTCATTAATAGCATAGCGCAAATCTTTTAGGCTCTGATGAAAAATTGTAGTCTTTCTGAAGTCATAATAACTCTCCTTAACTTTATCAAGATAATCTTTTGTTTTAAATGTATCTTCTAATCTAGATATGTTGTGGTTGGAAAAAATTAGGGCACATGTGTCATCTTCTAGTTTTATGACAGATTCCTTTTTTAGAATTTTCTTTTTAACAGTCTCCAAGAGTTCAGTGTCCACTTTGATTTTGTCCAAATTTTTAATATGGTTAATTTTCTTTACTGGTTTTGTCAACTGGTGAAGTTCTCCAAGAGATATTGTACTGGATGCCAATTGAGATAGATGGGAAGCGTGTAGTTTACTTATCGACACCATGGATTCTGACATGCTACCTTCATTAACTGAAAATTTTAATTTAAAACTTTATAAACTGATAAAAGTAAGGTAAACAAGAAGTTTAATCTATGCCAACCTTCCAACAGTTCTCCATATTTCTTATATACTTTGTGTTTTGATTTCTTTTTGTGAGCTCTAAGTGCACTAGCTGTTTTCGTAGATTGATGTCTAATAGAGAAGAAGTTTTCTAAAACGTAAATAGAAGTTATGCAATGCAAAGGTTATGTTTATCACACTAAAAATAAACTAAAGAGACTGTCATAAATATTTTACTTGAAATAATAATGATTACTGAGATACTTATTATTTACCCGTTATATTCGAAGTTTGTAAAAATTTCCTGCAGTAAGAACATTTTACTTCCGTGGTATTCAAGATTTTTGCAACATAATGAGAGGACGAATTAAAACCTTGTAAATTAGTCTGATATATGTTACGGGCTGAAATAAGTCTGTGCATATTTGTAATAATAGCATCACAACGCACAATACGAAATTAAATTATATGCGATCCATCTTAAAACCATGCCGAAAATTAAATTAAAAACATTGAAAACACGTGAAAACTGATTATTGACATATTATAGTTGACAATTTACATTTAACTTTAATTAAGTTTAAAATTATATTCGCTTTTTTAGTCTGTGTTTATTTCGTGTCACTCTATATCGGTGTGTCAGTTGTCAAAACGTCCACTGTCACTTGATGTTCGACGTTTCATGTTATTGTTTGTTTTATAATTCTTACGAATTGAAAGTACAAAAGTAATTTGCTTAATAAACTATGTAATATTATTTTTTATAAACTTCACCAGGTAACGTAAGTACGTAGGTTTGCGTATTTCACATATATCGTATTGCAAAATCACGATTTGGCAACACTTCATATTTCATGCAATAAGCGTTACATTCTTTGCATGTTATTGATTTGATATTATCGATTTAATTCATTTTTACTTATCCCACCAGTCGTCTAAACCTAGTCTACTCTCAGGTAATAGGCCTCTTACAAAATCCCAAAATTAAAGTTTATTCGTACACTCAGTACGAATAAACTTTTTTACGAGTGTTTTTTGGAAAATCTGCAACTAACGATTTTCTACTATATTTCGCAGCGTAATAAAATGAATGACAAATCCGTTGCATGTAAGTATTAAAAATATTTTACATTGAGCATAATTGTTTGGTGCTATCATTTGCATAATCATTAAATATTATGCATTACAGGGGACCCAGAATTGAGTGTGAAATTCTTCAAATTGCGATTTAAATATGAATGGTTATTTAAAAAGAAGAAACAACCTTGGAGGTAAGACATTAATAATATTATTACTAGACATCGAATTATATCAAAATGCATGTATTTTATACTGTCATTGCATAATTTGTTAATCGATTTCTGTCTGCTTATTTGGTAGTGTGGAAGATCAAGACAATGGTATGTATTCTTGCATATTCTACTATTAACTGTTAATTATAGCAATAATTAGCTTGCAGTAATTATTATGTAAGTTAGTCAAATAATATTTAGATATTTTTAACAAGAATTAAAAATTTCACTCTAATCTTCATACAATTAATATAGTGGAAATACTTTTATTATATATAATCCGATGTCTAGTTGGTGTGTATAGGATGTTATAATTATTGGATACAAATCCAATAAGAGTCTAATTATATATTATGTTAATATACAGTTCTGATTGTTAAAAGCAGCCTTCTTTATAATGGCATTCTTAATCATTTTTCCTTGTTTCAATTAATACTATTCTTATACCGATTAAAACTTTTTAATAAAATTGCACTGATAAAGGTTTTTAAGAATAATTTTATTTGTTATAGCGAGTTTCGAAAAATTCTACTAGATCATAGTTTTCCAGAGGAAATTACAATACCATATATTAGGAAAAAGTGGAATTATACATATGATGTAAGTATTCAGGCTATGAATGATAGATACATTACATTCTAAACATTTAAAGAACTTGATTTTGACCCATTGAATGTCAGGAACTACTTGGTTAAAAATGAAAAATTATTTTTGTGTTGTATAGACCATTTATTGAGGAAGACTTTAGGCTATATAACATCACGCTGCGACCAATAGCAGTTACTTCACTCATATTGATCGCAGCGTGATGTGGTCGCATAGTTGGAAATTTAAAAAAACGGGGAGCATTATTTAAGTTTTCACTCAACTGTACATATGACTTAATGAAAACTACTTTTTTTTATAGATGTACAGAATAGCAAAGAGAGATCAAAATACACATTGGAAATATTTTAAGATATTTGAAAAGCATTATGGCAAGAAAAAGGTGTTGGATGCTAAATACCAATCATGTAAGTATCATTCAAGAGTCAGGAAAAATTAGGCTTAAGTAGGTTGAAAATGAATATTCCTTATAAAAAATAATTTACTAATGATGCGTTATCCTTTTTTCTATGAGCATATGTTTAAAGACGTAGACGTAAGTGTATAGGTACATATCGTAGTTGTAACATGTAAACAAAAAGCACAACATGAAGTTTTTATTTTTAAATCACTTCTCATAAGTAGATATCCTTAATCAATGTATATTATCGTCTTTGCAGTAAGCCCTTACCCACATTAACGTCTCCTTTTCGTAGTGGACTAGTTGACGTCTACGGTCGTCTAGGTACTCTGTAAATAAGTAAATTATTTTGTGTCTACATAGAAAAAGTACTTGTACTATATTTTGCAGTTGCAGTGTCATTAATGAAACATCAAAGTTTATATCAAGTTTAATTTAAAAATAACTATCAAACAGACAAAAAACTTTGAATTAAAAATCGAAAATAAATTGAAAAACTTTCGACTCGGAAGGACTTGAACAGGCATCGTCAGCGTTCCGTGCTGTTGCTCTACCAATTGAGCTACCGAATTACCGAACTTTGAATTACTAATTTAACAACTTACAAATACTATACATATACTGTTGTTACGAATCCCTATCAACTAAAAGGCAATTTTAACTGTGGTATTGGAATGATAATAGTTATTTTAGAAAGTTCTGATTAAATATTGTAATGCACTTTCGTGCTCGACTGTCCGTTCCGATTGTGTAAATATGTATATCAATCAAAAGTCATGCGCGTAACAAATCCCGGGACGAGCTGGCTAATCAATATCCAGGATATCTAGACTGCATCTATAAGGTATAATTGCGCGTAAAATAAATATAATCTGCGCAGACAGTAATTTCTAGGTACCATTGCAAGGGTAGTGTGGGGGCAGACGCATCGGTAACCATAGCAATTTAGCCCTGGGGTTTGTCCGGGTCTACATTCATTTCAATATTCGTCCGATTAGCGTCCTAACGAGTTCTCGTGTAGGCAACGATGTGATAGATTTATTCTTTATTATTTACCGTCGTAATTGCTGTTCTATTAGATATACATGTTTGATCGCTGTAAACGTAAGGTATATTTTTGAAATATTTGATAATAAATTTAACTCAACGTCACTTTAAAATTTAACTTAGATTTAACTTTTTTCTAAGCAATAGGTATAAAAGTTGAATGAAAACCCAAAAGTAATGTACGATACCAGTGTTGATTTATGTTTTGCAGAATTATTATGTTTTTTTTTTTTTTTAGGGAATGACGAGTGGCGATTGAAATTGATAATTTGTATGACAGAAACGAAAAAAATGAAATTCGATAACTACAGTATGTGGAGGTGAGTAATTGTTAAAAGCAAATACTTTTTTTTTCTCGTTTCTTTCAAGTAAAATAGAAAAACTAGGTTGTTTCCTTTTCAAACCATCTAAATTCTTGGCTAAAATAGATTACAATCTATTTTAGCCAAGAATTTAGATGGTTTACATGCAATACATTTTGAAAATTAAAATTAACTATATCTACTGACTACATACTATGTATTATATAATTTGATATTCCATTCCCACCTAAAGATCAATCACACAGCATAACCTTAGTGTTAATTCCTATTTTATTAAATTGTTCTATTAATAAGGACTATAGAGCATTCCATGCGGTCTCAGGATATGCCAAATCATTGCTGCGTACAGGACATGAAAGGGCTCTGGTACCATCTTAAGATGACATTCAATGTAAGTAGTAGAAGTTATTATAACATATTATGTACTATGTAAATTTGGGAGAACTGGGAATATGGAAGGATTGGTCTAATGGTAGCAATGTATCCAATAATCAACGGGTCGTTGATCTCCACCAGATCCAATATGTTTCTAATTTTTCTAAAACATGTTGGACTTCGTCTGGAAATCCTGATATTAAATGGGAGGGAATTACCGTCCGAGACACGAACCGCAGGTGAAAAAGCCGTGAAGCTTAATCGCGTTTCGGTTTCAGTCTGTGGACTTGTGAATATCCAAAGCCAAAATAGGACGACAGCGCATCTTGTTTAGATGATATAGGCACCAGCTACCATGCTTGTCTGTCCTATTTCATATAAAAAACAACGTTAGTTTGTAATTTGCTTACAGTCGTCTCACCTTAGCCATTCAAACGTCTTCTTTCATTTAAACTCAGACACATTATTGACATAAAGGTGTGTTTTGCAGCGAAAACATAGGCTTAAGCTAAAGAAACATAATGAAGACAGTGATTGGCCGCTATATGAACCCATGTTGGAGTATTTTAAGCTTTTGGAACCGGAATACCTCGTACGCCTTGAAACATTACCAGCCCGAGATATGTTTAATACACTGAAATGCAGAAAAAGCAGCGGATGCGGCAATGCTGTCGGGAAAGACGAATCTACCTTTCAATGTACGTAAATTACTAACTACCCTCGCAGTTTTAACAAAGTTTTTTCTAACATCATATAAATAGCAGTGAATACCTCATAATGCTTTGAATATTTACAGGGTCAAAAGATATTACTGAATCTCTTATACAAATACGTTTGCAGAATGATTGGATTTTTAGAGAATATAAATGGGCGTGGAGGTATGTTGATTAAAGCTATTCATATTATTTCTATCACTTTCCAATGCCGGATTTAAAAACGGTCCTTCTTAACTAGTTATTCTTGATATTTTTTAATATGATTTCTATTATTATCTATTTTGCTTTACTATTTATTTACACCAACTGTCTCGATAAAGAAATTTTAATATAATAGTATATATATTTAAAATTAGACAGATATCAAGGCTACATTACTCTAGATGCTTTTTTTAGCAAGATGCGGACGATACTGGTGGAAGAGAATGATTTTCCGAATTCCCTAACCAGCAGGGACCTATGTAGAAAATGGTCTTCGTTGTTTTCGGTAAGATTTCATTATATTTAAAAAATAACTATCTATAATACTTGATATCATTCACATTATTTTTATTTAATTGTACAACACATTACGTCAATATGTTGACAGTAAAAATAGCATTGTGTAGGCGAAATGAAACTTCACTTTCAAAATGTTTTTACAGGAATACCAAAAAGCGAAAGCTACAGAGAACAAAACGTGGTTATATTATTCATTGTTTGAACTTTATCTCGGTGAAGGAAATCTTAGTTTAAATCCTCTTTGTGGATGTAAGTTTTATGTTTTATTAACTAGTGTTTAAAAAGCAAGATAAACAATATAATTTAAAAATCGAAAATAAATTTAAAAATATTTCGACTCGGGCAGGACTTGAACCGGACGATGCCAGCTTTCCGTGCTGTTGCTCTACCAATTGAGTACCTATACCTACCTATGCCGGTTCAAGTCCTGCCCGAGTGGAAATTTTTTTCAATTTATTTTCGATTTTTAAATTATATACTGCCTTCATGTGCAATAACATGTGAAAATTATTAATGTTTTCAAAGATAAACAATATGTAATTTTCAGCTATAGAAGAACCATATTCCAAGTCATAATACATGATTCGATTGAAAAGTATAATTATGTAACATTAATAATAAAACGATATTTATTTGATTGTTGTAGAATGTTATTTACGTGTTTTACATTTACAAATTACAATATATAAATTACAAATTGTCTAAAGATCACTTTTTATTTATCATCTTTGTTTTTATAGGGCAGGAAGAATGGGTAAAAAGCTTTATTAGAATAAGATCAGAACTGGACCACTTGTTTACAACAGAGAAGCGTAGCAATAATGATGGATGGCGGTAAGGCATTTTTATATTTTATTTGGATGATATATTCGTGGATTTGGGGATATAATTATTGCCAATAAAATAAAAGTTTATTATTTATTTACCTGGTATTCTAATCCAAGCCATAATTCTAGCAGTACTGAAAAGTACCCAAAAGTGATTTATTTTTACTATCTTTATTTTATGCTTTGATGGAATATAGGAAGGTGGAACAAAAGCTGAGAGCAACCGGGCTACCTCTAGACCATAGTGTTTTGGACTTGCCAGATATGTGGGATCACTTGTTTAAAACATTTAAGGTAAATTCAACCTGAATTTGGCTTTATTTTAACCTGAGTTGTTACTTATGATCTTTGATTTGATAGTAATTATTACTAATAGTATTCATTGCAGTTTTATTAAGATTTATAGATGCTTAAGCTGATTAAACTGTATTTTGAAAAATATGTGTATCAGCAATAGCATGCCTACTTATATTTGTTGCATGTGATTGTTTTTTCTTATTAAAATAGACATTAAACCACATTTTTCCTGGTTTATGTTACATCTTTAGTCCTTCCCTTTCGAAAAACAAAGACAACATGTTATTACTTAAAAGTTATTTTCTTTTCAGTGGAAGAGGAAATTTCTTAACCAAGGAATATTAAACGAACAGTGGCCTTACTTAGATCTTATGGCGCAATACTCTGAGACACATTACAGACTAAATCAAGCGCATAAGAACGAGGATTCGCGTGATTATGAAGACTGCGAAGATGATATGAAACTAATAGATATCAAGAAGTTGGTCAAGCCCAAGTTTGAAGTCCTCGAAGCGAACAATTGCAGGTCGTGCGCCAATGATGAGGCGTGCATAAGTTTATTTGATCACCGGGATGGGGATGGTGTAGATTTAGCTTCAAAATTAAGGCTTATTGGCGGTGTTGAGGTAAGTCTAATGGATTGCAGGTTTGTCCATTATGCTTAGCACGTTTGAAAATAAAAAATATATTAATTTATTCAAACATGTTATATGTAGGCAATTTTTATAAGTTTTAATGTTGGTATATTTTACAGATTTCCAAATGTAACTAGCTTTAATAATGTAATCATTTTAAATTCAAATATATAAGTTTTCTTCATGAAGTATACAATAATAAAGACATTTTATTAAAACGGTTTACTTATTTTAGATAGAGCAATCTGATTCATTACCGTACAACATATGCCTACATTGCCTTCAAGAACTCGAAACGGCGTACAAATTTCGCCGAAAATGCCAAGAGGTTGACAAAGAATTTCGCGATAAGAAGAACGCAAACACAGTTAAAATAGAAATAAATATACCTCAAGACGATATATTTAATAGCCTGGATGCGGATATGGATTTTGAAATGACCACTGAAGAGCCCCAACCGAAAAAAAAGCGAAACGACTATTAGTTAGAAAGAAATACCCGAAGTACGATTACTGGAAAGTTTGCGAGATCTGTGGCAAAAATACCAGAAATTTAAACACACATTTAGAATCCCATTCAAACGATAGGTTATACTCTTGCGAAATATGTAGCAAAACCTTCAAATTCAAAAGTGGGTTAAGTTTGCATAGAGCCATCCACAATCCCCCGAAAAAGACATGCGAGGTTTGCGGAAAGAAATTCCATATTATCGCTCAGTATAGACGTCATTTTCAATACCACGCGAACGAAAGGAAATATGAATGTGAAACCTGTGGAAAGAGGTTCAATTCTTCGGATATTTTGAGGGTCCACGCCAGATCTCATACTGACGAGAGACCATTCTCTTGTCCCGAGTGTGGCAAAACATTTCGCACCGCGGGCTGTGTTAGTCGACATAGACGCATCGTCCATCATATAAGGAAGCCCAAGCCGCAAGACGAGATGAATACCTGATTCAGGGGAAGGATTATTTTTTTGTTAGAGGAAATGAATAGATATTTATAATAATGTAGTTTTATTTTCCTTACAATTTTCACTTCGATAAAGTCTATAAAGCCACACATTTTTGTTTCAAATTAAGTTAAAAAATTAAATTGGTATTTGATTTGTTTGTATCTCAAATTGTATTGTGTTATTTTATTTACACAAACCACAGAATTGTTATAGTTGATTTATTTTTTACAAATACAATTATGCTGTGTATTGTGCTGCTCCCAAAGGCTTTCGCAGAACTTTTGTCTTTTTATCACGCTCTGGGAAAGCCTATGATAATACAATCTATTTCAACAAGAAGACTGAAGAGTTGCAAAAAGCTTTCTTCGAAGATGAATTTTGCTAAATTATTTCTAAAGGGAATTTTTGTCTTATGTCTTATAATTGTGCTGCTCCCAAAGGCTATGGCAAAACATGTGTTTCTTTCACGTTTTGTGATAGCCTATGATAGTAATGCAGTTTATTTCAACAAGAAGACTGAAGAATTGCAAAAAGATTTCGTTAAAATATATATTTTGCTAGATTATTTTCAAAGGGTATTTTTGTCTTATAATTGTGCTGCTCCCAAAGGCTATGGCAAAACATGTGTTTCTTTCACGTTTTGTGATAGCCTATGATAGTAATGCAGTTTATTTCAACAAGAAGACTGAAGAATTGCAAAAAGATTTCGTCAAAATATATATTTTGCTATATTATTTTCAAAGGGTATTTTTGCCTTATAATTGTGCTGCTCCCAAAGGCTGTCACAGAACATGTGTTTATTTTACGTTCTGTGAGAGCCTACGATAGTGATGCAAGTACATTTCAACAAGAAGGCTGAAGAATCGCAAAAGATTTCGTCAAAATATATTTTTTGCTAAATTATTTCCAAAGGGTATTTTTGTCTAATAATTGTGTTGCTCCCAAAGGCTTTCACAGAACATGTGCTTATTTCGCGTTCTGTGAAAGCCTATGATAGTGACATAATCAAATTCTACAGGAATAAAAAACGATTATACACGAGCAGTCTGCTACTTGACACTTGTACGAAATGTTTGTAATTAATTTAAATATTTCAATAAATAAACAATTTCTCCTTTATGTTCTACAATTTGCGTTATTCTGTTGACGGAATGCGCATACGTTTTCTATACGAATACTAGCGTTAAGGAGCCTTCAACAATGTAATTATTTTTAACGTATAAATATAAAACACAATAAAAACTTTTGACATGTCTATTTTCTATACTGACTGTAAGAAAATAACTTAATAATTGACTTTTTAATTTGGCTTTATTTTTTGAAACTTTTACAAATCTCACAAATAATAAACAATATAAAACCAGAATAAATTGAATCATGGTCTCTTAACCTTTTATATCTTGCTTATCAAATGTAAAGGAAATTATGTTTTTAAACCTACCTTCAACTTGTATATATGTTTACAACATGAGTTTGATGTAAAGGGATTTAGAAGTGTTTTGCTGTCTTAATTTGTCCTATTAGGAACAAAAGAATTTACAAAAACATGCTGGATGTCAAAAGAGGAGAGATGTGTCCTCTTTCACATTCTTTAACGATGTGTTACCTACCTAATAATCTATAATAGTTCGCGATGTTTCTATATAAAATTCTATAGTAAATGATTTTGAATACTGTCCATAGTTCACGCGAGTAGTACACATTTAAATAAAACACTGTAACAATTTAAAACGCGATATATTAGTTAAACTTATTTGAAAAATGATTTTTAACTTCGGCCCGACGTTTCGGATGCTTTGCAGCAACCGTGGTCACGGGGAGACTAAAGATGGAGGATGTCTCTGACGTCAAAGCAAAATTTGCCATCTGTTCCGTCGAAGTTGGTATTTGGCGAAACTACCCGGATCCTTACAGAATTGACTAACGGTGTCTTCACTTTGCTGGTATGCTGTTTACTGGAATCTAAAATTTTTAATATGGGATCCCAGGTGTTTGATAATTTGAGGCCGTCCTTCCTATAAAAATTTCGGTGTTTTTTGATTTCAATTGCTTCGCGTACCAATCTTGGAAAAAATCGACTCTCCTTTGCGAAGATTTTTAGCTGGTCAAAGCGAATGTAATGATTGGACCCTCCCGATGAGTGTTGGCATACCGCAGATTTGGAGAGACGTATATGTTCTTTAATTCTGTTTGAGATGCTACGCTTTTTTTTAAATCGAAAATAGATTGAAAAAAAAATTTCGACTCGGGCAGGACTTGAACCGGCATCGTTAGCGTTCCGTGTTGTTGCTCTACCAATTGAGCTACAGAGTCCTACACCTCATCGTCGAATTAATTCCTTCAATTAATGTTTTCATGCTACGCATTGTTTGGCCGATGTAGGATAGGCCACAATCACAATCCAGTCTGTAGACGCCTGTATCTTGTAAGGAGGTACACTTGTTTGGTTTCAGGAATTGCTGAATCTTCTTGTGCGGCTTGAAAATTGTGTCAATAGAAGCTCGATTTAGGACTCTGCTAATTCTATCTGTAAATCCCTTCACATATGGTAGATAGGCGGGCTGACATTTGACTGTGGGTGGCTTGTTCCTGTTCCTGGGATGTTGCGGAGGGACTCTCAGCTTATTCTTGCATAGGACCTGCTTGACATGGTGTAAATTCTCATTTAAGTGGGCAGCATCACAGAGACGGCGGGCTCTCTAAAACAAAGATACTCCGACAGAACTAAGTTGGCTGGGGTGGTGATGTGAGTCACCGTTCAAATACCTATCTGTATGGGTTGTTTTTCTAAAGACGGTATGCCCGATATTACCGTGTTCGTCACGAATTACTAAAATGTCTAAGAAAGGTAGTGTGTTATTGTCCTCCTGTTCCATTGTAAATTTAATGTTATTATGAATGGAGAAAAAATTGTCAAATAAGTTTAACTAATTTATCGCGTTTTACTAATTTAACCGTTAAAGTGTTTTATTTAAATAAATGATTTTTATTTAGGTAGTTGAAAACGTAATAAATAAGTCACACGCAAGATTTCAAACACTATTAAAATGTTACAGCCTATAAAAGTAATTTCTCTCTAGTGAATCTACACATGACATTTGAGTTTCTATTTTAAACGCGACATCTGAAAGGCGCTAAGTGATGCGTCATAGCAGCAGAGATAGCGTATATCTTGTTAACATAACCGAATTTAAGATCAACGTCCTTTACTTAATTTATAACACTTTTGTCAGCAGTTTGTTTATTCGACATCGAAAAATGCGTACAACTTCTGATTTATTTGTTACAAAATCATTAGTAGCTTGTAATTAAAAAAGTGCAGCAAATGCGATGCTCTAGCAGCTATCTTATGTCGCTCATATACTGTTCAAGATTAGGTATTATTATCACTATATACCTCCACATGTGACCGAAAAAACTCAATATTCAAATATATGTAATCCTTTAGGTTTACCTAAAGAACAAACAAACATTTTTTTATTTTGTTTATTTCAAAATAAATAAATCCTGTTCAAGTAGATGTCAATTTATATAATTGGATTTAATAAATAGAAAAAAGTACGTTTAAATATTGTTTCACGCAGGTAGGGGTATCTCTACTAAGTCTTCGTAGTTTATCTTTCGTGAGCGCAGAACAAGGAAATGCTATTTTGATTCAAGAGGGGCGCTATAAATACTAGTACAACTTTTTAAGTGGACATCTAATGCATTTATTTAAAAATAAACACACAAAGCAGACGACTGAAAACATATTTTTAGTATTTTAAAATTACGAAACAGTACAGGGATTGGATTTACTACTACCTAAAAGAAGATTTTTCTAGATAACCCAACAATATTACAGTGCATAATTTATATATATGCTATGCTTTTTTTGTAACATTGTTCTCTGTTTAGACAATGAATGTTATAATTCATACTTTCTTAAATTGAAAAATATAAATTGAAGTACTTCAAGACTATCTACGTACTCCAACGTACATACCTTGAAGAGAGTAGATAAATCATATAATAATGACACAAAAATAGAAATCAAACCTAATAAATCTCTATCAATGAGTGCCTATACTCAAATAGCTGCTTAACCGTCCAAAATAACATCCCATTTAACCCTTTGGAATGTCGATGGATCACGTCAGTAGGGCGTAGTAATGAACGTTCACCCTGTGCATATCGGCGCCGGCGCATATTAGGCTCAATTTCACCAAGAAATTATGACATTCAGTAGGAGCGGTAACGATTGTCAATATCTTATTTACATGTCAACTCCATATTTCTCCGGTTTACCTGCCGGTCAACTTTAATCAGCGTCATTATTTCTCAGTGAAATTGGGTCTTAGGCTCGACAAAGTTCATCGATCAGAGATTACCTCAGTTCGCGATCGGCTGCGCGCAAGCGCAGGACTATCCATAAGACGTGAATAAGTGTTTCCTACTCGAATTTATAATTAAACATAGGATAATAATGGCGTCCGGAATGGTAAGCGAAAATTATTTTAGATTATCCATCAAAATATTTAGTCCTACCCTTTTTAAGAGCGCAAGATGTTGTATGTTCGAGTACCAATGTTCGTAGATTTTTAACCGAAACTGATAGACTTATTTCGATGTATACTTACGTATATCAGAAAACACACCGAAAAAAGGATCATAGTGTTTTTAATAGTCTCAGTGTTTTGTTTCCATATACAATGTTGAAAATATAAAGCTGTTTGTGATTTTACGCGGTGCAGTTCTACCTACTTAATTTGGTCAAAATATTAATAGTGCGAGGTAACCAAAAGAAGTCGCAAAAATTTTATTTATTTTATATTTATATTAGTTTATATTGATGTTTTTACGGATAAACGTAATGAAAGAATATTGGGAAGAATCACTAAGATCATTATTGTAAGACGAATATAAATTTTAATACTACAAGGAAGTAAACAAATTATAGGTAGCTTGTTAGCCGTATTTAAATCATAATGGAGTTGTTTCTAATTATAATTCCGTATTACTAAACACTAAGTACGCAGATTAGTAGGTATACTGTTAATTAAATGTTATCTTTTAGCGAGAACAAAACAAGTAACTCTTGGGATTACAACTAATTGGTAACAAATTCGAATATAAGGACATTGTTCCGTAATCTGTACTGAAATAAATAAGCGTTAAAACAGATTTTGTTTACAGCTTTAAGCATATAGCAATAAAAAAGACCAAATTAATAACAAAAAAATCAGAAATATGATGAATATAACAGATCTTATTTGAAACAAACCTTCAAAACATAATTGGAAGACAGGTTCAAGAAACTTTCTTGCTTTGTCTTGGGTTTTATTCTTTACATAAAAATAAGATTTATCTCAATGTAATTACATTATAAAAACGGTAATTTGTGACAGAGCTTTCATACTTTAATGATCTTTTGTCCATCGCCTCAGTACAAGTTTATTGCCCTAACTGTTTGCCTTTTGACACATACCTGCAAGAGCGAAATTGACAACTCACGGATACGACTTGCATCAAAACCTAAGTATTTCAGCAGCAAGCTGCAAGCATATAGGTAAATAATCGTACCTCATTTATTTGTCTCTTTTAGATACAAAAAACGACCAAAGAGATTACCTACCTAGTTTTTAAGGAAACATTTTTTTCAAGCAAACCATTTCTATTCTATGAGTATAATTTTGCATAATCCTTAGGCAACTTGCGTTCTATGCAAGTTTTTCCCCTCGTCTGATTCTTTATATAGACATTAGATACACATACAAAGCATTTTGTGTCCTGCATGTTCCGAGTTTTTTGCATTAAGAGATTCTTATCTTTTTCCCTATCACAGTGTGGTATATAAATGATTTCTTAAAGAAATAAAAATAAAAAATTACATGTTTTTAAACTAATTTTTATGTAAAAGACTCTCTATATTTGGTTATTGTTGCATCTTTAAGTAATGTCGCAGGGTTTTATTTATGATACAACCGTTTTAATAAACTTTACATATATCGTAAGCGTCAGGAAAGCAGTTTTAAAAATACCTTATAAATTTTAATAATAATTATTTTGTATTTTCTTAATTTTGAAAGGCACTGGTGAAAAAAATCCTCATGATTTTCCAATACCTAAAAAATAAAAAATAAAGTTAGCGAAAGCCAAGCAATAAAAAATTGTTTACAATTGAAATATAAGTTCCCTAAAAATTTAGGAAAGAAATCTCCAGTGCAAGTGTCTAGCACAAAAATATTTGTCCACAAATTTGACCTGGATACCGGCCAAGGTCTCTTTTCAGACTTCCTTTCCCTTTGTTAATCATAACGTCATCTATCCTCAGGATATATTTAGAACTTAATCGTGTATTAAACATTAACAGCAGCGATTCAATTATTAATACAGAATTTATGCAGCCGATAAAACTCAGTTACCAAATGTAACTGACTGAGAATGGTTTAAGTTTAAAAAATATGTCCGCGTCCAATTTATGCAACAAGATATTTATTATTCCATTTTATTTAGATTCAAGCTGTTGGTAAGATTTTGTGTCGTTCCCGACCGAAGCGAAATAATAGGTATGGTTTACCTATTCGGCGCAAACAAAACTACTCACTGCTTAACATTTAAAATTGTGCATTAAGATCGATATTTGTTTATAAAATAGACGCGCCCAGAAATAGACTACGCGTTTAAATTGTTTGCCAGAATTAAGGTGTTATTTTACACGGAAGTTGATTGTTTTGTAGCTGAATTCCTTGATTCGCTTTGTTTTTAAAGGGATTTAGTTTTCCTTTTATGTAATCAAATGAACCGTGTGTAAACTTTCCGAAGTTTAGTTTTAATAAGCCCAGCTATGCCAATCAAACGTGCCGTAAGCCTTGATAAATGCCTAGATGTAGTAATGATACAAGACAATCTGACAAGCTAGCAAGCGTTAACACTTTGTTTTACCAAAAACACACTACGATTACTATGCATACCTATTTGAACGATAAATACAAAGGTATAATATGGAAATGTTGTCCTATTGAAAACATTAATTTTTTCCATGTTATTGCACATGGAGGCACTATATTATTTAAAAAATTTTTTTTCCCCTGCGGGGGGGGTTGTTTTTTTTAATTAAAAAAAACAGGGGGGGGGGGGGGGGGGGGCGGGTCCCTTGGTTGGGCAACGAACCGGGGGCCCCCCTTTTTTTTTTTTTTTTTACTATGATTCCTATTTCCTAATCTAATTAGTATTTTTCGATTAAACTGTTAGGTTTCAATTTCGATAAAAAATGTGAGTAATATGTAACTGCCCTATGTTTAGGCCTTGGTTGATATAAACTTAAGATATAAACTTCATACTTAAGAAGATTTAAAAATGTAAAATTTGATTGGTTGCCAGTTGAAAGCTAGAGCAGCCTTCGGAATCCAGCGCATCTGGATGTTATACGGCTACGGGGTATTTAACCTTTCATGAAGTGAATCTCATGCTCGTCTGTTAAATGTACTAGTTGGTGCTTAAGTTATGCTCAAAGCGTTATGCTTTCTAGGAAATATTCTTCCAATGAAGTATTTAACTGCGATGCGTAGGCACGTGCTTAGAATGAGTGTTTGGAAATCATTGTTGCGCCCGGTTCCAGAGGAAGTGTTGTAAACAATAGAACTTGTTATTACATTTCTTGTAACCTGAACCCCAAAGGGATTTTTTAGACGTCAACAACAGTTCCAGCTTATATTTTACAGCAACCAAACAATATTCAGGCAGATCAGCTTATATTTGGATAATTGCTATCCAACCAAAAACATAAATGTAAAAAAGGCGAGCCAAGTTTAAAAAAAATTGTGCTCATCTTCGCCGTAAAAAGAATGGAGATATTTAAATAAAACACTATAACGGTTTAAAACGCGATATTTTAGTTAAACTTATTGAAAATGATTTTAACTTCGGGTTTTAAAACCGTTAAAGTGTTTTATTTAAATGTGTACCACCCGCGTAAACTATAGACAGTATTTAAGAATGGAGCTCTAAAAGAGTGCCAAGTTCTATATAAAATCAAATGAGAGAATAGTGTTTAATATAATAATAAAAAGGGGCACATGTTTGTCTCATGCCACATAGTAGCCCATTTTTTGCTTGCTCGAGTTACTAAAGAATACTATTTCTAAATACTGTCAGTTTACGCGTAGTCGAATATATTTAAACAAAACACTTTAACTTTAAAACGCAGAAGTTAAAAATCATTTTAAATAAGTTTAACTAATATATCGCGTCTTTTAAAAGTAAAAGTGTTTTGTTTAGAAATTATTTCTCCCGAAAAGTAAATGTTTTGCGAAATTCAAACCCAGGATTGGGACCGGGAACTCTCGCGCTTTAAGTGACACTATATTACTAAGGAAATAAGAGTTTACACTATTACACTAATGAATGTAACTACATCTGTAGTACTGCGTGGCCAGTAAGTAAGAAGCGCAAGTAAAGCTATTCATACAAGACATAATATTATCTTAAGTAGTGGTGTATCCACTTAAGTGTATTAAATTACAGATTGCCTAACATTAACGCTAATGATGTTCTCTTATAAGAGTTCTTCATTAGCAGTGCATATAGCATTACATTTACTTAAGTAATATACAGTAATACTAAAATACTTTATTGTGTTGGTGATTGGTTATACCTTGAAAAGAGGGGCTGTAGCTTTACGTACTCTATAAATAGATAGTTAATATTGCAAATATTTTAACATATTCTTGTATGTTTATAATACACGTAAAAAAATGCGCTCATGAATAAAAACTAAACTCTTATAAATGGACATATTCACGGACCATTTAAATATTCAAATTTGCCGGATGTTGGTGTTATGGTAGCAATGTATGGCTACTAAATAGATCGTGGCTTCGAACCTCACCGGGTTATACAACTTGATCTGAATTCAAGGTAACGTGGTTATGTTAGTAGAGCCATTTCGACAATTTTGCCTATATTTTCTATTTCTTATCGACGCCGGCTATTGGGCCATTGCAAGATTGGGCAAGCAACAGAGCGCCAGTACTAACTTAAACCTCCTAGCTAATATACGTTAAGTAAATAATAAAGACGTTGATCTGTTCTATGGAGATAAGAACGGGGTCGCGTTATCAGTCGCGGTCACCGCGTTACAGCATAGACATAGCATCTATAATTTATCTAAATAAGCTTAAACACACAACTACGAAATCCCGTTTTCCCTGAAACTATTGTATGAATTGAACTTTATATTTTGGAAAACTTTATTAGGGATACATAAATAACATACACGACACGACACAGGCTTGCCCTAGTGTGGGGAAAAGGGCTTTTTTTTTTTTACATATAAGAAACAAGATTTTTGTTTTTTTTTTATATGGCCGGCTCGTTTGTCTAATGACCCGTTGATACATTCGGGTCTTAGGTTTGATCCCCTCACCCAAAATTCTGTCTGGGTCAAGAACAAATCGAACAAGTCATCAGTGCATCTCCGCACTCAGTCCTCCGCATCTATCGTAAAATAATAACTCATTTATTTACACACAAATATATTAAGGATGTATTGACATAATATATGTAATCTAAAACATAGCTACTAAACATAGATCTAAATTAAAATCCGTCTAGCCATTTTAAGATTTGCAATAAGGCACACAAAATTATTAGGATATCTATACCACTATATAAAGCTGAAGAGTTTGAACGAACTATAAAACAATGCCCAGTGCTAACAAGCGAAGATACAGCGAGAAATGTGCAAAAACAGTTACAGATACTCAAAAAATATGTATGAAAGAATGATTCCTCTCTAAATAATCTAAAAAAGTCCTCGACGCTATATGTGTATCTTTTAAAATTAACTTACAAGAACGACGGGAAGGGACGCGACCGACGTCGTAGGTAAAAGCTTAAGTTTATAAAGATGAAGGGGTTTGCAAAAACGAATTTGGACGCCTAAAATAACTATTCTACGCGGACGAAGTCCACTAGTAGAAGTCGTAATAAATAAAAACATACTGTGAAAATATAACGCGTTAAGTGAATCAACTAATAATTAATACAAATGTCATTAACTTGTCCCCAGAGGCTGTGGCTGTTCGTCGTACTTGCTGTGGTATGCGTAACAAGCACGCAAGCCAGGGAAGTAACGTAAGTGTAAAGTATATTTCTTTATTATATTTACGATTCAGCCGTTCGGTGTCCACTGCTGGACATAGGCCTTCCCCAATATACTTCTAGTACGACCGGTCGTTCGCTAGTTGAATCCAGCGTTCCCCTGCTACGTTGACCAGGTCGTCGGTCGACCTGGTGGGAGGTCGTCCAGGTTTTCGACGTCCGGCACGTGGTCTCCACTCCAGAACATTTTTGCCCAAACGACCGTCAGTTCTACGAGCGATGTGCCCACCCAGTGCCACTTCAGCTTGCAAATTCGATGGGCTATGTCAGTGACTTTAGTTCTTCTACGGATCTCCTCATTCCTGATTCGATCACGCAGGGTAACTCCGAGCATAGCCCTTTCCATGGCACGCTGAGTCTGTGCTCCATGCTCGCAGTAGGAGACCATGTTTCGGTACCGTACGTCATCACTGGTAACACACACTGCTGGAACACTTTAGTTTTAAGGCACTGATATTATATATATTCAAAGCGAATGGAGAAATCCCATTGCCCCGATGTGGGGCATAGAGTTTTATTGAAACTATATATGTATATACACTGTTTTCGCAATGCAAGGCAATATGTTTGAACCACGCCACCTAAAATAGTGAATAATTAAAAGTTTATTTGATAAGCTGTAATAAGATTACAATTATTGTAATAATATAGGTTTCTAATTGTAAACCTTTATTTTGGCTTTTATTGCTACAACTTTTACCCTCCCATCTATGATATCATATATATATATCATACATATATGCTAGTAGCATAACCATATTTGCTAACTTAAAATGATAGATAGAGTGTTACATTATACGATCGGTACAAACACTGAAAATTGTAAATATATTTATATATAGTTTGGAACCCCAAAAGCACTCTCAACAATAAGTGGAACGCAAATATATCTCTGGCATAGACAAAAAGTACAAAATATTTGAATGGACAATTTCCACTATTGTAGTTGTGAGATTTAAACTTTTTCATTTTGGAAGCTTTCTTTTACTTACATTACTATAGTGGAGTCACACGGTGTCATTGAAACCATAAAATATTTCAAAGACATTTTATCATCCAGCAATTAAATATTCAATAACTTTTACTATTACGTCCGTATGTTAGAGATCATTGATATTTTTATAACTAGAAGCAATAAATTTTACCTACTTACACTCGATTTGTTGTGTCAAGTCCTCAGTAAATACTAATAGTCTAATACTCTAACTCAAAGAATATGAACCAATGTCAGAAGACACACTGAATATATATCTTGGATGGCTATATATTATATAGTATACCTATATACAACATTTTGCTGTATAAATAGGAGCTGAGCATGTTTAAAGTCTGGAAGCGTTAAGAAAAAAGATTAAAGGTGTAAGAGACAAATATGTAAAAAAAAAAAAAAGCATTATTACGGTATTAATTCATATTAAAAATGCAAACTAAGTTAATTACAGATTAATAAATAAAGTTCTTTGTAATAAATAGACTAGAAGAACCAGTCAATAGTGTCAATTCAGGCTAGATTGTTTTTCCAATTTGTCTTATGTTCTTGAAAAATATAATTCTTCTAACAAGCTAAAGTTACACAAGAAACAAAGGGCGAATTCACTACATACTTCTTACGTAAACTTACACCTCTTCGTTTCTATTGAAACCTATTCAACCTATGAGTACTTATCGGCATTTTACGTAAGCCCTTCGCTCGACGTTACATCACGTTTTGATAAATTTAATTATTTGAGTATGTCAATTGATTGATAGATAACTTGTAAACCTACATAACTCTTTGCTTAATGAATGTTATGATAAAGGCTGATTATACTCACTATTCTCCATAATATATTCTAATTGAATTGAAAATTTGAATGAGTACGTGCAGTTAACGGGAGTAGTATATATTGTAAACAAAATACTTTTACTAATTAAAATTTTTTTTAGTTAACTTGATTTTAACTTCGATCCAAATTTTCAGTTGCTTCACCAAAGACGTGGTCACGTGAACTCAAAAATAAGTTTATGTATTATGTTTCGCATTTAAAATTATTGTAAATTTTTTCCGTTAAATAATAATTTACAATAAAGAGATTGTCCAAACTTTAATTTATTATCATTCATTGTATGTTGGGCCACATACTACTAAATACGTTTCTATCTACCTAATTATGAGTTTCTTTGTAGCCCATCGGTTAACGTGTACAGGCAAATTATTAAATTGTTTTAGGTCTGACAGAGTACAGAAGTTAGATAAACTTATCTGTAGGTAAAATTGATTAGTGAAACGGGGGTAGAAATGTGTTTAATGTGTTTGACCTATGCCAGAAATGTAAAAACGGAGATCTTATTTTAATAAAAGCTGTTACCTAAAACCTCTTAACAAATAAAACTTTTGTTTTATTGATAATAAGTTAGGATTGATTTGAATTTTGCCAACTGAAGTAAACACGAGGTAAGTACAAACTACTTCCGGGTAAAAGTGTACGTGAGATGAATTCTTACAAGGAACAAATAACATTGATTGAGTACTGGTTCTCTAAAAAGACCAGACCCAAGCCGAAAGTAACATGTCCTCCATCGCAATTAACTATCGTATTTGTGATCTTAGATGCTCAAATTTTGGATTACAAAACATTATTCGACAGATTAGGATAAAATGTAGTCTTTGAGAGCTCTTCTTAAAGCTTTTATCAAGGGTCCTCGGGCAACAATTTTCCAATCAATTTATAATTGGGGAAGCTTTTATTTATCAGATTTCGTTGGAAATTGGATTTATGGGTGGTACTTGGTAGGCATACCGCAAGTCCGGATCACAAACCACCGTCCACAGATAAAAACCGTGAGGTTTAACCGCGGTTCGGTTTCAATCTGTACATTAGAATATCTATGAGAGAGGCCCATAGCACATCTGGTTTCGATGTTATATGGCTTAGAGTATTTCACCTAACATTAAGTGAAGTCCAAGCTTATCTGTTCCCCTCTATCATTAATTTTTTTTTTTCTTAAAGTCTGTACAGTATAAGCGTACATATATATAATAAACAGCACACAAAGTCACCTGAGATATATTTACATTTCTTTTAAATTATTGTACTATAAATATATTTTGTGTCTTTTAGCCACGAAGACATAAGAGATGCAATGATGTCTTTGGTCCGTATGTTCCGCGTGTCGGAAGACAAACTCGACCGGCACGAATTCAGGGAAAAAGCCTTCGCAGAGCAGATAAAGAAGATGCTGACTTCGCTCGAAAAGAAACAAAGAACTCTCGAACCTTTGAAGGGCATGATCGGACGGCTCGATGAGAGATTATCCAATGTTGAGAACATATTTATTCAGGTGAAGTATTATATTATGTCCATATAGTTTATTTTATCATCTAAATAAAGCAATTGTTTACACCAATTTTATCAAGTCAACCTATAAAACCGTAAGTCGTTGCCTTGATACATAAATTACTTACTGTCTGTAATTTACGCAAGTAGTACATATAATAAAACATTTAACGATTTAAAACGCGATATTTATTAGTTAAACTTATTTGAAATTTATTTTAAGTACAGCCCGACGTTTCGGATGCTTTGCAACCTTGGTCTCCCGGTGCTTTATTTAAATAAATTACTTCTCGCCTTAATACTAGGAACACTAAAGTCTAGTAATGATAAGTAACTCTTTTTTTGTTATGTTATTGTAATATTATGTTCTATTATTTGCAGAAAGAAGAAAAGGAAAAGGCAACTCAAAAGAAAACCAACGAACTATTGGAGGACATACAAAAGTCCCTTCAAGCGCTGACGAAAAATCTGAAAACTCCTCAAGCGGATGTGGAGAACAACCTAACCACAGATGACGTCCCGTTAAGCAGGCGCTTAGATGACACAGATGCAAAACTCAATACTGTTAGAGAAGAAGTTTTAGCCCTTAGGAACAGTCTAACAAAGGTGGGTATACCAAGATTTAATCACAGATATACCCACTAATAAACGTATATAAGTAATAACAATTTACGACAATGCAGAGAAAAAATATTTTTCCAAGATATGCCTTTTCTGTGTGTAGTTTATAAGATACAAACCTATTAGACGGTTGTATGTGTACGTAGGTTTTTTAGCAATTTTTTTTTTTTTTTCTTGAATACTTATTAAAAAATTAGAGTGATTATCTTATTTTTATGTTGGTTATGTGAGATAAGAAATTCATCTAAGAAAGAGACATAAATATTTTTCTTAATACAATTCTGATTTTACATAAGTATCGATTACAATATGAACACTTGTCTAGTTTAATTTTTGTCACTAAAGCTCAAAAACATTGATTGCGGTATTACATCTTATTTTAGTTCTTCAATTATTCGGCTTACTTTCTAAATAACTGTAAATACATATATTCGTTTTCATTCGCCCAGGAAGCCCTGCGTTCTGTATGCTCCGAGATTGACGTGAACCCGTTCGAAAGACACATAACGGAAGCTGAAAAACTGCTTATGAAATATGAGTTAAAACTAAATGAATACAACGATACGTCCAAGATTCCAACGGACTTTGTCCCACTCAGTGAAGTCTCTTTGGCTGATGAAGCCTGGCACAGCAAAATGACTGAAGGCAAGTTAAATGGCACTCTAATTAAAAAAATACAAATCTTTTAAATAAAATACTTTTTACGGTTGCAAACTCGAAGTGTATTGGTTAAACTTATTTACAAAATATTTTAACTATGGCCAAAAGTCTTTACGCCCGACCTTTTTACGCTAATTCTAAGCTTTCCCCATCTACACATTGTTGTAGACATTACAATGGAGCACTTAAAACTCAACATTAAATAAAACACTTTAACGGTTTAAAATGCGATATATTAGTTAACTTATTTGAAAATGAAAACTATAGACAGTATTAACTTCCAAAATATTGAAATTTCAAATACAAACTAATATCAATATTTGAAAGGGGACTTAGCCACTTTGCATAGGCATGTCAGTTATATTAGATTCTAAGGATTTCTAAAATGTTCTTACAAGAAAACGAAACCAAGTCCAATAGAACTGACAGTGGCGTCTTATCTTGGCTCAATGCACATTTTCCGAGTGTTAAAGCATTTTCATTCGTCAAATAACTGGGACATATTAATATTACGAGAGCGCGGGTCGGGTGCTTTCATGTCGACAATGGTGACAAGACAGGCTCATTTCCACGCACCGATCGACCTAAATATTCTACTTTGTGTCAAAGGCGCTGTAGAAATTCACTCGTAAAAAATTTAAATATAGAAACTATCCTTTTAGATTAAGCTTATTTTCAAGTCACATATTAACACAACGCAAAGTTATTACATTTCAGATTTTTATGTAGATTTTTGTACAAAATGTTTTTAAGTTTTTTTTATTAAAACTATATTATATTAATTATTGAAATAATATAAATACCTACTTCATAATTCTTATCACAGTTTTTACTAGTATTTCACGTACGAGCATATTGGGTTAGCTTATAATAAAGACTAATAGCTTGGACTTGCTTATGCTTTTATAGCAAAATATGCTAAAAAGCAGGAAGAGATATTTTTAATTCCAATATTTCTGTACAATTTATAAGCAATTTGTTGTGCATTATTTTTATTCGTGTATGTTTGGCAAGAAATACTTTTAATGCGATATTTTTCAATAGAAATGTTAACTCTTTGTTTTCAGTTATGGAGCGCCAAGAAAAAGACATAAAGAAAATACAGCAGCTGCTATCCGATGCTGAAAGCATGTGGAAGGATTTACCTCGACTTGCTGATCTAAAACGAGCTACGAATGATACTCTTGAAGCGATCGCTAACAGTCAGCAGAATGTGACAGCCAGTGAAAATTTGTGTAATATATCTTTAATATATGTATATTAATTTAATAGTCCTTAACAGATGTACGTTCCATGTTTATGTAATGTTTTTCAAATCGTTTAACAGTGAGAAATATTACTTTTTATATGTAAAGAGCAAACGGCAGAAAAGTATGACATTTATATAAGATCTGCTAGGTGGGACTATATAAATTAAAGATCAATTGAAATATTCATTGAAAAAAAAAACACGACTCAGCGTACCGTGCTCTCTCTCGATCAATGTAATTCCAACCTTCAAACGGAAGCGTAAATTGTTTCAATTTATTATCGATCTTTAACTTAATTAATTTTAGCTTAAGATGTCATCTTTTGGTTATAGACGTAACAGTTCTTCTAAATTTGTTAACGCTTGTTGCAGCCGCATCAAAGATAACAGCGAAAATCCGGGATATGGGTGAACATCTCGTCGCAACCAACAACGATATTCAACAAAGCCTCACCCAAGGCAACATTATGAGCGAGCGAGCGTACAGTGATATACAGAGAAGTTACGAGACATTGAGAAATGAGGTAAGTGGCCAATCAATAATGAGTATTGGAAGATCGAAAGTAATCAAATATGAGGCTGCTAGAGGCAGAGTAATATAATAACAAAAAACATGATTATCAATAAGTAGGATTAGGTATTTGTGCAAAAATGATGTTTACAGTTTTCCGTCACTGTGCTCTTGTAGATCAACATTTTTAGACTATGAAAATATAAATAACTCAATTCATAAGTTATTATTTTAATTACATTATTTGCAGTTAGGCTAGTCTACCTCTAGCGGCCTCATGTAATTTCGTAATTCTAATTTACTTCTAGTTATTCTATAGAATTTAATTATAATGAAACTCAAACACTTCGTTATTTTAAAATAACTGTTACTAAAGCTTTCTATCAGGTGACTAAGGTTTGGTCTAGACATTGTTGGTATTTTAACACCTTTTTGCTCCAGGTTCAAGCCTTTTCAAAGAACGAGAACGTAATGCTTCAAACAGCAGATAATGTGATAGCAAACAAGAAACGTATTGAATACGGCGTGAACAGGATTGTGCTGGAAATTGGCGAACTTATCAATTTACAAGCGAAGAGCCTCAATAAAACGTTGCTTGAAAGGTATATTTAGGAATTAGATGAAATTTACCTATTTTTTATTGTGAAAGAGTGGATGTGCGTAACCTGATGTTTAAAGTGAAAGCATATTATAATTTGTAACACGTTTAATTTTATGTTGCCTAACTTGTATTGATTAAAAGCATATAATACCCAAAAAAAATTAAATAACAATAATTAATGTTATTATTTAATTTTTTGTGCTAACTAACTACATCATACATCACCATGCAAAATTTAAGTTTTATTTTTTAGCTTTTCCAATTCACTACTGACAGTTAACGAATATAATTAAAGTAGTAATTTATTTAAATAAAACACTTCAACGCTTTAAAATGCGATATATTAGTTAAAATTATTTGAAAATGATTTTTAACTTCGGCCCGACGTTTCGGATGCTTTGCAGCAGCCGTGGTCAGTCTACCCGTGACATCAATCGAAAAATCATTTTCAAATAAGTTTAACTAATATATCGCTTTTTAAACAGTTAAAGTGTTTTATTTAAATGTGTACTACTCGCGTAAAGTATAGACAGGAGTGATTTATTTAGAATAAAGCACAAGCTATATTTATTTTATTTATTATTTGAATTTATTGTACGCCATTTTGATTGTTTTTGTTTTTATGACCAGGGTGTGTCAACTTTTGGTCTACTCTTATTTTCAATAGCACATTCAAACACGTAATATTACTCCTATAAGCACAATTCATTTAATTTTATTCTTAATGTATTTGTAGCGCTTGTAAGTGCGTCTTGCAATTTATTAATTAATAATGATACCCACAGATTAGAAGTAATCCAGGGCGAATTAATCTCGAACCAATCACTGGCCCACGGCAATCTGACATCGAAGATCGAATCAGAAATGTCGCAAGTTTGGCGGCAAATCGGAATTATGTACAAACAGCTCACCGCTAGCAAATCCACGCTCGACAAGCTTACTGTAAATATAATGCTTATTAGATGTTAATTACAAAATAGTATTTCAATAAAACACTTTTACGTGACCCAGCCCTGTGACACCACACTCGAACTAATGTTGTAGGTAAGTTAATATTTCGTGTTTTAAACCATTAAAAGTGTTTTATTTAAATGTTTACTACTCGCATAAACTATGGACAATAATTAGAAAATACAAATTCAATTTTGGTGTAAAGATATGTATCAGGGGTACCCCTCTATATAAGATTTAATATTTATTCGAATTGAAAATTCTTTTTTTAATAGTAATACATTTTAATTAATTTATACCTAACCAAAATTTCGTTTTTTTCAACTAAATTTATCGTAATAATCTTTAATTGAAAATCGAAATTCAAGCCATATTTCGGTGTATTTATTGTATTGTCAAGTTTATATATAAACCAACATATCTATTAACGTATCGTTGCATAGTTCGCGATAGCAAAATTTAATTATTACATAAAACAGTTTTATTAATTAACAACCGCGTTGTGACCCCATAGCGCGATGTAAGCAAACAATTACAGTCGTCATATCGCAACTTCTAATCCACTAATAGACAATTATATCGCCAGGAACAAACCCAGCAATATGTTAATGGAAGCGCCACTTCATTGGATGAAATGAAAAATAAGGTTGGTAGAAATTGTTGCTTATGACTAGTTATAGACGGTTGGGATATACTTAATCTTACATTTAGATGTACCTACACGTTTTATAAATAAAAAGCGTATTACGTAACGTATAATGTACCTAATAATTTTATAACTTTGCATGGAATATTCCTTGGTTTTTAAATTAAAAATGTGATATCCCATTTATTTCATTTCTGGTTTTGACGGCGCTCGTTGGTGTATCGATAGAAATTTTTTTGACAAATAATCAACCAGTTGCGAGTTCAATACTCACTGGGTCCAACGTTGTTCTTTAACATTTATAATTTTTCTGGAACATGTTGTATTGCTACAATAAAGTAATCCCGATACTTGTCTATGCTCTTCTATCATAAAAAAAGTAAGGCAAGGGGCGAACATATTACTGCTGAGTCTCATGTAGTGTCTGTGTTCTTGGAGACCGCACTACAGCAGAGATTCGAAGCCAAGATTCACGTGTTACATATCACACGTAGCGCGTCACAACTATGCCATCGAGGCTGTTGTTCTAGAAAATATGTTTTGTCAATAACACGTTGAGCAATTCAAAGTTATGGTTTTAAAGTTATAATCAATGGGTTTTCACAATCTTCTATTCTTTCCCCGTCTCTCGTTCTTAACTTCAATTGCTTATATTTTATGCCGTTGATATGTTGCAGGTAGCCCAAATTTCGACTCGCATGATTGAAGTTCAAGAGAACTTGAACTTCTTATTGGGAAGCCTGAAATTGGTGACGGAAGAGTTTAGTCAGATTAAAACCGGTTTGGGCGAAGCGCTGGATAAAGCTAAAACGGATTTGCATGAAGTCAATTCGAAAATAAAAGGTATGTTGATAATATCTAACGTTTCGTGTTTTAAAGATTACAAAACTAGGCTTTACACTTTTTGAATAGCACATGACAAAGGAAAATCTTAAAAATAAAGCTTATAAATATGCAGATACAGTTTAAAGTACAAAGTTAATAATAATAATAAATGTAACAAAACAACAAAAGGAATATAAAAAAGGAAATATGAATGTATATATGGCTGCAAGTTATGATTTAGTAAATATAGCGCTTACCTAATATGTACTTATATTATAAAGGAGAAGAGTTTGTTTGTTACAATGCGCTAATCTCGGGAACTACTGATTCGAAATGGGAAATCATTTTTGCGTTGGTTGAACCACTAATCGAGGCAGGCTTAAGGCTACAGAACTACGGGCTACGACCAATAGGAGCAAAGAGAGAAATGTGGAAAGATAGGGAATATTATTCATCTTGAGGCCTTCCGTTGCGAGCGCCACGAATGTCCCTAATGTATATACTAATCTTAAAAATTTTACATCTAATGTATATAACTATTTCAGATGGCCCAGGACCCCACGAAGCTGATATAAAATAATTAAAAAACCAAATATGAAATAACATACACATAAGTAAATATATTGACACTAGTTGTAAGCAAAAGATTAGCTGTAACAATAAAGTTTTGTATCTGTCCTATATAGTTTGATTACTTAAATTATGTCTAATGTTTTTCTTTTTTAATGATGAACTACCCATAGAATTTCATTTTATCTAAAATTACATAAAATACATTTAATCTATGTATAATGTTTCTAAAACATGTCGTATTTCTGGAAATCTAGGTATTAATTGGGTTGTACAAAATTTCGTCTGTCACGAACCACCATCAGCAAATAAAAAAACCGCGAGTTTAATTTACAATTTTTGAATTCAGAATATATAGCCAATATAGATCGAAAGATTTTGAGTCTATGGTTTGGAGATTTCTCCTTCCATCGAGTGACCCATACCCATGCTTATCTGTTCTCACATTTGGATTAGATTTTAATTTCGGGTGTTCGGCGCTAATTATGTATAGTGTACTTTCAAATGTTTCTTGCTGTTATGGCCTTTGTATGCTAAAAACCTTAGCATTGAAAAATAAAACACAGAGATAACTTTTGCAAATATTTAATCTCTTTCATAATTGTGGATCTATAATATTTATATTGTACAAGTTATATGTTACAATTAAATTTTTATCGTGATCTTGGCGTGAGTACGCCGTTAGCGCTGAAACCGACCGTCGAAGGTCCAAATAACTGTACACTGATATAAATTTCATAACCATCTTAAATAATATACACACAAATTATTTGTCTTTCGTGTTTTTCTATTACAACCTCATTTTCCTATGTGCAATAACTGTTAAACCATCTTATACGATTACATATCGAGAAAAAATCGTGCCCACTTGATTATTTCGTGTTCTAATTGAATTTATAAAATGTATAACAAATAATATCGTTAATATAGTAAGTATCGACTAGACGCACTTTCGTATATTTTAATACAAGTCCAAAATATGTTTTTCCTTACATTACAATGGTTAAAAATGATATACCGTAATACACAGCAAAATGATGATTGCACATAGGTCGATATATCAAATATTGGACAATTCCTAAAAGCGTGAATAGCAATTAAAAAACTAGGTGTACTAAGGCATTCGTTGTTAATAAAACAGCCTGACGGGGTACTTAGCTCAATGCAAATCGGAATGTAAAGAAACAGCGACGAAACGCCCGAAATACGTGAAAAAGCGAACCGCTCGCATTTTACAAAACACTAGACAAAGAAAATCGAAACGATAATTCAAAAGGTTATTACAAAGAGGCATATTTTCTGGCAGTGGCGAATCTAACACACATACATCCGTACATTTTATACACGTGAAACACTATAGTATGTATTTACATTGATAAATGTTTATATTAATGCAAAAAAATATTTACAGATATCAAGAAAGCACTTAACCACTCCTCGCGCTACGCCAAAGACCTACCGTTATACATATCTAACCGTATAAATAACAATTGTGCTTAAACTACGAAAACAATAACCCATTCAAATATACAAACCCGAAACCTTAAGATTAAATTATTTAATAAAAAAATTAACACGATTTTCTGTTCAATACATAAAATGGTTATATAAGGAAATAGTGCCATCACTTGATTTCGTTTTTAACAGAAATAAGATCGCATCCCTGCCCGCGTTCACAGCTGAACCATTAACTATTGTGCGTATGTTAACCGGCCTGTATAACCCACATAACAAACCGTTTAGAACAGAAATTGTTCTTGCAATACTTTCCATTCCTGAAAACCCATCCTATGGAGAGCCCATTTACAAATGTCAAATACAAAATTCATCGAGGCCCAATTCATTAGCTTCGTTTACATTTGATTGACGGTTAGGGGATAGGGAACTGCTGCAGATATTTACCAAGAGGGGTAAATGTAGTTTTCTAGAATTTATTTTATAAGACAATTTGGTCGGGAATCTAATAATAAATACGCTCTCCATATGGGTTGTTTGGTTAGCGTTCAAAAACATCCATACACACCATACATCTCACAAAGAATATTTGAGCCAGCCGTTGCACAGCCAGCGATGCTTATATCAGCATTGTAATCCTAATATTTATAATTTAAACTCCTAACTAAGTTTAATTGTGCAATATCGTATGCATAATGCAACAGAACACCTGAAAGCCAAACGTATCCCACTTCTGAAATCGCGCCAAATATCAAACTACCGTCAATCCGTACAAAACGTCTATCTATATATTCGTCTATATTCCGCTATGCCGCCCGAGGTTTCGCATCACAGCCTAATCTACATTATGAAATGTGTCGGTGAGTTTACCCTAATACCGTTATTACCAGATCTTACGATGCAAGTTACATAGGAAGACATACAACTAGACACACGCCTGTATTGTATCGTTAGCCAATATTCAAATGAAATGCAAAGAAAGCGAGTCCACTCAGTCCAGACGAATCCAGCGGCCTCCGATACGGAGTCAACGCGTCAGCAACGGAACCAGAACCACCCCATGAATCCGAGGCACTTAAATGACCTTAAGAGTAATGATATACATCTAACTAGTGGTACCGAAGTAGCTCATTCAGGGAAGGTACCGTTGATACAACGGATCTGACATTTAAAGCTATGGACATGTTTCACGTACTAATCTAGTCTAATGCCGGGAAAGAAGGTAGCTATGTTACGTACAAATACCCTATCTAGATAAACCTATCAGCTCTTACTTACATCGACTGACAATTAATCGGTGCATTAGTTGGTGTTGCGATTCGATATAAAACGTCTAAGATAAGTGACATGATAAAAATATTGTGTTTTCCCTGTGTCTCGAAAAATCTGAACGAGTGCAGTAGTGAAAAATAGTTGTTAAAGAAACGGACCAGATGGTTATGTATATATGCGACGAGCCGATACAAAGGATTCCAGAATCGACAATTAGACAAATAACCTTGGATTTGTTTCCGTCTTAAGTTTATAAAACTACAAACCCTACACAAAAATAAAAAAAAACGATGCCTACCTGATTTGGTTGTACACAGCAAGCATCTCGTCACACAGATACATAACCAGCTGAAAGTTATACTCTAAACATATTTACGATTAAGATAAAAGTAGACAGCACATCGACTCGCCAACCGAACCTAAAAGCGACGTGACCACGCGTGACTATGGTATATACATATCGACATATCGCAATAACAAAACAACAATTATATATAACTTTAAAACTGCCGCACATATTATGTACAAGTTCAGTTGTTACCGAACTTAACATCGATAAGATAACCTTGCATGGCACTTTAAGACAGGGTGTGTTGTTCAATTCCAAGCAAATATCATTTCAGGACTTAATTAATGACGAATATTATGTAGGTCACTAAGTTTCCCTGGCCTTCATCATACAGAGGTCATACATTTATAATTAGCTCGCTCCAGTCAGTAATATACATACTGAAGCAAGTTGCCGTAGCTGTTCAAACTGCCATGCACAGTTTACAAAATATTAATCTTATGTACATATTGTCGCTCAAAGATATAGAATAAGAACTAACATCTAGGAACAGTACATACAAATAAAACAGTAACTCAATTCCGTATTGTCTGCACTAATAGACGTACGTTGAATTGTAGACCTGCCCGTTCTCACTATTAGTGCAGTTTACTATTACAGGTTATGGAGGTCCAATTTAGAACCGGTAACCTTGTATCTACTATTACAGCCTCTTTTTGACACGTGAATTTCTAGGACCTGGAAATATCAATTATGTTACCCAATATACCAGCTATATCAGCAATATAACAACATAATTGTATATGCAACATCACTAAACTAATGAGCTCTAATGAGAAAAGCACAAAAAAGCACTAGAGTTGAGTCACTGCTAGTTACATGTACTGTGGTCTTAGGTGGGGTATAAAAGGTGGTTTTGGGGCGGTTTACCTCCTAGTGCTCTTGGAGGATGGTCGCGAGTGGGACTGCGTGTGGGGGGTCGCGACCCCCCCCCTTTCCTAACTGGAACAGGACGCGGCAGATACGGGCGACAGTGGAGAGTCGCGAGGACAACCTGATAGTGTTACGACTACCTGCAACAATTATAATATTTGTTAATCGAAGTTTTTTAATCCTTAATGATGTATAATATAATGTTTATTTTCTTATTTCAGATCAATTTTGTAACAATGCTTTTAATTCATAGATCAATGGAGCTCTATACATAGTTCAAATAATTTTTTAGCTACAGTTTGTGTCCGAGAGGATATCCAAATTCAGATTACAAATATCTATAACAATTTAAAATAAAACACTTTAAACGGTTTAAAATGCGAAATACATTTGTGTTTTTAATTTCTACTTCACTATTAACTACAGCCCCAACATTTTGGATGTTTTGCGGTAGCTTTATGTAACTAATATATTTCGCGTTTTAAACCATTTAGTGTTTTTTTCATGTGTATCAGCGTAAACTATAGACAATACAATTATATCTTAATATAACATAAGCGAAAACTGCGAAATTAGTTATACTTACAGTAAAAGTCGTTAGCTTAGTATTTATTTGTAAGTTTTAAGTAAAATTCTATAAAAAAATATCTACTTCTGAAAACAATATGTGTACTGACCTTTCGGCTACCAGCATGGTTTCTGTGTTCGCAGAGCCAAACTCCTTGCCATGTACCAAGGTTTAACTTTCCATCAGTTATGGGAATGGTCAGCGATGAACCCAAGAAGCATGCTTTCACATGCGCCGGCTTTAAAAAAGGATAATAGGGTGTAAAAACATCTTTTCTTAAAAGATTTTAGGATAAAGTTCTGTTGAGTTTACAATATTTTATAAACAATTAAACTCTAAATACTCACGCTAAGAGAATAAATTAAGAAATAACAATCTATGTTAAAAACAGTAAATAAAATAAGAATTAAAATCAAGACATTTTTATTTCATGTCACTTTTTAAATTTAAAACAAATTAAATTATCACAATTTGCTTTAAATCTAAAACCAAGTAAATTGAAGTATTGATTATTTTATAACTGATTTCACAATAATTGTTAGCTCTTTAAATAGTTATGTTGGGTAAGGCACAGGCCTCTGAAGACATAGCTTGCTTTAAAATAACATAACTCAAAGAAACAGAGCTAGAAATATGTCTGGCCATTGCCCGAAGGAAAACAGGATTTAACTTTTTAGAGCATTAAGTTATGTCCATGAATAACTTCTATAGAAAAGCAACATATTTTATAACAAACATTGTTGTATAAGAACCCTTATCAGTGATAACCAGTCAAGGTCAAGAATACATCTTTGTGAAATATTCTTACTTAAGAATAAAATTCTTTCTTTATTGATGTCTACATATTTTATAGATGAGACAAAACTGCTAAACTGTTTTTGATTTAAGAAGTAAACAGTGCCCATAATAGCTATATAATATATCTTTCCTTTTAAAAGATTATTCATACAATTTTAACATGCTAATGCAGTATAAAAAGGTTTCTTTAATTTCAAATCATGACTAACATAGATTTAATAGTACAATAACAATATATAATTAATAAAATAAATAATTGTGATACCTAACATTCACACAATCTAATTTCCTAGCAATAAGAACAGGGCTACCCTACTATCTATATTCTTAAATAGATACAGGTATTTGACATTGAACACTAAACATATTACTATGTATATGCAAATTAAATGTTATGTTTAGTAACCTTGAAGATAAATTAAATAAAAAAGAGTTTAAAAAATTTGAATTTAAAAATGTTTCTATATATGCCCTAGCATTCATTCCAAATTCAAATTGGAATTAAAAAAGGAAATATTTTGACTAGTGTTAACTATGTATACAGTAAAACTAAACACTCTTGGTGCAGGCAGACTAATGTCAGACTTACCATGTCATCAGGACCTTCGCAGGAATGGCGATAAGGAAGACCCTCTGGCACTATTTTGTTGAGCATCATCTCCATATCGTCTCTAACATCGGGATCCCAACTTTCGTTTAACGCTAGACTCGCCGATGTATGCATTACTGGAATCATTTATAATTCACTTTACTCCTCCAATGTTTACGAAACGGTCGACGGCAACAACTCGTTATGAATTAGTAATAATAACAATTGTCACGAAAATTTCAAGTGGGAGGGAATGCAGTGTCGGCGGCGTACTCACTTTGGATATGGCAGAGCCCGACCGCGAATTGAGACAACTCAGGCACCTGCTTGAGGATCTCTTCGGTGACCAGGTGCACGCCCCGATGTTGCGGCCTCAAATTCAGCTTCCGCTGGAACCACGCGGATCCGATCTGAATCCCTCGGTTTGAGGCCATGTTTAATTTTTTAAAACGCTACAGAGGTACCGCAAGAACACTAACGATATTACACAACATCACTTAGAACAGTCTTTACACAAATCAAACCACAATTATCATAAATGATACATTTTTGATCGTTAGATTGTAATAAATATAGCAGAGGTTATAGGACAGATTCGACACCCTATTTTCTGCGGGAAAGCGAAACAGTCTTCAAACGAAAGAGACGAGCGATCGAGCTTGTGTTGTCATTCCAGAAAATCGAATGTGACATTTTGAATACGACAGTGTGAAGCTGTCAGATATTTGTTTAGCGAAACATTGCTCCCATTATGCTATTTAACTTTGTTAGTATATACCGAAACGAAATTTTTCAATTTTCCTATATCACTCTGTAACCTTTAAAAGCTCAAAAAGTGGCTTCTAACTTTACAGAGAAACAAACTTTACAAAGTACCCGAAGCAAGTATTATTTCAGTCTGTGACCTAAACTGTATCTTACTATTAAATGGCAATACAACTTGTTTTAAAACGGCGGGAATTTAAATAATCTTTGTGGCAAAATATCGGACTCCAATAAAATTAATATTAAAAAAAACGTGTTTTAATTTTTTCATAATGGCTAACTTAGCAACGAGCAATAAGTTAAAAGCAGTGTATTTACGACTCTTACATTTGAACCGAGCTTTTATAATACAGTTGGGCGTGCCAAGTGTTGATAAACGTAAAATAGGTGCGGCTATTAAACACTCCACGGAATTGGAACAATTAGTTTTTCTTTGCGAGGTGGTTTTGCGGACACGACACTGCTCTCGTTGTCCTAGTTTGTTAGTTGTCGTGCAATTACTGTAACTACCTAGATACAATCACAATGGATCCTTTAATGGACGTTATAAAGAATTCAGAGGAGCCAGAATGGCTTGAACGAATTGTAGTAGGTGAACTGCGACTATGGCAAATTATGTTTTTATGTTTAGCTGGTCTTACGGCTTTAAGTAAGTATCATTATTTTGGACGAACGATGTGTGTATATATTTACGTTAAACTATACTTGCACTCACTTGGTCTAGTTCAAAGGTGTCACAAAAAAAATCTGTATTTTAAAAAAATATGATTTTTTTATTTTGTAATGTTTTAAAGTAACCACGTGCTGTAAAAGTGTAGTATTTAGTGAACGGTAAGCTATGTGGTACATACTTAAAAGTTAAATTATAAAACCTCTATAAACGTTCAATAAAACGCGTTGAGTTTTTAAACATTTATTGAAGATAAATATCTGCTGAATATATAAGAAGCTGGCTGTGTCTTATCTGGGAACACTTAATTAATCTAAGAGACACAAAGCACTATCGTTCTTGTTATTAACGTAAAGGAAACGATAAAATCTTTCTGTGTTGGTATTCCGAGTGTTATTATTATAAACCAATTTTTTTCCAACGATTATTTTATTAAATTGATCCAAATCCTAAAAAACGTGGTACTGGACTCAAATAAGACTTTCCATTGTTAAAAACAATATTATTGGCCAAATACTATACTGTCTATAGTTTACGCGAGTAGTACACATTTTCAAATAAGTTCAACTAATATATCGCGTTTTAAACCCTTAAAGTGGTTTTTTTTTATATATTATTGGCGTCCGTTTTGCTAGCGCCATTTATTACTAAATGGCATTTTTCGTCAATCTCAAACCTTTGTTGGGTAAATCCATCACTTAGTTACGTACTTAACATACCTACAGCTCGCAAAAATCACAGATCAAAAATTTTACATAGGTGCTTTAGTAAGGGTCTAAAGTAAACCACAGGTTGAAAAACGTGTCAAACGATGTCGTAAAAACACAGTTTACTAAAATGAAGTACGCAGTTATCAGGGGCCTCTCGTGAAGTTCCTCTGCTTTCCTCCCCACTATTTGCCTTTATTGGTCTTTTCTTCGATCTCATTTTTTATCGTATCTGAATCGTCCACAATAAAGCAACAAATTATATGCATGCAGCATATCATTGTTTTTCGGGCTGTTCGGCCAACGTATGCAAGAAGAGGTTCCCGACGTTTCGCCAAATCGCTTCTCGCTTAAATCGGCCGAACAGCTCGAAAAACAATGATATGCTGAACGATGGCCGTGAAAGCCTTCCACAATTTATTGATACGAATTAGTTTTCCGATATATACCTACCCCAATAATGTAACTTTACCATTACCATTTAAATTGCATTGAGTTCAACAAAGAATTCGTGGTCCGTTACCTCTTGTTTAATTAAACTAAAAAAAAACGTTTCCATGTTGCATAACTATTGACCTGCTTCCATCAATAGTCATTAATTTTGATTTGTCCCACCTTTCGAAAACACTATTAATTAACGATTGATGGATCTCTGAATATGGATGGAGAAGCCAGCTACGTTACAAAGAAATGCTTTTATAATTGGGCATTTGGCATCGTTGGAATAAATTGCGAAATACTTTTTATAATAAGTAGTTTAATTAGAAATAACTCTTACTTATTCGAGTATAATACAACATCAATGAATGGAATAGTGATAAAGAAATAATAGCAATTTCACAGAACTACTGAATATTACATTTTTAAAATACCTATTGGTGAATCCGTCACGAAGTAGATTTGGTTAGCAACATTATAAGAAGATAAGTTTTATCTAATAGAAGAATTGCTACTAGAAATCTTTCAAAACAAATTGGCTTTCAATTTAGCTCTGGATAACACACAAATTGTTTTTGTAATAATTATGGTCACGTAAAATTATTTAAGAATCTTAGCTTGGATCTTCGGAATAATTGCCTAACGAAGGCAATACATAATATTTAAATGATTTCTTTAACTTAGTCGTAATGGTGTGTTGCTGTTTCCGTTTTCGTATTCCCCGCACGAAACAACAAATCGAAGCTGACTACAAGAGACGCAAGATCACACAAAAGTTCAGGCAACAACTTGAGACCATACAGGATTCTAAAATGGATACCATTTCGTTGAAGGATGGTAAATATTATTGTGTATTTTTTTTAAATTTTGGACTATATGAGTTTCAACCAACAAAATTTGTGTCCATGGGCATTAGAGTTAGACACTGTTCACACTAATCAATTTTAACCTCCGTTACCTTACAAAATGTTTCCCTAATATACAACTTAGAAGTAAACATATAAGATATATTATTTATTTATCAGTCCACACTATCAGCTGACTATTTCACCCATTACCCCATTTCCCCAGGAGGAATGGGGAATGTGTTTTCAATCCTTCCGGTTTGCTAGCAGTATCTTATTATTTGTTCCATCTTTAATTCTTTGATCTTGTTACTTTGTCAGGACCCATATCTGTTTGACTTAATCCTATAAGATATTACCGACCCCTTTTTTCGTCTTGGTTCCTCTTTTTCTCAAAGGTGTTTGTTCCAAAAAATGTGTATCTCTAGACTGTATAAGAACTAAAGCTCAATTCGGTAGAGCACAGTATAGGGTTCAAATCTTGCCCGTGTCTTAGGTTGTTTTATTCCAATCTTAAATATTTTTTACGATCTTGTTTTTTAACCTCATTTTATCTGTCTACAATGTCAATTATTGTGTCAACAGTGCATCACGCGATTTGATATGAAATGAAATCACTAAAATAAATAAGGTGATTGATAAGGGACGAGATAATTTATTCAGATTTATTAATTTGCTGCCAGCTTTGGAACTGTTGCATGAGAGGACACATTCGATGGAGGACAATCAGGGCTCGCAGCCTAGTTCTATAATGTCGCCGCAACAATTGAGTAAGTGGAATCAAATTAGATAGTACGAGCAGGTCTCGAACCCGCAAGTCTTTTTTTATGATAGAGGAAGGATGAATGCATGAAGTTCACTTGATGGAAGGTGAAATACCGCAGCATCTAAAAAATCACGGTGTCGATCTATTTTGGCTTCGGATATCAGGAAATCTACTTTTACCGAAACTCGATTAAACTTCACGGCTTTTTCATCTATGGTGGTTTGTGAGTTTAACGGAATGTTGATATTCCTACTATCAATTTAACATTCAGATTTCAAGGCGAAGGTCGAGGCGAAAAGCTTTAAGAAATTCACAGTTATAAAGTTACTCAATACATATGGTAGGTGCATGGTGTCTAGTCATTGTTGGCCATAAGTTTTAAGTGCCCATATAAATTGTGGATTTTTTCATCTTTAGAAATACGTTTTAAATAAATTAAGTTACATAGTTTTTAAAGGAATTCCTTTCTGGGGTCTTTGAAAAAATATACGACTGACAAGACTCGAACCCGTAACAGAAGACATTCTTTGTTGCTAATCTAAACGTCTAGTTCCAATGTTCGTTAAATGAATTTTCTGACTTTTACAGACTTGAAATATTAAATTAGGTCAAACGTTCCAATTTTGAAATACGAAAACGACGACAAGTGTATGGTTACGCGAATTTAAACAAAAGAAATAAGTAGGAATCAAATCTTCACTCGACACCTTTCTTTAAGCACACTTGAGGAACGCGAGAATTTTAATTTCGCGTTATATTTTCATTCGAATACTTGCTTATGGTACTATACATTACAGATTTAAGATAATTTCGATCATTATCAACATGTATCGATCGAATAAAATAAGTAGTAGTAATCTAAATTCTAGTTTTTTAGTATCTCCACTATCCAACAACAGTCAGTTAAGTATGTCTTGCCTTTATGCTTTTCAAATAACACGATAAATATTCTCTATTTTTTGTATAGGCTCATTGGAAACGTACCAACCAGACCAAAAACCAGATCCACAGACATCTACTAGCCAGACCTTTGTGAAATTTGCGACGAAGGTGGCCAACCTTTCTAAATTCGGCCAACCCAAGTCGCCGACATCACCAACTGCGCCTGGTAAAATGGATTTTTAAAGCATGTCATGTCAGTTACGTGCATCTGTATTTTATAGATAAGTAGAAGCGACTTAATTAGTGCTAATAAATAATTAACTGTCTGAGTAAAGTAGTACTTTTGGTGTACAATGTAGGATGATTTTAGAATCACAACTTTATTGACAATGTGTTTGTATTAAATACAATTTATAGCATTGTATGTACAGATGTTGTCTTAATGCAATGAAATATATTAAAGTTTTTTTTTTCAATTTTAAAAAGACAAAATAATAAATATTTTTTTGTTTTTGCTGTACTGTGTTTTTATGTAGAGGATTTATTTTATGCATAAGAGATTCACAATAACAAATAACAACACCAAGTGCATTAAGACGTTTCCTTTAATCTAGAAAATAAAAAATACAGTATAAACGGATTTTAGATCACAAGAATAATTACATATTCACAAATAACTTTAGTGTCCTGCAGTTTACATAATCTCGCATAAAACTGACAGTAAAAACAATCATCATTGAAAGCTATAACTTTAAAGCAACATTTAACTTACATTATAATACATAAATAATACATCTTGCAAATAAAAAAAATTACATAAAATTCAAGTTAGCTACATAATAATATTATTTAAATAGTTAAATTGTTTCTACATGCTCATTACGTTTCATTAGAGACGTGGTTCTGTCATGTTCAAAATGAATGTCGGCGTGGTACATTGACTAAGTTATACGTTTTCGACAGCCGGACGAATATTTTAGCCTTAACTCTCAATCCACGACTCGCTATTTCACCGCAATCTCAAAACACATCTCAACTATGCCTATAAGGTCTACATAAGGTTGTCTGCTCAACACAATTATAAGGACGGTCAAAAGCTCTCTTCCAATTGTGAAACTGATAAATATCGGACATAATGATAGAAGCGTAATTCACTTAACATATTGGTTAACGAATCACAATTAAAGTAAGTAAAAAATAAAGGTCCTTTGAGCCGGACGAAACAATCTTTTTCTTCAAATTACCATTGCTATTAAAAGTACAATATATGCAATTATCTTCTATTCATGTTGATGTAAAAAGACGATCACCACGGCAAATTAATCGTAGTCGATTATAAAGAAATAAAAATCCGTTACAGCATGTTAGGACAGACCCAAATGTAGAAAACCTCCTAACCTATACCTTTGCGATAAGAAAAAACACACGATGTATTGAGCAATCTATATTCCAGTGCGAAAACTGCAGGTGTCCAGTACCTATGACGCTACATTGGATTCATAGAATAAAATTTCATTAAAAGATCAACGATAATTCTATGGAGCAAATGAAATGCAAAGTGGAATATCGATTTGCTTTTCAAATTCATCGGTATCAGGCCTAAACTAGCGACACTATCAGACCAGAGACAATCGTAGAGCTTTCACGGTAAATAAGGCCATATTGATCCAAGTCACTCATCTATGGAAGAAACTATCGAGATATTTATACATTTTTACTTACATGTTAATAATTGAATGCAACCTACCTAAAACGTAAAACAGTGTTAATTTCATTAAAATTATTATTGTTCGTATATTGCATACCTATGTATAATGTAACTTATAGGCGTGAATCGATTCAAAGGACTTTGTGCAATAACTGTTTTGACGTCCAGCGATTTACAATTTACACGAATGCAACCGAAACTATAGGCTACGTTATAATACATTAAGCAGGGTGCCCTGACAACTTTCTGACTTCCGGTCTTCATCTAAATCTGCAGAACAAACCTCCAAGATAATATGCTTTTTATGAAGTTCTTAAATACCTTCGAAAATGGAATACTTTACATAAAGATGTAATTTAGTAGCATAAAGTAACGCCACAGAGTTAAATATTTCTACCTCCGCATTGGTCTATCGCAATCTCAAAAATTCAGAAGTCATGTTGAACAATTTACAAATGGCATTGTCTGATTCCTCTATTACAAGTGTTGTCACACTTTCGCTTTACATAGCAATACCTAACCCCAAGCCGCTAGAAGGGCACCCTGTACACCCTGCGTATCGGTGATTACGTCACTTAACAGAAGAATCACGTAAGCTAAACAAACTTGCACGATGGACACTACTGGTAATAAACGTTTTTATTTGCACTGCGCACGGTCAACGTCAAACTTTTTTTTTCAATCTAACAAGATCCGAATCTGTTGCCCTTTGGCGTTGACAGTACCAGCGCAATAAGAATTAGGAACCCGAGTCACAAACGCAGTGCCACCTCTATTATAAACTCTCAAAGCATAATTTTGTTAACAAGAACTACAGAAACATTCGTTCACTAGGTTAGGCTGACATAAATACAATGTGCACATTCCGAACTCGAAATTAACATAATATACCGAATATTGAGCATATTATTTGGCATAACGTCGCAACGGATAAATAACTGTTACAAAATTGTGACATTATGGATATTTTAGACAATGTGTTATATAATAAACGGGAAATACGCACATTGTGGGCTGTGGTAACGCGTACATTCCGATCCGATACAAAATATCAGACAATAAATATAATTACAATAACAAATCAAAAATATACGACGTAAGTTTGTCTTTACTTCACATAACTATTCAATAATTGAAACCGGAAACATATTTTGAGATCAATGAAAGATTTACAGAAAGTATAGCAAGTTACTAAGGCGCTGGGACGCTATTTTGATTATGTTTTCTATATGAGCAGATACAAACGAGTGATTACTAATATGACACATTTCGAACACGTTAGCAATTTGTATTCCTATACATTGCCATTAGGAGCCAATTTCATCAAAAAATAATGACATCCATTGACAGTTATTTTTCATTAATCATCTCCACAAATCCGAGTGTTTGATAGTTTAGCGATCTGTCAACATTAATCAGTATTACTATTCCTTGGTGAAATCGGCCTTACAGCTTCGTCAAACTTAGAGTCCTTAAACTGAATTTCTATGAAGGAATTTGTTGGAATGAAAAACGTACCGGAATATCCGCGTTACACGCGAGCGATCGAGATATAAGACGCGGAGCGGCGTCTAGTGGCCGGCAGACCGCAATCAATCTCGCCTCACAAAAGTTCTCCCTCTGAAAAGAAACGAAATATTTTTATATGCTTCGCAGTCCTTTTCATTGACAAATGCGAAAGATTGTCAGATGGATAGATGCTAGTTACTCTTTCACTCACGATTTTGTTTCAGAGATTTCGGTTGCTTAACATTAATAAATGTCAACAAAAATAAATGCTTCCTGATAATATTTACTTTTTTTCTTCTTCTAAACTTTAGATTGTTTAATATGGAAATCTCATGTATATGTTTGTGCATGTCCTCTACAGTAAATTAAACAATAAAACATACGTGATCGTTTTCCGTTCGGTGGGGCGTGTGGTGGATTGCGGGCGCGCACGATTCAGCACCTTTAGCAGCTCACCGGCCTTGGCGCGCATGCGTGAATGCACGTACACCTATAATAATAATTAATTAAATACTGTTTGTAGTTTATGCGATTAGTACACATATAAATAAATTAATAACGGTTTATAAACGCGATATATATTACTTTCCCCGTGACCAAGCTGCTGCAAAGAATCCAAAACGTCGGGCCGTAGTTAAAATAAGTTTAACTAATATATATCGCGTTTTAGACTGTTAAAGTGTTTTATTTAAATAATTAATAACTTTAATAATAACTTTATTTAGCTTAGCTTAAAACCTATTTACAAATTGAGTATTTCGATGGCGCCTGAAGTAGCTGTAAAGCTGTGGCACAGGAGCCAGCGCCCACCTCCGTATGATAAGATAAGTTAAACTAATTAATTATTATTTTATTAACTAAACATACATATTTTTTGTTGGTAAAAAAGATTAAAAAAAATAATCCCTTGTCCGAGGTTACCTTAGAGCACTTAATGTGATAGTGCAAGTAGTCCCGGAACATATGGAGCAGGTCAATAGTGTTGTCACGGGCAGCTTCGCATGTGTGTCGCGGGAACAGTACTGTACAACACAAACAATGTTACACTCAATCTTCCAAATCAATATTAATTATAAGTTCATTAAGTGGAAAAAATTAAGAAACCATAACATTATGTGGACACATGGTAAATATAAAATTATAAATAGTAATGACGTCATGGCTTCGGCTACGAAACGTGTTAAGCAAATGTTTCGTATCACCTCTAAAGCAATGATGTCACCGAATTACATGTGAGATAAAAATGGGTTATATTGTGTTATCAATAGGTGAGGAAAATATTGTACTGGTTGATCGAATTTTCCTGTATAACCAATGATTATATTTGTTATTAAGGTATTGTCTTCTACTGTGTGTTATTAGTCCGAAACGCGAGGTCTTGCTTTGCGATAAGTGCGCGCCAAATCCTTGATTGATGAATCGTATAAACTAATTTGGTCATTGAGATCACTAAAGCGTTATAGCTTGCTCAGCTGTAATTAACATTATACAGTACATTAAGATATATATTTCTAGTTAGATTAAAAAGGGAACACATACCAAATGTAACATAACTGATGTTATCCCCTACTTTGGCATCTGTGTCCACAAGCTCTAATGGGGGCTCTTTATGGGAGAATAGAACCTGGAAGGTAGAAAGTTGCTTTAATAATTTCAATGTCCCATTACAGAGGTTTACTACGTTATTTGATAATGTTGTTGCTTGTTATCTGCTTGACACATTATAATAAGTTACAAGGTCTCACAGTAAGTCTGTCTTAGTATTAGTAATATGAAATAAACAAAAACTTTTTACAAATATAGCCATTTGTATTGTACCTGTGGGGCAGTATGTGAAGCTCTTCTTCCCTCCTTCAGTTCCTGCATAAACACTTTGCCAATGACCATATCATCTTCATGTCGAAACACGGTGGAAAAAACGACTGTTACCCGATCTTCTTGTGCTTCTACATAACTGAAAGAAGAAATTTGTAGTAAATAGCAACTAACTCTATTTATTAATTAAATTGACACCTGGTCTGATTTAACTTAACAAAGGTAATAGATAAGACACAAACTGTGTCTGTCTAATAAAAAGGAAATGTCATGTGACAAAAAGAAGTGCATGCATTGAACTTTTTCCAATATTTAAGATCGGTTTTACAAACAACAGTTCAGAACAACATCTTACAGTGTTTCATCTTGTCGATAGTTAATGACAGCCCTCTTGTGTCCAACTTCACCATCCTCTTGCAGCCTGAAGTAGCGCTCAAACACAGATGCAAAGCAGTTCCTTTTCAGTAAACCAACCTTCTTTACCACTGTTTCCCAGTCTTCCGGAATATTTTCCATGTCCAGTAACACTGATACATTGTAACCTGGAGAAGACAAGAAAAATATGACATTTTTTTTTGTGAATCACACTTTGGAAGGGTTTAGTTTAAAATAAATTTGACTTGAGAAGTAACTGGTTGAGAAGTAACAAGATCTCAATGACAGTAGTAAGTTATTCAATGCTTATTATATCTTAATAACAAAGCTATCTTGTGGTTTTGTATCTCATATATCTGGTAGAGAAAGTAACATGAACAAAGAACAATTTATTGATAATAATAAATTGTATGAATGTAGAATAATTATTTTATTAATGTTTTTAACATAATATATTGAAATAATTCAACAACAAAAGTAATTTATAATAGGACATTTTTAGTAGAATATTCTATAATCTGTTCAAAGTGTAATCAGTCCTATGTATTGAAGCATGTATAAAAAGAAGTTTACAAAAAAATTGCTAATATTTTTAAAACAGCTTAATCTTATCTACAAAAGATAGTGATATCAATATCAATTCTTAGGATAAAATTACTTTAACATAGCAGTATAATATGTTGCAATATTGTTACTATTCTTTTGAGTTCCAACTTACAAGTTGTATAATATGGGTGTAGCTATGCAAAGGGAAATATTTTTGGGGATTAGAATGAAACATTGTTTATACTATAAATACATATTCAATACTAGCTATAAAAAAGATAAAACCATATATGTCAAAACTAATGAAATGAAATATGTTATTAATAATGCATGAGTAACCACTATAATAGCTTATGTGAACAATAAATTACTAAACCTATAAGGTAAATAGTAAATGGATAGCAAATATAAATCCAAACGTGAAGTTTCATACTCTAAAAAAAAATTCTTAATGATGTTGTATGAAACTTATTTATTAAGCTTCTTTTGGCTTGGTTCGTTTGGCTTTGGCTAGGTTGGCTAAGAAAAATAGTTTAAGGCAAAAAGGCTGCCTGGGTCCCACAATTCTTTAAAGGATTTTTATTGCTATGTACCTGTCTCCGCCTCGGTGAGAAGTGGTCCATACACTCGTTTGAGCAGTTCATCAGCTCCATGTTCTTCTAATTGCTTGTAAAACTTCAATGATATACTAACCTGAGAGTGAAAAATAATATTTTTAATGTTTCCATTATATCTAACAACACTGATAACAATTTTCATAAGCTGATAAGCATTCACCCACCCTAACTTTGGTTTTATCTCCATTGACATTGGATATATGAAAAAGGACCCCATCAAAATCTGCAACGGTCACATCTATGGACTCTGGCTTTAAACTGAAACAAAATTGGCGATATCAATTATTGGGACTCACTTCCCGTGGCGCATAGAGTGCATTGTACACGGCCGTATCATATATCACATACTTTAAATACTATAATGCGAAGGGTATTCGAAAACATTTTATAGGACGTTTCCGCACTTGTCAATACCTACAAACAATATGACTCATCATCGCTGATACACACCAACTAGCGTCATATTCGAGGAGTTATTTATGGAAAAGTAAACCATGAATACATCGAACAATACTAAAACGATTCGAATTTTGCATATTCGGCGGCCAACGTGGGCCCACCCTGTGTGATAGTATTTGACACTTGTCATTCATCCTCAAAAGGGTTATAAACGGGAATCGGGATCATCAAGTATCTCGAATTTTAGCGAAACATATATTCAAATAGTACCTTAAACAACTCTTATTCGTATGCACACACCTACAAGGCCTAACGACAGCAAAAAACAGGTAAACTTTCTAAGCGTAACGTACTCACCGCGCCAGTGCATTTTTATATTTAACTGATAAAGTTTCTTCTATAATTCTATTGTTGATCTCCAGCAAGATCATTATTTAACAATTTATAACTACAGTTTTTTTCATAAAATTAACACTTTATAGCACCTTCATTTAATAATTCATACGAATTATCTTTAAAATGACGACCGCCCGCACACAGATATTTCTATGACAGAGAGAAAAGGAAGCATCAATGAAATTGAAATATCGGTCAAGTGACCATAGACAATATATGTGGCTGATGATAAGAGCTGTCATATCTAGGAATGTCATGTTTATATTGTTTTTATGAATATGTCAATGTCAATACCTTCGGAAAAGTGTTGGTTGCCGTTTGCTGTGTTTATTTATTTGTGTGAATTTTGTGAAACGTGATAAAGTAATCTAAAAAATCTTTGACTTTGTAGGTCTATTGAGGACAAATAAAATAAGCTCTTGAGTTACAATGCTCGTATTGGGCAGAGTGTAACATAAAGATGTCGAATCAGGTAGCTACTTTTGTAGCGGGTCTTAAATCCCGAAATGTGGATGTTCAAACGAAGACCGCGAGAGAACTGTATCACTATGCTAAAACTGAGTTGCGAGAAGTTCCGCAAGAGGAGCTCACTCAGTTCCTTGATGAGTTCAATCATCAAATATTTGAGATGGTTTCAAGTAATGATGTTCACGAGAAAAAAGGCGGCGTTCTAGCCATAGGTATGTTCAATATTATGGAATAAATGTGTACTGAACTAACTAAGCTCTCATATATCGTTGAAATAATTTGTATTTTTTTCTAGTGTGTCTGATTGGTGGTGACTGTGATACAACTAAAACTAGAATAACAAGATTTGCTAACTATCTCAGGAACTTGCTACCATCATCAGATGCAGGTGTAATGGAACTAGCTGCCAAGACAGTTGGTCGTCTTGCTACTGTATCTGGTGTTAAAAGAGCTGAATATGTTGAATTTGAAGTGAAAAGGGCTTTTGAATGGCTCTCAGAGGAAAGAAATGAGGGTAGGCGCCATTCTGCTGTTTTGTTATTAAAAGAATTGGCTATAGCTATGCCTACATATTTCTATCAACAAGTGTCTGGTTTTTTTGATCACATTCTTATTGCTTTAAAAGACCCAAAGCAGCAAATAAGAGAAGCAGCTGCTAAAGCATTACGAGCTGGGTTAGTGGTCACAGCACAGCGAGAAACAGCTAAGCAATCAACTGCTAAACCTCAATGGTATATGCAATGTTGTGAAGAAGCGATGCTGTCATTTGAAGATATTCCCATTAAGGAAAAAGGCATTATAAAAGAAGATAGAGTACATGGTGGGCTTTTGATTCTGAATGAATTGTTACGCTGCTCTAATGCTGTATGGGAGAAAAAGTATACACATCTAATGAGGAGTATTGATACCCAGCAGGATATTATAGTATCTGACGATATTATTTTCATTAGTTCCAAACTACATAGCCCATCTGTGAAAAGAGGTTACCTATGTGATGGCTTTAAAACAGAAAATGTCCAGTATCCAGTTCCTATTTATGAGTCTGAAGTATGTAAAAAATTACTGACTGAGAAGATTGAAAGAATTTTTCATGGTAGGTCATATGTGTAAAGTTATATATTTGCTTCGTATAAGTTGTAGTTAAAATTAATTACCAATGTGGTTTATTTTTTTCAAAATTAGGAAATCTTAAAATTGTTACACTACTTCTTCATATTTAATAGTCCTACAAAAATCTAAGGTCTTTTTAAGGTGAAAATTTACATCCAATGATTAAATTTCAATTTTTTCTTTCAGATGTAATGGCACAAAGACATTTAAAACTTCAAGGTGTACCACAAACATTACTTATTATAATTCCAAGATTAGCTGCATTTAATAAAGAACTCTTTTTGAGAAAATATCTCAACTCTACTATGCATTATTTATTAACTTCAATAAGAAGTAGAGAAAAAGACCGAAACATGGCTTTCACCACCCTTGGCCTTATGGCAGCTGCTTTAGGGGGTGATATAAGGAATTTTATACCAAGGATCATGGAAGTCATTAAACAGGCTCTACCATTCAGGGACACTCAAACAAAGAAAAGAATTTGGATAGATCCTTCAATTTTTGCCTGCATAACTTTATTGAGCAGTGCGGTTAAAGACCTTGTTATTTCTGATATTAAAGAATTACTTGATGCTCTATTTGCAACTGGGCTCAGTCCATCCCTAACTATTTGTCTCAAGGAATTGAGTGAAAATCTACCATCACTAAGAGCTGAAATATCTAAAGGTCTTTTGAATATGTTATCATTAGTGTTAAGAAATAAACACTTTTTACATCCAGGTGTACCCAGGAGTTTAGAACAACAAATGAGTAACAGTATGAATATTGTGGTTGAACCGCAAGATACCGCTAGTATTGTGCTGGCTTTGAGAACTCTTGGTACATTCCATTTTGAAGGCCATCACAGTTTGCTTATGTTTGTTAAGCGATGTGCAGATCATTTCTTACAAAGTGACCAACAGGAAATTAGGGTAGAAGCTGTGAAAACATCTGCAAAGTTACTAGCTGATGCTGCTATCAGAACTAGGCATATGCCATCCAAAACTTTGACAATGCTGACTGCAGAAGTTGTTGGCAAAATGCTGATTGTATCAGTGACTGACCCTGATTATGAAGTCAGGTATTGGGTGCTTGAATCGTTGACGGATATTTTTGACACTCATTTAGCACAAATAGAAAATCTCAGTTTTCTATTCATTGCAATGAATGATGAACATTTAGAAATACGAGAATTAGCCATTTGTATGATCGGAAGACTCAGTACTGTTAATCCCGCATATGTAATGCCTGGACTCAGAAAGACTTTAATACAGTTTTTGACAGAATTAGAACATTCGGGAATGAGTCGTAATAAGGAACAAGCTGCAAGGATGTTAGACAATCTGATTTTACATGCACCCAAACTTGTAAAGCCATATATGGAGACTATACTAAATGTTCTTGTTCCAAAACTTAAGGAACCAGATGTTAACCCTGGTGTGGTTATCAGTGTTCTAAAAGCTGTTGGCGATTTAGCAGACGTTCATGGCGATAATACTGGCTTAAGAAAATGTCTTCCTGAGCTATTGACTATACTCCTGGACTTGTTATCCGACGCAACTGCCACCGAAAAGCGCAGTGTAGCTCTATGGGCGTTTGGCCAATTAATCAGCGCTACAGGATATGTTGTAACACCGTATACTGACTATCCAAACCTTATGGATGTGTTGTTAAATTTCCTCAAAACAGAACAGCAGCCTAAAGATAGACGGGAAACGATAAGAGTCTTAGGATTGCTCGGAGCGCTAGATCCGTACAAACATAAACTGACGAGGAGCAGGAAAGACGGTCAGCCTAACTCGAGTTTAGTGCCCGTAGCTGACAGTAAAGTGGAAGAAAACAATTTTGATATTTCATCCAGTGAGATGTTGGTTTTGATGCCGACAGCTGTGCTAGATGAGTACTATCCTGCTATAGTTATATCGACTCTAATGCGAATTTTGCGCGATCCCACTCTTCAACAACATCATACGAGTGTTGTTCAAGCTGTCACTTTTATATTCCAATCGCTCGGTATCAAATGCGTTCCCTATATATCGCGAGTAACCCCAAGTCTATTGTTTGTAGCTCGCGCTACAGATAGTAACAGCTTTCGTGAGTTTCTTTTCACGCAGTTAGCTAAGCTGATTGCGATTGTGAAACAACACATTCGAAATTATTTGGACAAAATCTTCGACCTAATTAAGGAATTCTGGACTCCAAACAGTCCGCTGCAACCTACCCTTATTTTACTGGTGGAACATATTGCAATTGCCCTTGGATCCGAGTTTAAAGTATATTTACCCCAGTTGATGCCGCAAATATTAAGAGTATTGGCTCATGACACCAGCAAAGATAGGGTTGTGACAGAGAAACTACTCTTTGCACTGCAGAAATTTGAGGATAACTTAGATGATTATATGCATTTAGTTATTCCTTCGATCGTAAAGTTGTTTGACGCGTCGGACTGTCCTATACCCGTCGCTAAAGTTGCGATGGAGACAGTAGATTACTTGTCCGATTCGTTGAACTACAGTGAATTGGTATCAAGAATTATTCATCCTCTCGTGAGGAGTTTGGACAGTTGTTACGCGCTCAGAACGACCGCAATGGACACGCTATGTGCGTTGATCGCTCAGCTCGGTCGAAAGTTCAATGACTTTATACCGCTGGTACAAAAAGTTATTTTAAAGCACAGGATACAGCATCAGAACTATGATCTGTTGCTATCGAAACTGCAAACACCGCCTTCTTCGGCGTTGGAAGAATTTCCAAGACGGAAACCGAAAAATAATAATCAAGAGGTATGTACTACTAAGTTACTCATAGAAATATATATTTTACGTTTCATTATGGGTTCAACCGAAGCTCGAGTTTAGTTTAGTAGATGTTAATTTAAAATACTATTAAATTATATTATAAATGTTATATATTATTTTAACTTTTCGATTACAGGGACGTATCGTTGCGTGTGATACTTCGCAATCAATTCGAAAGCTTTACGTAAACGCGCATAGTCTACAAGACGCTTGGACGGTCAGCAGCCGTGTGTCCAAAGATGATTGGCTGGAGTGGCTTCGGCGGTTTAGCATTGGACTTCTGACGGAATCACATAGTCCTGCTTTAAGGTAGAGATACAATGATTTACTCGGTGATATACCAATTAATTTTAACAAGAACTTGGTGCAATGCTTACAATAAATGTAGAATCTGAATTGTCTAGCGATACAACTAATCAAATATTGTGTAATATAGTAGTCAAGCATTGTACTGTGCATGATTTCATATTTAATTTGTTAATGCGCATTGAAACTTATCTACCTAATTTTGTAATTTTGTATAGATTCTAAAATTTTGACCCGGTATCGACTCAAACAATAGAGCAACCGTGTATCGTGTCAATTACCACAGTAACGCAAAAGTCCAAGTGTGGATACCCTTTTTCCAAAGTATACAGGCAAAAAATAAATTCTAATGATGTTACAAAAATAATAAAACATGTTACAGGGCGTGCCTGGCTTTGGCTCACAACTACTCGCAACTGTTGCGGGATTTATTCAACGCGGCCTTCGTGTCGTGCTGGACAGAGCTGGATAGCCGATCGCGAGGAGAACTATCGAATGCGCTAGAACAGGCTCTAACTGCGCCTGATGCGCCCGAGTTGGCTCACACGGTGCTGAATTTGGCTGAGTTCATGGAGCACTGCGAGGGCGGAGCCCTACCAATATCCACGCATCTGCTCGGCGAAAGGGCTATGCATTGTAGGGCATATGCCAAAGCATTGCATTATAAGGTATGCATTTAAAGCATTGGATTAATTTCTTTGCTTATGTTATGTTGTCATAAGATAATGGTTAATTTTAGATTATTATCGATGTTGTAGTAACGCCTTCCACAAGGGGAGTTAGCTAGTTTTATTAGAATGTACTGTCCTATATTTTCAGGAAGAAGAATTTCGCAGCGGCGCAACCTCGCAGGTGGTCGAAGCATTAATACACATTAATAACAAATTGCAACAGAAGGAAGCAGCTGAAGGTTTGCTGGAAAGAGTCATGACGCAAAGAGAAGCAGGTGATACGAGCCTAAAAGTCCAGATTAGGTGGTACGAGAAGCTACACAACTGGGAGAAAGCTCTTAACCTCTACGAAGAAAAACTAACCGATGGCGATATGGAAATTTGCCTTGGAGAGCTTCGCTGCTTTGAAGCCTTGGGAGAATGGACTAAACTGTACAATACAGTGTCAAATTGTTGGACTAAAATGACAGATGAAGAGAAATTCAAAGCCGCAAGACTAGCAGCTGCTGCTGCTTGGGGTCTTAATGAGTGGGAATCCGTGGCGAACTACGTCAACTTTCTACCAGAAAACACCCAAGATGGTGCTTTCTATAGGGCTGTGCTAAACATTCATAATGAAGACTACAACACATCTAAATTGTACATTGATCAAGCGCGGACTATTCTGGATTCCGAATTGACAGCTGTAGCTGGCGAAAGCTACCAGAGAGCGTACGGCGCTCTAGTAAGTGCGCAGCTATTGGCAGAATTGGAGGAAGTTATAACATATAAACTCGTGTCCGAGAGGAGAGAATCCATTCGCCAAGCCTGGTGGACCCGGTTGCAAGGTGGACAAAGATTGGTCGAAGATTGGCGTAAGATACTTCAAGTGCGCGGTCTTGTACTCACCCCCCAAGAAGATATGGCCACGTGGTTGAAGTTCGCATCGCTGTGCAGAAAGAGCGGAGCGCCAAGACAAGCTCATAAAACTCTTGTAATGCTTCTCGGGTCGGATCCCAGTGAAAATCGCGACATGCCTCTCCCCAGCCACGAACCCAGGCTCACCCTCGCGTATGCAAAACACTTGTGGGTGGCTGGTGACAAACAACTGGCGTACGACCAGTTGCAACGATACGTGGATAATGTAGAGACAGGTGACGCTGAACACTGTAGACTTCTCGCTCGATGCCACTTAAAGTTGGGTGCTTGGCGGGAGTCTCTGCTGGGCATAAACGAACAATCCATCCCCACTATCCTGCACAACTACTTGGTCGCCGCAAACCTATCTTCAGATTGGTACAAAGCCTGGCACGCCTGGGCCTACATGAATTTCGAGACGGTGTTATTCTATAAACACCAAGAAGCCGACAACGAGACTAGTGAAGCTAAACCTCCGGTTGAATATATCCAGACGCACACGGTTCCCGCCGTAGAAGGGTTCTTTAAATCAATTAATTTATCTCATGGCAGTTCCCTCCAAGACACTCTTAGATTGTTGACTCTCTGGTTCGACTATGGCCATCATCCGGCCGTGCACGAAGCGCTAGTGGAAGGCATAAGGACGATAGAAATAAATGTGTGGCTTCAGGTGATACCTCAGTTGATAGCTAGAATTGACACGCCCAGACCTCTAGTGGGGAAGCTGATACATTCTCTCTTAATAGATATTGGGAAATCTCACCCTCAGGCGCTTGTCTATCCTTTGACTGTGGCCTCCAAGTCCTCGTTTGTAGATCGCAAAAATGCCGCTAACCAAATTCTGAAGTCGATGTGTACACATTCAAATAACTTGGTGAATCAAGCTGCTATGATTTCTGAAGAGTTGATTCGGGTCGCCATTTTGTGGCATGAACAATGGCACGAGGCTTTGGAAGAAGCGTCTCGGTTGTACTTCAGCGAGCACGACGTGAAAGCCATGTTCAAAACTCTGGAGCCGTTGCACGCTATGTTGGAACGGGGACCGCAAACGCTAAAGGAAATATCGTTCAGTCAAGCGTATGGGCGGGATCTAAATGAAGCGCAAGAGTGGTGCAATAGATTTAAGGTAAATAATCATCATATTACCCTTTGGTTTACACTATATTTTTTTCCCAGCTTAAAAACTATATGAAAATATCGCGTGTGGAATAACTTCTTTTTTTGTAAAATATTAATAAAGTAACACTCAACTTTTAATAGTGACAAAAACGCTATTCGTTAAAATAAAACTATTATATAAATATGTCTAGTTATAATTAACAGTGATATAAAAAAAATACCTAAATCCTATTTTTTGCTCCCCTAAACTAATTGGGGCTTCATTAATTATTGGATTGAAATCAGTACATATATTAATCTATTTTGTTTTATTTAGATAATCTTTCTCTCCAACACATGGTTTTTTCCAGGAATCTGGTCAAGTTCGAGACTTAAACCAAGCCTGGGACCTCTACTACCACGTGTTCCGTCGGATCAGCCGACAGCTATCTCAGTTGACGTCACTAGAGCTGCAGTATGTCAGTCCACAGTTGCTCAGCTGTCGAGACTTGGAGCTAGCGGTGCCGGGATCTTATGTACCAGATCAAGACCTTATCAGAATTGCACACATACAGAGTAGTTTGCAGGTAAAATAAACAAAATTCTAATACAATGCAGGCTTTTGTGGGTTTTTTATTCACTGATAGTAATGTTTGTCTGACAGGAACTCTCAAAATTTTTGATTTTTTTAAACATGCTAAGATTAATTTTTGATAGCCTAAACATTAACCGTCTAGTAGGAAATAGAGTCAGAGTCTTAAATATCCTACTTAAGTTTTAAGCGCGTATACTGAAGATATACTATATAGAACGTAAGGAATATTAAGTTCCTTACAATCATTTTGTTCTTGTCAGTTCGTGACTTGGCCCGCGTGGAGGTATTTCGGCCATCATATAATTTATTTTTGCAAACAACCTGCTTTAAAAATTAATGCTTTATTCTTACCAGTTAATTGTAAAAGATAGATATAAATGATCTAAAAAAAGGCCTACAGGAAAATTATTTATAGAAACCTTGTCAATGTTATTGGTTTTCTTAAATAATTTTCATAACGAACGTAACGGAAGCCCTCTAAGATTAATAATTTTCCTCGTTTTTTCGCTCCTAGGCTGCGACCACCTAATGTTTTATAGTTTAAACTTTAAAGCCTTCTTTAATAAATGCTCTAACCGACACAAACATATTTTTTACAATTCGAACCTGATTCCTGAGACTATCTTCATCAAACAAACTCTTAATTATAGTAGTATAGTTTATGTTGTGTTTTTGTATAATGTTTCTTTAATGTCATATGGTCCATTTTAGGTGATAACCTCAAAGCAGCGACCGCGCCGTCTCTGCATCCGCGGTTCAAACGGCAAAGACTACATGTTCCTGCTCAAGGGTCACGAAGACTTACGCCAGGACGAAAGAGTGATGCAACTCTTCGGTCTCGTTAATACCCTGCTGCAGGCAGATCCCGATACTTTCCGCAGGGATTTAGCCATACAAAGATACGCTGTGATACCGCTGTCAACGAATTCGGGTTTAATAGGATGGGTACCGCACTGCGACACACTACATTCGCTGATCCGAGATTACAGAGACAAGAGAAAGATCCTTCTTAATATAGAACATAGGATCATGCAACGGATGGCGTCGGATTTGGAAAAACTGATGTTGATGCAGAAGGTAATTCTTCTGAGCATACTGCAGATATTCGTGAATCTTATTTTATAGCAAAAGTGATATGTATTCACTTTTTTAGTTTGGTTAATAATGTTAAGCGTTTGAAAACTTTGATATGGTTCACATTTTAGGGCATTATTTAAAAATAAAAACAATTTTAGTTACAAAAACTTTTACGACACATACGGGTCTTGAACCGGCACAATTAGCATTTGCTGTTGCTCTAATCAATTGAGCTACCGTGTCCTACATCGTCGAATTTCTTCAACCCATTGATACATACATCTTTTGCGCAATGTAATCTCAACCTTAAGCCATGCTAATTAAGGTTCAATTGAAATTGCAGAGATCGTTTTAACAATTTTTTCAATAATTTTTTTTCCAGGTGGAAGTATTTGAGCACGCGTTAGAGCATACAGCTGGAGACGATCTCGCCAAGTTATTGTGGCTCAAGAGTCCATCCTCCGAAGTTTGGTTCGAGCGTAGAACCAATTATACGCGATCACTGGCTGTCATGAGTATGGTGGGGTATATCCTGGGTCTGGGAGACCGGCACCCCTCAAACATTATGCTAGATAGGAAGACGGGGAAGTTCCTGCATATAGATTTCGGGGACTGTTTCGAAGTGGCCGTAACCAGGGACAAGTTTCCGGAGAAAATACCTTTCAGATTGACTAGGATGCTGATAAATGCTATGGAAGTAAGTCTTATTTGTTTATTTACTAGCGGAGACCGTGGCTTTGTTTTTCGTAGGATAGTTATTTTGATCATCAACATGTGTTTTTTCAAACCAATTCACGATCTTTATAAATTTTAGTTGTTACTGTTTTTAAAGCTAATCTCAAAAACAAATTACATACATACCGATTGTAAAGCTTTAAGACAATTCGCATTGTAATGTATTTATTTCTTAAAAAATAAACAGTACTTATCTACTTCCCTAATCATTTAAATTTTTCTGTATACAAGATAGTGGCAATAAAAGCAGTTAAGCGCTATATCAAGTAAATTAATAAGAAGATAAAGAATACTGATTTAAAATTACACAATCTTGTAACAACTCCAATAAACTAATACGCTCTGTATCTTTACCTTATCAAAAAGTATATTCTTTTATTACATTACAATATATGAACCAAACAAAAACGTCTATAATCTGTTGGAAACTGATTATCGGCTTTAGATTGAATAATTTTACGACACGAGCGAAACTCGAACCGGCATCCACAGCATTCCGGCTCCAAGCTGATACGGTAGCTCAAAAGTTTAGGCCACCAGCGTGGAACACTGACCGCCTCTGTAGCCAAATGGTTAAACGTATTGCCTAGCATTGCGTTAAGCGTGACAAGGCCTGGGTTCGAGTCCTAGGGAAACATAAAATTGTTTCGGTCGGGCAGGGCATAGAAGTCTGATCAACTACTTGCCCGTTAAAAGAATGGATCAGTGAAACGGACACAGAAATATGTTCGCCCCATGCCCCACGAGGGGGAAACGGGCTTTCAATACTATGGAACACTAGAGATGCCGGCTAAAATCCGAATCCTTTACAACAGCCGTGGTCGGGGGGAATCCCCGTACAGACAATACGTGAATAGACTTTCATCTTTAATATTAATATGATAATTGGAACGTTAACTTAAATGTAAAAATTTCCACAGGTAACAGGCATCGAAGGCACCTACCGCCGTACATGTGAATCGGTCATGGAGGTTCTACATCGGCACAAAGACAGCGTGATGGCCGTACTCGAAGCGTTCGTATACGACCCTCTTCTCAACTGGAGGCTGATAGATGCCGGTAGGAGGTCCAGGAACGAAGCTGAACCGTCATCTGGTGAAGCATCTTCCCCACAGCCTGGGAGAAGTAAAGCGGTAACTGGTAGTAATGAAATAGACCCTCCAGCGGAAACCAACCTCAATAAACGGGCGCTGGCTATAGTTAATCGAGTTAGGGATAAACTCACGGGCCGCGACTTCCCTCACATAGATGACAACTGTGTAAGTGTGCAACAACAGGTCGATCTGTTGATACAGCAGGCGACGAGCAATGAGAATCTATGTCAGTGTTATGTTGGTTGGTGTCCATTCTGGTAATACGATTTACGGAGAAGACGCATTTTTTTATAATTATATGATAGTTTTAGTGAAATACTGTCTTTAGTCACATTGAAATAAAACATTTTAACGGTTTAAAACGCGATATATATTGGGGAGACAGTTTCCCGTGACTACGGCTGCTGCAAAGCATCCGGAACGTCGGGGCGTAGTTATAATAATCTCCAAATAAGTTTAAGTAATATATCGCGTTTTAAACAGCTAGTGTTTTATTTTAATAGTCGTAGTATCTGATAATACAAATAACTGCCGCCGTAAAGCTCAATGTTTGGCTTCATAGAGAATTACGTTGAGATGTGACTGGTGACAAGTGTTTTTATCTCACAAATCATATAAACGGCAGTTTAACGTGATGAGATTTGAAAGCCTAAAACGACATCTAATATTGTAAATACATAGTTATAACGGAAAAAGTAATTTTCTCAGCCTAAGAGATATTTTCCTTTTGAGTTATGCTATAGATAAAAGGTGTAGTAATGTAACCTAGCCTAAGCCTAGAATTAAGCAGTGTAGTTCAGACAAAGTAATTTTTAGGGCTTATAAAGCAAACAGATGGCGCTGCGATCAAATAACAAACTAAGGAAAATTTCTGACTTTTCATTCATATTGTACTGTTTATGCCCACACAAGTAGTGTTTATTAAACTACGACAAAGTACGTTTTTAAATCCTTGCCAATATCAGTGATGATATTTTTAAATGGCAGTCTCCTGTGACCACAACACTAGCACTCAAATCGTCGGGTCATAGTCATTTGAACGAATAATATATATCGTATTTTAATCCGCGGAAGTGGTTCCATGGTATAAACTAGTACGTAATGTTTTCTCTACAGCCGATAGCCAATCCAATCCATCCAATTGCCACCTGAGTAAAAATTAGGATCCTTAACAAATAATGCTGTTGCCATGCGTTATATTCAATTTTTAAGTTTAATTATTCATTCGTAGATAAGAGGCGTTTTTATTACCTTGTAATAAATATCGAATAGTTAATTACATTGTCATTTGGCATAAAGTATGACGTCAGATACTCGTGAAAAAATAGTGCAAGAGGGTTTGAGTAGCTTATATTTAAGGATTTTATATGAGGCAGTGTGAGAGATTCGCAAATGTGCAAATGACGTTATTGTCACCCCACAAAAACAAAAAAAAAACATTATTCGATAAAAATACTAATAATATAATAAAAAAATTCGAAATTATTTTTATCAACATTTTAAGCAATTAATGATACTGGTGATGAAGATGAACAATTATGTCTGCTTACTCTACGAAAACCTGGTACTTATGTCGTTTGTACTAAATTCGGTGTAACTGAGGTCCTTGCACGGGACGAGAAGAGTAGAGTTTATTAAGTACAATTTGGCGACCTTACAGTTCCACTTGTAGTCTGTATGAATATAGAATGAAGTCTGGTTCTGGTCGTATCCTGCCCCCCAAACCCTTTGGAAAATTTGCGGTAACTACCCCACGTAGATTCGCTAGAGATGACTGGGGGGTTTTTTACCTAGAATACTTACGATAACAAAACTGCGTAAACTATAAAAATAGGACTATATATATAGAATATGTTAAATAATGTAATATGATACGGGCATAGCGTAGCATTACGTAGATTAGCATAAACTTAGTACGTAAATGGTTATACCTACTTATTTGAAGCAAGCCTTATTTAGAATTAAATATCTTGCTCCTATATCTTTAATATATTATGTACTGCGTACTTATAATAAATTTGTTTTTATTTTATGTTTTGTTTTATTTTAAACACGATGTGTTCAATAAATGTATTTACGTTAAAAATATTCACTGCCTTCTTATATAGGTATTTATGGTATAATGCTAAATATTCACGACACGCAGCCACAATATAATAGCAAAATTGGTAACATTGTTCGGTGCAGGTAAGCATTAAAAGGTAAAGAATAAAAAAACAAAAGAAAACCTCTATTACAATAGCATGCACTTCACCGTCAGTTTTGTCAACGGTAAAACACTATAAATTATTGCATACTTACATCACGGCCGAATTGTTTAGGAAAACGTCAGGAACATTTGAATAAGTGATTGCAACCTGCAATGTAACCGGTAGAATCTCAGTTCACCGTGACCCGAGATATAACGAGAAAACTGGATATGCCCTACCATGACCTACCTTAATACCTCAGAACTTCCACGTAAGAGAATGATACAAAATATCCAAAAGGATTTAAGAATTTGACTCTACAAGTAGGTAGTAAAGTGGAACGAGAATTTAAGCATATTATACTTTGATCAAAGTAATTATAAACAAACGTCTCTTATAATGTGTTCACTTATGATATTTTCTTCTCGTCGCAGTTTTATTATTCATTCATCAGGTTTAAAAAAGTTCGGTTCAGGTGGAAAAAATCGAATTTCATTTTTTTATAAAACGTATACACGTCATCTCCCTATCATATGCAGTTGATATCTCGATCATTAAAATCGGTTCCGCTGTGTAAGCGCTAGAATGGATTGTGTGACAAAATCATTACCCTTCTTTTCGGCTCCGCCGTGGTCGTATAAAGAGTCCGTTCAATTACAAAGCATTGTATCTAATCAAGGATAGTTAGACTTAATCTATAGTAATCAGTATGCCAGCGACCGCTGACGGCGATGGACGACTTCCCTCGCAATTCGAAGTGCTACACAAACGCAATCGAAAACAGACTGGACATACGTGATTTCGAGTCTCTGAGTGAGTACTAAAGATTTTTTGTTACTGACATAAAAATATGTATCTTAGATATAATTTATTAGTAAAAAAGATTGTAATATTGGATTGAATTTCTCAGACTTCCTAGATATTGAAAAATCTATTTCTATTTACCATATAAATACATTTTGATTGTAATTCTGTATTTCAGTAGCTAACGCTTAGAGCATGTATGTATTCGCTGTTTTAACAGTTTATTAACGTTAGCACGTAAAAAGTTCTTATCAAAATTAGATATCCTTTGCAACAAAAGTTTTAGGCTTGTATTTATTTGATTGAGTTGGTATTATTTGGGTCGTATGCTTGATATTTATTTTATCCCATCAACATACTGCTTATATTGCTAAACAAATTGAGCTAAAATTTAACATTAACATGAAACGTAATTTAAGTAAAAAATACAATCAATTATATTGCCATACATAACGCCAAGTTCCTTAAGTTAAAACAAAGGATTGTAAGGAAATCAAATATCACACTTTCAGACGGCGTAGTACAGAATCTTATACGCGAAGCGGTTAAAATTCGTGAAAAAGCGTATTGCCCGTACTCAAACTTCGCCGTCGGCGCCGCGTTACTTACCGAAGAAGACACAAAAGTCTACACAGGGTGCAACATAGAAAACGCCGCGATGTCCCCGACACTATGCGCAGAACGAACGGCGATACCGAAAGCAGTCTCGGACGGATACTTGAAGATCAAAATGATAGCTATCGTAGCCCACCAAAAGGACTCCTTCACAGCCCCCTGCGGGGTGTGTAGGCAGACGCTAAGTGAATTCCGGGGAAGCGACGGCGACGTACAGATATATCTATGCAAACCCACCATGGACCAAGTTTTGTGCACATCGCTATCGGAAATATTGCCATTATCATTCGTTAGTTATAAAACGGACAGCGTCAAATCGTGATTAACAATGAAACGCATTTGCATATGAATTTATTGAAACCTTACATACTTAAACATTTTAAGGTAATAAATTGAATAAGATAATATTAAATATGTTTAAAACAATGCTTTAGTTCAGTTTAGTTTTACGACTACTACCTAGATTGATTGATAGTCTAACGAAACATTAATCGTGGATAATTATAAATAATATGTATGTATATATATATATATAAGTATAACAATATGACTATTAAAACTACTGTAGTAATAGTATGAGACTGTTATCGCATCTCAATGTATGTGTTGAAACGCAATATGGTAAAAAATGTTGATAAGTAAGTATACTACAAGCTCGCTTAAATCTCGCTAAATTTCTTCAAAACAAAAGACACAAATCTCTGCTTTCGTCAATAATTATATTTGGGTTAATTTCATCGACATAGTAATATTCCGATACTAAATGAGAATATGTATCTAATAAAAGACTAGAGATAGCCATGGCTATCTAAATTGTGTAAAACAACATTTTCAACCCAATTATACAGCATTTAGTTGGTTATACTTGGTTCAATTGTTTGTAGAAATGGTTGAGTTTATTGCAATCAACCGGTTTGACAGACATTCATCATTTTGTCAAAAAAATTTTATTTATAGAAAGAAAGTGAAATATTTTTTTTAAGTCAAGCATATATTGCTTTTGGTTTATAACATAATATGAGGCCATTTTGCCTCTCGCAGCCTCATTATGCTTACACAAATGCAATACAATAAAGTACAAATGAATATATAGTAAAAATCAGTTTATAGGGTATAGTAGGTATATTCGGTGGTTGCTTTAAAAAGTTTTACATGATACTCTTAAATATTTAATATTGTTACAGTTAATGTACATCTCTCATCTACACTATAAAAAGAAAAAGTATTTTAAAGATTAATGCTCGTAATAAATATTTTAAAGTGTCTCTATAAAATACTTTTTAAAAATATAGTGGCAATAGTACCTTACCAAAACGGACACCAACCAATATAACATTGACACAAGTTTTCGTTATTCGTTGCTATCTTTATCAACAAATCCACCTGTTTAGGGACACTTACCACCGCCTCAATATTCGGAAAATCTCTACCAGTCAACTTATCCCTTATCCTATTCAAAATGGCTAGCGCCCGCTTGTTCAAATTGGACTCCGGCGGCATTTCTAAGGATTCATAATGCATTTGATTCCTACTTCTACTCGGGAGGGAGTAGGAAATATCGATGTCCGATGAGAAGGTGGATTCGGTGACTGAGTGTTTGTCGTTGTCTATGAGACGCCAGTTGAGTAAGGGGTCATAGACAAACGCTTCTAGAACGGCCATAACGCTGTCCCTGTGTTTGTGGAGTACGTGCATCACTGATTCGCAAGTGAAACGGTAAGTGCCTTCTATACCGGTTACCTAGAAAAAGGAATAAAATTTTGACCACATATCTTATGTTATAATCTGTCTGTTTAATAATTTTAGGTAATATTTTAAAGAATAAACTAAATTGCTCATATAGCAATAAACCTTTATTGAGTTTTTAAAGTGAAAGTTTCAACAATGTTTGTCTAAGAATCCATTGAAGAAATAATGTTATTAGTATATTGTATTTTTACAACTGCGATCAGTGCCTGTCTCTGAGCATTAAACTTACCTCCATAGCATATATCAGCATCCTTGTTAACCTGAATGGGATTTTCTCTGGAAACCTCTCCCTGGTCTGGGTCACTTCGAAGCAGTCCCCAAAGTCTATATGCAGGACCTTCCCCGTTACTCGGTGTAGCATTATGTTAGAGGGGTGCCGATCTCCCAAGCCCAGGATATACCCCACCATACTCATGACAGCCAGTGATCGTGTGTAATTGGTTCTACGCTCGAACCACGCCTCCGCTGATGGGCTCTTCAGCCAGAGGAGTCTCGCTAGATCGTTCCCTGGCGTTTGCGATAGGGTGTGCTCGAAGATCTCCACCTGATAAAACATTATGATTACCGTCATGTTTTTTAACTCGTTTCGGTACATCTATACTAATATATAAAGCTGAGGAGTTTTTTTTGTTAGAACACTCTAGTCTCAGGAACTACCGGTTCGAATTGAAATATTATTTTTGTGCTGGGTAGAACATTTATCGAGGGTAGGGTATAAAACGCATTATCCAGCTTCGTGAGTTTCCGATGCTAAAACGGTTCAAGATACCCAAAAAAATATGTACCAAAGAATGATTCCTCATTAAATAATTCAAAAAAATATGTCCACATATGTAGCTGACACAGTTAGTTGACTATAAGTATACACATATTCCTTACCTCGTAAATAATATTGTTTAACGTCAGCCCACCAGAAATAAATATTTTGAAACACCTTGAACCGTAGAAGAACGGGGATGCAACTAACGGTATATACGAAAACCAGAGTAGAATAGATATTACGTATCAACCAAAGGACATAATAAAGTGGTTTAAAATATTTATTGAACAGGTAAAAAAGTAGAATCTTCACGATCGTTATTAAAGACATAACGCTTCACTTTTGATTGTGAATAGAAAATGCATCCGATTTTGAAATCAACGATTTTATGTACTGCCGCAATAAAGCGGGAACAATACAATTAAAAGAAGTGTTCCGTAACTGAAAGTGGTATTGCAATTTATAATAATTTATTTGCAGGTGCTGAATGTTATTTGTTAAGTTTTTTTTCTAGTCATTTAATAAAATTATCGTAAGTAGGTTTACATATATGTAATGGCTTTAATGTTATTATCTCCCCTTTTTTATTATCTGTGAAGTTTACGACTAGAGATTTGTTGAAATTTGTAAATCAGAAGTGAGATTAATTTGTACCTGATGCCCTGTAAGAATCGTTATTTTAAACTTACCTTATGCTTCAACATTAGCTTCTGATAATCCGATCCCATTCGCATCATGATCTGTTGTTCAGTATTCAGCGACATTTTGTTTGACTTCTTATCTCTGTAATCACTTATGAGGTTGTACAAAGTATCACATTGCGGCACCCAGCCTATGAGACCCGAGTTCGGCGATAATGGAATAACAGCGTATCTTTGTATGGCGAGATCGTGGCGATACGTGTTTGAATCGGCCTGCAGCAGCGTATTGACGAGACCGAATAATTGCATAACTCGTTCATCTTGGCGTAAATCCTCGTGGCCTTTGAGCAGGAACATGTACTGACGTCCGTCTGAGCCTTGAATTGTTAAACGACGCGGGCGCTGTTTGGATTTTATAACCTAAAACATTAGAATACAATATTTAATACTTGTATCCTACCAGAGACCAAAAAGAATAAAAATTACAAAATCCTTGTATAATATTAGCCTGATTTTATTTAATTTTAATGAGTTGCTGTCATCTCATAGCCTTTATAGTTATCTGATATTCTTTTTGACCCCTCCTTTGTCCATGTAGATAAACAATTCAAGATCATAAACCAACTTACTTGCAAGTGACTCTTGATATGCGATATCCGTATAACTTTCTCGTGAGGCACATAAGAACCTGGGACGGCCAGTTGCAAGTCAGTGCAGGTATGGAGACGTTTGCTCACATACTGGAGTTCTAAGGCCGTGTGTGAGCGGAACTGCGCACCAATGCGACGTACCACGTGGCAGTAGAGGTCCCAGGCTTCATTCAGATACCTGTCTTCGTTAGTCTCCTGTTCGAAATTGGAAAACATTTGTTTCATTCTTAATATTATACTTTTATAAAAGTACATTCATACTGTATTCTTTTGGTAGGATTGAAAATGGGACTATTATGAAAATTATGATAATAACTGCATTTTAAACTGTAACTAAAATAAGTGATATAAAGATAAGGCAAACGTTTGCGAGAATCGATAAATGTTTAATGTGGATACCGCTTGTGATAATGCGAAGCGGATGAAAGCCAGCGAAAGTCAAATATCAGAAACATGTGTTGTACGTACTACACCACGTTAATTATAGTGTAGAGTTTTTTAAGTTTTTTAAGTAAATTATTTTTAAGTATATCTTTCGGTGTACATTTTACTACATCAAAAATCAATCGATCAATTGTTAGGCACCATATAAAGTATTAAACTGGCATACCTTGTATAGCTCACACCATCGTTGCGCTTCTTGCAAATCTCTGCCGTACATTTGTAAGAAGGAAACCTCCTTCAATGTCTCTGGTGGTCTATCTAACATCGTATGCATTTTCTCGAGCGTTCTAAACATACCGCGGTAATCCTTCTCGCTGAAATATAACCTGAAACATGGCGTGCGCAATTATAACACCTATTCCACTACGTAGTTTGTGGAAATAAAGTAAGAGGGTTTGCCGGGAAAGAATGATTTTGTTATAAAGGCTTTTTGATAATACATACAAAGAAAATTCTGAAGTTTGACGGGCTCATTTGGGTAATATAGGTTAACAGTCAACAATTTTCTAATCAACTTATTTTTGAAACATGTCGAATTTCGACTGGAAATCTGGATATTAAATGGTTCCATTATTAATATCGAAGTTCCGTCCGCGTCGCGAATCACCGTCGACAGATGAAAGATAATAATCGCGTTTGGTTTGTAGTCTTTGAATTTCTGATTATCTACAAAGCGCATTTTGGTACGGTTTGGGTATTACTCCTACCATCAAGTCTGTTCTCTATCATAAAAAAAATAAAGCAACTATCTATGCTATCATTACTAAAAATATGGAACTCTAGTTTTCCAACGTCTTTGTTTAACATTAAGGAAATATTTTAAAGACGTTCTATAAAAGCTTTTAGTCTCACCTAGACGCATCTTCCAACGCGGTATACACCTGATCGTGCCATAGCATTGCAATTTTTATCAACTCCTCCGAAATAATAGCAACTTCGTTCACTAATACTTGGGAATGCGTGCACATCGTCTTCAGAATATAATTCGCCGCATTCTTCCGCGTCACGAACGAAGACTTCGTGGCAACAGTGAGAGGATAGACCAACGCTTGGGGATGCAGTTTCCCAATATCTATTAAAAGTATATGTACCAATTTCGCGACCAAACTTCTAGGTGAATCTATTCGAGCTATTAACTGCGGGATCACTTGTAGCCATATCTTTACATCAATTTGCCTGATACCCTCAAAGAGAGCGTCATAGATCGCCGGATGGTGACCATGATCAAACCACAACGTCAGAAGCCTTAGTGTATCTTGTAGAGAATTTCCATTCGCTAAACTAATCGATTTAAAGAAGCCTTCTATCGCTGGTATAGTGTAGGTGTTGATGAAATCCGGTCTCGATACTTTTTTATCCCCAGAACCACCGGCGACACTACTCTCAGATAGGTTATCCTGTTGCTTATAGAACAGAACGGTTTCGAAGTTCATACAGGCCCACGCGTGGCAAGCTTTGTACCATTCAGGGGCTAGGATAGTCGCAGCCGCGTAATTCTTTAATATTTCTGGAATTGACAGTTCGTTTATTTCCTGCAGAGACTCACACCAAGATCCAAGCTTTAGATGACACCGTGCTAGCAATCTACACTGTTCTTCCGTCTCCCCCTCTGTGTTATCCACAAACCTCTGCAACACTTCATAAGCGTATCTCTTATTACCAACGTCCCATAGATTCTTACTATACGCTAGTATCACTCTTGGATCTTGAGTTTGCAATAATATTTCGGGATTGGTGACTGGATCTGCGCCCAATATAGATAACACTATTTTGTGCGCTTGATTGACAGTACCAGTTTTTCGACATAGAGATGAAAACTTGAGCCAAGTCTGTAAATCTTCGCAAGACGATCTAACTAGGCTTCGAATCTGGAGCATCTTTCTCCAGTCTTCAACGAGACGCTGTCCTCCCTGGAGCCTAGTCCACCACATCTTGTGGATAGTACTTCTTCTTTCCTCAACCAATTTGTAAGTGACCACTTCTTCTAGTTCTGTTAGTAACTGCGCGTTGACTAGCGCCGCGTAGGCTCTTTGGTAGCTTTCCCCAATAACAGCAGACATTTCTCCATCTAGTAATGTTCTTGCGGAGTCAATAAAGTGCCTGGACTCTGACCAATATTCATCATGTATCGCGAGCACCGCTCTATAAAACGCTCCATCCTGGGTATCTTCTGGGAGAAACGCGACATATTTTTTCATTGTATCCCATTCTTGCAAACCCCAAGATGCAGCAGCTGCTATCTTTGCTGACTTCTTTTGCAAATCTTCTCCAAGATTGTCCCACTGTTCGGCAGTGATACTGTACAGTTTCCTCCACTCACCCATGGCTTCCAAACATCGCATCATACCCAGTTTCGACTCTTTATCTTCGGGTTCCGTTTCAAGTTTCTTGTTGTATAGTTCTAAAGCCTGTTCCCAGTTGTGTAGTTTCTCATACCATCGCACGTGAACATTCAGCGTGCAATTGCCATTTTTCTTTTGCATAATGACTTTTTCGAGTAAGCCATTAGCCGATTCTTTCTGTTGTAATTTGTTGTTGATGTGGATAAGCGCTTCCACGACTTGAGTGGTTGGATTTCTTCTGTACTCTTCTTCCTGCAAAGGGTGTCATTATTCTGAGTTTAATTTACTGTTTTAAATCTGGATTTCCATAAATCTTATGACATCTTACAATTACTTTGTGAAATTAAATAACGTAAATTTTACAAACAATAGTAAAGTCTAATTTCAACACAAGCTTATGTAAACATACCTTATAATATAGAGCTTTTGCAAACGCGCGACAAGTGATAGCAGTATCGCCTAACAATTTTATAGAAACGGGTAAAGCTCCTTTATCACAGTGTTCCAAGAACTCAGCAAGGTTTAACACGATTAAAGATATTTCTGGGGCATCAGGTACAGTAAGCGCCTTCTCTAGAGCGTATACGAGCTCAGACCGCGGCTGGTCGCCCAATTCCGTCCAACATGACATAAAAGCTGCATTGAACAAGTCACTCGCTAGCTGGGAATAATTTTGAGCTAGGCTGGCACATGCTCTATAAAAGAAGAAGCAATTTAAATTATAATATTTACTTTTTCTTGAAAACTGTATTAAAATAGCTAATATATATATTACAGAATGTTTTATATCTAAAACCCCTAAAAAAAGATATTTATTATTTTATAAGACAAAATTGACTTCAGATTATAATAACGATAGAGATAGAACAAAGGGTATCTTCTTATAAAGTTTTGAATACCTAATGGCGGGACTGTTTGACTCGGTGAGCAATCCGATACTAAATTGTCGCAACCACTCCAGCCAATCATCTTTTGATATTACGTTGCTTATGGACCAGCATTTACGCAGATTTTGAACATTCAATACCAACTTCTGAATATTTTGTGTCTCACCACTTGTTACCACCTGAAAAGAAATATTGTTTTTTTTTTATAATTCCTACATTATGTACATGAAAGCTTGTTAAAAAAGATGAGTTAAAATTTTTTTAATGCACCTATGTATTCCTTAAATCTCACTTTTAACTACTTACATCAGTCTTTTGATTCCTTAATCTAGATCGAGTCTCATCCAAATAATCGTCGTCAGACGCTAGAGTCGATATTACTTGAAGTCTCGATACGAGCACAGTGTAGTTAGGACATTGAATTTTATGCTTCACTAAAACCCTGTCCACGGGGCCAATATAGTCTATGTACTCTCGTCCTAACTGAACTATTAAAGCACAGAGTGTGTTCATTGCAGTTTGTCTCAGTGTAGGGTTATTATCAAGTACCCTCACGAGGCCTTGTATTAATACCGCAGAATAGGGTTTCAAATACAGATGCATAGACAAATGCTCTATCGTCTCCATCGCTAATTTTGAAATATGCGTTGGAATATTTCTTCTATCGAACAACGCTGTTATAGCCGGGACGATAGCTAGCAGAACATCATCCAAATTATTCTCAAATTTCTGTATCGCCAAGAGCAATTTCTCCGTTAATACTCTATCTTTGCTCTTATCGTGTTTAAGGACTCGTAATATATGAGGTAGGATTTTTCTTAGGTACACTTTGAACTCAGTACCAATCGCGACAGTGATATGTTCAACGAGCAAAATGAGGGTAGGCTGTAACTGACTGTCGGGTGTCCAATATTCACGTATTATATCAAAAATATCTTCCAAATAGGCTCTAATGTGGATTTTTACAACAGATATTAGCTGCGCGAGCTGCGTAAATAGAAACTCCCTGAAGTTATTATTATCTGTGTTACGAATTACATAGAGAAGACTGGGTGTGACCCGCGATATATAAGGAACGCATTTGATTCCCAATGTTTGGAATATGTATGTTACAGAATGAACCACATTGGTGTGGTGTTGCGCTAGTAAGGGATCTCGAAGTATACGCATTAAGGAAGTGACCGCAATCGCGGGATAAAACTCGTCCAAAACAATAGGAGACATATTAACAAACATTTCGCTAACGTTAGCGTCAAAGTTTTCAACTGTAGCTGTCGTTTCTGTAATCGGAATTAACGTTGAGGTAGTTTGGAAATCAATAAGCCCCTGATTGACTCTATGTTGATAAGGATCTAACGCGCCTAAGAGACCTAGCACGCGTATCGTTTCACGCCTGTCTCTGGTATGCTGTTCTGTTTTCAGGAAATTTAGAAGCATATCCATAAGATTCGGATGTTCGCTATATGGTGTTACGACATGTCCAACGGCACTTATAACCTGACCGAAGGACCAGAGCGCTACACTCCTTTTTTCTGGTTGATTGGGATCTGATAAAATTTCCAACTGAATACTCATCAGTTCAGGCAGCCACTCCTTCAATGCTGTGCCACCTCCATTAACCTCTGCCAAATCTCCAATTGCTTTTAAAATAGTCGAAATCATTATAGAGTTACTATCGGTTTCCTTCAACTTCGGTACCAGAACTTTCAGAATTGTGTCCACAAATTGCCTTGTGATCCGCGGCGCGTGAGTTATGATATTGTTAACCATTCTCAGAGATTGCTCTTTGTTACGGGCCGATTCGGAGTACTGTAATTCGAGCAAAATTTGCACAAACATTTGACGCAAAATCGGAGTCGTGTAACTAGGGTTCAAATTGCTCAATCTACCGACCACGCATAAGGCTAATTCACCGACGTCGCTATTTGAGTCATTGACACATATGAACAAGCTATTCAAATGTTCCTCGGTGGCTAAAAATTTGTCAAATACAGGATTCGTGAAGACCTCTAACACCTTAAATCGTATCTCATGATCAAAGTCTGCTCGGCCAACTGAAAGTAGTTTACCCAATGATTCATCCACTAGTATATTAAGAGTTCTTGAGCTGGTTTGAGAACATCTCTCTACTGCCTTAACAAGAAGCTTTGCAATTGTTTTAACTGACTCTAACCTGACGTCATGCTGTTCGCTTTGCAAATAGTGATCAGTGCAACGACGAATAAAAGACATTAATGTGTTGTTCCATTCAAAATCAAAGGTACCGAGGGTTCGCAATGCCAGTACTAGTTTAGCAGCGTCGTGTGGCTCCATGACCAATACAGTTGATAGCGAATATGACAACTGTGTATCACTTTTGTTTTCGCTTATAGTATATGGTTTCTTCCTTAATATCAGAGAAAGTATATTAAGTAATCTAATTGTAATTTCCTTTTTTAGGGATGGAACACTCTGGCTGAGTTCTTTAAAACATGTCGTCAATTGTGGATTTAGGCCGCTAACGCACATAGGATCTAACAATTCTTTTAATTCATTTGCTATATTTTCCTTCATAGTGAAGCCTAGCAATGTGACACATTTAAAAAGGGATGTGTCAATTCCATTTCTCTTCCTTGACATATCTTTAAGAGGTAATGTTGATTTGATGATTTCAATGATCCTGTTTAAGTACTGTTGAATATCATCTTCCACAGATACACAGATAAGGCCGAGGGTAATAAATGCCATAGCTCTCTCTTTCTCTCTGCCACAGAGAAAAGTAATTAGATGATTTATGGTTGATTTTAAGTGCTTTCGAGCAAATGCTTCTCGATTGAAAGCAGCTAGTCTGGGTATAATTAAGAGAAGCATTTGATGGACATTGTGTGATCTTGATATCTGTTGAGCCATAATATCTGTAAAATCAAGATAAAATATTTAGAAAAAAAGCATGACATACACAATTTTTCATTCTAAACTTACTCAAAATCTTTTTTACTCTAATGTAAACTTGTTGTCTTTTTTCTGTATTATGCTAGATAATTAGGTCCTAAGTTAAGTAACATTACAACTAAAATAAAAATGCAAACAATCAATATTAACTAACCACTGGAAATTTTGTCATATTTATCTAAAATGAGTTGTTTGCAGAAACTTGATTCCAATATAATTGGTGTCTGAGTTTTATCTTCGGAATAACTCTGCTGACTCCATAGACTTTGTAGTTTATTGTGCATGGACACTTCATCTAATACATCTTGTTCAGCATCCAGTTTCTGCATCAAACCTGTGTACTTCCGTTCCCAATTGGCATTAGAACACCGTAGTAGCTCATTCAAAATCAATAAAGCTCCATGCACATTTTCATCACGACTCAGCCCTCTATCTCTTATTGTATGATCACTAAATGATGATGTAGCTTCCTCATAACACTGGATATACCAATGGGCCCTCTTATGCTGTGTCGGTACTTCTCTCTGTGATGTTACTACAAATGCAGCTCTTAAAGCTTTAGCAGCAACCTCTCTTATTTGCTCTTTAGGGTCACGTAATGCTATTCTAATATGATTAAAAAACCCATTTATATGCTGATAGAAATATGATGGCATAGATATGGCCAGTTCTCTTAATATAAAACAAGCAGATAGCCTCTTAGCTTCTGTCCTTTCTTCTGCAAGCCATTCATATGCCCTCTTAATCTCATTTTCAACATATTCACCTCTTTTAATCCCAAGTGACACAGTTATACGGCCCATAGTCTTGGCTGCCAGTTCTAGAATACCAAGATCATTTGTAGGAAAAATATTTCGCAAGTAATGAGCATAACGAGCTATTCTTGCTTTGTTTATTTCCGTGTCACCAGTTATTAGACAAACTGAAAGTCAGAATGCATAATCATTAATATTTTCTAACTCAAATTCACTCATTGTTATTGATACTGTACATTGAACATTATTAATCCATTAAAATTATATTTTTTTAGTGATTATATCTTCATCACCTTTATACCATTGGAACTAAGATTGTCTATACTAAGGCTTTTAGTTTAATAATGGGGGACAATTGAATACATTTATTAATTAATTTACATTATTATTAATGAAAAATAGATTGTCTATACTAAGGCTTTTTAGTATTAATAATGGGGGACAATTGAATACATTTATTAATTAATTTAGATTATTATTAATGAAAAATATTTTAACTATATCAGTTATTATTTACATAAATTTGTTTCGTTGAATGTGTAGTTGTGGTGTAAAATAATAGACACTTTACCTATTGTTAGAATACCAGCTTTTTTCTCATTGTTATCGTAGCTAGACGTCAAAATATGAATCTGTTGATTGAAATCATCCAAAACCAGAGCAAGGGTTTCTTGAGACATCTCTCGGAGTTCAGTTCGAATAAAATGTAATAGATCGCGAATAGCCCGGTGCCTTGTCTCAAAATTACGAGACTTAAGACTTAATACAAAATCTAAGGCTTGTGAAGACATTTTTATTTCAGCGTTTATCAGTATAAAAGAAAATGATTGGAGTCCTCACACACTCACATGGCTGCAAATTCAAGCAGCAGTAACTAATAAAATTTTACATTTCACACACAGTTCTGTAAATTTATAGCTTAATAATATAGTTTATCAATTATAGTCGTACAACTTAATCTTACACAGAAATGCTATTTGTTTTTAAAAATATGTTTTAAGTGTGAATAAATTTGTAAACAATTTTATGGTTTAAACTTTCAAAGTCAAATTACAAAGATATTTGACATTGACACTCAATAAAATCGGTTTATAAATATTTTGTCTCTGTTTCATTATGCAAAAAGTAAATAATAATTTTCTACTTTATGTATTATTACATTTATAAAATATTTTTCGCAGACATATAAATATACATAAGAAACATATAAGAGCAAAAGCAGCTTTTATAAGAAACATGTTTTTATATATTATGTAACTTGTTGCGTTCTGAAACAAGGATGACGCGTATATTTTCAATACTTTCTCGTCATCTTGTTAGCAACGCCAAATGTCAAAGCAAAATTGTCTCTCAGCTGAGCCACAAAGGTGACTGACTGTTTGACGTAGTGTTTCGTACCCCATTCTTTGCTTTTATACAGCATTTCTTCAGCAATTCGTTGAAAACAGCTTTAGTATAATAAGAATTGACAAAATTTAATCGTATTATAGAAAAATGAGTGAATTAAGTCAAGAAGAGGTGAGTTTCTACCTTTTTGAATGCTTATTCTAAAGTGCGTATGGTCAATCTAATTTCGTAACAAAACAAAGCGTTGGTGTAGTGTTGTTGTACGCTACGTGCGTCTTAAATATTTTACACGTGCTTCGTGCTCACGTTTTGTGCTTTGCAGATAAGAAGACGGCGGTTAGCAAGACTTGCAGCACTGGGAGGAACGGGTTCATCGCCATCCCCAATAAGTCCACCAGTCACACCTAGTGCTTCCGTTCCAGCGGAAGTTTTAAACACACAGACGTCACGATTATCACCCACGTCCTTACCAAGAAGTTCTACTGAAAACACACCAGATACAAATTACAATGAAAATAAGAATGACGTATCAGACCAGACGAAAATACCAGCAGATGGATTAATAGTTACAGAAAAAACTGATAATAATTTATTAGACGAGATGCCAGATACGAAAATGACAGATCTTTCACAAACAAGACAATATAACAGTTTTGATTCTATGGGTGACGATGCATTAATAAGTTGTGGGTCAGTTAGAGTTGGTACATTGCCACAATCCACTGTTAGTGGCTCAGAGGGTGCTTCAACAAGAGAGGACAGTACATCTCGGTCAATATCTCCAGCTCAGTTTGTTGAACCATCACCTGTTCGACCTAGAACCACTAATGCTTCACCTAGTTGCTCACGACGGTCTCTCTCAATGGAGGTAGATGATGTATCTGAAAGGAACTCTCAGTCTGAGAGTCAACAAGAACCAATGGAGGTAAGCATTTTAAAATAGTATTACAATATATCTAATATCAGGCCTAAAATAAGAGAAATCAATCTTAAGATATACTTAATTAATAAAAAACTATATTTCTCACTGTAAACTTATGTAAGAACATTTTATTCTATCTGCATTTCAATTTATATAAATTGATTGTTATCCGTTGTACTCTTGTGGTTCCCAGTATACATGATTAACATGTAATAGATTTTTATTACTATTTAAATTAGGACTGGTTTGAGACTTATAAATCATTATATTTAATAAGATTGAAACACTTTCACATGGGTAAAGGAAACATTTCTTATTAAAAAAAAATTGTAAGTGGTTTTAATAAAAAATACCTTTGATTACTAAAAAATGATATGGAATTTCATTTACTTCAATTCATTTACTAATCATATACTACATATTTCATTATTCCGATGATTTTAAAGAGTTTAAGAGTCACCATATATAAATATGAACAAAAAATTGAAATCTTCAATTAGATTACGTAGGTAAAAGAGAATATTGACATACAAATACAAACCAGTACTGTTTTAACAGTTTATTATGCATGTCTTTGTCTAACTTGTTCAATAGAAAACCATGTGTGTGCTTCCTATTCTGTTCTATGTTCATGAGGAAATGCAGATGTTTTTTTTATACCTCCTCTTGGTGTAGTTAAAACTTTATATTCTTATATATTTTCATACTAGGTTGAAGATAACGACACAATATCATCACCCGCTCGCAAAATACAGCGTTCGCGGACAGTGAGCTCTACGGAATTGACAGAGGAACAGCTGAGGAGCATAGTTGCGAAGATCTTACAAGTTTCATGGTCGGAAGACAGCTTAGGTATATTTATCACACACATTAGTTTATTTGCGCATTTCATATTTCCTTATATAAGTAACCTCCTTTCTAAAATAAGCTTTATCTGTTGTGAGTCACAGAGTTACATTGATTCAACTGTTCGGTTTTCTTCTAAACAATTATGGATTGGATAGTATTTCAATCATGTGGACAGTAGTTTGGCCTACAGATATTACAAGCCTCAAATCTTTAACTACCAAGTCTTAGTCTCAGTTATGTAATATCTCGTGTAATCACTCGTCAAAGTGTTTAGTCTGTAAACAAAAAAGTAATTGTAATTCTTACAGTTCTAATATTTTCAGGAGACATTTTCGTTCCATCCGTAGCCGCGGCGTTACTTGACAATCCGAAGTTAACGTTAAATGAGATAGCATCAGAGGCTCTTATGGATGTAATGATGCAAATTCTAGACGGTTCAGATCCGCTCAATCACAGAGCCCTGCTTGCCCTCCTAACACGACAATCCATGAAAGAATTGAGCGAGGAATGTGTAGACGATCTTCTAGCAAAAGACCCGAATACGATTCAGATTGATCCAGAAGAGGGGGAGTGTCCTAAACCTTTATTACCACTACCCAAAGACATCACTAACCAAGCATTAGCTGTTAGCTATTTACTTAAGTTCTACTACAATATCAATATTTACGAGAGAGATTATCCAAAGAAGAGTTCAGAGCCACCTCTAAGTGATTTGCTCTTAAGTTTGCGAACTTTGATTGTTGATCATCTAGTATTGGTGTTAAGAAGGAAGTTTGACTTGGAGAAAAGTAGAAAGTCACCTCTGCTACCATACATCATGATTAGGAACACACCAACTGGACTCATATCTGAATTGATGTTGAATACATACCAAGATGAAGAGGCCTTTGAGGAGGTATGTACCTAGATCAGATTCAAATTTTTACTTGCATATAATAGGCAGTATCATTAAAAAAAAATCCTACAAAAATATATTTAGCCTAATTTGAATGTTTGAAATTTAGTTACCTAAATTAAATAAAAAGATTCCAAATCTTCAGGTTATGTAGGTAGGCAATTTTCTTTCTTTATGTTAAATATTCCTTAAGAAAAATTACACCTGTCAAAAGGACACCCATGCATATTATCTGTCTCAAGCTCTTAAATTAGTGGCCTGAAGGACATTGCCATTCTCTCCAATGCTAGTTTGAGTTGTACAAAATACTACATTTCTACCCAGGTATTTGTACCACTCTTAATGGGTATACGCGAAGAGATGCGACGCCGCGTGTCCCCCCTAGTCGGACGCGGGGAGGGTGCAGCCCTCCGAGCTCTACGTTCTCTATGCGAACTCAGAGCAGGTCCTAGGCACTCAGCTAGGCCTATCTGTGCCCTAATCGCCAAGTTACCCAGCTTGTGTCCAGCCCCCGTTACTACTGCACCCGGGAGAGAAATCGCCAGAGTTAGCTTTCTGGGGCCATTTTTTGCTGTAAGTGATTGAGTTGAACTGGTATAGAAATTATGTTATTATGTAGAAATTCAAATCTCCGTATACATACATTAGACGGGACACTATTTACCATTTATACAGATTGTTTTAAGCATAAATTAAGTTTGATAGTGTATACAAAATATACAAAAAATACTTACAATCTATCGATAAATTTGATATTGACAAGTCTCATATCTCTTTTAGAGGCTATATTGGTGTATTAAATTAAATTCGTATTTTACTATATTTTTTATAGAATTTGTTTTAATTGTAAGTATTGTTGCTGTTGTTTGTGTTGTTTCTGAATAAACATATTTATATTATTTTTATATATATTTCTAATACCTTGCCGTTTCGTTTTATAGATGTCACTATTCGCTGAAGAAAACCCACTCTTCGCTGAACGCATGTTCGCGAGTGGAATAGACCACGGCCTGGCATTCGCTCTAGAAAGGGAGGTGGAAGCAAGTCGGAACACACTGCACAGTATCTGCCACAATATTCTACTCTGCCCTGAAGCGAGGGAACCTTTCCTACTGTACTTTGCTGCGCTGCTGCAAAGGAACGAACGAAGGGCCCAGCTTCAGACCGACGAGCGGTCCTTAGCTGGTGAGTATTTTGGGAGCTTAAAATATTTATAGATATATTATCAGATTAAAAGATATAGCACTTATTACAATTGACGTCTTTCCGCTGTTAAAGGTCATATTTGTAAAACAAATAATTTCAGTCAAAGAAGGCACTAAGGACTTGTTAATTAAGGCAGGCATTGTCATGTTATTTCCATTAATATCAAAACTGTAAAATATCGTTTAAATTTCTTATTCATTGAAATATAATTGTAGCGCAATTTGTAGTTTACGCGAGTAGTATACATTTTAATAAAACACCTTTAACGCCGTAAAACGCGAAACGTATTAGCTAATTTATTTCGGCAATTTTCCCCCCGTGGCCACGGCTGCTTCTAAGCAATCAAAACGTTGGGTCGTTGTTAAAGTAAGATTAAACCGTTAAAAGGGTTTTACTTAAATATATTTGTAGTTGCTAAACGTGACTAAAGTTTTACCACATCGCGTTATTAAGCGAATAATTAGAAACTGTTAGACTAACACAACTACTGAAGTATTATATCATTCACGTGACTCCGTACATATAAGCAATGGATAATACGTTTCTAATTAACATCACATAATATTATATCTTTAAAAACGTGAAAAAATAGTGGAAATGTATTGTGAAAGGAATAGTTGTTTATTACATAAAAATAAATATGTAAGCATTTAAATAAAACACTTTAACGGTTTAAAACGCGATATCTTAGTTAAACTTATTTGAAAATTATTTTTAACTTCGGCACGACGTTTATAGCTAAGTTTATCTAATATATCGCGTTTTAAACCGTTTAAGTGTTTTATTTAAATGTGTACTACTCGCTAAAACTATAGACAGTATTTAAATATGTAAGCTGCAAAAAATGTGAATAGTAAAAAAATCATTGATACAAAAGTTGTATCTTTGTTATAGGGGATTTATAAAATAATCAAATGCTTGATAGATTTAGTAAAGCATCAAACATCTTCATATACATTTTTTTGGGTCTGAAATTAATTTTACATAATATATTTTTTTAAACGACGCAATAAAAGTGTAGGTGTGAGCCCCCCCCCCCCCCCAAAATTTGTGCACGTGGGTGGGGGGGTTCATAATGTAATCGTAATGTTGTTTTTTCCGGAATGTGAATCCAGGACCTTTCGCGTTTAATATTTACCGACGAGCCACAGACGCGATCCACACAGAACACAAATAATAAGAATATTTCATAGCTTTCTCGGGCTTTATGTAACTGTGTGTTGTAATCACATTGTTTAAAGTATGTCTAGCAACATTGATTAAGATACGTGTTTAAAGACCGGCTGAAATAGATTTAAGAGGTCCACACGAAAGTCGCTCACCTCGTCTGTGTATTATTTATTGGCTTTCATCCAATGGTGCCTTATTAAATAGCATTTACTTGGAGATCAACAATTATTTTTTACAGCTAGACTGTAGAAAATATTTATTTTGAATAGTGTTCTGACCATCTCTTAATGAAGAAAAACCTAAAAGAAACATTGAATTATTAAAAATGTATAGTATAGCAAAATCTATTTTATACAAGATATTTCGATCTGCCCTTGATTTAAAGATACATTTTAAAATTAGTTATGTAGGTTAAGTTTAATTGGTTTTACTTTCGTATTATTTTAGCATATACATTGCTGTCCAAGGAAAGAGCTCTACTTAAATGTTAAAAACTATATTGCAAACGATTTCTTAACTTGATCTCTATTTCCCAGAAGACGAAAGTAATAAACAATAAAAATATATATTTATTCTGCAGTAATTTTGTCAAAAGCAACAATGTCCCTGTTATTTATCTACGCATCAATGCGATATTGAGACAATGCTCGATCGAAGTGACAATGACCTTAATTAGAATCTGCGCAGACGCTTACTGTATTTTTAGCTGGCTCGAGGTGAACGTTTTACAAACAAACTCGGTCTGATCAAAATTGTAACAATATCTCCTTCCCTGTTCCTTGTAGCGAGAAATAATAACAGATTTCATTAAGACTAAAAAATGGGGTATTTAGGACCATGCCCTAAATACCCCATTTTGTGTATTGGGCACTGTTGAAGTTAAATTACTTTTATATATATTTAAATAGGACTGTGCCGATAGTTTTGTGTGTGTGTGTGTTTGGTTACATTCCGCTTTTCCGGGATTCGAACTCGAGACTTCTCGCGCTTAGCTCAATACAAGGTTATCGCGTTTAATACTTGAGCTACTGAAGCGGTCAACATAGAGCAGAATGTTACCGCATGTCATTATATAATTGAATATGTTAACAAGACTGAAACCAACAACAGCTATTTTGTTTAACTTCATTTTCTTTTTTGTTATGACTTTTAGTTAGCGTTATTTTAGTTCTGCATTATCGAAAAAGTAAACATTCTTACAATATCTAGAATCGTATTGTTTAGCTTCGCATTAATAATAGTGAAGAGTGTCTTTGCTAGGGTACTTAAACTAGCACTTTATTTTTTCGTTAATACACACTAATATAAGTAGTAAGTGTGAGAACGAAAAAAAATGCTATGAGAAATTCTCAAATTATTTAATGAGGATTAAAATCAAAATGCATGTGTAAAAATGATATAACATATCTATATCTTGCTTTGGCCACCAAACCCCGAGTATTCTAGTTCTTAATATTCAAAGATTAAATATTTAAAACATGTGTGTTATTTTCCAGGTGATGGTTTTATGTTAAACGTGTGCTCAGTGCTACAGCTGTTGTCAGTACGTATTAAACTGGATCGGGTCTACCCACTGTACACGTTCCAACCGGGCACGTGGATCAATGTACGTGACGAGACGCGACTGTACTTCAACAACCAGGAGGCGCAAGATTGGCTAGATGCGCTTAGTAAGTATTCCTTTGTTATAAGATCAAATGACGTTGTAACTAGCGTAGACCAAACGGGGAAAATATCCGCTATTTTCTACACCAAAATTCTGTTTGTACATAACGAATTAAAAGGGAGGAATTGACAATCAATTACACGGCGTTACAGTTCACATACTTAAGTCAAAAATCATTTTTTCACGTCGGTAACTAGGTACAAGGTATTTATGAACGTGAGCCATAAAAAAAAGTTTTTTAAATTTACTACGAGTTCTCAAATAAAGGGCGTAGAACGACCAAGAAGAGCTGGCAAAAAACTCGCTATCGCTACTTTTATCGCCAAGTTTCATTTGACAGTCTTCATGTACTTTAAGTGCACTACATGTTTTTTCTTGTTAGAACTAAAAATCCTCCAAACTACATTTTTATTGTGTCAGTATTGATTAATGTCATAGTAACCCTTTCTAAGCAGTTTCTGTTTTACATTAGATTTAAACTTATTTATTGACAGTGCTTGCACTTCAATGAGTATCTTATTTATATGCATACCATAACGTCCAAAAGTCCATATATAGGCCCTATTCCGAAAAGTTAATAGTAATATTTCTTACTATTATTTTATAAAAATTCAACAAAGCCTTTAAATTCAAATTTGATTTTGTTGCAGATGAATCGGGCTCTTGGCCAGAATCAAATTTCCAAACAATTTGCTGGTTCCTCACATTACATATGCATCACGTTGCTATTATTCCCGCCCTGCACACGCATCAAAGGAGAATTCGGTAAGCTCACATACGCAAGATCCTTTCTTTGTAATCAAGCAGTTTACTGGATTTTTACATACAGTTCATTGTATGAACAGTATACTGCTTTATATGTTTTGACGGGCTCGTAAGTGTAATGGTAGCAATGTTTGGCTACTAATAAACGGATCGTGGGTTGGATCCTAATCAATTTATAATTTTTCTGAAAAATGTTGGACTTCGTCTGGAAATCTAATTTGGAAGGAATATCGAAATTTCGTTTGATCGATTCGTATGGAACTGCCAACCAATCAGATGAAAAAGCCGTCCAGTTTAATCGCGTTTCGGTTTCAGTCTGTGGATTAGTCATCCGATGCGTAAATAGGTCAACAGCGCAGTCTTTTTTTGCTGGCGTATTTCACCTACCATGTAAATCACCTGCTTGTGTGTCTTCCTATATCTATATTTAAAAAACTATGTCCTCACGTCAAAAAGCCGTATTCACTCAAACTTCTATTTCCTACACTTTATAGATACACAATTATGTTTATAATTTGACAGTGCATACCGTGACCTCAAGAAAGTAATGGGTGAACTCGTAGCCGCGGAACCGCAATGGCGGAACAGTTACACTGCTCTGCGGAATAGGGAACTGTTGCGACGTTGGCGTCGGCAGATCAAAAGACTACACAGGTAGACAGCACCGGACAACAGCGAAGCTTAGTTCGCTACAACATTAAGATAACATTCACAGTGTCTAATCTAATCTAAATTTGTCCCGCCTCAATATTTGGGATCAATGTACGTCAAAAGGTCGCGGGTTCGAACCCCAGCGGGGTCTATAATGTTCTTTTATGTTTATTGTTTTCCTGAAACATGTTGGAATTTGCCTGGAAATATAATATGCAGATATATTACATTTCGGAGATTCCGTCCGGGTCATAGAACATTATCAGCAATACGAAAGAGTACTTTCAAGGTCTTCTAACAACCACAAGCAGCCCGCGTTCAATAGTACAAAGCAACGTCAGGCATCGCCTTCCTCGTACATTAGTTTTAGGTGTACGATCCGACGCATGATCGCCATCGCAAGCTTTATTTTTCTTATATTATTTATATGTTTGTATCTATTTATGCATCTGCAGATAAATAAAATTGATTATGAGCACACCTTATATAATTTAAAGCACCTTAAATATTCTAAAATAATTCATTGTTTATTTATTTTTAGGTCAAAGCAATGCGCAGAGACAGCGCTATTGGATCCCGAACTTATGCGTCGAGGCGTTCAGTTCTATTCGTCTGTATGCGCGCTACTCGTGAAGCAGTTAGAAGCGGCCAGAGATGGTGCGGATGAACCATCCAATTCGCCTGCCCATGCCTTTAGAGCCACGCCCGAGTGGTACGTCGAAGATATCGCGGAATTTATGCTCTTCGTTGTACAGTGAGTATTAAATATTTTTTTTAAAGCATTGAACTACTTACAAATATCTTTTTTAAAACAAAAAACATTAAAATAAATAGCCATTGTTATATCCGGCTCGACAGACCTTTAAAGTAAATGGATGATACTAATGATTTAAATATTTCGGAATTGTTTAAAAGGGTAAGAAAAATCGGAAACAAATTCTAACAGTGCTATAGTTCAGAGTAGAGAGAGAGACAGTAGAGCAGTTTTGCAAGGCGTGTTTTTAAATTGCAGGTATGCTCCACAAATCGTAGCATACTACATCGAAGACCCGATTATAACGTGGCTACTGAGCGCCATCTGCAACTCGCATCTCATCAAAAATCCGTATCTCGTCGCAAAAATTGTGGAGGTCCTCTTCGTTATCAATCTGTCGTTGCAAATGAAGCTGAGAAATGTCTACCAAAAGTTTATGGACCATCCGTTGTCACAAACAGCGTTACCTAGCGCGTTGATGAAGTTCTACACGGATATAGAAACGACTGGACAGAGCACGGAATTCTATGACAAGTTCACGATACGATTCCACATTAGTATTATCTTGAAGGGAATGTGGAAGAATCCTATTCATAAACAAGTGAGTATCAAATCAATGTCAAAATAGAAAAATATAATGTGTAAAAATAAATTCATAATTATCTTGGAGCCTATTGTTTTAGAAATAATTTCCTTTTAACATTCCACATTTGTTATATAATAATAATGTCATTATAATTTTTAATTTCCAGGCTATCGTGAAAGAATCTCGATCAGGCCGCCAATTCGTGAAATTCATCAACATGCTAATGAATGACACCACATTCTTACTGGACGAGTGCCTCACTGTATGTATTTTATTAATGATGATATAATGAAGCTTTACTTAAGTTTTATAAATGTTAAATGTCAAATTTATTTAATATATTTCGTTAAAATAAGACATCCGGCTCGAAGGACCACTCAAAGCTTTTTTCGTCTTCACTTAGTACTTGAAACGCATTCACGAAGCACAAGAGGCAGAGTCATCCGGTTCTGGCAGCGACGCACGGACAAGAGCACTAGCACAGGACGAAAGACAGTGCCGTTCTTATCTCACACTCGCTAGGTAAACTATAAATTTGTTCCGTACACAAAGCCATACTTTGTTCCATGGAAAATGTTATTTTTGACACTTCTATCTCAGTATGCCATGATTAACGTGACATTTTTTTTGCACCAGGTTTTATTTGCTATGTAAATTATTAAAAATTCTGTCAAATTCTAGGGAGACAGTAGACATGTTGGAATACCTAACTGTGGAGATCAAAGAACCATTCCTTCGCGCAGAACTGGTTGATCGGCTCGCGTCTATGCTTAACTTTAATTTGCAACAACTATGCGGTCCCAAATGCAATAATCTTAAGGTAATATGCGCAAACATAGTACAATATATACATATTACAATTTTACATATCTCGTTCAAGTTTATTAATACAATTAAAACAATCTTGTGCCTGATTCGCAACTGAACTAAAACTTTCGAGTGTGCACATAAAGTATTTGGTTTTTTTGGATGTGACAATCAATACCAGCGTTCTGTGCTTCTGATCTAATCAAATATTGTGGGTCATTTTTCTTCTGTTTTCTTTTTATGGTTATTACGTTTAAATAAAACACTTAACGGTTTTAAACGCGATATATTAGTTGAACTTATTTGAATATTCTTAAATTCGGCGCGACGTTTTAGATGCTTTGCAGCAGCCCTGGTCACGGGGAGACACGTGAATACGTGAAATAACTAATATATCGCGTTTTAAACCGTTAAAGTGTTTTATTTAAATGTGTACTACTCGCGTAAACTATGTTGTTTATATAAAACGGGGCTGTACTAATCAATGGGTGACAGCATCATTAAGGAATTACGCTGTGGAGGGCGATTCAAGTCCCGCCCATATCGTTCTCGTAATCTAAGTAATTAATTGTTAAAACTAAAGGCCGAATGACGGTTTGAGTATGTATGACTTGAAATCATAAACTGGTGCATTTTCTTATTCTAAAAATGTATTATGTATTTTTACGTTAGGTCCGACACCCAGACAAGTATGGATGGGAACCACGGCGGTTGTTGAGCCAACTCGTTGACATCTACCTACATCTAGATTCGCCACAGTTCCATGCTGCACTCGCTGCTGATGAGGTTCTTAACTGTTTTAGCGATATATATTCTCTTAAAACAAATCCAGGTCTTACTTGGGTCCTAATTTTTTCGTACAATGTACGAAAGAAATACTTATTTAAATTTACCACCAGTTAACAAACCATTTAAGGTCAACATTTCCATTTAAAGCCTATTTCAGAAAAACATAAAAATCGATTAAAAACAAGTTGGGGTTTGGTTGAAGTCGAACACATGCCTTGTTGATTATTAGCCATGCATTGATACCACTAGATAAACGTGCTTGCAAAAAAGTTTGCACGATAATGGTTAAGAATGGGCAAGGAATTCACCAAGCGCCGTCTCTTTTATGGCTGCTTAATTTATAAAAGTCCCACTAAAACCATTTCCGAAGTTTCATTAAGCTATAGATTTATATTGAGTTTTGATTTACTAAATTACTTATAAAAATATATTTTTATAGCGTTCATTCCGCAAAGAGCTGTTTGAGGAAGCAGCCGTGCGTTTAGCAAAGTCGTGCATCAAAACTCCGACTCAGATTGAACGGTTTAAAACGATAGCCGATAGCGCCTATCAGATTGCAAGTAAGTTACCCATAATATAATATTTAGAATACATGGTCGCCATTAACCAATAGGCTCTTAGATGTTTCTTCATTGAAAAAATCTAATTATTTTTCCATTTTCTATAACTAAATAAAATTAGGTAAATGTTATACTTATAACGAATTAAAATCTTTAAACAGTATCGAATCAACAAAAGAGCGACGAGTTTGCGGACGCGCCCGAGGAATTCAGAGATCCACTGATGGACACGCTTATGACTGACCCCGTACTGCTGCCTTCGGGCAAGGTAAGGATAAGAAACAAGAACTAGACATTTTAAAATTCACTTGGCTAAACAATGGGCCGCAAGGACTGCCGCCAGAGCGAATCAAATAGCAGTGACTTAATTTAGATTCACAATGTTAATCTCGATTGACATTAGAGATATTCGTCATCGATCATGAATGTATCGATTATTAATCGCCTGCGCCACTGCCACCGGTTCGAGGTTTTTAAAATAATCCATCTTATACACTTAGGTTACGTTATATACTTTATTCGAAATAATCGACGGGCTCCTTGGTGTATTGGTAGCAATGTTAGGTTCGATGACTACCAGGTCTACTATTGTTACAATTATTATTTTTAAAACCATTATCCATTTAATGTTCTGGTTTCACTTCAAGGAATATCAAAATTCCGTCCGGGACACGAACCACTGTCCACAAATGTAAAAGTAGTCAAGTTTAATCGCGTGTCGATTTCAGTCTGTAGATTTCCGAATATCCAAGCCAAAATAGTCCGACAGCGCTTTTGCTTCAATGTTATATGGGTCTACGCTTGTCTGGTCTCCTCTATCTAAAAAATATTATAAGAGTACAATATTATTCTTATAATTCGTATTATTATGAATAATGCGATTGTATTGTAATGAATGATGATAATAAGTGTCTGTATTAAAACTGATAGTGTTTTGCACCTATGTTTTTTACCAAACAATTTATTATTTTCAGGTCATGGATAGATCTGTGATCTTACGGCACTTGTTGAATAGCGCGACTGACCCCTTCAATCGGCAGCCGCTTACTGAGGATCAGCTACGTCCAGGTATAGTCGCGTACTTAAGTTTTGCATTTAATATGATGTAGAAGATTCTCACGTAATAAAAAAACCAAAAAAAAAAAGTGTGCCCTACATCCCATGTAGAAGATATAGCTATAGGAACTATATTTTAAATAGAAGTGTTGTCGTTGCAAATAAATATTTTAATTTTCTCTGGTTTACGCGAGAAGCACACATTGGAAGAAATCATTTAAACGGTTTAAAAGAAGTCATGTATAACTATTTTTTTCGGTCGTCGAGACGTAGTTACTAATGAGTACATTTATATATTGCATTGTACTTTTAAAAGGGGTTGTATTAATAAATGATATTTTAGTTATTTGTTATCTTTTACAGCTTCAGAGTTAAAAGAGAGAATCATTCAGTGGCAACGCGAGAAGAACACGTAGAAGAATTTAGCCAACTTCAAGTCTGATGTATATAATGTTATCTTATATGAAGACAAGTGATTCTAAGTGTGAATGCGAGTTGAAAATGGCAGCTTTTGACAAACCCTAATGGGGAATATTTCGTTTACGGTACATAAGTACGTGGATATATAATATATGTAGCGTATTATAGGGCTTATATCGGAGGATTCAACGAAGCATAAAAGGGAATTTGATTCTGCTCCCACCTAAAGTAGGTTATAGACGAAATTGGCAATTTTCATTCAACATATTTAAAACTTTGAAATATAATCTTGATACTATCACAGAATAACATTGAAAGCACAGGAGACAGTGAAACGACCTGTCACTTGTTGCCAATTTTTTAAAACTACCCAACTTGTAAAACATATTGGTAATCGGTCTCCTAATGTATTTTTTGTCTTGACGTCATGTCCTCTCGTTTAAACCTATGTCTACAAAATGAGATAGCACTACACTATGGCATAAATATTAAATTTAAATACAATCAATTACGCGAGATTGCGATGAACTTAGTTATAAAAATGTACATATATATTATACATAGTTAGTTCAAAAATGTTGTTCGAAGACGTTTTATTTAATTATTTTCAAGTATTATAATAAATTTTAGTTCATTAAAATTTCCTAAATTATTTATTGTAAAAATGTATTTATCTTTCATCGTTATTTTACAAACAATGCATTTGGCCTTTAAAATTCGACGTTACGTTATGTCGCAAATAAGTAAAAAGTCAATTATGCATCCAAAAAAATTACTTAATTGTTGCTCCTAAACTTTTCAATTACAAATAATACTTGATGCCCCATTTCTTTTTCGCCTAATAAAAAATGCATAATTCTCGTGAATACCAAGTCATCAAGATTTTTTATTTGCTATACATGTAAATGTATCCATATATTTTTATAATAAAACATGACATTCAATCGCATACTTTAAATGCAATGTTCGTAACAGATTATTAATCTTACCACATCTATGAGGCCCCAAATAGAAAAGCTTTTCGAAAACAGTCTTAAGGCCTAATCAATGGTGAAACTTTAAAGTTAGTGGTGCAAAATATTAACTCCATTATAATAAAATGCTAGGTCTTAGTGTTAGAATAATTCTTATTCTATGATATTTTCAACTTTTTATAATATAATAATCTCATAGTATGCCTGTACCTTGATGTTATTTTGTTCCTTTTATAGCTTTGTTATTTAGAAAACGATAGTCATATTGCATTTTTACTGAAGCATATCTGTGGCTCCAAAATATAGTAGGCCCAAATAGTAAATGATAGAGATAAAATTCAGACACTGCCAGGTTGTATCAATTAAATGCAGAGTGCATTCCGTATTTAATGAAAAATTAATACAAAATTATTTGGTCTCATTGTATATTATTTTATGTGTGTCTAATTCCTTAATTATAATGAATATTATATAGAAATGTCTCTTTGCCAATAAAATATTTAAATTTAGTATTTTTGTTTTATTTATATGACCCATAACTCTTTCTTTACACATTTAGGCAGGTAATAAATTGCATACTATTAACACATTAGTAAATTAGTACATAGTTATTTTTTTTGTTTAAGAAATTAAACAAAGACTGAAATAAGTACAATATATATTTACTTACCTAACATAATCTAACAATAAATTATTGTCATTTTATACAAACATTCGCAGTTGTTTAACATTTTTACATACATTTAACAATGAGAAACATTACAATTCAAATCATGACTTTATAATATTATAAGCAACATTACACAGAATGGCTTATTACATTGCGTTTTCAATTAACTTAATAGTTATGAGCATACATAATCATAAAAATGATTGAATGCAATGATTACGACAACCATTTTTTCAACATGTGTCATGGACAAAATCTCTTGAAAAATGATTTTGTAGCTAGTTAGTAATGTAATGTAATGGGCATTTCCTTTTAGGAAAATAAAACCAACATCATCATATATACATGTAGTTGTAGTTTTATCACATAAATAAAGTTTAAAATAATTATTTTAGTGTTTAGATTGTTTGTGACACAAGAAAATTGAAACAGTTATTTATGCTACAAGCCAATTTTGTCATATTTAATTAAATGTATGCTAAATATTTAATATCAGAGGTAAGTATTTTATAATTAATATACTTTGGGTATAAAAATACACAATAGAATCATGTTATATACTATTTTACATATGAATCAATGTTGTCCTTGACCTTACAATGTATTCAGAACACTTAATTCGACATCCTTTCCGTAGCAGGAAAATTAGTGTACATTTTTTCTGAATATTTAAACAGTGGCCTTAAATTGTTACTTATAACAAATAAATGCAGTTATTTTGACTACAGTGTCCCTATAAAATAAAAGTACAAAGGTATTATTTATTTTAATCTGCCATTTCAGTCTAGATTTATTGGTTAAAAAATGTTTGGAAATTCATTTTGAAGGGACTAAAAGCTGCCAACTATTTGTACATAAAAATAATTCATCAAAATATTACCAATAATAATGTATTATGAAGTTTAGCTTAAAATTGATAAGCAAGGTAAGCAAGTATGGTACTTAATTTTTTATGATATGTTGTTCATTAGTTTTCAGTACACATTAGGTAAAGTTATTAAGTTCATTCTATTTTATATCAAAGAATATACATTATTACTGAGACAATATAAGTACATACCAGACACATGATTTGAACCTCAATCCCTAATAAGGAAAGGTAACCTTGATGCTAAAAGACAAGCAATTACATATAACATTCCAAAGTAGAAGTTTAATCTGGCTGTTTGTCTCGGCACATATTGCATAGTATCAGGCCGGCGAAACCTTCTCTCAATTTCAAAAGCTTGATGCAATGTAAGCATGGGGAGCAGAAACCAAAAAGAGCACCTTACAGAACAAACTACAAACATTATGTAAGGGGTAAACAACAAAAACGCATAAAACAAATGTGAAGCAGTCTTTCCTATTAGAATAGCTAATGTAACAATTTCTGCTTTGCTATCTGTCTCTAAATCTCTTGTATTATTGCTGTGTAGAATAGCCTCTGTGTTCATAGCTAATGGTACAGCATAGTAAAATATAGGCCATACCACCCTCCCTGTCTGGGCTAAGAATGCAAAAACAACAGAAACTGGACCAAATATGACTAGATAAATTATATCGCCCAATGCAATATACTTCAAACCTATACCTCCAGTGTATAAAAACGATGAGGATAACCCACCAAAATATACTAAAGCTAAATGCTCCATCTGGGCTGGAGACATAATCACTAAGAGAACAAAAAACACACACCCAGACATATATAGGATGGCTCCGAGAGATACTACCTCATCTATACTTAAAATATGATCTACTAAAGTTCTGTCATCAGATTTACGATTGTCAATTCCTTTGACGAAATCGAAGTACGTGTTTACTACATTGCCTGCTCCGTGGACTGGGATAACTGTAAAGATTGTAAGAAGTAATGTAAACCAGCTGAATCCGTTTTCTCCTGGCAACCGGTATGCTAATGCGGCCCCAAGGAGTGTCGGTAGAAGACTACCACTGAGAGACCACGGTCGAAGCGCCAATACGTAAGTCCGCACTTTCATTAAAGGATTTCTGGCGGAAGTCGCAACATCTTTTGGCGGTTGTAAAAGATTTCCTTCAGCTGATACGTCCACATCATTAGATTTTTTACCGCCTTCCATGTCGCAAACTATAAATAATATTTGCGTACGTTTTACCCACTGACACAATTTTAACACAAACAAGTTTTATTGTCAATAGCCCTTCATATCATATTTTTTCACTGGATAATTATAAATAAATCTTCAAATTGATTGTATATAAGGCCACATTAAATCACTGTAACGCTAATTTTAAATGTCGAAACAAAACTAAGGGTAAATAAAATTACGGGCAAAAACCAACATTCAACGCAATCTAAATGAAGAGTTGGGATATACTTGGAAACTGTCACAATTGACAAGTGTCAAAAACAGCTGTCAGCTGATAAAATGTTGTTGGGCCCCATGACCACAGTTAATCGTCTGACGTTTGACATCGAGACCAAAGAGCCTAAAGATAAAGAGTACTCTGTATTATTATCAAGTTGAAGTTATATTATTTGCTGTTTTCTAACATGTTAAAATAATAATTTGCAATCGTAACGAGAAATGAAATAATTAAATAATATAAAAGTTGAACTTTAAGAATATTAAGGTAATGAAACAATTATGTAATTAGTATTTAAAAGTAATATTTTGAATACAATAACCTATCATTTCATGACGATGTTTACACGACCACTTAAAGCTTTTAATTGTAATATGAATGTTTAAATCGTAAAATAATAAACTTTAAAAGTGATATCATTAATGTCAAATTATATCAATTCATATGTTACGGTTTTATCTGCCGCCTAAGTATTGTCTTGTCGGGATCAACTAAAAATCCTTATTTAAAAATATTGTAGTATAATTGATACAAGGTCGTTCAACTTAGAATATTGAGAGTAATAAAATCATTGACTATTAATAACAGCAATAGCGGCCCCCTTAGCAGCATCACCACCACACGTAAATTCAAGCGGTAAACTATAATAATGCTCCACGGCTCTTTGCAGAACCTTATTTCTCGATAAACCAGACCCATTGCCAACTATCCTCTTTATATTTCCGTCTCGTAATATTTCTTTTGGCATCATAAAATGTATATTTTCTATAAGACTATCACATAATGATCGAAAGACATGACCGAGTTGTATATTTGACAGATCTATGTTCTCAACATATGCTCTAGCTGTTGGTGAATGTCTTTCACCCAGCAATAGTGGAGATATCTTCAATGTCGTGGCAGCTGGGGCTTCCAGACCTAAAGCTATTAATTTCTCCCATAGTTTAGATTGAGGGACAGGACATCCAAATTCCAGCATCCACTGTTGTAACATTTTTACAAATGTGGCCAAAACATTTCCCCCGTTAAGTGAAGCAGCCACAAGTAAATAAGTGTTGTTGAAATAAGGTAGATGTTCTACAGTTTTACAGCCCACATCTGATATGCCATCAACCACAAATGCGAGTTGTGCTGATGTGGATATGTTCAATACTGCATCATTTCTAGTCTCTAGCGTTGCTAAGATTGAACACTGCAAATCTCCCATTGCAACACCTACAGGTGTTCCTTCGGGAATACCATTCCATGAACTGTTCAAACATCCAGCTATTACCCCACTTTTTCTTACACTTGGGAGTAGTTTAACAGGAAAATCAAGGTTATTTAATATATCAATGTTCCATTCGTTTTTTTCTGTGTTGAAATAGCCCCAGCTTGCAGCATTTTGATCTGACATAATTGGTGATTCTAGATCACAAAGCATAGATACAACAAAATCTTGTACTGTAGCCGAGCAGTTGAAATTCTTTAGTTTTTCTGGTTTATATTTAAGCATCCATAATAATGTTGCACAACCATACCCGGAATAACATTTGAGATGTGAGTCTGGCTCGGGTAAGGAGTCCAAAAAGTCTGGTTTACATCGGACATCTTGCCATGTGTAGAGAGCTGACATGTTCTCTCGTATTGCTTCAAAACGATTTATAACTCCGTCTTTCTCAATCTTTTCCCATGCCCTGTAATAAGAAATGTTTGAGTTAGTCTTGGTCTGGTTATATTTACTTTAAATTAGTATGTAATGTAAACTAAACATTGCTCATTGTTTACATTTGCTGCTATTAAAAATGAACTATGAAAGATATGTTGGCTATGTTATATTTCACGTGAATATACTTTTAATTTTGGCCGTGTGATAACTTAAATTAATATTCGACAATTTTATCAACGTTATTATGGATAATATATTGCGTTGGGAGTCCTGGGTTCTTATCTTGGCGTAACATATTATATTGCTTCTATAAGTTACGGCTTTTTATTCCAATGCGACTGTAACATACGTCGTAATGTGAACGGCATTATTTTATTTGATAAGAAACATTTCCCAACATAAACTAATAATTACTACACGAGGCTAATAATTTTAATAGGCCTTAGTTAACTAAAGCACTAACACAAATACAAGAATAAATTAAAACCATGATTTTATGTTGCAATTAATTCGCCCCTTTGAATAACTAAACACATTCATTCGTGCTCTTTAAAATTCATCGGGTGATTTACCCATTCTTCCACAAAACAACACCGTGCATCTGTCCGCATACGCCAATCTTTATCACATGCCGCAATATATCTCGGGGCAGCCGCGAAACGCAATAATGAACAGCTGATACTATTTTCGGTACATCTTGCTTGTTTCCCTCGATGCCTTGGTCGCTGGGGATGTTCGCCGCTGTATCTTTACTTTGTTTGGCCACGATATCCTTCGTCTCCGGATCGAAAACGCACACTTTCACAGACGTCGTGCCAATATCCATGCCCAGAATGTATTTTTTCTCTGCCATTTTGATCAATCACCGCATATCTCGCGACACTGCAGCAAAATGAATGATTGCAGTATGTTGCAATGAAGGCAATTTAAAACGCGCGGCGTAGGGGTCGACAGTCGTGAGTCGAAACTCGAGGCACGACCGTGTCGCTACCTCGCGTGTATCTTGTTAGCTGACTATTACGTAAACTTATCATTCGAGCGTCAGTTATATTTATCACCACTCAGACATATTGCTTATATACCAATAATAAATAACTCCTGGCCTTGAGTGTGAGATAATAGATATATTAGTTATCAAACTTTAAGTGTTTATTTCTTTATGAGATTGGCACAGACAAACACGTATATAAACAACTAATAAAGTGTTACTACTGGAGCATGTCAGTTCGCTTTCAAAATTATATTGAATCACTGAGAACCTCTACTTGTGATACAGCTCTTATCAGTTAAAATATATAATACTTTAATCCACAAGATATATAAGGATAAATATAAACAAAACAATAACACTATGTATTTTGTCTTAACAGTTTAAACCTTGGGAGGACAGGCGTACGATTAGATAATAATAATTTAGACTAGGGGACTGTAACGATTATACTTTGAAAATAGAACCGTGCCATGCGTATTATCGATACTTTGTAACAATATTTAAAAAATGTGTAAATTAAAAAAACTGAAGCGTTTTATTCCACAAAAATATTATACATATAAAGGACAGTCGATTTACAATTTTGACTACCCTCATTCATCTCATCTCCTCTTCCATTTCAGATACTTGTAAATCAATTGATTTCATAAAATGGGCAAAAGAAATAAGAACCGTAAAGATGACACTAGTTCTGAGAAAAAGGATGAAGTTACAGTTGTTACAAAAACTAGTGAAGAAATAACTGTTAATAAAGTTAAAGGGTCCAAAAAGAAGAATAAAGTAAATGAAGATAACAAAACAGGTACTGCGAAGAGAATTAAATATAATGACGCCGGTGAGATTTCAAATGTGGCCAAAATTATTAACAAAACCCACTTAACAAAATCAAATAACATCAACAATTCTACAGAAACACCCAAGAAAATTAAATTTGGTGAAGATGGGAATCCTGAACAAATATCTAGTAATTCGTCACACAAAATAGAAAATAAAGATAAGTCATACTTAAATGTAGAGGAACAGCAAGTTAACGATGATGAAATTGACCAGTTTTGTGACGAAATCGATGAACAAGACAACAAACAATACGAAAACTGGATTTTGTTACTCGAAGAAAAGTTAGATAATACTGGAGATAGAGTAAAGAATAAAAACAAAACAAAGAATAAAAGTATTGTATAGTAATATATGTTTTTTTTTTCTTTCATGATAACCTATGAAAGTGTATTTTTTAAATCAATTCAACTTCTATACTAATATGTAAGCTAAAGTGATTGTTTTGTTTGTTTAATCGCGCTTATCTCGGAAACTAATACTAGAAATAGTTCGAATGGTAAAATTATCTTGTGTTATGCAGCAGTAACAGCGGGAAATGCTAAAAAAATGTCCAGTATGTTTATCTTTTATGACTACCTTGCACGTTGTACATACGTTGGGACGCGTCCGACGTCGTAGGTAACAGCTTAAATTTGAATAGATAATAGACAAAATAAAAATAGAAAATAAACAATTTCTTTAATAAAATTTTATAAAGACAAAGAAGAGGTTTGCAAAAACAAATTTTTAAGCTCAAAATAACTATTTTACGCGGACGAAGTCTCTAACACTCTACTCTAACAACTAGTATTAGATATTATATTTTACATTTAATTCTCCCGCCAATGTTAAATGGCCATAAAGCTAAACCATAAATGGCTTATGACAGAATATCACTGATTATACAACTATAATACAGTACAATCTGTGGACAAAATATGCATATTATGATAGTGCCCGTAGTCAAATGTTATCTGTAACATATATGTTTATCGCTGTCAGTTTATGACGTTTCCCGTTTTATTTCTTTTAAAAAATTGTAATCATGGCGGTGGGTGTTTTGTGTATTTTTCTGTATTAAATCCACAATAATCTATGTAAATTTGGATCAAAGTCGGTCAATGTTATTGATTAATTTCCCTAGTATATACAAATTATTATAATAAAATAATATTTCCCGATTTATATCTTAATATAATGAGTTACCAAAACATAACCTTATCGCCGACATCTCAGTGTTTAGTATTTTGTTCTGTTAAAGAAATAAATATGGTATGTATTTCAGCGTGCACCTCCTTCCGCGCTCCCCAAGAAGAAAGAAAAGAAGGAGAAAAAACCTCCTAAGGATAACTCTAAAAATGTTATGAGAAACCTGCACATCAGAAAGTTATGTTTAAACATCTGTGTTGGTGAATCTGGTGACAGACTTACACGTGCTGCGAAGGTAAAGTTTCTTTTCTCTGAATTTTTATATGATTTCGGTTATAATCTTTACTGCATGTTGTGTTTATCACCCAAAATACTGTTTTTATTTAATAATATGTTTTAAAAGTTTCAAAATATCCAATTATCATTCGACCCCTATTAAAGTGCTAAAATAGCTTATAACATAAGTCTAAATATCAGTAGTAGTAAGTTAAGTAAATGCAGTTACAAAATTATTAATTATATTGAACTCATTGCAGGTGTTGGAACAACTGACTGGTCAACAGCCTGTTTTCTCAAAGGCTCGCTACACTGTGCGTTCCTTTGGTATCCGTCGTAATGAAAAAATTGCAGTGCACTGCACAGTGCGCGGTGCCAAAGCCGAGGAAATCCTTGAAAGGGGATTGAAGGTAAGGTTAATTTCGAATTAATTAATAGTGGCATGAATTGTTCAAGAGACACATAATCTATTGTGATTTCTTTGTAAATTTATGCAAGATAAAACATTTCCTATTTGCAACTTCTGAGCACTATTGCTTTACTGTTCAGAATACTAATGGAAATAACACATTTAAGCAAAAATTGAGCAAATTGTGTTGTCAATAGAATGGACAAGAAATGCTTGACAATTATACTGATGACACGATTTTCTATTTGTTAAATGTAACATGTGTAAAATACAAAAATTATTTAACTTTATTTGACTTAAGTGTCACTTGCCATTTGTTGGTTGAACTTATTTAACAATTTATTAACTTTTAGAATAACTGTTAATAGAAATTCAAGTTAGTATAAAAGTTTGTAATGTGAACCTTCCTCATAATCTTTATTAAATATTATTTTCGTAATATCTTCAGGTCAGAGAATATGAGTTGAGAAGGGACAACTTCTCAGCTACTGGCAACTTTGGTTTTGGTATTCAAGAACACATTGACTTGGGTATCAAATACGACCCATCTATTGGTATCTACGGTCTTGACTTCTACGTCGTCTTGGGCAGACCTGGTGAGTTATTTTTCCTTTTAACATTTGGTAAGCTAATATGTGATATTTTGTAAAGTGAAACAAGGCATCTTAAAAACTACATTTACACTTAGACTACTTATTGCACATTTGTTCAAGTATGTAGATATTTTACTACATTCTGTAAATTTTGTGCTAGAGTAACACTTTTTATGATAAATGGTGCAATTTTTGAAATTGCTCCCATTCATAAACAAGAAACACATTTTTTTTCCAAATTCTAGTTGTTTTTGTTTTTAAGGTCCTTAAATTCTTGTGGCTTGAAATTAATTCTATGATATTAATTATTGTATTCTTAATTTAGATATTATTACAAATTATAAGCAGTCTGAAGAAATATTAAGTAATATTTTTAGGAATCCATTCATTTTACAAGATTTTTCTTATACATTAAGGAATATGAGAATATGTAGTTAACAATTATTCTTTTTTCTAGGATTCAATGTTGCACACAGAAGACGGAAAACCGGCAAAGTTGGTTTCCCACACCGACTAACGAAGGAAGACGCCATGAAGTGGTTCCAACAGAAATACGATGGTATCATCCTTAACAGCAAAAAGTAAATTAAGTAAATAAAAATTTTAAAAGAATTTTATAGTTTTATTTGTGGTGTAATAACTTGAATAAGACCTTATAATTTGAGAAATAAAAAAGATTTATGGTGTTTTATTCTATGCTTGCAATTACATACAAATGTGATAACAGCTTCTTACGTGCTGATTTGCAACATCTACAGCCTGTCTACAATGTACGTACATGAATATAATCTACATTTTAACTTATGCAGTGTGTGTGGCACTCAAAATCCTGTCGATTTTTGTTACCATGGAAACAAACTTGTTTGTTATGTACCTATATATTTTACACTATAATTCAAGATTAATGAAACTAGTTAGCTTTTAACAAATTTTGTAATCATTACCCAAGAGTAATATGGCTGGTAAATTTGGGGGTTACGAAGATGATGAAGACGATGTTTTGGCACCTAAAGAGCCACAGGTCACTTCTCAGGATCCTCTTGAACGGAAGGCAGCTAGGGCATTACGTATTAAGAAAAGGCAAGAGGCGTTGAAAAGGTACTGATTAGATAAATACATAGTAACAACCGGGTGTTGTCCCTTAATATCTACAAATAAGTGTATGTAAACATAAATACGATAGTGATAGTTTCTTTGAGTCTTAAAACATGAAGGATTTTAAATAAAGTTGCCTGATACGTTTTTAGTTGGCTTTTCTCAAAACATTAGTCTTGAAGGGCATTCTTTTTACTATACAAATTGGTTGGTTGAAAATGAGGATATATGTGTTGAGCACATATTGTCTTCATACATTATCTTGACATATATTATCTTGAGTTTTACTAACTTTTTTGTATAAGTTGCTTCTATGTATTTATTAAGTATTGGTCAATGCAAATTCAAGTCAACAGGGGGTAATATAGTCGTGGTCAAGTCGAGAACCTTTAAATTAATTTTTAAACATAGTCACCTCATCGGACCTCTCTCTCATTTATTGTCTATCTCTTTCCTACAGTATACATTTCTTTCTAACAATATACATCTCTTTCTAACAGTATGCATCTCTTTCTAACAGTATACGTACTACTCTTACAGTTTTTATTATTTACATATTTCAATATAAAACTTATTTCTAATCTTATTTTATTACAAATTTCTTAATACTATGGTCGCCTACAATAGATACAAGTCAAATGGAGGTATTTTATTAATGTACATACGTAAACGTACTGTAATAATAATTTGAATGTTCAGTTATGGTCCACCTAAGTCCTGGAACCTAGTGACAGCAGCTGGGTTAATTATGTGTGGGTTTTGAACCCCGATGAAAAACAACAAATATTTTCGGCTAGAAACACCACGTGTTTTAGTATATGCTATAGGTGGATATACTTTTGATATTTTAGAGCCGAACAGACTTCGGAGGAGACCTTTAAGGAAGAGGAACCGGGTTTGATAGAACAGGCAACTGCATTAGCGGCAGAGGAATTACAGCGGTTAGCGCTAGATGGTGCTGCTAAGGTCACTAATGTTAAGGTCACCACCGACGAGAGGGAGGTCATACGGCGCGCGCTATTTTCTAAAAAGATGTTAGGTATTTGAAAAATATATCAAATATTGTATATATTTCTTTTATACTAAGAGTGTTACGAGCCTTACAAAAGTTTGCCAATAAATCATGATTATTATTTGCAAGCAGTAATTTTTATATTTCAAACGAGTGTCTTTCAATTTAAAATTTAAAAGGTGCAAGATGACGCATAAAATGTTTAAAGTAATTAACTTTTTAATCACACAGTGCTAGTTACATATGGACCATATGATTCTTGCATAACTTAGATTTTTTATACCTTTGAAATAAGTACTCTAGTGTCTCCTTCCAGAATCAATATCCAAGATCGAAGGTGAAGCAGAAGAGGCTCAAGTACAGTACGAAGCAATAACTTCAAATTGGGACTCAATGTTACAAGTAAAAGATCCTCTAGATATTGACGCTGCTATAAAGGAGCAAAAACAGCGATGTGACGAACTTCTAGAACAGAAGAATGAGCTCATCGCTGTTTTGAAGCACGAATTGAAGAGAATGGACGATAGTTACTATGAGGATTTGCAAAAACAGGTAATTCATTGTGCACTGTGGAAGCCCTCGTTAGGATCACTTGATGCGAGAGATGCATCAAAAGGTTTAAAAAAAAATCGACGATGACGTGTAGGACTCGGTTGCTCAATTGGTTAGAGCAACAGCACGGAACGCTGTGGATGCCGGTTCGAGTCCTGCCCAAATGATTTTTTTTAAATTTATAATCGATTTTCAATTTAAGTGTAAACGAACTATATTAGGAATCATTGTAGTCATCCACGCAGTTCGTTACATTGGTTTCATATATTTTTGTGGGTACCACATTAATACTCAAGCTTCATAATACACAAGTCATAATATAATTAGGATGCACAATTCCGCCATTTTGGAGAACTTATCATTTTTGCAGGACAACGACATAAAAGAGCTTTCTGACAGAATCGAAAAGCAGATAACGATAATGCAACGAGCGTACGAGAAACAACTGTCCTGTATAGAAATAGCTATCAATATAGAACGAGATGCAATGATTGACCATAACAATAAGCGATGGGAGGCGCTTTATAGACAGAGGGATAAGGAGGAAGTTGCGCACTTGGAGTATAAGTTTGAACAGGTATGTATGTATTTAGCATTATCGCCATAAAAGTCAAACAATTAGCCTAATAGAAAAGCTCAGGTACTTATGTTTTATATTTTATTTTGTTTGTTTGGTATCATTAACGTTTTGGGCCAAAGAAAGCAAATTTATGAGGCCTTTGAAAGTTATGATAGAAAAAGTTTCTAGTTAGAAGACCACAAGCAAGAAGTGGAGGCTATAATGTGGGACCATCACGCAAAATACCGCGAGGCGAAGATTGAATTGGAGTCCTTGATACAAGACCTGCAAAAGGAATTGGAGAAACTGAAAGCTACTTGCCTCATTAATACGGAGAAAATTGGTTACACTTACCAGGTAAGGTTTTCCGTTACATTTTATAGTTTAGATAAACGTCGATACAAACTGTTTTGATAAACTAGAACATTAATGAAATAAACAAAGGTTGATCAATAAAGAGTGAATTGCCTACAGGTTTTGAAAAAACGCGAAGAGGAAAATGTGTTCGTAAGATCGCAACAAAAAAGAAAACTAAACAAGATGTCGGACGTAGCCAACTCGCTTCGCGCCAAAATTCGCAAGGCGGCTGAAGACGGGGCTATTGAGGAGGCACGCGCCGATGCTGAAGTGGTTAAGCTGATGCAGGCAAGATTATCTTTATAGAACACTAGCTGTGGCAGCGCCTTCGTCCGCGTAGAATAGTTATTTTAACCATCAACATTGGCTACGACCCAGGACGACGCTCGCGCCCCATCATTCTTGCAAGTTAATCTTAAAAGATAGGCATATAGTGACGCGGAGATTTTATTAGATCATTTAAAGACAAATGATTATTTCATACATATTTTTTTCGCAGCGTATGCAATCCACAAAGGTGAATCATTTTCCCAGTTTTCTCCATATTTCCTGCCTTTTCTTTGCTCCTATTAGACTCAGATCAATATTATATGTTATAGCCTATAATAACCTTCCTCGATACATGCTCTAACCAACACAAAAATATTTTTTTCATTTCCGACTAGTAGTTCCTGAGATTAGTGCGTTCAAACATACACACAAACAAACAAGCTCTTCAGCTTTATATATTGGCATAGATTAACAACTTCAACAAATGGATAAGCGGCAAAAGATATAAATATATAATAGATAATAAATTGTTACATGTTGTTGTGACAATTACCACAGGCTATGGACGATCTGGAGAAGAAATCGCGTCACTTCTCGCACGTTAACAATTACAAGTTCAGCCAAGTGTGGCGGATGTCGGCTGCACACTGTATGTCGTTGTCCAGGGAGTTGCGGGCTGCTGAGGTGGCCCTACATGCTCACATCCTATCTGAACCACCTCCGCCCCCACCACCACCTGCCCCTAAAAGTCCCTTAAAAGGTATGTATCAAGAATTTTAAAAGTAAATAGAGTAGACACCAGATTGAGTTTATATGTATAGATAAACCATTTTGTGTGTTGTTTCTTTATATTTGTTATTTTATAATAAGTTTATTTTTTTAGAAGCCGAAGCCGACCAACTTTCTAAGTCGCCAGCGCCTAAGAACGCCTTGGAACCTGCGAGCATAGACGCGAAGGAAGCAAAAACTAGACTTGTACGTACCTATATTTATAATTTTTCACATGTAAATAGAGTCACAATAAGAAATATATCTATTTAGATGGAAATCGATGACACTTTGTGTATGTTTAAGGTTCGTCACATCTTGCAACTTGTTTCGGACAATACAGGTTTCCTGGTAGAAGACCGCCTTCTGAAGCTCATTGAAAAATATCAACTTTCTTCTAGGAATCTGTGTACCCTGGACTCTATTTTTATGGTATCGATTCGTTTACTACTATATATTTCGACATCTTAATCTGTAAAGACAAATACAGTTTTTGCACTGAAGTGTTTTGCAGTTGTTAACTGTTTTATACCACGTCACAAATGTATTGAGGAGATCGGTTCTGAAATATGTTGGACTACGTCTGGAAGACTGAATATTAAATGAGTGGAAGGAATATTGAAAATAGCATCCCGGTAACGAACCACTGTCCATAAATGAAAAAGTCGTGAAGTATGATTGTGGTTCGGTTTCAGTCTGTGTATTACCGAATATCTCAAGCCAAAAGTAGTGCGCCAGCGCATCTTGTAAAGATGTTATATGGCTGAGGTATTTCACCTTTCATCAGGTGAACCTCACGCTTGACTCTATCATAGAAAACTCCCCTTTTTTTGACTTCGAGTATGTAATATAGTTTACAAATCCTGGACAATAGTATACACCGATAAAAACGATGCGCTATCTGCTGTCCAGTGTTTGTTTCACTTCTAAAACAATTGCCTTATTATAATTAACTATTAATAAGCTAGATTTCTTACTTAAATATCTATTTATTTTGAGTTTAGGCAAGAGAGTATCAACCCACAAAAATTTTCGCAAGCGTGTTTTGCCTAAAATCTTCTCATTCCTTGCAGGCGCTCGAAATCCAAGCTCAAGAGGACGTAGAGCTGTTGTGCAAAGTATTTATGAAGTATGCTTTCTGTCCAATATGCGTCGGTTTTGAAGCCACCTCTGAATATGTCATGGAACCGTTGTCAGTGAGTTAATTTCATTAGTAGTAAAACTTTAAAAAAGACCACATTCCACGTTACATGGTTCGTCAGTTTCGTTTAGATTGTTATGGTTCGTCTACCATAACTATGTATGTGAAATGGTGGATAATGGTTAAACATTTCCAAACTGATATTGGCTTTTGTATATTTACTTTGGCTTTGACCTATTATAGGCTATGTCACCCTATATTACTTGAAATATACAAAAATAATATCATTATGTTTGAACTTTCAGTACACTTAATTTAGTACTTTAATATAAGTTTAGTAGTATCATAGGCTTCCTTAAAAATGGGAAGACTAAGACTTTACCACCCAACACCTGAAAACTACTAGGTATATTTACTTAATAACGCCCTAATTTAGGAACATGTTAACTTCTAACAGTTTTTATATAATGTGTAGGTATGTCTTTCGTAACCTACAGATGTAACTTAGGTGATACATAGCACAAGGTCTATTATTAGGAAACGTTTTTACATTTTGCTATAGAATATACAACATTATTAAACATGTTTAAGACTATAGCACTGATAAATTCTCACTTCCGCTGTACTTTGGGGTGATAGCTTCTTACGCAAGGGCAAACGGATCCGTTGCGTCATGCGTTACGGTTTGTTGATCCTTTGTTACCAATGAATATATAGTAATAGATAGATAACCTTGATGAGTTATAATCACACTTATTAAAATATATTGTATTTGTAGTTATATATAGTATAGCTGTAGTGTATAGAATGTATATTTGTAGACGAAATATTATTTTTCTGATACAATCGTAACAACGATTGCGGAACGTTGTTACGACTCAAAGTAACTACTGTTTTATATTTGTAATTGAAGTAAAACTTCTTTATCGGCGTTGGAAAAAAATTTACCTTCACATTTTTCGGTTACGCGTCACATTTTTCCGTTACGCGCCCGGCTGAGCATGAGAGCAGGAGGTGTAGGAATATATCATAATTCTAATGATGTTGTTAACGTTGTGACTTCATCGATAGATTTTTCGGTTTTTTCTCCTGACTTCCATGGGTCACTAGCATCAGCATTAGTGATTTATCTATGGCTCAATGCCAAATGGAAAATGGGATAAAACTTTTGATTGTTGCACTGTATATATCTCCTAATCAGAAGTTGGACGATATTATTAATTTTCTTCACCATTCATTGTTGCCGTACAAGTGGAGGTGCCTCTTTACTCGGTAACAATAATTATAAAATACCGATGATTTTAATTGGAGATTTTAATGTCAATTTTGCATCGGAAAAATCTTTGAAGCTAGTTGAATTTCTGAAAGATAAATTGAATTTATCCATGAAAAACAGTCCTCAAACGTCAACAACAAGATCTGGCACTACAATTGATGGAGTTTTTACTCGGTCACTAAATTTCGTGGAATGTAAACCATATATTTCATATTTCAGTTACCATAAGCCATTAATTATAAAATATATAATAACGATGACAATGATAGTAATAATTCTATTACAATTAATGAAATGCTGTAATAATCTTAGTAGCAAAAAGTTAAAGTGAAATAATTGTATTATTTGTATTCATGTCTATGATAATAAAATCCTTTTATTTAAACTTTATCTAATTTTACTTTATTTAACCAATTTCTGGAAAGTTGCATGTAGGTCATTTTGCGAAAAATAAGGCCTTTAAGAAGTTTCACTTCTTACGCGTGTACATGCACATTTTTTTATATGTTGTAGATGGAAGCGCAAGAAGAATCTTCTCACCACGCCAGTCTAAGCATCAAAACGACTCGCGGTATGACTGACTTGTCACTCTTAAGTTAATTTAAAAAAACTAGTATAACCGAGAAATAATAACGACACATAATAAAATTGCCGGTTTAAAGGTAGGTTAAATGTTAAGATCCATTGGTGAGACTGAGCCTTAGTCCATTAAATCGACCGGAATATTCGATAACTCAAAAGGTAAAGAACACTCACTTTTAACTTTAATAATTAGGAGACCGGGCGTCTATACGCCAACGATCCAGCGCGGGGAGGAGTATCTCCGCTAGCACATCTAGGTCCATTGGGTTTAGGTAATTTCTACGTTTCATACAAATTGAATATAAATTTTTTTGTGGAAGAATTAATATGCAACTAATACTTTGTCTGGGAGTCCGATTATTAAATGGGTGGAAGGAATATCGAAATACCGTCCGGGTCCGAACCACCATCCACAGACGAAAAAGGTTTCAGTCTGTGGATTATCGAATATCAGAAGTCAAAATAGACGCATCCTGTTTAGATGCTATTGGCTGGCGTATTTCACCTACCATTCAGTGAACCGCATGCTTGCCTGTACTAACCTATCATGAAATTAGTAATTAGGGGTCATCCGTAAAGTACGTCACACGATATTCATGATTTTTTGAGCCGAAGGACGCCGGGGGGGGGGCGTCCTTGTCACAGGTGGTCACATTTCTGAGTCCCCCATCCCTAGTGTGACGTCATATGTTTTGCAATTTTATTAAATTGAAAATTTAATAATATTTTTTAGTTTAATTAATATTTCAAATCACGCGATTAGTGCCTCTAGATACATTAGATTTTAAAATGTGATGTCACGAAATTTAGGACCCCTCCCACCCCTTGTCACACCATGTCACACTTTGTCGAACCCCCCCCTATGTGTGACGTACTTTATGGATGATCCCTTATAAGTATGTAATATGCTATAAAATCATAATGTCACATACTCTAGAACACACGAGCTTACATGTGATGACCAACTTCTTATGGCTGAAGCTGATCAAATCATCCAAAAATGCGGTGACCCGAAGAGTAAGTCATATTTACCTGTTTGAATAAAAAATTATTGCTGTACAAAGATCTTAACGAACATTTTTTATCCAATTATAATATTTAAGATAATATTCCGCTGATGGAGGTTTCATCAGATGCGGGGGGTTCAGCTCGCCGTGCTGGTACTCGAGGAGTGAAAGTAGCCTCGAAACCAACTCTAGTGGCACCTGCAAAGCAGAATAACCCATTTCTTTGTCCAGGTAAAACTGAGATTTTTTATAGATTAAAAAAAATGGCAAATGACTGTCCCATTGTGCATGAATTGTCTGTGTTTGTTTACCTCTTTTAAAATGTTTTACGCATACCTCTTTTATTAATGTGTTTTTACTTCCACCGGGGTTTCTCGGAAGAGAGCTATAAAGCCGCCGTTTGTAGTTTAATCAATTTTATTTTGTGTTATGTTCTGTTTCTTGTTTTATGCCAATATAGAATATTTGTATTGTATTGTATGTTTTCAAGTAATTAGATTATTCGCGAAAATTTTGTAATGCTTATTATCGTATACCACAAAACGATTGCACCATTGTGCATCTGGTACGATAAGAGCCATTTTACTGATCGTTTAAAAATAATTTATTTCCAGTGGGACACTATCTGGAGATCGAGCCGATGCAAGTTCTCACCGCTCTCAATGAGTATATGGCGGTCTTTGTGCCGCCTGAAAAGAAAAAGTTGTACGACATACTGTTAGTATAAGCTCTATAAGTAAAATTCAGGTTTTAGCAAGGGCCCCAGTAAAAATATATATTTTTATATTATACAACAAATACAACAATAATGTTTGGCAATGATACCAAACGATAGGTAGGTACTAAATATTGTTACAAAAATATTACTACCTTCACTTATGTAGTTCATTTGATACGAGCAAGCAACGGTCGAGGACTCGAGTTACACCTACTCCTTTTTTTTAATTTACATAATATAGATCAATTGCTTGGTTGTATGAGTGATGTTATAATATAAACATATTGCATGACGATGTAAACTTAATATTTATATATATATTATACAGATCCATTTTTTTTATAGAGACAATTTGAAACCGCCAGATTTCACGACTCCATCAAGAAAATTAACCACTGATCAAATAGAGCAGTATTGGGTGCAGTGGAAGGAGATGTTTAACTCTGAAAAAGACCGGTTTTGGGACGGCTTGCTCACCGGTCTTAATAACTACTTAAATGTGTTACAGGGTAACTATTTAACGTAATTTTCTTTCTGAAATAACAAGTATAATACTTGTAACAAATCTTATATAAATAAACATTTAACGAATACGAAATAAGCAAAACTTTACACATTTTAGTCTGGTCACAATCACCAAATCACGATTTTCTTCTCTTAGTTGCACAAACGACACAAAAAAAGTAATTGATAATAAAATAACAATTTCTGTAAAACAAATGTGTTTCAGAAAGAGAACGAATACACGAAGAGGTTGTACGTTTGCGACAAAGAAACGCAGCTCTGCGTCGCCTAGTACGGGGTGCTTTGCCCGAACTACCAACAACCAAGCCAAAATACATGCAACCCACTCTACCCTCGTTTACTGCAGCCGCAGAAGATGCCACAAAAATATCCACTTTACCCCCTATCTAGACAATTTTCTAAGAAATTTACGTATTGTTTAAGTATGGATATTTCTGTTACCATTTGTATCATGTTACCATATACATGGCCTTTGTTATTTTTTTCTTCGATATTTATCAATATGTATTAAAGACGATTGCTTTATTTCTAATCAACTATTAAAATTGTCCGAATTTCCATATTCTATATCACTTATCACTAGGCCTTTGCGATATCGATCAATGTTGCGACCATGGTACTTGTCAATTGTCAAAAATCACAGTTCTTTTGATTTGTTGTCTAATGTCAAACATTGGTAATTTGAAATTTCTAATTTCATTTGCTAACTTATTGAAAATTTTGATAATAAAATTATAAATGATTAAAGCTTGATAGAAATATATCTCAATAAAATCTTAAATTACGTAACTTCACAAAAACCAGGTAATTTACAATTAAATCTGTCAAGTGGTGACGCCTTACGATACTTTACGAGAATTTACCTTTCTGATTTAGTAATACTTCTTAGGTGTGCATAATAAGCAGAAAAATGTGGAAAGTACTCTTCCATTTAATTGGAGCTATACAGTTCTCCTACGGGTGTTATTATGACTTCATGTATGTCAGAATACCGAGCACTTCAGCATCATCAGTTACCCCTTATGGCGGAAAACTTAAATATCTGACTTATTTGAACGCAGTAAGTACCCTTGCTTAGAATATTTAAATAAATTTCAAGATCCCAAGTAATGTTTCATTATCTTTACAGATGCTTCAAACAGCGTATTTCACGGTTGCGCTTTTAAATGATATAGTCGGAACAAACGAACCGATGCCGGCGAATAAGCCCTTTATACGACGCCTAAAAGATGCTACATTCAGTGCTCTGGCTTTCCCTCTATCTATGTTTGTAGGTATCACATTTTGGGGCATTTACGCTATCGATAGGGAGCTTATATTGCCTAAAGCAATTGATGCATATTTTCCCTTGTGGTTGAATCATGTTATGCACACAAATATTGTCATTTTTGTTATAATTGAACTGCTTTCATCATTCAGAATGTATCCTCCAAGAAAAGTAGGCCTGTCAATACTTACATTTTTCATGCTTGGATATGTTATCTGGATGCAAACCATATATTTCAAAACAGGTAGCTGGGTATACCCCGTCTTATCTGTTATGAACTGGCCAGTCAGAATTATCTTCTATCTGTTCAGTCTAGGTTTTGTATGGTCATTATATTCTGTCGGTGAAACTTTGAACAGGAGTGTGTGGTCGAAGGAGGTTGAATCGACTGTAAGGTCTGGCAAGAAGAAGGCCAAATAAGTGTTCATATTTGATAATTAGCTTTGGGCTTCATTTAATTTCTTATATAAAAATTAGCTTTAAAATTGTGGTTACTTGGGTACTTAAGAGTGGAAATAGGGTTGGTTTGATAGCAAATTGTGGTGTGGATGCTTTTACTTATTTATAGATTAATGTATTAAATAGTAATACACAAGTGATTTTTAACATTCTAATTTTTTTGTGAATACTCTAGTATTGATTATTGATAATCTGGCTCACCAGAAATTTTTAAATGTTTATTTTATTACAATATAGATTATTTTAACCTTATATTTATTACCAGTGGCTTTAGTTAAGAAATTATGAAATTCCATTGTTATTATGTAATCAGCATTACTATCCGTGATAAAGCCAAATAAATGCAAAGGGCAAATTTTTAATTGCCGTATAGTTTCAAAATGTAACATGTAAAGGACACAATTATATTTAACATAACACTCCTATTATTTCACTTAAATATTATATAGTCTTATTAAATAATTCTAGCCAATATATAGGAGATAGATTTTTACTGCGGTCCTTTTTTTGCACAGTTACAATAGGCACAATTATTATGCAATTAGTGTGAAGACAAACAATTGTATTATGCAAACTACTTAATAATAGTCATGCAATCTAGAGGACATATCAATTACGCAGTAGGTATGAATAATAACATCCTTCCCTTTTTTTCGTTATTATGGAAATGGTACACAAATAACCAACATTGTACACTTGTTGAGTTCAAATGTAGCATTTGCAATTAACCCTTTTACTATAGTTGTCATTCCATATTGAACGTGACAGTGGGCGATACGTAATTTTTACTAGTTGTGCTAAAGCTATTGGATTGAAAGCAATAAATTTTTTATACACACAGTCTTTTTGTTTCACCTCTAAAACAAAAGTAATAAAAAGCATTGGAGTTGAAATGTTTATTAAAACAATGATTACATTAAGTACAAATACTTCTTTAATACAATGGCCATCACAGTACAAAAAATTAAACTGAATATATCTTACATAAAATATAGCTTATATATACGACTAGAATCAAATTAACCTAAAAATTATAGAATTGGAAAATCTTAGGTACCGAGTTAAATTAAATACAAGATGAAGGCTTCAGGCAGACAATATTGTTATTTGTTCTGTGAAGGGGATTGTGGAAAAGAGATAATGCTCTAGCCTCTAATAACTCGTTATAGTGACTAACTTATAGTACCTATGCGTTGCCGATCTATTAAGTGTGCGTACCTCAGATTAAAATGTGAACAAGCACTACATAGACATCATTTCATCAAGTAATCATATAAGAGACCTTATTTGAGGGAATATTACAAGCTTTGAGTAATGCAATAAATACAATTGTCTAACACAAGCAATGTGTACATAATGTGTGTATAATCATAAAAATGTCATAAACTCGAAAATAAAAGAAAAACATGAGTAGTAAATACAGAATAGGTTTTAAAGTATTAATTATACGACCTATGATTTTGTTTGGTCGTTGTATATAGTCATAATATATTACCAAGCTGGAAAAAAATTATTAACTTTAATAGTACATTTGAAACAGATGACGACCTTAGTTTAGACAAACTTAGATTTTGGCTGTGAAGCTAAACATCAGTTACATCCAATAACATTAATTTCATTCTCTTGTATAGTTTACAGTCGCTTATATTTATTTCCTTAATTATGTCTTTTTTACAATTTCGTTATGTAAAAATTCGTAGCTTATTTACATTATTTTTAACAAGTCATTACTAAATTCTACGAAGAAATGTCCAATAAATATTTGTTTTAAAATCGATTTTTTTACTTAGTCAAGACTAGTTACAATTTTTCTACTTCAACAATATATACAAATGGTGTATTTATGGGAAAGCTAAATTTAAATATTATGAAGCATAGCCGACGTAAAGATATTTGAACACTTTTTCAGTCACATAATTAAATCCTTACACACACGCTGTGCGTAGAAGCTAATACTGCCTCACAATATAAAATAAAACGATTACGAATATATAATAATTAATATATATAAAGCAAAACCTACACAGAGGTCTACTAAATTGTGTGGAATATTAAGTCGTACGTACGGTAAGTCAAATTCAAAACTTTTTCGTTTTAATATTATTATTAATACTCATTATACTATCCTGCTATGGACAAGTCAGCGTCAATGTACAATAACAAATGCAAAATTACTATCGCTTAAAGAAAATAATTGATTCGAACTCAAAATTACGAATATTTTGCATCTCGCAATATTTTTAGTGATCCTAGCTGTATTATCGAATTAATGGACGCTTACAAAAATAAATATTCTTTACATAGCGTCTCTTACAATATCTTAATTTCTAAAATTCTAAATACTTTTTTTTTGTCTACGCTGTAGTTTTCCAATGTAAGTTTATTGAGATTATTTACTACAACTCCTACATAAGTTACCCTTTTATAAAGTTATTTTTTGTGACTTTTTCACGAACAAGGTTTTTAGCTTGCGTTCTTTGAATTACATTTGAGTAATAAATGACTTATCTTATCATACTTTTCATATATGTATTAGTATCTTAAGCCTTAGGTAATAATATTTCTGTATTTTTACACATTTGATCTTACGAACATTATCAGTGATTATTAAACTTTGAACATTGACGTTGAAAACAGTCAGTCAGGGGAATAATCTTTTGCATAGATCAAAAGATTTTAATAAGAAGTATAAGAAGGAAATTTACATCCGGCTCAAAGGACCAGAAAACGGAAAATTAGTAGTAGATCTAAAGCTAATGGCGCTGACGTTGTACTAGGAGGAATAATTCACCTGGATGTTTCGAGGCCTATTAAATAATAATCCAATAACTTATCATATTTACATCCCCCGACTCGAACCCTGGATTTTCATAATTATTGTACAGTAACAGAGCTCACTTGACACTGCGGATGCGGTTTCGTGTGCATCGTGTGAAGCATATACACGTGGACATGGGCCACGATACGACGGAGCTACGTCTTCACTCGCCGCGAGACCTTCTTCCAGCCGTTGGAGTGGGCGTCGCCGTTCATGGCCCGAGTAAATGATGTCATCCTGTTTTTTGTTTCATATAAGACGTCGGAGTCTGTTTCCGTCTCGGATAAGTCATTGGCCACTGGTTGAAGGAATGGAAATTGATATGTTAAATTCAATTGCGTCGACGGGTTTTTCTTTAAACGGAAGCTTATTAATAATTACTTACGCGGTTTCTGCTCGTGTTCAGCTCGCGGTAGCAGTCGGTATGTGGATCGAACGCGCGGCTTACGCGGTGCGCAAGCGCATAAGCGACGGCCGAGTCTCGCGCAGGCCCATCCCGCTCCGCACAGAGCGCACAGAATGCCGACGCCCCCCACACTTGCATACACCACCGACCACTCTGTATGAGTATCCGGAATTTATAGGTCGTTAGATACAATTTAATATTTTTATGCAATGAAGTCATTGTATAGACTGGAACTTTTTATTTTAAACTAGCTGACCTGGCAAACGTTATTTTGTTATATGCAGTACTTCGAGCATACCTATTTGTTTGCCATAGAACGGTTATTGTGAATTAATTTAAAAAGATAGACATATACTGTTATGAAATATTTTTCCCACTGTATCTTCGCTCCTATTGGTCTGTTGGCAATGTTTTATATAGCATAAAGTCTTCCTCAATAAATGATCCAACCAACACAAGAATGTTTCAGTTCGAACCAGTAGTTCCCGAGATCAGCGCATTCAAACTCTTGAGCTTTACAATATTAGTATAGATGTAATAATATTAGTCCAATATATTACCACAATCCGGCATAGCATCCGGTTGTAGCTGCGTAAATAGGCTTTGCATCCAGAAGGCATCGCAGCGGCATGTGCGTGTCGCTTGGTCACAAATGCCACGACCCGAGCACGTACTGAGGCAGCGAACTGGTCGAATACGCGCGGCTCCGCTGGACAACGCCGCTGGGCGCGATAGACCCAGCGCACGGATTCCTTCCATTGGGGTACCCTGATTAAAATTTCAATTTACAAAGTAACCAAGCAAGTCGTAAAAAAACATTGACTGAACATACACAATATAGAAGTATGTATATTAATGTAACATATTAATATTGTTGGATGGTAAGTGTTATAATAAACAGGTACGCAGATTTTATTATTGATAATCTTTAATATGTCATGGCATCTACTATGTTACCGAAAATTTGAAAGATAACTTGTCAAAATCTTACCTTCTCCGAAAGGAAGAAAATTATCTGGGTGTTCCCCGAATCCTTCTCTCCACGTATCTCCGTCACGTTCACTTTTATATCGTCCTTTAGAAGCAGCATCATCTTCTGCACCATTGAGTCCAGCTGGTTCTTAGTGAACGTGGATATCGGTGTGTGAACTGTCATTTCTATGAGTTTCATTTCCATCGGATCTGGTTTCACTTGGACACTGACTGTGTCACGACCCGTTTCGCCCTGATCATCCGTCACTGTCAGTTCGAAGACGTATCGGCCGGCCTCTATGTTCGCTAGCTGGACAGAGTTGATTTTTATATCAATAAAAAATATGGTGTTGGTTCAAATATTTCGAATCGATTGTTTGGCTAGATATCAAATTTTAGATAAGAATGTAGATTAAACAAATTAAGGAAATTAACTAACTCGTCGTCGTTCATAATTCTTCCTCGTTCAAACGTTCCCTGAATTATACAAGCAAATACCAAGAACATATAATTGTGTTTTGATATAATCTACTTATAGAATAGATTATATTAGATGGAATAAAAATTCTTAGATCTTCCAAATATATTCCACAGTCATTTCTATTATTTAAAAATATTAATGTGAATTAACGGCTCGGTTCAAAATTAAGGTTCATATCCCAACAACATAGATGTTTTATGTAATTGAACTTCAAATATTGCCATCAATATCAAGAGATGTTCACGTAATACCGTTTCTTATTGTTGAAAGTATTTAATTGAATACGTATCGCGATAATAAATAACTTACCAATAAAACGGGCTCCTTATCTGATTCCAAGATAATGGTCCCAGCAGCTAAGCTAGAGCTCAACCTGGTCCACTTCCATGACACTATGCGGAAGTCATCCGAAGATTTCGAGCCGTTTAGAACAAGAACTGGTAGAGGTAAATTCAAGACTTGATCTCCACCAGCGTCCGCTTTGGGAGGGCTGTTTTTATCTGTAATTATAAAAAAGAGTAAATATCGAAATTACATTGTAATTTTATACCTATACACAATTTCTTTGGAAATACCCCAATACAATAACTACTACATTACTAACATTTAATTACAATTCCAATTTTCACAGGTAAAACTACTGTAATCGTGAATATTAATGTTATCCTAACATGCTTTGTTATTTTTTTATATACATATTATGCGACTGTACAGTATTAGTACAATTTAATGGATATGTTAATGATAACAATATAAAAAAGACAGTCCTTATGATATTGATTTGCCTCGCCTTCTTTTCTTTGTAGTAATAGTAAAATAATGATTAAAGTAGTAATGTTAGGCTAGTAACCAATGGGCCATCAGTTCGATTTCCAGACGTGCTAGACGTTATGTCTAGACATTAAACGTGTCGTAGGAAAGGCAATATTCCTTCTAAATCATATACCAAAAAGCAAAAATAGCTCGACAGCGCAACATTATCGGCTCTAGAATGTGGCATTTTACCTTACATTAAGTGAACTCTGTGCTTGTATCTCCAAAAATAATCTGTACTCACTTTGCGTAACAGTGACTGTGATATTATCTGTGGCGGTGTTGCCATTATCATCGAGGACAGTGAGTGAGAAGACGTATTGTCCCTTAGTGAGTGTGGTCGCATTCGCGATAGTCTCGTTAAAACCAATAATGTTAGAGTTAGTCGGGCCAGAGAGGCATCGCCAGGTGTACGCCACTAGCTTGCGGTCGTCGTGCGATCCAGAACCGTTCAGGGTGATCCACGTTTGAGGTAGTGATATGAACTGAAATTTTTGGTTGTTTAGGCTCGAATGGTTGTATTTATATAGACTCTGTTACCCGAAATGAGTTAAACACAACGAACGAGGACACAAAAGTAACCCTCAACTAAGGAGATGAAAGTCGACTTTTAAGTTACTTGTTGGATTAAATAAAAATCCATAGTTGTACCGTCCAGGAATAGTTTGCAGTACAACTTATTTTTATTTAATCAATGTGTTTATTACAATTACAATTCGAGCCTAAAAGCTCCATGTTAGATTCAAAAGGAAGTTAATAAAGAACCTTATCTCATAATTCGACATGCAACCTTATTAAGGAAAGAAGTGAAGATATCATTGGATGCTTGAAATAATTATATGTAAATAAAGCTCATTGGACGGTTTAAAACGCGAGATAATTACAGTCGTTACATTTATGGCACGGTGAGATCACTTACTGTAAATTTAAACCTGCTACGCTAGATAGAAGAAGCATGGGGTCGTAGTTAAAAGTAAATCGCGTTTAAAGCCGTACAAAGTGTTAAGATTTTAAGATTATTTGAACCACAGATACAACATAAAAATCTAATCTGCCACTTTAATTGCACAATTAAGTACGGTAAGTTTTGTGTTGTGTTATATATACAACGTCGATACTTACAGCATCTGGTCCAGCGTCTGCTACGGGCGGTGTATTTGTGGGAGGTTTGACAAACACATGTACTTCTGCGATAGACGATTGACCAGAAGAATCTGTCACTTTCAATACGAACGTATACACTCCTTCCGATAGATTTGATAGCTGGAATAATTATATATTGTTAATTTAATAATTGGGTTGTAATAAATTATAAGCTGTGTTTATCATTGTCTTTCGGGCTGTTCGGCCGACGTGAAGAATTATTAGAGTTAAATGATGATGCCGTCCACACGAGATGACGAAACGTCGAGAACTTCTCGCTCATGTCGGCCGAACAGCCCGAAAGGCAATGATATGCTGAACGATGGCCGTGAAAGCCTTACACAATTTATATAAGCTGTGTTATTAAGTCAGGTCACTGTGCTCCTATAGATTAACATTTTTAGATTATAAACATATAAATAAGTCAAGTCATAAAATTACAGTTGTTACTCTGTCCCTAGCTTAATTTTTGAAATACTCCGTAATTAACTAAAGTTATATATTGGAAACCTCAACATTATAGTGTATTTTTTCTTACTTGGCATTTTTGGTAAGCAACGACTACACTCTATAAAATGGCATAACTAGATTGATTTAATATCTCTATAATTTGTTGCGATCTTTTGCCAAGTTAGAAAAAATACACTATACTTAAAGTATTTTTACCTGCAAATAAGGTGAATGTGTATTCTGCATATCGACGGCTTTATTGGCGTCTTCCGCGGACTTGGTCCATTCCCAGGACGTGATCTCGTGATCATCGGTCGATAGGCTTCCGTTCAGGGTCAAGTTGTTGTTCGGGAGGTAGATTATGACGTCTTGTCCTGGGGATTGCGAATGTTGTAAATGCAGTTTATTCCGATTTCTTTTATTCGTGTAAAATTTTCATGCAGGTGTTACTTCAATAAATTAGAAAAAATACCTGTCTTTTTTTCGTTTAATTGTTTTTGTACTAATTTTATTGGTTAATTAATCTATTTATAAAACCTTTATATTACAATAGAAATTTGGGGAATGGATAAAAAGCATTAATTTTTAGCTTTAGAATTAATTATCTTTACAGTAAAGGTTCTATAGAGAGTTTAACGTTCTAATGCATTTAATTCTATAACGAATCTTAGAAATCGATGATACTAAAATTGTGAACATTTAAACGATAAGACAATAAAGTTTTATTGCAAAACTATTATTAAGATAAGATTATATTTGGCACATTATTTTTATCTTGATTAATTTTATTAGTATATACGACACATATACGTTTTATTACGTAATTGGCTAAACGAAACACTTTCAACGGCATTATACGCGAAATATTATGAGTTGAAACTTATTTCCCTTCGTGACCAGCTGCTGCAAAGCATCGGGTCGTGGTTAAAAGTTTAGTTACATGCTTTAGCACGCTGTGGAGCTGTTTGGTTGAATCTAAAATCGCTTTTTAATTTATGTAACCCCATCATGTGCAATAACATGTCAAAGATATTAAAGTTTTCTAAATTTGTCGTTTGTGTACTACAAGATAATGCTTAAATAACTATTTCCTACTTGTCATATACGAAATATTTTAAACTACTATTTAGTGGGAACAGCCCGTTTCCCCCTTGTGGGGCATAGGGCGAACACATTCCTGTGTCCGTTTCATTGTTCTTTTAACAGGCAAGTAAGTAGTTGATCAGACTTCTGTGTCCTGCCTATATATTTTGTTTCCCTGGGATTTGAACCCAGGACCTCAACGCAATGCAAAGCAATACGTTTAACCATTTGGCTACAGAGGCGGTCAAACTACTACCACTAACTTTTAAATGTAAAACTTATTCTTATTAGATACTGGATTAAAATAAGTAAGGTCATTAATAATATTATTTCTGAATTAGGACTTTTTCCTTACACTTTGCTCAATTTCTCACGTATACCTATGGGTCTGCACTTACCTGCATTGGCCTCTGGCGGATAATCTGTATGATTAAGAACAGTTATGTTGGCTGTAGTGGAGTTCTTCACATGATCAGAGTCTTCCACTGTCAACTTGAACGTGTACTTTCCGGGCTGCTTGAGATCTTTTAGTACGAGTGTGGCTCCATCTTCCAGCGGAGGCTGGTAACCTATCGGACCGGCAGTTAGCTCCCAATGCCACGAGATAATTTGATCATCATCCTGTAAAAAATATTTAGTATTAAAGGGTTAATATGTTTATTAAGGTAATCACAATACTGTAGAGTTTGTTTCTTTGTTTGTACGCGGTAATGTCTGTAACCGCTGGTTTGAATTAAATTTTTTTTTTTTTTTTGCGGTTAGAGGATTTATGGGGGAAGACTAAGGCTACAAAACATTGCGCTAATAGAAGCGAAAATACCCAAAAGGTATATATTAAAGAATGATGGAACTTTAAATGAACTAAATAAAGGTTCCCATGGCTATACGTCTATCTTTTAAGATTAACTTGCAAGAACGATGGAACGCGACCTACGTCGTGGGTAACAGCTTAACTTTATAAAGATGAACAGGAGGATTGCTAAAACAAATTTGGGTGCCCAACATAAGTATTCTACGCGGACGAATATCATATGCAGATAAGATCATAGGGGTGGAATCGATACATTGTGTCAACTAAGACCTAACAGTATTTTGTCTCATTTCATTAAAATCAATGAAGTTTTCCTAAATCCTATTCGTAATATTCTGTACAAAATATAAATATAGAAACGTGGTGCTTAGGTCGCGATAGTGGTTAGGTTTTGCATATTATAATAGATTATTTAGGTCGTATCCAGTCAACCGCGATAATGTATTGGACATACCTCGCTCAGTATTTACGAACATTTTCTGATAATTTTAATAGCTAACTAAATCGCGTTACTATTAAGTTAATGTTATTTCCCTCTATTGAGAGAAAAGACGAACACATTTCTGTATCCATGTCACTGATCAGACTGCTGTGCTTTTTTTGAGCGAAAGAATTCGTCGTTTTCCTGGGCTTCGAACTAGAGCAATACTAGACATTCAACCATTAATCTACTGAAGCGGGCCTCATTTTTTATCATAAAAGAAATATTTATATTTAGCTGCTGGGAAGATGCGCTATGCTATTTGCGATAAGCCGCCATCCGCTTATTTTATTTTCTATTTTTTTGTTTGTTATAATTTTTGTCATCATTAACATGTTATAGTATGTAGTACACATTTTTAGTGTAACTCATGAGTAGTTGTGTTTTCGTTCCGCATGTCTAAAGCAGGAAATAGGTCGAGAGTGCATCTAGTACTGTCTATAGTTTACGCGAGTAGTACACATTTAAATAAAACACTTTAACGGTTTAAAACGCGATATTATTAGTTAAACTTATTTGAAAATGATTTTTAACTTCGGCCCGACGTTTCGGATGCTTTGCAGCAGCCGTGGTCACGGGGAGACGAAGTTAAAAATAATTTTCAAATAAGTTTAACAATACATCGCGTTTTAAACCGTTAAAGTGTTTTATTTAAAAGTGCATCTAGTTTCAATGAGCTGGCGACCTATTTGAATGAAGCCCACGTTTATCCGTCGTCCCCTGCTGTATAAAAGGTCCGGTTAGTATTCGAGGCCCCGGGCTCAATACGTTATAGTCCATATCAAAAGATAAAAAAATAAAGGTACCTTGCTCTCGCTACCATCCAAGACTGCACCGGAATTGGGCAACTTGACGGTTTGTGATTGTGGCGTAATCACCACTACTGGCGGCTTGTTGATTCGTTTTGGTGGCAACACCGTAACATTGGCGTACCCTTCGCCGTACGAGTTCGTTCCGTTCACAGTCACTTTGAAACGATATTCGCCTTCCGTTAGGTCCGTTAGTGTCACTGTCGCTCCGTTTTGTATCATATTACCTGGGGTACAGGAAGGATAATACAATTAAAAATTTCTGTTGGTAGAGAAAACTGCTAATATTGTTTAGAAAAGTTTCAAGTCAGACATTCTACAGTACAGCTACTATATACAGTAAGAGAGGTACTTATTTATGACTAGTTAAATTTTTTGGTTTTGTTGCAATTATTTCTACATAAGAATCTCAAAGTTGTCTTAGTATAAACCCCTAATTTTGGTTTTGGGGCACAACATAGGTTCCACATACTTGAAACTCTATGGAAAGTAAATCGTCAATTAAATAAAAAATACTATCACCTGTAAATGTATCTTTTGGTTGGCCTACAAGTGTCCAAGCATAACTATAATGGCTGTTAGTAGACTTCTCATCGGGTATAGTGTAGGCGGATAATGTTACTTCATTTTCTGGCAATTGAACCTACAAAAATAAACATGTAAAATTACTTAGCTTCATTCTTAATCAATGCTATAACCAAATAGAAAGAAGAATTATATCAATAATTATCTATGAGCAGATAAAGGTACTTTATAACTAATATGTGCTTTAATGTTATTTTTGTATTACAAACAAATAAGTCTACTTACGGTCTGTGAAAGGATTGATACGGTCAAGTTTTGAACAGGTTTATTTCCTTTTTCATCAGTTTTGGTTTCAGTTACTTCAGTTTTTTTCACCGGCTCAATAGCATCTGTTGGTCCTTTTGAATATGGCCTTCTAATTGGAACACAAGCACCTTGCTCATTCATTTCAGTCCCAAGGATACACTTGCATATGCCATTGTGCATGTTGTGGCCTAACGGAATGCATTCGGCATTAAAAGGACAATCATTTGTTCCCACTTCACAAGCAACTTTCTCAAGGAATTTTGAAGCTAGCATCATTTCATTGTCACTATTGTCATATTTTTCGTATCCCTGTGATTCATCATCATCTATAGTGGGTAAGCTATTAATAAAATGCTTTAGGAAGTTGGATTCTTCATCATTGGCAACTTCACTGCGGTGGTTGGTATATCCATACACAGGCTCTTCATCAGCAAAATTACTTGGTTCTTCCCTGATGTTTGATTGCTCTAGAATCTCTGACCAGTTTTCTAAAAAAATTATTGTTTTAACAACTAACTATTTATCACCTTGAGTTAGTAATATTGTCCTAAGCATATCTACTTTAATTGTTTTATACTTTTGTCTCCTTGTTTTAACATTAAGATTTCTTATTGTACAATTTAATGGACTTATAGCAATGATACTCATAGCAGAAGGTAACTGCATTTTTAGAAATACATAATAATATCTGTTTGATTTTCATACAAAAAAACAATAACAATTGCTAGTCCACACTTTTGCGAAAGCAATATACTTTACCATTTGCTAAAACTGGTTTAACAAGTATCATAGAGACATGTGTATGCCATTTATGCCCTACTCTGGGCAGAGGTAAACACAGCTCGTCCGTCACACATTCCACATGGTAACACCTTGAATCTACTATAAATACAATGTTGCAGTTATCTGCTAAGCAACATGCCATCACACATTGCTTTAAACCTTTTAACTCGGTTTTTTCTGTGTAGTTCCCCGCTGTCAAATTACCTACAAATAAGTAGAATAATGCAATAAATATATTTCTTTAATATGTGGCAGTGGTTTGATTCAGAAATGCACACTGAGAAAGATTCTCCATACTTATTTTCTTGTTAATAAAAATCAATTTCAAGGAATCTTAAATGTTTTAAAGCTACAGCTGGTGAAAGGGTTTAATCCAATCCTTTTCAAAATGTCTAAGCTTAGACTAGACTAGTGAAAATACTCAATGTTTATTGTTATTTAAATATATTTAAAAAAAATAACAAATTATCAGCTGTAAGCAGTAACATATGTTTGAAAACTATTTTAACTGTGTTTCTAAAAATCAATGTACATCCATACATATTTAACTAAAACTGTCTATTTACTATACCTGCTGGCATGTAGTTGTCGAAATTTTTTGGGAACAACTTTGGGCATTTATTATTACTTTCGTACTTTTCAGTCCATGATTTGCTGTACATAGTTAGACTGAATTGTATATGTACTAAAAGTACGATAATGCACACAATACCTCTATTCATTTTGACTTTGTATGTTTCGCAATTTTAAAACGTATTTCACTTCATAACTTGTATAGCGACTTCAACAAAATCACGGTATATAAAAATTATCTCAGGAAGTAAAGAGTTAGATACGAAATATGTATTTATGAGTGGGCGATGTGATAAAGAAATAATTGTATGAAAATAAAAACGGATACACTGCCCGGCTTTGACAACGGACTAATTACAGTACACGTTGCAAGCAGCGAATTATTTTCGGCAATTTGATAAAATGTTATTCAGCTTTTAATAAATTCAGCGTATAATGTATATTATTCTGAAAATTGAAATCTACTACACAATAGTTAATAGTGACTTTGACAGTAGGTGTATCGTATTAGTTTGACAGTGCGTTTTTGACGTATTTTAGGGATGCCCTTTGATACAATTATTTTGGTAATAATCGATTACTTTACGATTATTCGTAAATGTAAGTTATTTGTTATTCAATTTCAGATACATATACAATTATATTCCATTAATTAAAAGTTTGCGATAAGTATACATGTTAAATGTGAATTTCTGTAGTTTTTATTATGGGAGAGAGAAAAAAATATTTAATTCAACTATTAAAAACTACATAATATATATAAATTGTATGTAAATCATTATGATTTTGATAGTTTTTAATGTAAAACAATACATATTGTAAAATAATAGAAATACATCTAGTTTTCGTCGAATCAACGAAACTCTTATTTCTATTTGTAATCTGCTCTATTAGGTTTTGTCATTAATTTCATGTTATGAATTCGTGGTCATATCAATAAAACGAACAATATTTCTCTTATTTTCAATTGTATTAATTGAATACTTGTGATAATGGGAGCTGGACAAATCGGTGGCATTGCCACGTTGTGTTAGTTTTCAACTTTTAATTGTTTTTGCTTATTAAGATCGGTAGAGTTCGCCATGGTCCTAATAGTAAAAGTGATACCTACCACTAAATTTCCAACAATTCAAATAATAATTTTGGCTTTGTATATAGTTGTTTTAATTATATCGTTTAAAGACAAAAAATAATATGATTATTCCAATGCACGATGTCTTGAGAAGAATCGTACGTAACGTAGGTATAACAACCTACCTCTTATTTTATCTAGTTAGATATTCTTTATTTACTTACAGTGGATATTGATTTTCAAAATGCCGCTGGTTTTCAAGGAGTACCAGCACAGTCGACAGAAGGACAGTTCGTTGTAAGTGCAATCAATTATTTTGCAATTTTCAGTTCATTTACAAAATTTGCGAGAATACGAACTCAGAATTTCAAAAGCCATAAAAAGCAGTAAACACTAAACTGTGGTGGCGTTTTTATTTGTAATTAAATTTTCACAGATACATTATTTATCTCACGCGATGTTATTCTGCGTGGGCGCACTGATCGAGCCCCATGTGGTTCTGACGCCTGCAATATGCGTTTTTGGGGAGAAATATAAGTTCTTCGTGTATGCCGGCACACATAGGTTCCTAGAAGGCTTAGGAATAACGAGGCAGGTTCAACATCTTTGCATTCATAAAGGTAATCTACACCTTAAAAAATAATTCTTCATTTGGAACTTAAATTGCTTCCTGCAGTAGACCAAAATAATAGAGATGGAAGATTCTGACTACTAGGTACTAAAAACGGTTTATTTTAGTACATATAATCTGTCTTATATTAAGAATAATATTTCACCCTCTTCCATCGAGTTAAACTCGTCATACTTGCTCTAACAGAGCAAGCTTTTGCTCTAGAAAGCAATGAATGTGTTTTGGTCTACGTGGTATATCTTATAGTTATTTTATTAGACAATAAACTTTTTTCTATCGTCTTTAGGAAATAACGAGGTCAGATTTATTGAATCAGTATTTTCTGATGCGGTTAAACTTATACTTTGAAGGTTACAACCATACAGCGCGATGGATGCAGTGTTCTCCCGATAACCTTGCACTTCTAGTATTAAACCAGCAGTTTTTCTTTCACAAACGAGAACCAGGTACTACTTATGTATTGAACAGAGTGCGGTACGGTGTAACGGTGGACTTGGATAAAAGAATTGGTGACCCCACTTGCCATTATTTTGGATGGGGCAGCAGGCGCAACGTAAGTTTTAATTTGTTTTTAAAAAAAGTTTAGTCAGTAATAAGTTTGTGGGTCTGTTTTACTGATCGTTTCTATATCCTCGGCACCTCGGGAATCGGTGACTGTATTTCAATCTAAAATTGTATGATAATTTTTAAACAACCTAAATTCCAGGCTGTTAGATAGAGTGTATATATTTTCCTACGCAGTCGGGTAAGCTATGAACTTACGTCATCTTTCTAAGTGCACTATTGAAGATTGTTTGCATGCTGTATTGTACTTTAAAGTGTTCTGCAAATACTTAATACGTAAGGGAGCCAAGTAATTTCTGCCAACACTGACGGATACATAGACAATTCTATTATAATAATTTTGCTTCTCTGTTCTTTACAGGGATTAGGCTATAACTTATAAGAAATTATTGTATTAAAGTAATACTTACAATTAAATAAGCATATTATAATTATTGATTAATAAGGCTTTTGGCATGATGCTTTCAGGGCTACCTGATCCCACTTCTGATAGACCTGTTAAGGGTGGACGTCACCTTACTACCGCCGGAACACTGCCTTGAGATGTGGAATTATAAAAACAAATATCTTTGTATACAACAGCCTCCTTGCAAGGTGTGATAATTTCATCATCATACTTTGTCAATATTGAACGAAGTACTAGGAAGTCACCCTTTGTAGGGACAAATATTCTGTTGAGATAAGCTATTCGTAGGTTTGTGATAAACTGCTAAAGATTTAATATATTTTAAAAAGTAAAACTCGGACTATATAGCTAAGTATATAGACTATATACCTATCCGTTTAACCTGATTCAAAATCAAAATGTTTTGTTTAATGTAGTAATTAATAAATGTAGATGTATCTATAGATAATACGACTACCTACTTCGTCTATTGATATGGCATAAAAACCTTATACAGTTAAGAAATCATAATTAGATTAGTCAGTTTTCGGGAGATCAAAATTAATGCGTTGCTAGCTAGCTAGCTTCAACAGCTGGAAATCGAGCTACGAAATTAAATGCAATAATGACAACTTTTCTCTTGCACGTTATTTTCTATCATTATTATTGAAAGTTCTTGTTTTATATTCGTTCAACTTTTCGTTATAGTTTCATTAATTAAGTTATATTTTTATAGTGTACTAAACAATAAACAACAAATAGTTACTATTTTTTTTCAGACAGAGAACCATGGAGTACTATGCCCGGTAAGGCCACATAGGCAATTTATGTTTATTTCAAACCAATATTAGTTAAGAGTTCTCAAATATTGTCAAGTCAAACATGTAACTACTTGAACATTGTACATTGTGTTATTAACGGACTGAAGAAATTGGATTCTCAAATGGGATGTGTGTTTGAAATCTTTGCTGTTATTTTATTATTTAAAAAGATTTTCGCAAGGGAAGCATGCATTTATAGAGAATTGCGAATTTCAATGGACAGAGACGATAAAACAATAGCTTGGTTGGCTAATTACACCTGTATTATCTTTTCCGTATTTCTTAAATTCATACTAATATATAAAGCTGAAGAGGTTTTTATTTGAACGCGCCAATCTCAGTAACTACTGGTTCGAATTGAAAAAATATTTTTGTGTTGGTAAGAACATTTGTCGAGGAAGGCTATAAAACGCGCTACGCTGCGACTAATGTGAACAAAAAAAAAATAGGAGAAATTATTTATTCTTGTGGGCTTCCGTTGCGTACGCTGCGCAAACGGTTCCAGATACTCAAAAAAATATGTATGAAAAAATGTTTCCTCTTTAAATGATCTCATGGTCCGCGACAGTATATATCTGTCTTTTAAGAGTAACTTGCAAGAACGACAGGACGTGGACGACGTCGTCGGTAAAAGCTTAAATAACTATTCTATGCGGACGCAGTCGCTAACACGGCTAGTAAAGTTATAACTAATTTCTAAGACTGTTGGCATATACCTATTTCTTGCTGTAACAGGATGACATGGGAAGCGTCCTCGTTTGTTCTGGTTACGCCCAGGGCATGATGACGTCACGGTTGATAGATCGGCCTTGCGGCGTCGGCTTCATCGACCTCAGTCAGTACACCAAGTTCCTGACCTGCGGCGTGGATGACTCCCGGGATGTGATTGACCAAGACGAGTTCATGTCTTTCGATTTCCATACAATGAAACCACCGTCAACACCAGCACTTGCTACGGCCGTCATTTCAAACGAAACAGAGACGTGATCATTTTTTGTTGATATAGATAAGAATGTACGTCTAAATTTTAAATAAAATATTAATATTTACTAAAATTCCAGCGTTGATGAGGATTTAAGGAGTCTTTGCGTTTTTTTTTATAATAGACGAAGACCGACAATCACTTGATGGGAGGTGAAATGTCCGAACCATACAACCAACATCCCAGCAAGATGCATTGTCGACCTCATTTGAATTTGGAATTATTCTGAAATATATCTGAAATATTTTGAAATCCACAAACTGAAACTGAACGCCATTAAACTTCACGGCTTTTTCATCTGTGGACGGTGGTTCGTGACCCGGACGGAGTGTTCGATATTCCTACCACTTATTCAATATCCAGATTTCCAGACGAAGTCCAACATATCTCAGAAAAATTTGAAACATGTTGGACCCGATGGGGATCACACCCACGACCCGTTGGTAATTAGCCATACATTGCTACCATAAGACCAACGATCCCGTCTAAATGCATGGCTTATACAACCAGAAAAGCACGCAGTAACAACAAAACGCATTTGTCGCATTATCTCCCACAATCACCTCACAAAGCAAAAGGAATTAGGTGGGACTTAAATATAGTGAATACCAATTCCAAATTCTTACCACGTCACATCAAACTGTTATATATTTCTGAAATTATACAAAAAGATATTGATTGTCTACTAGTAATGTATTTTTAATTAAACGCTGCTCGTCTTGTGATTTTCACTTGATGTCCGTTTATAGGAAATAGAAGCATCTCGATTTTTAGTGGCCCGATTTCATCAGCTTCTATCTTGTAACATCTAATGATGCTCGATATTATACTCTTCATGATTATCATACCGAAGTTGCGACCTGAAAAATGTTTCAAGCTTAAAACCTCTTTTGCAATCTATTTGATACATTATATATTATAAATGTTGGATTTTATATATATATATATATATATATATATATATATATATATATATATATAATAATTGGAATTTGGAATAATTTTATTTGACAATACATATCAAATCTCTTTCTTATTTGTTGTGTTATGATGAAAGTACCACGAACACTATGCATGCCCACTGCCCAGTAGTTTACGCGAGTAGTACACGTTTAACGGCTTAAAACGCAAATATATTTTTAACTTTCGTCTAGCCTTAGTTAAAATAAGTTTACTTAATATATTGAAAGTGTTTCCAATAAAAAGGCATGCCCTCTTTTGTCTACCGTTCTCCTACAATAAACAACGTAAGAACGATTTGATAAGATGCCCAAGCCCAAAAGCTTATTTATAACATAAGAAGTATACCTATACAATTCCTAGATCCGTAGCTAAAAGGCACAAACGCAGCTGGATGCCTTCCAATAGATCGTTCAGGTAGGAACCTATCTGGATCGAAGTCGTTCGGTTTGGGGCCCCAAATGCCCTCGGACCGATGCATTGCAAAGGCTCCAATCGCAGCACCAGTACCAGCTGGTAAAGTTACTTTGCTATGAGCTGAAATAAGGTAAGCTATTTAGAAATAGGCAGTTCAACGCGCACATATACAACTTTGACGGGCTAGTTGGTGTATATGTATACGGGCCGATCGCGAATGGGTCGAAGATGTTCCTAATAATATTTAATTTAAATACTGTCTATAGTTTACGCGAGGAGTATACATTTAAATAAAACACTTTAGCGGTTTAACACGCGATATATTAGTTAAACTTATTTGAAAATGATTTTTAACTTCGTCTCCCCGTGACCACGGCTGCTGCAAAGCATCCGAAACGTCGGGCCGAAGTTAAAAATCATTTTCAAATAACTTTAACTAATATATCGCGTTTTAAACCGTTAAAGTGTTTTATTTAAATATTTAATTTATATTTTTTCCTGAATCATGTTGGGCTTCGTCTGGAAATCAGGATATGAAATGTGTAGTAGAAAATAGGAATATCCAAATTCCGTCCAGGTCACGAACCGCTCACAGACACAAACGCCATTAAGTTTAATCGCGTTTCGGTTTCAGTCTGTGGATTTCCGAATATCCAATGCCAAAATAGATCGTCAGGGCATCTTGTTTAGATATATGGCTGAAGTATTTCACCTACCAACAAAACCTGAATACGTGATAAAGGAGAACAAACAAACAGGGTTTGTCTGTTCATAAAAAAAATATCTAGGTACTGATTGTGTCACGGTAGGCTTGTGTTATGTATTCACTATACTGAAGTATTTAATAGTCGTACTTATTAAAAAGAAAAAGTATTAAGACTTACGTAAGTAAAGAGGTTTGTCAACTTTTCGGGCAATAATTGGTACCACGGTGTACAAACGCATGCTCTCCTTAATCACACGCTCCAAACACTTCATTTCCTGGATATCTTCTTTGTTAGCACCTCTCAGTGAATTTTCGAAGATTTTCTCTTGTCTTGAATAAAACAATATATTTATATACAAAGTTATAACTATGCGAATAATAATTTAAAATATTATTATTTTTGCAAGTGTGTCTACGTAAAGAGCGTGTTACATATACTTAAAATTAGAACAAAGATGAATTCTCCGACATTTTAAATATATATTAATAAAAATTCTTTTTTAACCGTTAATTTGCTGTCATGGTCAATATCATCGTTATTTCACCTCGTGTCTAGTGCAGTAGTAGTCTAGCCCAACGGAGGTAAGCGAACAAATGTTCATGGAGAATTCGCATGTAGCGAAAACATTTCCGTGCCTCTTTTACTAATCGGTATTTAACAGGCAAGTAGTTAAATTCTGTCTGTACTTTAAGCGGATTTAAATAAAACACTAACGGTTTAAAACGCGATTTATATTCGTTACACTTATTTGAAAATTAATTATGCTTTGCAGCCGCCGTCTCCCGTGACCACGGCTGGTGCAAAGCATCTGTGATATATATATCGCGTTTTAAACTGTTAAAGTGTTTTATTTGAAGGCAAGTAGTTGATAAGACTTCTGTGCCCTGCTGGACCTGAACAGTCTATTTTTTCGTCAGGATTCGAACCTAGGTTCTCTCGCGTTTATTATTTATTCGAGCGAGTATATTATTTATTCGATACTTACTCATCGATAACTGTCTGTTGAACGTCTTGGTGTATCCCAAGAAGAACTAATGTGTAGGCGATAACGAGGGCAGTCGTATCGTTCCCAGCGATGGTAATAGAGTCGATATGCTCACGTAGTTGCTCATTGGTGAATTCTATTTCTCGCCCGAACAGCAAGTCTAGGACCGCTTTCAACTTTCCCCCTGCATTTAAAATATTAATTCGATATACAAGATATTTTGTTGACCGATATGATTACTTTTAACAATATCAATACAATTTGTACCGTAATTATCGTTAAAGCGACAAAAATAAAGAAGATTTTTAATAAAAAATCACAATAAATGAGCGAAGATTTTAACAGCTAAGTCAGCATCTTTACCTAAAACTTGCCAAGAGGTAGATTAGTTTCAGCAAAAACACCAAATCATTTCCTTTTTTTATGGTGATATTCAGGTAGAGACAACATTATTTTACTGTTATGCCAATCAATTTCGGTGATAAAGCTCTTGAAACTTCTTTTTTATTTACAGATTGACATTATTATCGAACACAAATCGAGGTAAAATACTTCAATATAAAATAAATTAGTGACATAGACACTAAAATGTGTCTGCCGCTTGCATAAATATAATATTTTCAGATTAATTAGCAATATTTAAAGATAATGAAACATAATATTGAAATATCGTATTCAAGTTCATCTTTGAGTAAACACTTGTCGCGTAACGTAATAAATTAAATAAAGTGTTACAAAACCATGAGGACCATAGAGTAACCCGTATATAATTTTTATATGTAATTTTAGTAGTTATTGTCTGTCTCTTTAGTAGAATTCACTACTGAAACTTATCATTTAATTTTTATTATAGGTACGCATCACGGATATAATTTTTGACCCTTATTAATTTATTTGATTCGTTCTTTGTTCATTTTTAAATTGAAATTAAATCGACTTGATCGAAATGTAGTAATTAACTAAAAATACTGCCAAGTTCAAATTCGATACACGTCGCTTCCATTTCATTGCCTAACACAAATTTCTTAATGATTTTTTTTACTCATTTTAAGTCTATCGGTTGTTATCGTATGTTAAGCTTCCGATGTAAATCTCGGTGGTGCAAGTAAATCAGTTCGCAGACTCGCAGCTAGTATGGGATAGTTACGTCATAGTTTGAGGAAACTAATAAAATTGCCTTATTTATCCATAAACCCGCCGTACACTATGTCTATTTCAAAGCCCATTGTCTTGGAATTCACATTGACATTGTATAAACAATATTTTATTAGTACCCTGACATAAGTGTAGAACCATTCATATAAGTTAAATAAAGTATAGTTCTTTGAGCCATTATGTGCGTTTTACGTTTCAAATTCATTCCGATAGGGGCTCGTGGTTAAGTTCCGTGGAAAAATATAACGTTCGATTACGCCTTTATGACCGTCTCTGCCTCGAAATAGTGTTATCATTGCCTAGCTATGCTTTAAGCAAAAGAAGACCTGGGTTCTAATCACAGAAGAACAACCAACTGCCCATAAATAAAATATAGAAACAAATACAGAATGTGTTTACTTCATGTCTCATTTTTTGTTGGCTTACGTTACACTGTTTTTATAGCCATTCGTACCTTCATCCATATAATATTTTTATGATAGAGAAGGACAGACAAGTATAGTGTACACTTGATGGTAGCTGAAATACTCCAACCGTATCACTTCTGAATAAGGATCACTGTCGACCTATTTTCTCTTGGATATTCGGAAATCTACAAAGCGAAATTGAAGCGCGATTAGCCTTGATGGCTTTTACATCTGTCACCCACCCATTTATAATCTAGATTTCCAGACATGTTGTACCCGTTGGGGCCCGAAACGATGACCCGTTCATATCTATAGATTGCTAACATTACTCATTAAAAAAAATATCGAGTACCTACTGTTCAGATTAAAATACAACAATAATTCCTACCCATCTCTATAATATAATACTATGAATGTCAGATGCATTTTCTAGAGTAAAATATGCATAACAAGCGGATTTTAACTGAGTGTGAATTGTATTACAACTATAAAATATAGTGTGAATAATATAGTGCTAAGTGCTTAGAAATATGTTTGACTTATACGTGAAATTGTCAGAATTACTTGTATCGAATAACGTAACTATAGAGTCAAATCGCTGGGTTAAATTGTTTGTTTTTTTTTGACAAAGCAGCACAGACAAGCATGGAAAAGAAACAGCCTTATACAGTTGCGTAGCTAGGTGGACAGAGGCCCCGGTCTACCTAATCCTAAGGCTCAAGAAGAAATCGGGTCCTGATCCCCTCTTTTAGCATATCTTGAATTAAATGAACTTCCAAAGTTATAAATAGCAACAAGAACGTTTAAAAATCCTTTTCTTCTACGCTTATATCTCCCGGGGACCTGGTGCACTGCACCACCTGGCTCTACGGTAGCTACGCCACTGGCCTTGTAACAGAATACGCTTTCGATCTATTTTTGATTTGAACGAGTCATTTAATAATATTGTCAGTTTTTAGACAATTAAGAACTTAGGAACTTAGACATTCAAGTATTTAGAGAGGTTGAAATCTTGAAAACGTATGTAGAATGATCGATATCTACAGACAAGACTTGAGCCCACGATCCGTGAAATTTCTCTATCAATCGAGCTACCATGTCCACGATATAGCAATCTATACATTCTAGGAATGGATTGTTGCAATGTTTATACATACTTTTTCAATATTGCCGGTGAATTTTATTTATAAATCAATAGGTGTTGCTTAAGGCACCAAATAAATTTTACAAAGTTACAAAGTGAGGTTCAATTCAGCAAGTTGCGTATATATTAATACAAAAGAAAGCTATTATTACCTGGCTGTTTATCTTCGGTCGGGTTTTCCTTATTTTTCTCATACTCTTGGCGCTTCTTACGCACCACCTGAAATGGTGACGAGTTTATTTGCTGCAAATAAACTGTACTTTGCGTTTGACGCAAGTCTTATTAGAATTAAATTAATTTCACATAAACGTGTGAGTTTTCGTGGGAAAAATATGTTGAAAATATGTCGAATAATAGTCATAGATTTAAACTTATTTATCCCACAGGGTTTCTCTTTATAAATTATTATAAAACCCAATGCTCTCTTTTATTTGTGATTACACTAAAACTTTTATAGATTTAAAAAGCTTTCAAATACAAAGTAAATTCCTAGAAAGAAAGAAAGAAGAAGAAAAAATATTTAATGCCACAAAATTACAAATCCATAAAATCCACAAAACTAGATTCTTAACCTAAAATTTTGTGGCACGTCGGGATGCAGACTCAGCTGAATGCTGCACGAAGGGCCCTTCCCTTTTTTCAGTCTGCTCCCTCTGGCCGAAATTAAAAATGTGAGTGCGTGTGTGAGTTCCGTAAGGTGAAATAAAAATAATGAGTGTAAATATTAAAACTAACCATGTTAATACTCTCTCCTCTATAGTTTACGAGAGTAGTACACATTTAAATAAAACGTTTAACGGTTTAAAACGCGATATATTAGTTAAACTTATTTGAAAATGATTCGGATGCTTTGCAGCAGCCGTGGTCACGAGGAGTCTCCCCTTGACCACGGCTGCTGCAAAGCATCCGAAACATCGGGCCGAAGTTAAAAATCATTTTCAAATAAGTTTAACTAATATATCGCGTTTTAAACCGTTAAAGTGTTTTATTTAAACTAACCATGTATATATATAACTATATAATAAAATAAAAACAAAAATAAATTATGTTTGACAGAATAAATAATTAAGACTGCGGAACAAGGTATAGGCCCACATACCCTTTACGTTGAATGGCGAGAAGAACGATTTTTAGTTTTATTTTAAAAAGTAAATATGATTTGACCTCTTTTATTGGCGGCGGAATAGTGTTGAAAACCACTCGCTTTATGTTTTGGAATTTTCAGCTGGAACTTATCTTTACTGCACTTATCCTATCCTACTGTACCTACTTTAACAGATTTAAAGAAGAAACTTCCAAATAATGTATTCTTACCTCATCTGTGAACTTATGTGTAAGATGGATATTTGTCTTCTGCTGCTTGGCATACGGTGTCAAGTTAAAGAGGCAGTCAGGCTGGAGCCATACTTTGAAAAGGCGCATGTTCAGTATTTCCATGACAATGTGGCGCGCGCGCAGGTATGGCGTGTCTGGAGAATGCTGTACGTCCATGCGTTCACCCATTGCTGTTTCTATAGATTATTAAAGGTATTATTTTTACGGCTTTTCGTCCTTTTTATATTAAAATAATAGTAGGAAACTTTATAAATCTAAATTACTGCTTAATGTTTGAAATTGTTATTATTATTTACACGTTATAGCACGTGTTTACAATATAATTAAAAAAATAATAATAATGTTAACGTTGAAATAACATTGCGCGATAGGTGCTTAAGTATGAATATCTTAAAAAATTCGATGCTGACGTAGAGGACACGGTAGTTGAATTGGGTAGAGCAGCAGAAAACGGTGTGGATGCCGGTTCAAGTCGTAATTGGTTCAATCTCAATAGATTGTCAAATTTCTGATTAATATATTTACCAAAAACGATATCCAGGGTACAAGCTGTTATATACTTCAACACGTCGAATTTCCCTTTTCCCGACATCTCTTGAAGCCTCTCAAGCAATACACCTGCTTGATTGGAGATCACATCTACGTATTCCTCAACCACCTTGTTGTGAAACACGGGTAATAGTACTTTCCTATGTGTTTTCCATAAACCAACTGTTAACAAAGGACTAGCTTAGTCAAATAGTTAAAAACGCAAAGTCGACGAATTTAAATTCAATCTTGTTGTACATATGCAATATCTTAGAGTTAGGAAAATGGTAGTCCGTTAAGTTACCTGTATTATCTACTGCTTACTCTATTACTATTGTACTCATAATATAATAATATAGACTTATATGATTTACAGTACTCACGTGGTGCTATAAACAGACCATGGCCAAGCCAAGGTCGAAGAAATCTGTAGACGACATCCTTATCCAAACAGTTGTCCAACAGTACTTGAGTGTCTTCTGGGTTTACTATGGCTGCAAAAAGTAAAATAATGATTCTATCTACCAAAATCCCTGTCAAAATCGAGTAAGCCGCTATTGACCTAAACCTATCCCACTGCAAAAAGTCGGCGCAAAATATAATAAATATATGTTTAGACAGACATGGATACTGCATATATAAAATAGTGCTCAAGTAATAGCTATATTCTGTCTGTTGGAGACGTTTCTTCAGAACCAATGTATATACATATAACCCCATGTCATAAATAAATACCTTCCATCAAGCATATCTCTTCTGTTATCAACGTGTATCGTTACATATTATATTAAATACTTACCGAAATATAAATTGGGTCCCAACCAAAGCTTTACAGCACCATTATGTTGCAACGCTAAGTTTGCGATAGATTCTATGTTGCGTAATATTTCTGGAAAACAAACCTAATTCAAACACTGCCTACGTAGGAAAAGACAATTGTTTGCAGTACTTTTGTAAAACACTCGACAAACAATAACTCGTGTCATAGAAGTGGTATTGAAACTATGGTATTTGCCAACCATGGTTTTTTGTTTCATATGTCCAAAGGAGCTTATGTGTTTCTTTGATAAATAGGATAAAATCAAATTTGAATACTACGCAAGTGGTACCTACACATTAAATATATAATTAATGCATTAACACATATTAACGATTCAAAACATGATTTATATTTGATGATAAAAATCTCTTTATGCAAATTTTTATATATTTAATTATTGTTTAATACGGTTATAATGGATAAATTAAAAACAGTAATGTGCTAAAGCAATTTAAAGACATAATATTGTAGAACCTACGTATTAGTTTGGTTGATTGACATTTAATAATAGTTAGTGACATTTAAGATTGTTTCAAAATATAATTAATTAAAATGGAATATTATTATATGTTTCTCATAAATACATGTCTATGGAGAGGAAACATTAATCGTTAATTTTTTAAACTATAACATAAAGTTACAAATTTTATGTGGAAATGTGTTATTCTTTAAAATGTTAATGTTAATTATAAAATTAAGTGTAATTATAAAAAATAATGATTTAAAATAATATCTACGTATCTATGAATTTTAAAATAAATAAGAAACTCGTAAATATTCCGTCCACTCATCCCACTCTGTAACTGCGTAGCACTTTTTGTAGCTAATGTAGCTCTTCCGTTTGAAACCCCAAATAAGTTTAGTATAAGTTAATAATAAAATTACCTCATAGAATAGTAAATTATTTAATGCTATTCTCTGATATTAAATTACTAGTTCTTAATTGACTAATTGTATAAGTTCAAGCATAAATATTTGTTTTAAGACAAAATAATAAAACTCTTAACAAAATTATAATTCACTAGCTCTCAATTATTCTCTTAACTTTTGCCCCGGAATAACAATGTATTGCTTTATTTAGTTGTAGGTTTTATTTTATAATTATTACTCAGATAAATGTTGAAAGGTACGTACTTTGATTATCACCCAGGAACATCATGGCATTACCAACTATCGGCAAAGTACCACCCGGTGCAGGAAGATCAGCTGTAGCTTTATCCAATTTTCTCGCTTTAATTGAATAGAAAATTAAAAAGCAGCCCGCGATAAAGGCTAACACTACTAAAATTATCATTTTACTTGTTAAATTAAAGATCGTTTAAAGAAGTTATTTTCTTAATTTTTTTTTTTTAATAGCTCATTAATTAATTTTTATATTAGTAGGTATAGAAGACGCGTCCGCACTGCATGTTAAGGTAAAATAAAACGAGTAGTAGTAACGTCTCTTACTAGGTGACGCTGATTTTTCCCCCGATCTGATTGGGGTCTACGATGACTTCACGATCAGCAAATTTATTAAAAACACTTTGCTACGCATTTATTTAACAAGTACTCATATTTTAAACTGTAACCCGCCAACTAGGTAACTAAAAAGCGCCAATATTAAAAACGCCTAATAAACATTGACATTTTGATAACTAATGACATTTTAAATACTGCTTACCAAGAAAATCTTGAGAAACTTTTAGGATTGTGCTTTTATGTGTGAACCGTACATAATTACAAAATATACAATATTTTTGTTAACTATGGTACCTGCCCTATTACTAAATATAGCCTATTACTTTGAATAAAATTAATTTTGGTGAATTTGGCGCCATTGTAGAACATCCTTAAATTTCCAAATCATTATTTAATACAATATGAAAAAAAAATAGCATTGTGCTATTATAATATAAAAATTCGATACGTATTTTATTTAAAATATTGACATTTATTTTTCTAAAACATGCTAACAAAAATTTCTACAATCGATTCATCATTTCGTTGTAGATGTATCGATTACTCGCACATCACTACTAACAAATCTCAACAAAACATGGCTGCTTTAATTTGGTGGACGTTTGGAAATCGGTAGCATTCCGCTTTTCACAGTTTATTTAGGTTATAGTGAGAATTTATTTTTAAAGTAAAACTATAACTTTTTAATGTAAAATAACAACATAAGTGCAGTGCGGTGTCAGGAGTGGTGTATAATGTTACTCGTTGTTTCTTGATACAAGGTAAGAATGTGATGACTAGACTCGGTGAACGCTTTCAACTTCTATAATGTAATGTATGGCATTTCTCTAACTAGGTATCGAAGTTATAATCATGGATTTTGGACACCCACCACCAAATTTGGCCATGCCGCCGCCCGGCATGGGTAACATGGGGCCGCCTTTGGGCCCTCCTGGTCGCAACAACATACGCCATAATTTTAGACCTTATAATTATCAAATGCGCTTCCCACCTCAAGGTCCATTAAACATGACCCAAGATGATTTCGACGGTAAACGTTTGCGTAAATCAGTCATGCGTAAAACTGTAGATTATAATTCTTCTATTATAAAAGCCCTTGAATGTCGCGTTTGGCAAAGAGACTGGAGGGACAGGCATGTACTACAACCCGATGCTATGTATACTCCAGAACTCTTGCCCCCTCCATCTTATCCTGACAATCCTATCAACGCCGTAACAACCCGTTTTGTTAAGACAGCAACAAACAAAATGAGATGTCCCATATTTGCTGTAGCGTGGACACCTGAAGGTCGCAGATTAATAACAGGAGCCTCATCTGGAGAGTTTACTCTGTGGAATGGATTAACATTTAATTTTGAAACAATTTTACAAGCTCACGACTCACCAGTTAGGTCTATGGTATGGTCTCACGGTGAAGGCTGGATGGTTACAGGAGATCATTCTGGTTTTATCAAATATTGGCAGAGCAACATGAACAATGTGAAAATGTACCAAGCACATAAAGAAGCTGTTCGAGGTATTAGTTTTAGTCCCAGTGATTCAAAGATTGTAACATGCTCTGATGATGGTACACTACGGATCTTCGATTTTTATAGATGTCAAGAAGAAAGGATATTGAGAGGACATGGAGCTGATGTTAAATGTGTGCAATGGCATCCAACTAAAGCTCTCATTGTATCCGGTAGCAAGGATAACCAACAACCTATAAAATTATGGGATCCAAAGTCCGGAACAGCACTCTGCACCTTGCATGCTCATAAGTCTACTGTAATGGATTTAAAATGGAATGAAAATGGTAACTGGCTCATTACTGCTTCAAGGGACCATTTACTGAAATTATTTGACATAAGAAAACTTGGTACTGAACTTCAAATTTTTAGGGGACATAAAAAAGAAGCATCCAGTGTTGTTTGGCATCCCACTCATGAAGGTTTGTTTTGTTCAGGTGGTTCTGATGGAGCTATTTTATTTTGGAATGTTGGTACAGATAAAGAAGTTGGTTGTATAGAAGGTGCACATGAGTCTATTGTCTGGACAATGGCATGGCATCCCTTAGGTCATATATTGTGTTCTGGGTCAAATGACCACACATCAAAGTTTTGGACTCGTAATCGTCCAGGAGATCAGATGAGAGATAAATACAATTTGAATACATTACCACCTGGAGTTCAGGATGATAATGAATTAGAAGAACCAGGTGCAATACCTGGTATGGGTCCAGAAGATAAGGTGGAAATATTTTCTACAGATACTGATAAAGTTATACCAGGTTTAGACTTAGATACCACACACATACCAATGGAATTTGAGAAGAAGGTCAAGAAAGTTCCATATAGCAAGCCCATACCCAGAAACTTCCAAGCCCAATGGAACCATGGCCCATCCATGGATGATGCTGCCACAGAAGCATTAACTCAAGCTCTGGTAGAGTCAGTTCCAGGGGCTGTGCCCCTGCACCAAATCCAACCATCTGCCATTTTCGTGTACGGAAGACTTATTCCTGTTGAAATGGGCTCAAAACTTGAAAAGGCAATAGCTGACGGTCCTATAGCTTTAAAGAAGTACATAGCTACTGGAGAAGTTGAGGAACTTCATGATATGATGCCTCATTTAGAAGACGACGCCGATGAGGACAATTTCACACCATTTGAATATCCTAGTAATGATAATGAGAATGAAGAGGTGGAAGATGAAAATAAACAGAAAGATGACTATGAGGAAGAACAGTATTATGATGAGGAAATGGAATCAAGTAACCAGAACAATCAAGACAATTACAACAACTATGATAATGGCCCGAATATGGGGAATATGATGCCCATGAACAATATGCCACCGATGATGGGACCCCCAATGAACATGGGAATGAGACCCATGGGCCCACCAATGCACATGAATATGCATATACCTCCACCCCACATGGGTGGCAGGCCCCCTATGCCACCAATGGGTAACATGCCGCCCATGGGTAGCATGCCACCTATGAATAACATGACGCGTCCTCCATTTCAAGATAATGGTTATAATAAGGGTCAGTATGATACCAGCCAGTCATATAATCAAGATAATAATGATTACAATGAAGAAGAAGGCTATGATCAAGGTTATGAAGAGGAAAACTATGATGAAGGTCAAAACGAGGATTATAGACAGAATCCCAGGTGGGGTGGTTACAGGGGTAGAGGACTAGGGCGCGGTCGTGGTGATAGAGGCCGGGGACTCGATAGGGGTGGAATCCGTGGCATGCCAAGGGGTGGTATGAATGGCTTTGGGGGTCGTGGTGGTCGAGGTAGACCTCCAATGCGAGGATCGAACTGGACGAGACGAGGTAATGCCCCAAATCGAACTTTTAGAAGGGGCAACAAACAACCAAACTAGAGTAAGGTCGCAAGTGACAAGTCATTCTCAGATTTTTATTTTGTTTGTGACTCCAGTGTAAGTGTAAAAGCTATATCGTGATGATGAATGAATTTCAACGTTGTATATAATTTTACGGCTTAATGATTTCTGTTTCGAATACGCTAGAAACAATAAATTATGTTTATTATGTCTAAAAAATATTATTTAGATTACCTGCCACCATAACATGCAGACCCCACTGGTGAGTTAAACAGTTCAGTACATGTGTATAATATAATAGACGGCAAACATTTTAATTTTCTTATTAATATCTAGGTACTTTGGTGCTCTGGTTTGTTTGGAAGATTGGTGTCATCATCAAGCCTCCAGGATAGGGGAAGAGCTGTTTTGAAGATTGCTGTCACATTTTATAGTAAGACTGGAATTTTTTGATTATGTCAATAAAGATACCCTTATACCTCTAGATTTACAGAAAGTTATTTGGAAAAATAAAGCATTAATAAAAATTTCGTTCAAGAGCACCCTAATCCTATTTATATTCAACGGCGTCAGTTTTTTTTTCTTTCGATATTATTACAGCTGTGAATGCAACTAGTAAACGTAAATAAGTCTTTATTGGTATTTTTTAAATCACTCAACTTTAAATTACTTAAATACAGGTAGTATTTAATTAATTTAAATATCATAATACAGTGTTGTTATAATAGATATATTTGTTAAACTACATAAAGCTATATTAAAAATCTATTAGGATTAATGAACATTTTAAATTAATTAATGCCAAGATGTGAAAAATAAAAACGTCATACTCGTATAATAAACGGGCAAGGGGGCTTTTTTGTAATGGAACATAAACAATACAGATATTTAAAAAAACACCAATTTGGTACAATTTATTATTTGCAAATATACTGACATTTCCCAATCCCAAACTATTTGCTCTTGAACATGTAGTTAAAAATAACATTACTAGGATAAAAACTAACATAAGAAAATTAAATAAAATGTTAAAATAAATTGATAAAATTCTAAGGGGTTTCATTTATCGCCCTCAACCTGAATAAAGTTATTGAGAAATGAAATGTAGTTTTAATTTTATATACTTTTATGTTTAATTTTGTCCTGACAAATTCTTCAGGTTTCCTTAAAGAAAATTCCCTTGTTTCAGATGAACGGCGTGAAATGGCTGGCTTGGTTTGTAACTGTTTGTTCGGCCAGTCAATACGACAGTGGGAGCGAGAAGAATGGCCTCACTGATGGTGGAGGGAATTCTACAATACGGCTAGAACCAATAGAAGGGACGCCTAATTTCAGGTTGATCAAGCCAGAGAAAGGAACGCAGTGGTTTCCTGAAAGGGAAATTAAACTAGACAGTTGCGTTCGAAAATCTCGATGTGAACCTCTCAACAAGACCACATGCCTTGGTGTCAAACTACCCTACAACAAAACGAGCGTTCGACTAACATTTTATGACACACAATATAAAATTCAGAACCAGCTTGAATTGTACAGGGAACTCATAAATGTACCAAAATGTTGGGCTGTAATACAGCCCCTGTTGTGCGCAACTATGATGCCAAATTGTGAAAAAATTAACGGCCAAGACATGGTGTACCTACCCTCGTACGAGATGTGCAAGATTACGATGGAGCCCTGCGCAATACTCTACAATACCTCATACTTTCCGTCCTTTTTAAAGTGCAACTCTACATTGTTCCCGCCAAAATGCGATAACGCCGCGAGGGAAATGAAGTTTAATACGACGGGGAAGTGTCTTACGCCGCTCATACACACGGACAAGCATATGCATTTTTATGAAGGTAACTTCACTGGTTTGTTTGCTCCTCCAATTTTTTTATTTTCCATATATGACATTGAATTACCCATGTGTCGTATCACTAAAAACTGTTATGTGTATAGGACCTCATCTATACACATAACAGTTTAATCAATGTATACAAATTTTATTGTTTTTTACTTATGGACATATAACATATATTTGAAAATGATTTTTAACTTTCGGCTGATTTTTAGTTCTTATTCTACTTTTTTTGTCTAAAATAGTATGACCATACTTTGTTACATTTCAGGTATATCTGGTTGTGGTCTGCCGTGCCGTGATCCACTATACACTGAAGATGAACACCAACAGATACACAGACTGGTCGCGTGGGGTGCATCCGCGTGTCTCGCTCTGAATTTGCTGACCGTGGCAACTTTTCTCATAGACTGGCGGAGTGCTAATAAGTATCCGGCGCTTGTTATATTCTATATCAACGTCTGTTTTGCTGTCGCTTCCATGGGGTAAGTTTCTTTTCTTTGACACTAATGCTAAGTCAGTTATATTTAGAATTATAAATACTGAGGTATAATAAATAGATAAAGGACTAAAAAAATATATAGGCTTTTATGACACGAGTACAGACAAGAATGGAATTTACTTGATGTTTGGTGGTGCCATATAACATCAGACAAGTTGTGCGGTCGACCTATTTTGGAATTGGATATTCGGAAATCCACAGACTGAAACAGAAACGCAATTGAAGTTAACGGCCTTCGGCGCAATTTTGATATTCCTACCACTAATTTAATATAGTGAACGTTTTTAAGTGAGTGTAAGGGTATACAATAAGTTTTTTATAATCACTTTCACACATACGTATAGTAAATACAAATTTATATAATTTTTGTATACAGGGAAAATCTTATCTATTTATTGTATATATAAAAATGTTTATTCTTTTTCAGATGGTTGGTTCAATTCGGAGTGGGTTCTCGGGATGACATTGTGTGCTCAAAAGATGGAACAAGGCGACAAGGTGAACCATCGGCTGAAGAGAACTTGTCTTGTGTTGTTGTTTTTGTACTGGTAAGACATACCATTAAAAATTTTGTTTATTTATTTTTAATATATTACATATTTTTCATGCTATCAAGAACTTTTTTTCCCCAAAAAGAAATACAACAAAAGGTTTCTTTTACAAACTATAAATATCGCATCTTAACATTAAATTATAAAAAACATAAATGACATAACTTTATTTTACGTTTTCAGGTATACTATTTTATGATGGCGGCTTGCGTCTGGTTTGTTATATTTACGTACGCTTGGCATATGAGCTTCAGAGCATTAGGTATGTTTTCAAATTGTGTTAATTAATTAAACATTATTCTTAAGTTGTTTGCAGTTAAACAGGGCAAATTTGGAACTTTAGATCTGACTTTTAATGTTAATAAAAAAACGACAAACTCTATACTTAAAATTGGGTCTTGAGTTTTTATACTTTTCTATTAGGCTAATATAAATAAATTATCATTTAAAACAAAATCTTACAGGTAAAATTCAAGATAGGATTGATAAAAAGGCAGCTTATTTTCACTTGGTGGCGTGGTCCCTACCATTGATTCTCACGATCACCACCATGGCGTTTGGAGAAGTTGACGGGAGTAGCATCACCGGTGTTTGTTTCGTGGGATATGTGAATCATCCGATGCGAGCCGGTCTTCTGTTAGCCCCACTTTTTGTGGTTCTGGTACTTGGAGGTTACTTTTTGTTGAGAGGTGAGTACTTTGTTCAAACTAGACACACTTATAGGTTTTACCCCACAGTACATACAAAGACGATTAATAAATTATTTAACTAAAAATATTATCATACTGCAAATTTGTTAAATTTTAAAATTTGTTACCACTTTTAAATACTATCTGTAGTTTCTCGAGTAGTATACATGCAGCAGCATTCGTGGCCGTGGTCACGGAGAGACCCCTCCGTTTGTCTCCTGCTGCAAAGCATCCGAAACATCAGGCCGTCGTAAAAATAATTTCCAAATAACTTTTAATCAATCTAATTTTACTAATGTATATCGCGTTTTAAACCGTTAAAGTGTTTTATTTAAATGTTTGATTTTTTTTATTTCAGGTGTCTTCTCCCTCATAGCCGTTCGTGTCTCCAGTAAAGACGTTATATCGCCTCGCGCGGCTAATAAGATCCGTCAAACAATAACTCGGTGCTCGCTAACCGCGACTTTGGTTGCCGTCTTCATCTGCGTCACTTTTGCCTGTCACGTGTACGAATTCAGGAACGCTGATTCCTGGAAGGAATCCTTCAAGAGGAATATTATGTAAGTGATAATTATTCACAAAATTAAAAAACGAATAAAATCGATGTTAATGATAAAAATAGTATTTTTCAATTATATAAGTTTGATATTTGATATTCAAGTGTTTAAAACTCTCACAACTGTTAAAATACAACACCGTATGTGTTAAGTTTGAAATATATGCGAGGACTGAAACATTCGATGGACATGGTAGGAAAACACGGCTATTTTATTAAGTATTGTTTAAAAATTTAAACTCGTTAATCCTGTAATTTTACTATTTTGTAGACACATGCCATATATATTTTTTTTCTTCTGTTATGGTTCAGATGTCGTCTCGAAGCATTAAAGGACCCAGAAAAGGAATGTTCGAACGGCGCTCGTCCTTCCGTATCGGTACTGCAATTAAGGCTGCTCTGCTGCTTTGCTGCTGGGGCGCTTATGGCCTCGTGGACCTGGACACCTGCAGCAGCTGCTGCCTGGAGACGTTATATGGCAAAGTAAGTAATTATTTTTCCTTATGTTAGTTTAATACAAATAGCCCCGTTAATGACTCAATAAAAAACGCGTTTCCTAGAATTGGTTATAATAAAAATTGCTTATTTACAATGCGATCCGTTAAGTTTGCTTTAAAGTAACTACCTGCTATAACTATTGATTCAGATCCTTGAAATTTATAAAATTTTATGGGATTCAATAGTATTTTAATTTCAGAAAGTGCGGATGCTCTGTGGAAGCGGAGATGACGCGTCGTGCGCACAAGCACGAATTGATAGCGCGCGCTTACCGGCGTCGTAATGAGTTCATGACTCGCGGTCGTCTGTCGATATCCCTGGGTGGGTCGAGGCAGGATCCTGTGGGATTGTGTCTTGACCATACTTCGCCGATCGATTGCCCAGACGATGCCAAGCATGAGAGGTATAGTATAAATAATAACTAGTACCTATCAAATAAAAAATATATAATGATATTTTAAACATTTAGGACTTAGGTCATAGTCCTTTAGAAAATTTAAGACTGTTCACCTTTTACTGAAGTATATTTAAAAAATATAAAGTGTCTGCTTATGGTAAAAATGAAATTATAAATTTCGCCTAGAGGCCAATGTACAAACGTGAGATAAATTGAGGCCGCTAGAGGCAGAGTAGTGTAACTGCAATTTTATGGCCCGACTTATTTATATTTTTAAAGTCTAAAAATTTTAATATACGAAAACACTGTTATCGAACATTGTTAACAATTAATTTTCGCCTAAGTTACTTGCCCATTATTATTTTTCTCCATCGAAAATTATTTTTTAGTTATTATATCACTCTGCCTTTAGCAGCCTCCATTGTGAGAAGCTCGGCATTACACGATAAATTCAATTCATAGAATTAAATTATTATTTTAGATAATAAGTTCATTCATTGACATCAAAACAACAATTTTCTTTTTATGCAAAACAACTACCAATTAATCAAACGAATAATTTTTAGTCATAATTGTTTCAGTGGCGAGTTGTCGTCGTCTTGGGCAGCAAACCTGCCTCGCTTTGTGCGTCGCCGGGATGCCCTTGTTCTACCGACTCATGCGCATCATTCACTCAGTTCAACACCCGATCGTCGCAATTCACAGGTAAAGGGATCTTTGTCATTTAGAGAGATAGAATGTTTAAAAACCATTAATATCATCTGATTATACTTACAAATGTAATAAAAAGTAAAAAAAATAAATAGATAAATTAGGTATTATTGTATTAATACTGTCTAAAGCTTTTATAAATGTAAAGTATTACCTGCCATTTCCTTTACCCCTTTTTGTTCAAGATTAAGAACAAAGTATTGTAGCTCCCCATTTCTTCTTTATAGCCTCTATAACATTAGCAGAGCAATAAAAATATAAATATAATTTGCAAGTATAAGTAATGTAATAAGACCTGTTAGGGTAGAATTTTTAAATAAATAATTAAAACTACTCTATACTACTAATCTATAACTTCCAGGACTCGCAGATCAGCATTAGCCTTCGTCACGTCTCCGTGGAATCACGTCGGAATTCCCTCGACAGCCAACTCTCAGTTAAGATTGCGGAAATGAAAACCAAAGTGGGTAGGAGAAGAACTAAGCATACGAAGACGAAGCGTAAAAGCCGTGCAGCTAGGAAGGAGAGTACGCCCTCTATCGAGAGTCAGATTAGCAGGTATTGGCTGCAAGCGGTCGCAGGCAATAATGACCCTTCGCGAGAGGAGGTTAAGTTCAGTTTTGATTGAATATGATTTTCATACTTTCCGCAATTTGCGCGAGTAGTAAACATTTAAATAAAATACTAACGGTTTACAACGCGATATATATTAAACTTATTTGACAATTGACCACGGCTGTTGCAAACCATCCGAAATGTTGGTCTGCAGGTAAAATAATTTTATAAATAAGTTTAACCATTAAATATCGCGTTTGAAACCGTTTGGGTTTTATTTAAATGATTTTCATTTAAAATTGTTATACCGAAGAAAGTGTTTTAGGGTTCTTTAAAGGGATCTACTATAAGAGACTTTATGAAGACTATTGTCACTTATTTTTAGTTGCACATCTGACTATAATATGTTATATACGTGTTTTGTCACAAAATGTAAAATTTACATTTTTAACTTCGTGTTTGTATATATTTTGAATACAATTAAGTGAAAGAGTACAAAGCGTAACAATCTTATTTTAATATCGCCTAGTGGAGAACATTGATATTATTAAGGATAACATGAATATTTATAAGATTTTGAACGACATATCGTATTCGGATTTGATACAACAGCTTTATACTAAGACTGATTTTGAATCTCTAACTCGAGTGACAATAAAATATTAGATAGCAGAATGTTTTCTTTGCGACCGTAGATTAGCTAGTGACATAGCTATTATTTTAATCAATATTGAAATTAATATAGCTTTTCCATTACAACTATTTGTCTTTGAATCATCTTAACCGGATTCCGATTGTATTTGACGAAACGATAACATGTAACATCAATTTATTATTAGCTATAATAAATAGCTTGTTACAAAATTTTAAACGTCCTCTTAGAATAATTTTTACTTCGGCAAAATTTTAATGATTCATAACCTAAACGGGTCAAATAATCTCTTTGTCTCATTCTAGCATTTGTTAAATACATTATCTGTTTCATGTTACGTCCTATTCGTAAAAATGTATTATATACAATAGAATTGTTTAAATAAGGTGCCATATAGGCAATATTTTCAAACGACTGATTATTGCGTGGTATTAGTGTTAGAGATTACAAATATATTTTCCGATATCCATGTTGTAAGCGTTTAGTAAAAGGAAGTATGGTTGTGAATTTTTCTATTGTTTCACAGTAAGAGGCTATTTTACTTGTGAGATTACTGCTAAGGATAAATACTGGAAATACCCATCTCAATGAATATGCATTATTTTTGTAAGTATAAGTCTGTATTAGCTTTAATTTTTTATTCATTTATGTAACATTTATTACCAGTACTTTTATATTTGTGTAATTACATTCTTTAATTGATTGCGAGATTTTCTTTATTTTAAACTTGAACTTTTTTATAGACATATTTTATTTCCGTTACTTTTAATGTTTAGATATGTACTCTCTACTTATTGTGTGGACATGTTGTTTTTTGAGACCCTGCACCATTCCCTAGTTTTTGAGCATCGAGAAAACACGGTATCGTCCCTGCATCTTTCTAATATTAAGGCTACATTTCCGTAGACGTAGGGGTAGTGTTTATTTCTATTTAATTCACTCACACACACGAAAGGGTCAGACTCCGCTTGAAATGCGAGTGGATCGTCTCACTTATGTTCAGGCATAGTGGTGTATTCTTGTGTTTCATCAACCTGGTTATATTCCGTTTCATTGAGTTGGAATTAAAAGAAACTCCCATTTGAAAACACGGGTATTTCCACGATCAGAGAGCCAAAAATAAGGTATATAATTAAACGAATGTAATAATATTCACTGTTTATTAAAACAAAGTAGATTTTATTAGTAAGATACCATTCAATCACAGTGAATAAACAACTTCAAATATCTACTGTAAAGAGTAGGTAAAATATATCTACATCTAAAAATATTCGCGATAAAACGAGATGCAAAATAATTTAAAACTCTGCGATTTGATTAGTATGAACAACAGGAGACAGTGATGTTAGAAATGAGATCATAAGAACCGTGTTGTTGAAATCAAATTGTAGATCCAAAAAATCTAATTAAGTAATGTTTATTATGCTTCATTAGACTAATCACAGGCACAGCTTCCCGAGTGGCAAGAAAATCGTTTAAAACAATCGGTAACGAAAGAAGACAAATTTTACAACTGTGCGGACGGCAACTATAAAGCTAGCTATAAATAAATCTCTCGCTTAAAATTCGTCTTCTAGGTTACGAAGTATAATTCGTTAATGGTTGTACTAAAATCGAACTACATGCAAAAACGATAACAATAAATAAAAACAGTAAAAGACAAACTTTTAAGAAAAAAAAACAATGTTAGTGTCAAACTATACTTAACGTAAAATTGCACGGCGGCGTTTAATAGGAATGTTTCTTTGGCCCTTAACTAAAAGATCACATAAACTAAATTCGATGCTTGGTGCTAAGTATATCTAAGAGAAATAATACTTAGTGTGCGTACAACATGTGTACAGAGCCATCTATTTTTAAGTCACGTAAGCAATTCGAACGAATCACGACGTGTAAATTTTATTTATCTATGGCGTAGATAGGGAGTTTTAGGGGGACCCCCTAGTTAAACGTTATGGTTTTTAGCAATGTATGTATGTCTATATAGGTGTTTCCACGGAGCAAGCAGCATTGTGAAGATAATCCACAGTCAATCAGGACAGTATTGAACTCAGATGATGGTTAAAAGCACTTTAGGAAGTTACGTGCGTAAAATAACGTCCAAAACCTGCTCGCTCCATGAACCCACCGCATGGAAGAGTAAGGGAGTTCCCAAGATAGCAATTACTTATATTCCTATCTACGCATATCTATTATATCACACTTTACAGTCTATATCAATCTAGCCTTGCGAATGTTTTTCTTTTCGGCTTCAGTGAACCCTAGTATGTTCTCAATAGCGTTCAGGTGGCCTTGGTGGTTTTCAGGATCAGTGAGGAAGTAGTAGATAGCCGATTTGAGGAACTGTAGCGTAACTTCTGGGTCAACATTGGTCTTGCTCCCTTTCTGTGACTCAACGATACGACGGTACATTGCCTGTGAAGAATGTATTGTATTAGTTAGTAGCTTTAATGATTGAGAGGCATACTACGGTATACATACTCGAGCTTCCAAAACATGTATTTAAAAGAAAGACAGCATTGGTATAAGAAATTTTCAAAAAAGCTAAGTGAGTTCAGAGTCTTATATAAAAGAATACTATAAGAACTTTTCATGAGCTATGAAGGAGTATAACTTGAACAAAGAATGAAATCTTCCGTCCCATGCCAATGCTGTCACTTAAACACTAAGATGCATGTCCAAAATAAATAAATTTACAAATAATGTATATAAAAATAATTGCTATAACTACTTTGACTAAATAACAATTGAAAATAAAAACAAATAAGCTTAATAATATGTTTATAAATCTTATATAATACATCTAAAAATAAAATTAACTACGGCAATATGCTATAAAAACACAGCTACAAAATATTTGGATCCATGAAGTGTACCTTTAACTTTCACCAAGTACCCAATAACCAAAAGAGGCTGTTTCAAATTAAAACATGCAAAGCTATGTATTAAAAATTATTATTCGTAGGTAGTTAGAAGTATTTTTGTTATGAACCAATAACCAATGTATTTAGCACATTTCACATTTTAAATACGTATGTATTTAAAACGAGGACCATCTTCCCACAATTTGGGCATAGCACATGAAGTATGGACCTTGAGTACAAAGTTAGAAAGCACAGAAGTAATCAGATTGAATTTTATATAAAATAAATTTTTCATCAACGGTATCAGAGCAATATAACAATGTCATGAGTGAGTATTTTGTCTCTGAATATATTTGGAAGAATATGTACGAGTATGTAATGAATAGAACATATATTTGTAAATGCATCATATAAATTCTGAAAAATATGTTAAACATGATTACTTAATTTTTCTAACATTATACTAGGGCCATGCTATGTTCCTGCAAAGTTGAAATAAAAGACATGTGCCAAAGCATAAAACAATAGAAGACTAAGAATAATTTTTCCATTCCTCTCTACGAGTCCAACCTTTCTCGCTCCTAGGACCCATAAAGAAACAGCCTCCTTTGCACTAAGAAGTACTTGTGACGCTGTTCTGTCCGTTGCGAATGCTGTATCCTGTAATGCACTACATTTTAAAGCGGGTCCTGTTAATGCGGCTACGGGCGGTTTATATGATGAAGAAGGGCGGTGGCCATCAAACGGATGATGAAGACAAGCTCACACAATGATATATGAAAAGTATTGAGCATTATTTCCGTGAATTTTTTTGTACAATGTGCTACGAGTGATATTTTTTTTTGTATAAGGTGTTTAATTTATCAATTCGGGGATAGTGAGTTAAAAGACATTTTAAAGACTAATAAAGTCGAAAAAGTATGATTGCAAAAACATTATTGCAGACCAGTTTTTTTTATAGTGACTAAACACAAATTATGCTATTTAAATTTTAGTCATTCAATTTGCTTCTTGATTATATAACATACAAGAATTAAATGTTAGAAATTTAAGTTATTAACTGCAATTAATTCTTCATTAATCTTTGTTGTTTTTCATATCATCTAGCAAGTAGCTAATTACTGTTTAAAACCATTTAATGTGATTATTCAAGCAAAACTTATTTATTTTAATAACTATGCCATGCTGTTTTAGGCTTCTAACCGTATAGTTTGGCAACCACTTGACTAATGATAGTTCAATGTCATTCAATTTGTTAGTTTCAAATCCAATTTCACTAATAAATAGAATAGAATAGGTATATAATGTAAATATTTAACCATCAGCTTTAATCTGTGACATATTGTTGTAGTGAAATTGGATTATGGAAATCAGTAGATAGAGATTTAGCGGTTTAAGATTATACATCAACTCACTCGGACGTTTTCAAGCTCAGTCTGTGTTATTTGTAGCTGGTCTAGGAGCTCTTCAACCGAAACTCGGCTTAGCTGACTCTGAGATCCTTCACCTTCGGCTTCCTGAAATGTTATATTGCATATACATATATTGATTTCTATTTTAAACTTTTTCATTTTAATAATATACATTTTAATTAAGCCTTCTGTCCCATCATATTTTGGTTTGGAAGATTCAAGAAGGGATTCAGTAAACTCTAAAATACAAAAACCAAATATATATATAAGAGACAGAATTAAATAAGTAATATCGAACAATTTGTAATGCTAATACAGTCATAACATGTAAATTGGACAATTGTAAATTTCATAGCTCTTATTTAGAACAAATTATTGTAAGTTAATTTTTAGCAAAAAGTTACTTTATGTGTAATAATCTAATAGCATACGTTGTATGATTAGCATTCTAATTATTGTATCCCTTACATAAGTACACAGACTACTTTGGGGTAATTAACATGAAATCCCATTTCCCATGTGGGACTTAAAGCAGACATTTTATTCAAAGGCAGTGTTTTGGTGCCATGCTGGACCAAAACCTTAGTGTTTCCTGCCTACTGAAATTGCCAGCACTTCTTGTAAAACATATACCATGTTGAATAATTGAGCCACTTTCACTGTATTAAAGCTTACCTTATCTAATTCAAATTTAGCTGCCTCCATCCCCTTATTATACATCTGTAGATACATAGCTCGCTGGCGATTATCCTCATCTTGAAGCTGTCGACTGGCTTCCTCCAACTGCTTTTCCAAGAGATGGATCCTCTCTTTAGCCTGTTCATAATTTGGTAGTAACTCGCAGTATCTAGTGTTGACATCCGCCAACTTCTGCAATAGTGCCTCCACTTTGTCATTGTGTGCTTTTTTCATTTCCTGCGTCTCACCAACATGTGCTCTCATCACATCCTCAACTTTCTTCTCATAAAATGATATTAGGCTACGTCTCTCTTCATCACTGTCCAAGCTCTCTGTCATACATGATGCATCATGCGTCAACATGTGAACAGACTCTTTTGAATGCAAAGAGGAATTTGTCAAGTCGTCAAAGTGTCCAGAATCTGTAAAGGATCCCTGCATTTCATTTCTACATCTAGTTGGTGTGCTGTGATCTTTAAACGGACTGTCTGTGACATCGTAGGATCTGCAGACATCTTTAAATTTGACACTGTGCTCCTCAATTGATTCATCATTGTTCTCCCTGATTGTCACTATTTCACTTGAGTTAGATTTTTCATCTGGGGAAAACACAGAGGCCTTATAGAGACGTAGTTCAACAACCTCTTTTGTGAGTTGGAAAATTTCACTGTCCTTCTTTTCTAAGTCCTTCTTAGCCTGGCTCAAAAGACTCTTAAGACGACGTATTTGCTTCTGTGCGCGTTGTGTTGGCGTCAGATATTCCTCTCCTGCAAGGCCAGCGTGCGAGGAACAGTGCAACACGTAGCGCATGGACCTGCCACTAAACGTTGTCCCGTTGAAAGGGGCATAACCGGCATCTATCGAAGCCGCCGTCGCGGCACTGCCGTAACTATTCAGGGAATCATCATCAGGCAAGTCCTCAGGTGAGCCGGGCGGCGTGTGTGCCGAATCCGTCATACTCAATTTTCTGTCTAGGCAATCATGTATTTTTAAACAGGACTTCTTCGGTCTGATATGCGTACTTGCATTAAACGACTATAACAAAACATTTGAAGGTTAGATTTTCGAAAACAGAACGAATTAGTTTACTTTAATGTTGACCTAACAACCATTATTAGAATGTATGTCAATGAACCCTTTGCGTCGGTCGACGGCTTGTTTTTAGCGGTTGACACGTTTGCGTTTAATTGCAATTTTCAGCGTACCATATTGTGCGCTAATTCGCTGCTCTTTGTACTTACTTGGCTTCGAGGGCGATGGCTCGGTTCTGGTAACCGGGTGCCATCGCTACGTTTTTGTGTTCCGGTTTCCGTGATTACAGGAATGTATTTTCTAGCTAATAAAGGCGAGCGCTGCACCATTTTCTCACCGCGCAGCCGCAGTGAGGAAGTTCGTCGGAAATTCCCGATAATACTTCCCGCGCCGTATAGCTCGTCTTGAAACTCGGCAATCCTTCGAGTATTGTTTCTGCTTACCATTGTTTTCTTATTTTAACATTGACGAAGCGTTCTGCAATTACGAACAAAGTTACACGTTTTACACAATTTCAAGACTGATTACTGAAGTTACAATTTACTCGAAATTATTTGAAACTACCTACTATATAAATAGTAGTGTATAAAACATGTGATAACAAGGTGATATTCCCAATCGCGTGGTATATATTTTCAAGGTCTATACATAAATAAAAATTAATGATTTTTTATTCATAAACCACAATAATATAACCAAAAACAAAGAAACAAAATTGCAGATTTTTCACAATACAGATAAAGCAAAAGCAATCGATACCTCGATATTCGATAATAATAAATACTTCTTATCAGTCAATAAGCGTTGTGTGATAACCAGTTTCAATTCCACTAGATGGCGCGTTTTATTTACTTTTTTTTAAACTTTAATTCTAAAAATGTCATTCATGTCTCGGGTATAAAATAATTATACTATCGACTTTGAAAATTTGATGAAATAATGACTTTTAAATTCTTTATCCATAACTAATTCTCCTCAAGGTTATTAACGATTTGTGATTACTTGTTTCTACACCGTAAAATTATAAAATTATTTTGTTGTGGGTACCTATTATAAAGTTTATTGCAATGATGAAAACATTCGTTCTGTTTTTATGTGTCTTATGTAGTGGCATATACTAAAAAGGTAGCATAGAAGTAAAAGCATGTTACTATGTACATTTGAAAAGTCGTTTGTAGGTAGCGGTTACAAACAACAAAACATTTCAACATTTGCACGATTACACAATGGCTGCACAAGCTTCTCACAGGGTATTGCAAAAATGTCTGACTATAGAACACAGCGATTTACTTTTTTTGTAGACATTTACACTATGATTACGATGTAACGCATTGTATACGGTTGAGAAATGATAGCAAATTATTGCCGTATCAGTAATGTTGTATCATAGTACCGTATAGAAGTTAAAGATGTTCAATGAACAAAAGTCCATTTTTATAACATCATATACCGTATTCTTAATAGGCCTTTACACCCAAAAAAGTAAACTTTCATTTAAAATAGTTGGCATAATATCAGTCTCATATTTATAACGCGATTAATTAAGTATACAGGGTGTATATGGTACAGTTCTGAAAACTTAAGGCCATATATTAGGAGCTAAAGGGTTTTTGGTGCTATTTAAATTCTGTTAGCTTAGATTTTTTTCAAAATTTATAATACCATATGAAATGTAGAGCGTACACCGAGTCTTATTGGTATATGTCTTATAAGTATGAATTAGTTTTTTCAAACTATTTAAGTATTCTTTAAATCTCTGGCATTTAAATGTGTAATGTTTTGGCGGTATTTATTTTTATCTATACCTAGTCGAAACTATAAATCTTGTTATCTATTACCTAGATAGTTTTTGCCGTTCGTCTGGTTTTTAAGTACAGTATTTACTTCCATCCTGCGTTGTTCTAAGAAAGAAATCGAAGTGTCATTTCAAGATACTAGATATATAGTTCTTTATGTGGATTATTACTTTGGATTGTAAAGTTTAAGGAAGGAATATTTCTTCGTTTCTTCACAAATGTTGAGTGACATAATATTTTTTCCCCCTTTGACCGCGTTAACAGCAGCTGAATTTTCATTTACATAAGTTTTTGTGGACAATTACATATTCGATGTATATCAAACCGCCTTTTGGGTAGAAAAGTTAACATCATTTTTCTATTATCTTGAACATATCTTTTATAAATGTTGCCGGCCAATATGGAAAAGTTAATTTAAAAATCCCTTGTTATTTATTTTTTTTACGTAAAAACCAAATTAAACGTCGACTATTCTAACATAATGTTATTACGCATTTGGAAGATCGATATGACTTATATTTCATAATGAAGGCTCATAACTTGTTAATTATCGATTTATAATCATGCGTATTGAATTCTAATTACTGAATTAATTTTAAATTGATTTGACTTAATGACAGACATATGCTTTCACTTCATTGTACAATCACATTGAATAATACCTGCTAAGTTATGTCAATCGTATATACCAAAGTGCCTACCCCATAAGACCATTAAAAAAATATTAGACAATCATTTTTAGAACTTAAAATACAATAAAACTTTTTAAAAACTTTTGTTGATTGTTATTTCGGGTGTGATTTGGTAATTTATTTATACGTGAAGGTAGTTTGTAATAATTAAATCATTCTTTCTAAAAATCAGAAATTTTAACTTCTACTTTATAATAATTTTCTATTGGCATAATTTTTTTTACCTATTTTGTACCTATCAATTAAACAAAAATATAATTTATTTTTATCATCTAATAAATAGGGCATAGTTATGTGTGACCCAAGCCCCAGTTGAGACTATGGAATTTCATACTAAGTAGCTGTGTTTAGCTTTACTACACACTATATTTTTATATTGAGGTTATCCGTTTAAGTAAGAAGTGTAAGTTAAGTTCTGTTAATTGGATTAACAAACCGACACTCCTACTTTATTTGTTTGTATAAGTAAATATACTACACTAGGCTATTTAATGCTGAACCTAACAAATATTATAAAAAAAACTGCTTAATCGTTACTTACCTACTTAACGCAAGAGTGTTTATTAAGCGAAACTGCAATTAAGCAACCGTGATGTTTATCTAATTACAATTGCGTAAAACTATTTATTAAATATCATTGTTTAATTCTATCGTCAACAAGAGATATCTTTTCACATTAATAATGATTGAAAATGGCGTGTCTACTTAAGTCGAAAGTAATCTTATTTATTATTCTAGATATATTTTTTATTGTTATGTGGTTTCAACTTTGGCCTCGTTATGTAATACAAGACTCGAGGCTGAATCTAGCTTCTAAAGATAATAACACAAAGTTGTACCTACCTACATAATTGGATATAAAATACCTAAAAATGTTCTGTTTAGTATTACATAAGCATTATTTTTTAGTAAGCTTTGCATTGGGAAGTGAATTTACATAAAAAATAAATATAGAAACTGATCGACTTTTTTTCTTTAGCACCAGCATCGGTCAATAAAAGGTATCTATACTTTTTTAAATCCTAAAGTCGTAGCCTGCCAGTTTCAAATAACAATGCGTGTAATTCATTTTTAGAACGTAAACCACCGGCCAATAATTGCAATTTAAAATTCAAACCAAGGTTAAATACATCCGTTTATTGCCACAGACGTAATGTTATTAAATAAACCATTTAATATATAGTCTACAAATTAATTCAAAATGTATTAAGGTTGATTTTTAGGTACGTAAAACTTATTTTTATTTATTCTTCTAGACTCGAGATAAACCTTTAATCAAACTCATGTTATAGCAACGAATTACAAATTTATTTTAAAATAAAACTTTTAAACTTACCAGAATTAGCGCCTTGCGCGAATATCCCAATTGTAAAATGACGATAAATCAGTCGAAATTCAACATCACATCATTACACTCGATAAAATCGTTGTTCGTACACATTTCGTTCGCACATAGTTCGGAAAAACTTATAACCAACTCGGACATCGCAAATTACATAGAGTAAACCATTCACGGTAACTTTTACACTAAGAATGTTGCGGCGAGTTGTTGGCGCTTGCTTCGTCAATTCGTTCTCGGTTCTGCGCCCCACACAATAGCACAGACGATATTACGGGGAACTACTCTATTAGGTCGCTACGAAAAAAGTGAACTCTATATCAAATATCAATAAACATTTGTTAGTTACATAAATTATCGACTGGATTACGTCAGCGGATTGCGCTTTGCAGTCGCGTGGTTCAAGAGGTACTAACGTATACGCCATCTTTTAACGAAAAAAGCTAAAACACCGTTATCTCATTCATCTATTGAGATTTAGGAGTACAAAAGCTAGAAAGTTTGGTGGAAATAAGTAAAGAAATTAGGTAATAGCCATCATAAATGATTTATGAATAGGGGCTAACCCTGCATTGTTTGGCAACGAGCCAGCCATTCTATTCGTTTTGCTTGTAGTAATGCGGATGGAAATTGAAGCGGCATATTTTCCGATTCGCAATTATTACGACATACTCTGATAACGATGAAAACATTTCACAACACGTTTTTTCCAACAGATAATTAGTTTGCATAATATATTAGTTAGCTTTTAATGGAACGTTAAAAAGTCTTCCTTATCAGCTCTTGACAGTTGTCACTGCTTGGTGATAAAAGTGCCTCTAAGGTTAGCATATGACAGATGTAAAATTTTGGTTTTTCGACATGGCGGTTTAAAGTGCTTTTCCGTTAAATTTATAGGGCGCGTGACTGCAGATCGCATTAGCAAACGGAAGTCGCATGCATAACTAACTCGGCTCTCAAAAATATTGGTTTATAAACTTCTACTATTAATTATAATAAATTTACATTGGAACTGCATCTCAAACAACGTTGATGCAGTATAGTTACTTTTTAATAACAAAAAGTATATGTTGTAAATTACGGGATTAATTATTATTATTGTAAGTTAGTGAATTATTTTATTTTTAAATATACTGTATAGTTGAAAATTCAAATGAACATTTTTATTTTCATTCTAAATTGGATATTACTTTTAGGTATTATTAATTTTGAACGCCTCTATTGCTAAATGGTTAAACTTGTAGCTTAGCATTAAGCGCGGGGTTCAAATCCCGGGGAAACAGTAAACTGTTTCGGTCGGCCAGGGCACAGAAGTCGTATAGTTGGATAAAAAGCCATTAATTACTTGCTATTGAAATGATAAATTAAATGGAATTATTTATTACGAATCATTAACACACATACAACGTAATTGTTACGATTGAAATTCACATTTCAACAGTGTCGTTATCTAGATACATTATGTTTAAATAAAACACTTGAACGGTTTAAAACGCGATATAATTTAGTTATTTACAGTATTACATTATGTCTAACACAAACACTACTAAGAGCAACTTAGATACATGTTTTATTGGTCGTATCTGAGTAAATAAAACTATCGCTTGCGTATACCCACC